AAAAAGCATTTTGCTCGTCTTTTGACGCTCTTTGCGATGGAAAAGAGCACGAATTTCGATACTCTATCCTAAAAAAATTTTTTTTTCGCCATAATACAACATTGCTTAGGAGTCATTTCCGCTCTTTCTAACCGCTTCCAAAATGTTCCTCGTGCTTTTTTACCTATATTTAGCTACTTTCAAAAAAATCGCCGGCACCTATCAACCTCGGAAAATCACCTAAAAGGGCGCGACTCAAGCGCGCGCGCTCATATAACACACATATGTGCATGTGTGTGTTTGTGTGCATTGAAGGATTACTGTAGGTGGAAGAAAAAGTTTAAAAAAACGACTTTCTCGTGGAAACTATGCAAATTACAATGAATAGTTCCCAAAATTAAGTACCCCAAAGGCATTTTACATGCAAAAATTTTCTTTTCGGACTTTCAAGGGGTTGGACTTTTTTTTTGATATTTTTTAGCTCTGAACTTTGAAAAATCGTATTTCCACTTACAGTGGACAAAAAATGTCGAAGAAAAAAGCATAATGGATCTCAAATATCGCTCTATTGACTGAAAATAAGAGTTGTTAAAAAATAATTTTTTTCGACCTAGAAAACTTGAAAATTTCAGAATAAACAAAAACATTTTTGAAATTGTTTTTACAAGGGAACCTTTTTTTACTCAACACTTCAAATCTTGATGAAATTTTGTCCATAGATAGCTTTTTGGGTCATAAGAACACCCTAAAAACTTTAGTCTCCCAATGGACCCCTGAGCCAAGTTCTGGGCTCTCAAAAGTTCAAAAATTGCCAAAATTGGCTCACAAAATACATCATAACTCAATTCTCGATCATTTTTATGAAAAACTGAGTAGCAGATGATGATCAGCGTGGTCGATTTACCAAAAAGCATCAATAAATCAAATTTTCAAAAAAAAATCATTTATGAAAAAAGAATGAGCAGAGGCCCATATGAATTTTCATGAATTTTCAGCCGAAAAATAAAAAAATTCAAAATTTTTCGAAAAAAAGTTTTATTGTTGTACTTTTAGTAAATCGACTATGCTGATCATTATCTGAAACTTTATTTCTCCCACAAATTATTTTGAAATGGAGCTATGATGACTTTTATGAGCAATTTTTAGCAATTTTCGAACTTTTGAGAGCCCAGAACTTGGCTCAGAGGTCCATTGGGAGACTAAAGTTTTTAGGGTGTTCTTATGACCCAAAAAGCTGTCTATGGACAAAATTTCATCAAGATTTGAAGTGTTGAGTAAAAAAGGTTCCCTTGTAAAAACAATTTCAAAAATGTTTTTGTTTATTCTGAAATTTTCAAGTTTTCTAGGTCGAAAAAAATTATTTTTTAACAACTCTTATTTTCAGTCAATAGAGCGATATTTGAGATCCATAATGCTTTTTTCTTCGACATTTTTTGTCCACTGTAAGTGGAAATACGATTTTTCAAAGTTCAGAGCTAAAAAATATCAAAAAAAAGTCCAACCCTTGAAAGTCCGAAAAGAAAATTTTTGCATGTAAAATGCCTTTGGGGTACTTCATTTTGGGAACTATTCATTGTAATTTGCATAGTTTCCACGAGAAAGTCGTTTTTTTAAACTTTTTCTTCCACCTACAGTAATCCTTCAATGCACACAAACACACACATGCACATATGTGTGTTATATGAGCGCGCGCGCTTGAGTGGCGCCCTTTAGGTGATTTTCCGAGGTTGATAGGTGCCGGCGATTTTTTTGAAAGTAGCTAAATATAGGTAAAAAAGCACGAGGAACATTTTGGAAGCGGTTAGAAAGAGCGGAAATGACTCCTAAGCAATGTTGTATTATGGCGAAAAAAAAAATTTTTTAGGATAGAGTATCGAAATTCGTGCTCTTTTCCATCGCAAAGAGCGTCAAAAGACGAGCAAAATGCTTTTTTAATCATCAAAAAATATGAACGTTAAACCGACTTACGAATTTTTTCGAAAAACAATTTTCCCCTTCACCCGGTCCCACCAAATTGGCGAAACGATATCATGATCTCTAACCTGGTGGAAAAAGTTCCCCACCCATGGGGCTTACTAAGAAAAAAAATTGGGCCGATTCTGAGATCATGACTTTTTTGTCCGGGCCTCTGTTGTAAAGTTTACGTTTTTACAAATAATGTCTTTTAAATCATTAGGCAACCAATTGATATAATTTTCACAAAAATTGGAATGACAAAACTGATAATTTTACTGATTTGTTCTAGGAATTTTTTAAAAAATGATGTGAGAATTTAAAATTTTGAAACGTCAAAAATGAGGTCACGCAAAAATATTTATATTTACATCTTTATTTCAAATTTTCACAACCAGAAAAAGAGTTTTTTTTAAATAACCTTATTGCGAACTGATTTTCATTTTTTCTCGATGTTCCCATAAACATATTTTCCATCGAAAATAATTTTTATTTTTTTTTCTTATTTTCTTTTTTTGTACAAGCTTGCTCTATTGATAACTTGATTCTCGATCATCAAAAAGATGAAAAGTGACAAGGCTCATTAATTTTGAAGAAACAAAAAAATCACAAAACAACAAAAAAAAACGTTGAGAACAAAACGGAACAGGTAAAACTGATATGAACAACTGCTATTTCGACTCATCTTTCACACGCATTTCAGACATTTTTTGTATATAACATTTTATTTGTTCCAATCGGAAGAGAACGATGAAAAATCTGCGATTCGAATCTCATCGAGTGAACGGCGGGGCAGCTGAAGCTGAATATAATTTTGGTGAGTTCAAGTTTCTTCAGTTTTTTGTTTTTTTGTTTAGTGATAGATATTTTTGGGTTCCAGAAAATCTCGAGGACTCTTATGATTTGACAATTTGGAGAGGTTTGATATACTTACAAACATACATAGTTCCTCTTGGGATTGTTATTTTTATTGAAAAAATAACCCATAGCAACCTATAATTTCTCGAACACATTTTAGATATATGTACCTAATGTGAATTGCGTGTCAAGAATAATTTTTATAAAACTCCTATCTCTTCATTTTTCCTTCGTATTTTTTTTGCCTTATTTCATTATTGTCTCCTTCATGTTACACCTTCCTAATCAACTCGACCAATATTTCACGTCTTCAATTACTGGTTAGTCTCTTTCTCTTGTTTTCTTCTGATAACTTCCATTTTATTTTCTTCTTTTGATACATTTTCGACCACACCTAATTTGTTGTTGGTAATAGTTGTAACTTTAAAATTGAATAGGAACAAATAGATAAATCAACCAATCAATTTTTGATACATTCTTGAGAAGATATGTGTTTTTTTTTCATCAGGAGATAGAAAATCACTCAAGTTGAACTTGATGAAGCTTGGCAGCAAAGAAAGAACAAAAATGCGTTCATCTCTATTGCTGAACAAATAATCTGCCACAATTTTTTCACTCATACAATATTTGAAGTTTGTCTTGTGGTTTCTTCTGTTCCACTTTTTTTTTGAAAATCATTCTTTTTCATTAGAAAAACCAAAACTTTATAAAACTGTTCTGAAAACTCCTACCAAGGACAAAATCGAACACCAGAAAAAAAATGGTTCACTTTACACTTTGTCTATATTACTTTTATCAAACCATTTTCTTCATTTTTTTCAGGCGAAGTTCATCGAGCTGTTGGCAATTTCCAATTGGATAATAATAAAGAAAAAGAGATGAGTGAGACTGAAATCATTACAATTCGCAATTCAGATGGAACTACCGAAACGAAAACTGTGGTGAGTTAAATAAAGTTTCAAGGCCGAAAAATCCGAAAAAAAACATGAAATGAATCCAATCCGCCTACAAAAAAAAACAAGCGGCTGTTGTTTAAAATGAACAACATAACAACCATCTAGTTATTATTATTTTATAACATACTTTTCGACCAACCGACCGATCGACGCAAAAAAATATCCGGTACATTTTTTGCAATTTAAAATTGATTGATTTATTATTTTTTATTTACGTTTGCATGATTTGGTTGAGCGGTTTTAAAAAGTATTAGTTTTCCAACAACAACAAAAAAGTTGAGTTTCGAGTTTCAGCTTTGCACTTTCTCTATGAATTTTCGCAACACAATTTGTTATTTTCTTATTTCTTTCCCTATTTTTTTGTCATTTCCAAATCACATCAGCAAATAAACACTCTACAAATTGTTTTTCTCAAGGTCTTTCATTTTTTTATTTTTATCATATCACTCCCAGCTAAATTGTCACAATAGGAAACTGTTTCTAACATAAGTTCTCTCCCCTGGTATAATTCTTTTTTTTTTTGAAATTACTCACAATATACTTCCGGAAGTTTTCGTGCTCCACTTACATTAAGTACCATTACCATACCACAATTTAAAAGTTTGATTTCTTTTCCACAAAAATATTATTTATTTACTTTCATATTATTCAATAGTACATTTGAATTTTTTATTTTGATAACAGGTTGGTTTTTGGCAATACATTTTCACATCAAAAGAAAATAGAATATATTAATTTTATGGATCGATTTTTCTTGATTTTTATTTCTTCTAACATTTATTTCTCCGGGAAAAAAAGACGACGAAGGTCATTTTTGAAAATTTTTGTTGATAGTTACTTCAATTTTTTCTAGTTAGGCAAAATTAGGAAAATATTCGAACCAATTGTTTTCTGATCATTCTCGATGAATCCTCACCGGGCATTAAAAATTAACAATCTTTTTCATAAAAAGATATCGAACACCTATCCATTTTTACTATCATCAATTACCAAAAATCAAAATCTCGAAATCGATCTCTCATCTCGATTTTCTCTTCATCATCTAATACTATTTTTCACCATAACTTCCTTTCTCAACTAGGTCAAACCATATATATATTCTTTTTGTCCACGATTTTTCTCGTCCTTGTTATTTTTTTTATATTTCAACAATACATTTTTATGTACATACACAATAGTCATAACAATTGTGTTTCCTCTTTTTTGTTGTTCTCGCTTTGCATCACTGTAGAAATTTCAGTTTTGAGAAAAAAAATGATGGAAGGAGCAACAGTCGATTTGGGACCAGCTAAAGATGTTCCACAATCTGACGATATCACACGGCCTAATCCTCAACCAAAGGTTTTCTGATTTTGTGCCGTTAATCACATTTTTAGCGGGGCGAATTGAACAAAATACGTTGGTTTAATCAAATTGAACTTTTGATTTCAGGAGAAGAAGAAGCTTCAATTCCACATGGCGAACAAAGTGAAAATCATCCCAACAAACCGTCAAGGACAACTTAATACTGGATATTTGGCAACTCTTGGAGGAGTTTTGAAAATTGCTGAAATTGTGAGAAACTTCACTTTTTGATAATTTCGAATTGAATTTTTTCCAGATTCTTTCATTCATCGCATTCGTTCTCGCAATTTGCGCAGATCGTCGAACAACAACAGCCGCTTGGACTGAACACATCTCATTTGAAACTTTATTGGTTGTCAGTGGATTATTGATCGGTTATGTTATCTTTCCACATTTGACAATTAAAGATGAAGCAACAAGAGAAGGTTTAATTGTTGTTGTAAGTTGAAACAGCGCGCGCTTCAATACAAAATCAATTGTATTTAGGAACTCATCTTCTATGGAATCAACACACTTCTTTATTTCATCTCAATCTGGCTTATGGTTCATTTATCTGCGAGTTGGGGAACTGATGGACGTGGTGCAGCTATTATGACTGCTGTTATTTGTGTTGCCCTCACTGTTTTGTTTGCAATTGAAACATTTGTTAAACTGAAGGCTTGGAGAGGAGAAAACGAACCACAAACTGTTATCAGCACCGGAAATCAGGCATAAATAATGAAAGTCGAAACTTTCTTCAATACTTATTTTGACATAATTTTCTTTCCTTGTTCACTTATTAGATTTTTCGCGCTCATAAAATATGAAAAATGTCTCTGACCAACGAAATATATATTCTCTCTAATAATATTTATATCAGCATTCATTCATTCACCTGCAGCTTTCATCAATCTTCTGAACTTTTTTCTCATAAGAATACATTTTTTTATTGCCGCGAGAAAGTTCGAGGTTGAGCTCAGACCGAATTTATTCAAGAAAAATCATGGTTACCGTTAAGCCGGCTGGATTTTATTTCACACTTTTCGGAATTTTTGGTGCAATTTTAACTGGATTTTTAAACTGGCGACTAATTTATTATATTTTAAGAAATGAAAAATATCGCGAGAAAAAGGAATATCAACTTTTCACTTTTCGATTTGCCATTGATTGTGCTTTGGCAATTATTAGTGAGTTCCTAAAAGTTTCAAAAAAAAAACTTGTGAGGTCCGATTTGGAAAATTTTTCGCACAGAATTCAAAAAATTAGAAATGAAGAGCAAATTTCACGTTCGCGTGAATATTTTTTTTCTGTTTTTTTATTAGATCCAGTACGAATATTGTTCTACGTGACTTTGCTAATTAAAAACTGACAGCTGGAATCTGAATCAAAGTTCCAATTTTTTTAAATTCCAAATGTTCAAACATCTTAATTTCAGTATCAATTTATTTCACGGGAATGTGTATTTTTTTCCAAAATTCAACATCAATACAATATCATCCATTATTTTTTGTTGCTCTTTTGGCTTCAAATATCAATGCAACACGTGGATTATTAGCGTTTTGCATTGCGATTGAAAGAGTTATTGTTTGTTGATTTTCATCGAGAATTTCTGAAAGAAAATGATTTTGCAGGCAGTGTACTTTCCAATCGCATTTCACAACCATCGAAAAACATTTTCAAGTTATTACGTGATTATTCTTACAATTTTATTCGGTCTATTTGAAGATGTAGTTTTATATAAGTTTTGTGATTACACATACGTTGAAAAAGAGGAATGTTCTGCTTTTGGTTGTGCAGTTGGATCTTGTTTTTTGAAATATTGGGGAGTTAACAAAACAATTATTGCGGGTTCCACTTTTCTTTTATCAATTTTATTGTTATGCAAATTATTAGTGTTCAAGATTTCAAGTGAACACAAAACAGCGGATCTAACAAGGGTTAGTCCATTATTTTTTAATTTCAATCTGATAAAATATTCTAGGCAAATCAACTGTGTTTAGTGGATACTGTTACTGTTTTGGTGTTCGATTTATCTCCATATTTTTTCACTTTGTTGTACGGAGATGAAGTTATCCACCTTGATGTAAACTGATAAATTTTGAGATATATACTAACAAATTTGTGATTTTTCTAGGGATATGGTCCTTATAACGCAGTTATCAAAGTGATTGCATGTTTTGTGGATGCAGTTATTGCATCGATAGTTATTGGGAAGTTAGCAAAACCAAGAGTTCAACAAAATGAACGAACAACTTCGTTTCGCCCAAAAATTAAGAATGATGCAAATAAAAACACATGATTTTTAATGAACGTTTTCCACACGAATAAACTTTAAATATTCACAAAGAGTACAAAAAAAGGTGACACGCTTACAGAACAAGCTACAAGCTATAAAATCAGTGATGCGCAATAATGAATTTCAAACTCCTCTCGTTCAAATGGAATTTTAGTTAGTTAGCTCATCAAAATGCTGAATGTATACTCGGCTGGTTATTATTTCACTGCGTCTGGTTTGTTTTGTGCAATCTTTGTTGGATTTTTGAATTTTCGACTTATTTCAAGAATTTTGAAGAGCGATGGAAATCAACATAAAAAAGATTACAAACTTTTCACATTCAGATTTTGCATTGATGTTGCAATTTCTTTCATAAGTAAGTACCGGTAGATTTCCAATAAAATATGTAGTTTATTTTCAGTATTTATTTATTTTTCTGGAATGCTGGTTCTATTCACAAACTACACAGCTTTGACTTATCATCCACTTTTTTATCTGGCCCTCATAGCTTCAAATCTAAACGCGTCTCGTAGTGTTCTTGCTTTATTCATTGGTATCGAAAGAGTCATCGTAAAGTTTCCAAATTTTTCGATAGTTTTTATTTGTGAAATATTTTTCAGGCTCTTTATGCTCCTCTCACATTTTATAAAAATCAAAAATACTCTGTGAGCCGATACATCATTGTTTTTTCTGTAATGTTTGGTTTATTCGAAGATGTTATGCTGTATTTTCCATGCAATTTTTCCTATATCGAAATGAACAATTGCTCTGCTTTTGGTTGTGCTGTCGGTTCTTGTTTTCTCAAATATTGGGGTGTTAATAAAACAATAATTGCAAGTGCAACTCTTCTAATGTCAATTATGTTGCTCTCAAAACTGATCTCATTGAAATGCTCACACGAACATAGAGCAAGAGATTTGACACGGGTAAGTGCACTTTTGCAAAATTTTTATTAATCATCAGACTAACCTACATACATACATACATCAGGTAAATCAATTATGTTTGGTGGATACTCTAACTGTTTTCATTGTCGATTTGTCTCCATATTTTTTCACACTCGTCTTTGGAGATCAAGTTATTCATCTTGATGTAAATTGTTTTCGAAAATTATTGTTTAAAAATAATGTTTTCAGGGTTATGGTCCGTATAATGCTGTTTTAAAAATCATGGCTTGTTTCGTCGATGCAATAATAGCGACTTTTGTAATTGGAAAAGTTATCAAACCCCGTCAGGTTTCTCAACAAATATCAATTTCTTTGAGAGCAAGAACTCAATAAATCAATTTGTAAACCCGTTGGGAATCTTGAATAAATTTGTTTTTGTTATTCATTTGTTCCTTTTCACTTTCCTTTTAATGAATCATGGATTTTTGGGCAAAGGTAAATTGACAAATATGTTTTCTCACGGGGATAATCTTAACAATTTTTATGAACACAGGTTTATGAATGTTATGGAAGCAAAACCAGAATAGTACAACTTGATTAAAAAAAATCAGTGATGTTTTTTTTACTTCCTTTATCACTTCGAGTAAATTTTAGTCATTAACCTGAATCATTTCTGATCTGCAAGTTTTGTTTTCGAGATTTTTCATTCATTTTCTTTTTCAGACCATTCTCATTTATTTTCAGATGTCAGTAATCGGAACACCTTATGTAATAACCACTGGAGTTGGTATTATTGCTGGAATCCTCCAAACTATTTTCAATTTCAAAATTATTCAGGATTTCATATTAAAAAGCAATATGAGAAATCAAGTTGAATTTCAACTAATATTTATGAGACCAGTTTTAGATGTGGTTAATGGTTTCATAAGTTGGTTCTTCTTTCCGTAATTAGATATTTCATTATTTCTTCTGTTTTCAGATACAATCTATTATTCTCTAACAATTCCAAGTATAACTCATCCAGAATATCTTCGCTATGATTACATTTTTGCTATGGTTCTTCTCGGTTCAAATATTCTAGAAAGTCGTAGTTTTTTGGCAGCTGGAATCGCCATTGAAAGAACCATTGCCACCTATTTTCCGATAAATTTCTATAAATATCGGGGTTATGTTTCAAATATTCCAATAATTACATTTTTCCTTGCTCTTGGTGCACTTGGAGATGTTGTACTTTTCAAATTTTGCAATTTCTCTTTTCCAATAAACCCTGATTGCACTACATTTATCTGTGCAACAACCCAATGTTATCAAAACTATTCATCAATTACTAAAATTGTCAGTTGAAAAATTCTGTAACAAAAAATATTGAAACAAGATAACTTTTAGATTTATTGTTCAATCAATTTGATTTTCTCTGTGCTTCTTTGTTTCAAACTTCTAACAATGACTTGTAACAAAACCACGTCCTCGGCAGATTTGAAAAAAGCAAATTTATTATCAATAACCGACGGTGTCTCTTCAGTTATTTTCGAGTTTTTGCCATCTCTGATGTTCAACTACAGTGCTATTGATATTACGGTAAGGTTTTTTCATTGTTCATTACCCCATACATTTTTTACAGCCTCTTGGACCAATAACTGGTGTACTACGAACTATCAGCCGAGCTGTTGAAGCAACTGTGATGTATTCATTAATGACTAATCATCATAAAGTCGTCAATCCGTCTGTTTCAATAAGTAGTAGACGAGAAATACTTTTTTAGTCTAAATCGTCATCAGAACTTTTAAATATCCTTGTAATAAAATCACTGTCTAGCAAATAAACATGTAAGTATCAAAACCACATGGTTTTGCTTTCGCCACAAGACACAGAATTTATTGTTAGGATTGTAGTAGATTTTTGAATTATGATCAAATAATTTCTCCTTTACATGATTCAACTCAAGAATTTCGAGTTGTTCATTTTTCTTCAAAATATCTTTGATTAAAAATGTTGTATGAAATATTTTATCTTACTACTTTTATTGCATTTGTTGGTAGTATTTTGTGAACAATAAATTAATAAATGGATTGGTTATTTACTGGAAACTATTTTTTAGAGAAAATTTTCATAAATAAAGTTGATTTCAATTGTTGTTATTCCGAGCGCTTCTAAAAAATCAAGTTGATAGATATAAATGTGAGCAAAGAATATCTTACTATTTACCAGAACATTATTTTATAGGGTCTTCGACATCTCATGGAATCCAGATTCTGTCATAAAATAATCAATATTTGTCTTATGGGGAGTTTTTCTAATCGACACGTGACAACCAAAAATATAAACAACAACAAAACATGCAATTAATTCCCATATCTCTCTAATAATTTCTTTTGAATTCGTCTCATTATTCACAATGATAAAGTTAGAGATTTTTCGAATCTAATTTTATTCATCAAAAAAAGTGCGAATTTTCGAGATTATAATCATTCTGACTATCAGACATCTTGTGGTTTATGAGAATTTTGGTCTACAATTTTTTGCATTTTTTAGTTCGAGGAATTTCAACGAATAATTATTGATTTTGATGTTTAACATAGCTTATTGTGTTGTTACATTTATTGGTATTATTTTCAGTGGTATTCAAACAATATTCAACGGTTTAATAATTCAAAATTGTTATTTCAAATCAACTTTGAAACATAAAATAGAATTTAGGCTTTTGTTGGTTCGCGCAATTTTCGATTTCATGAACGGATTTGTATGTAAGGATTTCAATATTTTTTGTTCAGATTCTTATTTATGAATGAATTTAAAAAGTTTTCAGATTGCATATTTTATACTCTCACAATTCCAAGTTTGAAATATCCAGAAGTATTACCATTTCGATATTTCGTTCTTTTTGGTATAATCGGTGCAAACTGTTTAGAAATTCGTAGTTATTTGGCAGCGATTATATCAGTGGAAAGAGCTATTGCAACTTATTCACCGATTAATTTCTATAAATATCGTGCTAAATTCTCGAATTTTGTAATTATTTTCATTGTTATCAGCTTGGGAATATTTTGCGACGTTGTGATATTTGGATTTTGCGATGCTTGGCCCATAAATCCAAATTGTACAACTTTGAATTGTGCCGCAACAAAATGTTATCAAAATTATTCTGCAGTTACAAAAGTTGTAAGTTTCATCAGTTTTTCACAGCTTAAAACAACCCGTTATTCATTGTCAGATTTATTGCTCCATAAATTTTACATTCTGTTTACTTCTATCAGTGAAACTATTTATGATGAATTTGAAAAATACCAAGATAATGTCTGATATCAAGAAAGCAAATATCATATCATTGACAGATGGTTTATCCACACTGATCTTTGAACTTGTTCCATCGATGCTTTTCAATTATGAATTGATCGATATAAAGGTAAATAAGTTGCATGAAAATCAGGCATCAAAGTTTAATTTTCCAGACAATCGGTCCAATAACTGGTGCATTACGAAGCATTGGACGATCAATTGAATCAGTGGTAATGTATTTTCTAATGAGTTCACAATCTTCGAGTGTTCAAAATGTATCTGTTGAGAGTAGGAAATGATTGAAACCTAATTCAAATGAACAAATTGTGAAAAAAAACCAAAATGAAAAACAAAGAGTTCACTCTCAATGTTTCTTCAAATTTTGTTGTTTTATTGTTGTTATTTATGAATAAAATTACATAGCCCTGCTATTACTGTGAAACACTTCGATACAACTTCTAAAATTAGACTACCTGACTTCTAATCGGAAGAAGAATGTTTCCAGCAGATGTTTTTAATACCAAAAATTGTAGGGCAATCACCTGTCGTTCTTCATTTCTAGAGCATAATAACGCAATACTCTATATTTTTGTTATTGTTATTATTGTATATTGTCAACATTAATTCTTGAGCTTTGGAAAATATACTTCCAACCTATAATTCATTGTAATCAAAGTCACTTCATATGAATTTCAGCCTCGTATATTGTCTAATAACTTGCGCGGGAGTTATTTTTAGTTTTATTCAAGCTATTCTTAATGCACTCATTGTTCATAAATGTTTATCAAATAGAACATTAAGAGTAAAAGTTGAATTTCAATTATTGATTGTTCGAGCTGTTTTCGATTTTGTAAATGGTTTTGTATGTAAGTAAATATCATTTTATTTCTCATTCCAAGTTTGTTTTTAATATTGTTTTCAGTTTTATTTGTATATTCATTGACTATTCCAAGTCTCATTTATCAGCAATATTTACCGTTCAAGTATATTTTCTATTTTTCTTTGATTGCTACAAATAGTCAAGAATCACGTAGTTTTCTTGCTGCAATCATTTCAATTGAAAGAACATTAGCCACTTATTTTCCCATTAAATTTTATAAATACCGAAATTATATAAAAAATATTTATTTGACTACTTTGGTCGTTGCACTTGGATTACAATGTGATGTTGTTTTGTTTGGATTTTGTGATGCGTATCCAGTTAGTCCAAACTGTACTACTATTCATTGTGCATTGACTTTATGTTATCAAGATTATGCCACTTTCACAAAATTTGTAAGTATTTTCTTGCAAAATAATGTTCCATAATTTTTGTCATATTTATTCGACTATCACGTTTATTTTTTCAATTTTACTATGCATAAAATTATTGATGATGGGATATAACAGAACAAAGTCCACTTCTGACTTGAAAAGAGTAAGTTTTGATAACTTGCTTCATAATTTCGAAGATTAGGAGTTCCAGGCAAATTTGATTTCACTCACCGATGGACTTTCAACCATCATTTTTGAGCTTATCCCATCAATATTTTTCACCTTTGGAATAATAAATATATTGGTACGTTGATTACGTGATAGATTCAAAATCTGACAATGAAAAAAGTTTTGTTTTAGGGAGTTGGTCCGGTAACTGGAACATTGCGGAATATGGCAAGATCATCTGAAGCTTTTGTTATGTTTATCCTTATGAAAAAACAATCATCAACTCGCGCGACTACAATTCAAAATGTCGTATCAGTGTCAAGTCGAAGAGAAGGATCTCATGTATCTTGAGACAAGTTAATGATTTTTATCTATGTTTTTTTTGCAAAAAAAAAAATTTTTGGCACGAGTATAAACTGTCAGTTGTAAAAACGAGAAATTAATACTTGTAATGATACTGAATCCGTAGAAACAAACATTTACTAAAGGATATTTCAGTATTAAAACACGAAATTTCACAATTGAAGATTTGGTCTTCGGTTATGAGTTCATTGTTGTTTGATTGAAAAAAAAAAGAAATAAAAAATTGGAAGTAGTTTAAAACAGATTTGAATATTTCAAAACATCTATTCCTTCGCCATAACATGACTAATTCTTATAATTTCCTTAGAAAAAACAGAGGCACCCAATAATTAATTTTTCTAACCTGATATTACTTCGAGTAAATTTTTCAAGTTTTGTTCATGTCTTGAGAAATGTTATGAACAACCAAAACATGGTTCTACAAAAATATTTAGATGTACTATGAAATAAATTTTCAAATGTTTTTCCTCAAATTGCACCGATACAGACAAATTTTATCACATTTTTCATTGAAATTTGCCGTTTGTATTTTTTTTTCAATATTTGAAAATCGATGTCTAGAATTGTTTCGAATCGTAGCGAATTTTTATCGAAAATAGAAGCTATTATAATAATAACGCTCGAAATAACTGTGTTTCTTTCAAAAAATGATTTTTTGTTTACTAATTGATAGTTTTGTATAGACATTTCCTTGGAGACGTATTTCTGTGCTCGATACTTTATTAATTCGCGTCAGATATTCAATTCTTTCAGCTCTTTTTTTCTATTTTTAGATATTTGGAATGCTTTATTACGTGACAGCTTCATTCGGTTTATTATTTGCAATTGTTCAAATAACAATCAATTCCTTTGTGTACTTTCGATTTTTGAGGTTTGATAATTTCAGAAACACTAATTTTTCATAGAATTCTTTATACAGAGGGTGTGATACTATTGAAGTACAACTAATAATTGTCAGGGCAATTTTTGATACAATTCTTGGAACTTCAAGTAAAAAATTTGAAGAAGATAAAAATGAACAAACTAAATTATTTTAGGTTTTATGTTTTATACAACAACAATCTCAGAATACATGTTCCCAGAAATTGTTTCGATAAATTTATTATTTGTTACTGCTCTTACAACAACCAGCATTATTGCAATGCGATCATTTTTAACTATTTTGATCGTTGTTGAAAGGTTTTGGGTTGGATTATTAGAGGAAAACTACAAAAAATATCGTTCGAAAATCAAAATAATTTTCGTTCTCATGTTTATAGTATTTGCTGGTTCACTTGATGATATCATGTTATTTTTTGTGTTCAAAATGAGTTTTCCAATCAGTCCAGAATGTCGATCATTTCTTTGTACAACTCCAAAAGCTTATCATTATTTTTTCTCAATTCATACAATATTTTATGGTTTAGCAAGTTGTATTGCTGCTATTATATTGATCATCCGATTTATTATTTTTTGGTTCAAAGGAAACACTTTCTACATAGTCAATGTCAGATTTGATTCGGAAAGTTAAGTACAAATTCAAAAATTATTTCAGATTGACATTTATTGTGCATTTGATGGCTTGTGCACCGTGTTTTTTGACATAGTTCCGATGATTCTGATAACATTCGATATATTTATTGTTGATGTATGAAATATGGTCCCAGAGTAGTAAAATAATAGTATACTTTTTGTAGAATCTCGGTCCAATCACTAGTGTATTTAGAATCATTGGAAGAGTATGCGGATCATTTTTATTACTAAAAATTTATCAAAGCACTCAATCAAGAGTTAATCCGGCACCAACTAACACTTTAACATTGGAAGATTGTTAAAATCTGTTATTCTCATCTTTTCATTTATCAATTCTTACAATTAGATTATTACGCTCGAATACCTTTTCCACTTCATAAACGGAACTTAGTCATTAAATTGCAACTATATCAGTTTTTTTCAATAACACATTTTTTGTGTTCTCTTGATGTCACCACCTATATTCATATCTATTGGAATTATTGCGGCAGTCATTCAAGTTACACTTAACAACTTGAATTTTTATATGTATTTCTTGTGAGTTATGTCTCCTTACTCGTCTTAAACTATAAATCTGATTGTTTTCAGAACTTCAAAAAATAGAAAAAAGAACGAATTCCAATTAATTGCGATGAGAACAATCATGGATATTTTCCTGGGATTTTCTAGTAGGTTGATGAATATCAAAATGAAATAATACAAAATATTTCCATACTTCTCATTATTTGTTATCAGTCTCATAAATTACTTTACTTCTGGAATTATACCATTCAAATTTGTATTCGTAATTGCTTGCATTGTGACAAGTTCGCTTCTAGTTCGATCTTCAATTGCATCTGGTGTTTCAATCGATCGATGTTTAGCTGCCTGTTTACCGATTGAATATTACCAATATCGCAAAAACATTTCAAACAGGCCAGTATATATCTTCTTGATATTGTTAGCTGTTTTTGATAATTTTATGTTATTTTATGTATTTGATATGAAATTTCCACTAAACCCCAACTGTTCGACTCATATTTGTGCTGCTCCGCCTTCATATACCGCATACACCACAATAAATTCCGTGATAAATGGAATCATCAATTATATATTTACCGGTATTCTATGTTTCAAGTTATTTCATTCCGTGTACTTAAAAAAACACATTTACACAGCAGACATCAGAAAGGTAATTGATATCAAGAAAAAAATAATTGAAAATATTTTAGGTTAATTTTTTATGCATCACTGATAGTGTGTCATCAATACTTTTTGATTTGATCCCTTTGATTCTTATACAACAGAAAATTATAGATAATAGTGTGAGAATTTCTTATGATGTTAATTCAAACATTATTCTATATTTTAGACTCATGGTCCACTTCCAGCCATATTTCGTACAATTGGACGAGCTTCTGAAGCTATCGTGATGTTCAAATTGATGAAAAAACATCCGAATTCGGTCACAACAACACGAATCAGTAATCATTTTTGAGTTGTTAGCAAACAACTTTTTTTGCAAATTCAAATAATATTAGACGAAAAATTACCAATTGCACTTTTATCGAAGAATAATTAGATATATAGAAACTCCACACCCTAGTTTCAAAAACTTCAGAAAAAATTATATGTATTTGTAATTGTTATGTCATTGTGAAATACATCTATTCACTTTCTAATTTCCTGTAACTTGTTATGTTCTTGATTAAATAAAAAATAATAATATTTTTGCTTTCTCTAGAACACGTGCTTCAAGGCAAATTTTGCAAGAACTCTAACACTTTCTAGTTAGAAAAGTTTAATATAGCCTATATTGGTTCAGATGGTCTCTAAGACTATCGGAACTAGAAGAATTCAGTTTTGATTATATGTTAGATGTGCAAAGGTTATTTTCGCATTTTCATCTTCAACTTTTTTCTTCTATAATGCTTGTTACGATGTCTCATTGGATAGTTACAACAATTGGAATATTTGCTTCTGGTTTACAAATGGCAATGAATATAAATATTTTCTACAGAGATTTGATGTAAGTGCATGTATTTGTATTGAATTGTCAAAAAACATTTCAGACAATCTCCAGCTTGGACGAAACACGATTTTCGATTTATTATTTTTCGAACATTTTTAGATATTTTGCAGGGATTCGCTAGTATGTCGTTTGTTTCTTTCTCCACATTATTTCATTAAATATTACAGGTTTAACGTTGTACAGTTTTACTATTTTTTATGTTCTATATCCTGATTTGATTTCGTACAATTATATATTTGTATCCGGATTAATACTCACCAATATAACTATAATTCGATCTTTTCTAGCTGCCGGTATTGCTGTAGAAAGATGTATTGTACGTATTCAGAAGTTCTATATTTTTCTTAAAATACCGAATTATTTGTTTAGGCATCATGTTTTCCTGTCCAATTTTTTCAACATCGTCAAAAGATTCCAAACACTCCACTTGTTCTATTTTTCATATTCACTGCCTTTTTTGATGATTTCATGCTTTTCCATCTTTCGGGATTAACATTTCCTCTAAATTCAGCAAATTGTGCAACTTATTTATGCGCACTACCTCAAAAATATTGGAAACTTGCTGCAATATATTCAGCAGTCTATGGATTTATCAATTATATTTTTTCGTTTATTCTCTGTTTTAAATTGCTCTCAATGTACTTCCGCAAACTTCATTATTCGGCAGACTTGAAAAAAGTTAGTCTCTGATTTTACTACCTACACAGACATATCAATTATCTCAAATAACTTGGTTTTTAGGTGAACTTATTATGTCTAACCGATGGACTTTCTTCAATTATTTTTGATTTGATACCTGCGATATTGTTTCAAACGAAAACAATCAACGTCGAGGTTAGGAATAAATAGAATAATTGATAATATAAGTAAATTATAAAAATTAAGAATGATGGTCCAGTTACTGGTGTTCTTCGAACAATTGGTCGAGTACTTGAAGCAATGGTTATGTACAAATTGATGAAAAAGAAAATAAGATCACCAAATTCAAATTCAATGTTAACTAGAACAACATTGAAAGAAAGAACTACTACGAGACATAAATAGATTTAAATTTGTTAATTATTTTGTTGATTTTTAGAAATAAAACATGTGTGATTTTTTTACCATTTCATTTTGATCTTTTACCGACGTGTCAGGGTTTCTGACTAACAATTAATTGCAAATGCAATGTGATTATATAAAATCACAACGCTATAATTTATTTTCCAATCAAATTAAACTTCAAACTATTTCCATGTCTATGTATACACACTAATCAATATATTTACTAATGTTATTCTCCACCTTACTCGTTCTTTTTGGAATTATTTTTGCACTTCTCCAAATTTTTTTGAATATTCGAATATTTTATCGACGTTTCTTGTAGGTTTCAAGTATTCAAAATTTCTCAATCAAAAAGCAGGTGGTTTTTGAAGGTTATCAAAGGCATCGAAAAAAAGCGCTCTGCATCTTATAATTTTCCGCACAGTTATAGATGTTGTTCAAGGTTTTGCAAGTGAGTTTGAATATTTTGGATGTGGAAAATATATGTTTCTTCAGCACTCATTCAGTTGATAATTGTCTTAGTTCAAAAATCATATCCAAATGCTGATACAGTAAATTATCTCTTCATATCTGGTTTGATTATGGTTAATATTTTAACAATGCGATCATTTCTTTCTTGTGGAATCGCAATTGAAAGATGTTTAGCCACATTCTTCCCAATAGTTTTTCACAAACAGAGGCATAAACTATCAAATATTCCACTATTGTTGTTTTTCTTTTCTACTGGAGTTTTTGATGATTTTATGTTATTTTTCTATTGCGGAATGAAGTTTCCACTAGACGCCACATGCACTTTTTATCTGTGTTTGGTGCCTTTGAAATATTGGGATTTTGCATTATTCATATCAGCTGTTTATACCAGTATCAACTATTCGTTTTCATTTTTGTTATGTTTCAAATTATTTTCTGCGAAAACAAAACTCAAACCAGATATCAAAAAAGTATGTCACTTGTAGCAAAATGAATCAAAATAAAATATTTCCAGATAAACTATCTGTGCCTTACCGACGGATTATCTTCTCTATTTTTTTGATTTAATTCCAAGTATATTCTTTCAACAAGGAATAATCGATATTATGGTGAATTTTCTATAAAGCACCATCTTGACAAAAAGAAATAATTTTCTAGAAACTCGGGCCAATAACTGCAGTCACTCGAACAATGGGACGAGTTTGTGAAGCTGTCATAATGAATCAGTTAATGAAAAACAAGTCTACATCTGCTATTTCGAATCCACTCAAGTTTTAAATTTTTCAAAGTTCACATAAAAGTTAAAAATCACAACATGTCAGCTCAATGAAAATTAGCAATCGGCGAGAGTGAGCGAGACGTAGACATTTCCACGTGAAAATCTAATTTGTCGCATTGAAAAAAAAGATGATGATTATTTTTAATAAAAACGTGAACTACATGGCAGTCGGAGACCTTCTCTGCGTCTCCATCACTCTCACCGATTGCTCTTTGACATGATGTGAAATATTGATAATTAAAAATCGAAAAACATTGATTTTGCTGGAATTCCAGTTGGGTAATTTTTTTTTCAAAACCTAGGCGGACAAAGATAATAATGAATAGTTTAGGCAACATATTTTCCAATTGTTTTTCATAATCATCGCTATAAAATTCCAAATGTCCCACTTCTTGTTTTCTTTATTTCCACTGGAGTCTTTTATTCAATAACTTTATTATTGTTCTGTGATTTGACTCTTCCACTGAATCAGAATTGTGTTTTCTATTTATGTTCAGTACCAGTTAAATATTGGAAATATTTCACAGTATATTCTGTATATATTGAAATACGAAAAGTTCTGACTAACAATTAACTCGAACTACACAACAGCTTGAGTTTATAAAATCATATTGTTCTGTCTATAATTTGATTTGGCAATCATTACTTAAAATGCTGTGGTTCCTGGTTGTTGTTGGGCTGATTTTTGCATTTCTTCAATTCTTTTTGAATATTAAAATATTACATAGACGTTTGTTGTGAGTTTGATATAATGTTTCGAAAAATACTTGTAATGTGTTAAATTTTATTTAAAGATTGTCTAAAGTTTGGAAAAAATTGGATTTCCATCTCATAGTTTTTCGAACAATTCTTGACATCATTCAAGGTTTTGTAAGTAAGTATATATGTTGTATTTGAAATCAAAACAAAACTATATCTTTAAAGGTATAATTCTTTTATCGATAGCTTTGATTCTAACTTTTTCACATGATGCAATTTCGATCAATTATTTGTTTGTGTGTGGTTTTATTTGGACAAATACAATCGTAATTCGAGCTTTTTTAGCGGCTGCAATTGCCGTGGAAAGATGTTTGGTAAGGAAATTGATAGTTTTCAAAAACTATTCAATGGTTTTAGGCAACATACTTTCCAATTGTTTTTCATAATCATCGTCATAAAATTTCAAATATTCCACTTCTTTTTTTCTTGTTTTCCACTGGAGTGTTTGATTCCATAGTTCTCATATTCTACTGCGATTTGAGATTTCCATTAAATGAGACATGTCTATCATATTTATGTTTAGTACCAATTAAATATTGGGAATTTGGCACAGTATATTCAGCTATTTACAGCGGTATAAATTATTTATTCTCGTTTATGTTATTTTACAAACTTATTTCTTCCAAAACCCAACTTTCTGCAGACAAGAAAAAAGTTGGTTTGTTTTTCAAATCTCATATTTTAATGATAAAATTATAGGTTAACTATTTGTGTCTTACTGATGGGGTGTCTACAATTATTTTTGATTTAATCCCAGCTATTTTGTTTCAACAAGGGCTTATTGATATTTGTGTTAGTTTTTTTCAAAGCAAATTTTAAGCATATTGTTCTTTTTTTTAGACAACTGGACCGATTACAGGAATTTTGAGAACAATTGGTCGAGTTTTTGAAGCGATAGTAACCAATCATTTAATGAGAAAACACAACCCACCTTCAAATACAGTGTTGTCGATTCAAAAAATTGTCCGTTGAGAAATAACATTTATTCAGCCATTCATTTAACATGCGATTTCATTATCAATGGTGTCACTTGCATTTCCGGTGAAACACTGAGAACGGATCCATATTGTTGACCATAACACGGTGCACTAAATATTGTAATAAGACGATGTTTCCAAACAGGTAAATATCCAAAAGGAACTGTGCTGTGTGAACGAACAATAACTTGACAATCAGTCAGTTTACATGCGCGGATAACTGCTCTTTCTCCAAACCATTGACCTTCACTATCTATAAAATTTTGTGAAGTTCATTTTAACCTTTTTTTGAATTTTTAACTAACCTGGATTATTACGATACATTCTCACAACTGGAGATGGTTTATTGAAAATCAAATCTTTTTCAATAGTCGAAGATGAATCAAGTTGAATTGGTTTTTGAATCGACCCAAAGTTCCGTTTGTTTCGAATTAGCGCCGAAAATCCACTAGAAACGGCCAGAATCGAGTTTCCGATTGTAGCAGCAAGTGATAAATTTGAAAACATTCGCATTGCAGCAGTTTGTATAGTTCGAGTAATTCTTGGATCAAATCGATCTTCAATTCGAAAAGGAGATGCTTCTGGAACACCTCGAATCATATGAACATGTCTAGGAAATCGAACCTGAAACTTATTTTCTTCGTTAGTATTCTAATTGATAGAGATATAAGTTAATCACCTTGAGAGCACAAATAAGTGCGATAGTTTCAAGTGATCCTTCCTCTTTGTTATCAATCATTCCACCAAGAAACAATAATTTATTATTTGGTGGCCAACCAGTTAATTTTAACCATCTATGAAGATCCATATATCTTCCACGAATATCTCCAATGATTGTAATTCCAGCTTCGAGTTTCATTAATGTTGGTTCAGTCGCAACAATATACGATGTTTCTTCAAATAGTTGTAATAATTCCATAACATCAAAAGGATATTGAAATGGTCCATGTTCAACCATACGATATAATAATCCACGTGGTGTTGTTACAATTCTATTCACTGAATATAAATCATGCCCATATCCATCAGTATAAGAAAGAAGAGGTTTTTCGATTCGAACAACTAATTGTTTTTTTGTGGTTTGATTATTATTTTTTGCTTTTACACGTTGACTTGCTGTTGATTCAGTTGACATTGTTGTCGATTTTCGAATAACAGTTTCTTCTTCAGGAAATTGTGCAAGAATTCGACTCAACTGTTTGATATTCAATAATCCAGTCACTTTAAGTTTCGTCTGAAAAAAAAACGCAGTTCACATAATTCGAACTATGATTTATCAAACTAACGTCTATGATTTTTTCTTCGTCGAATTCTGATAGTTCTTTCAACAAATTGTCAGTTTCGTCATAATAATCCGCTAATTTTACTCGTACACGTTTTCCAAAACTTCTTATGAATTGACTACAATGAATTGTAATTACAATATTTTCTGAAAAAGTACAACTCACTAAACAATTGTCATTGCCATTAAAATCAATCCAAAAATCAGAATCGAAAAATAAACATAGCTTGAAACCATCGCATTCGATATTGATCGATAGGAATCTGCTTTTGGATTAAGCAGAAACTTTTGTTTCACATTTTGTGCTCGATTATTACAATGTTCAAACCAACAACATAGTTTTTCAACAACTATTTCTCCATTCGTTGTTTTATCGAAAATTTTGTAACGAAAAGCATAAGTGAAACCGCCAGAATAGTTGAAATCACATTTTGTTGAATTAAGGTTTCCATAATATACTCTACCTTCGCAACCATAACGATTCATCAAATATGGGCTGAAATTCAACAAATTGTTTATCATTCGAGAAATGAAAAAAACATACTATCCATTGATTTTGTCAAGTGTTCGATCTTGTGCATGTTTTGCGACACATGCTGTCTTACATTCGTATTTCTCGGCGTCTTTTGCGTCATAGCTATTTGAACAAGTTCGAACTCCAACATCTGAAAATGTGTTTAATTGAAAACCTTCAGCGCTCTCGAGAACTAAAAAATGAAAAAACGCCCGTTTTTCCGTCGTTTACTACGGTGCGCAAATTTGTGTGCATGTGTGCGTCGCCGTGCTTACACACTGGACAGTTATTTCAGCGCGTTTTCAAAATGCACAGTTTTTTTTTTGCAAAAACTAGGGGGCCCTGCTCAGAAAGTGTTATCAAGGTTAGAAAAGCTCTTTAGGTTAGAAAAACTCAATCCGGGTACCCAAAATCCCGATTTCCGGGTTCCCAAGGAAAAAAAGAAAACTAAAACAGCGATACTCGGCTTGCCCACGGGCGAAAAAACAAAACAAAAAAAGCACACTTTTCTCACTGCGGACATGGCAGAAAAAAAGGGGCGTGTCATGTACCTTTTATCTACGTGTAATTACGTGATTGGCTGGGATGGGTGAAATCGCTCTTTTTTTTCGAAATGAGTGACACGTTTTACTGTCGTGGCAACGGTCCGCAATAACAAATTTTGTTTCTTTTTTTTCGCCCGTGATTGCCTGTTGTTTAATTTTTTCACACTGTCTGAGCGGAGTATCGTTGTTTTATTTTTACAAAATTGCGCGTAGGATTTTGTGTTTGCGGGCAGTCGGTGTTGAAACACACTCTTATTTTTTCGTTCTTTCTTTTTTGGTTTTGGATTTCCACGCTGCACAAAAATTTAGGGACAGTCCATGTGTGATATAGATATATCCACACGGAAAAAAAGCATTTTGCGCTCAGGCGGTTTTGGTCGTAATTTCGCGTCTAAAGCAAATTTGTTTCATTTTTCTATGTGATTTTCCGACAAATGTTTCTTTCGTGAATTTTTTAAAACATATACTATATTTTTCAATTTTCTCTTAAAAACATAATACTAGATGAAATCAACTCACCCTCTGCCAAATAAGTAGGAAATTGAAATAAAAGCAATACAAAAATAAGCAGAAATGTCTTGAATTTTATTCGATGTTTTTCCATTTTATATTTTATCAAAAATGAGGAGACTGGATAAATTAAATATGACATTCTCAAACACGTGACGCGATTATCTTTCTTTTTTTATATTAAAAATTATTATTTATTTATTAAAGAAGTTCCTAACTCTTCCCGCAAGTTTTTGTAGATCATTCACGCTTTCACTATCTATTTGCGTCTCGTTTCTCTCGTATATACGCCCATTTTTTGAAATAGCGTTTTGAATCAATAAAAAATCAACTAAAAGTTTCATTAAATTGAAAAAATTTTTCAGATTGGCCGTGGATGAAATTATTCGAAATGATTTTGGTTGGAAAACATGAAGCAATACATCAATTTTGAGCGAAGAGATGATCGAGGGACGATCGAAGTTTCAAAGGTTAGTTCTTTTTTTTTTTGGGTTCGATTGAGTAGTGAAGTTTTAGTCGGAGGGAGTTCTGTAGAGTTCGAAATTTTTTAAACTTTTTTGCATTTGAATCGAGGATGCGTTTGAAAGAAAGTTTTCGAATCTTATAAAAACTTTGAGGTCGGGAGAAATAATTTTTCTTTTCTTTTGAAATATGAAATAGGCATGTGTTTTTTCCAAAGGTTGTTAGAACTTTGAGACAAGAAGGGGGATATATTGGGTGTTTTTTGGATATGGACAAGTATCTTGGTGAAAAAATGAAAAAAAAAGTTATTTCATCAAAAAGTCGCTTGATGATAGTAACAAAAAAGCTGAAATTATGTTTTATATTTTTATTTTTTTCGTTTTTGAAGTTTGTTTTTGTTATGTGACTTTTTGTGACTTGATTTTTTTCTCAAACGGTGTAAAATACAAATCGATTTGAATTTTGCACTGAATGAGGTCACCACCCAATTTTTTGAAATAATTTACAGAATCTCTAGATTTTTGTGATTATTATACTCAAACTATGTTAATTACAAGATGTATAATGAATTTGATAAACTTTCAATTTTTATCGTAAAATGACCCGGTGTAAAATTTGAAAAGACACCTTATTTTGCACTAGATCAGGTCATCGCCCTATATAATAGATTCCTAAACGAGGTATGTCCCAGATAGACTTTTCTCATATAAGAATAAAGACTGGCGGAAGCCGGTCGTTTCATTCTTGTTTTGTTTTTTTTGCAAATATTTTTTCTGTAACTCGAGATCATTTTTCCGCTTTGAATAAATTGACGATTTTAGAACAATCTCTCAATATTTTTCTTTTTTTTTTTTTACATTCTATTTCCGAAAATGCCCCATTGATATTTGAAGAAAGTGTTTTGAGTACGTGCAAAAACATTTTGATTTCAAATATTCAGTGATGCTGAAATGATAAACTTTAGACTAATATCAGTCGTTTTTTGTGCAATTATGTTATGGTCCGAGTAGCATTGATCAATGTTAATTTCTTTTTACTACTTTCCAGTTTACTACTCAATTTCCTTTTTTATGAGAAAATGTGTTTTTGTTTTGTTATTGTCTGCTGAAATTTTTATTCAAATCAATTTAAGGATTTCAAGCCAAAAGTGAGTTTTTTGTAACTTGATGTTAACGCTTCATTTGTTAATTTCAAAACAAAACATCTTGACTAAAAATTTAGTTCATTAGAGCCAACCCACGGTAATCTATTTTTACACACAAATATATAATTTCCAATCTTGATTCGGATTAAAATTCATCTAGCACATTTGCGGCTAACAATTCGATTAAAACTACCCTTTATACCCGCCAATTTCCTTTTTCTCTACTTTTTTCATTTGACTAGAATTAACTTGAAAATAAAGAACATTTTATGTGTTCAATGACTCATTGGTTTGTCACTTGGATTGGTATTATTGCAGCGTGTCTTCAAATATTTTTGAATATTAGGATATTTATAAGATACAGGTTGTGAGTCTACTATTTGATTTTGAAATGTTCACAACATTAAGTACAATGTTTCAGAACAACGTTGGCTTGGCAAAAAGTAGAGTTTCAGTTTATTGTTCTCCGAACGTTTTTGGATCTTTTATTAGGAATATCTAGTAAGTTCAAAACATATACTTCAAAACTCACCTTTTTTTTGAATACCTAGATTTGACACTATTTTGTGTAAGTTTCCCAATACTTTTATATCCTGGATCAATACCATTTGATGCTTTATTTTATGTTGGTCTAGTTGTTGCAAATTTCACAATTATTCGATCGTTTTTAGCGGCAGCTATTGCAATTGAAAGATGTATTGTAAGTACTTCAATATGTAGATCCTGATTGATATTTCAAAAACTTCTAGGCATCTGAATTTCCTATCAAATTCTATCAACATCGTCGTTTTATTTCAAATTATCCATTTTTCGTTTTCTTCATTTTCACAGCAATTTTTGATGATTTTATGCTTTTCGGGTTTTGTGGAATTAGCTTCCCATTGGATTCAACTTGTGCAACTTATCTTTGTATAACACCAACGTGTTATAAAAAATATGCAAAAATTTATGCTTTGATCTATGGACTTATCAATTATATATTCTCATTTGTGTTATGTTGTAAATTATTGTCAATGTATTTTCGAAAAATTCATTATACTCATGAATTGAAAAAGGTTTGGAATGATTTCGAAGATAACATCACATTATGAGATTATTTAGGCAAACTCATTATGCATCACTGATGGTTTGTCGTCATTAATTTTTGATTTTCTACCTGCAATTGTTGGAAACATGGGTGTAATTAATGCAGATGTTAGTTTTACGAAATAAGAAATCTAGATCTGAAAACAGGAAATTTATAGGATTTGGGACCTATTGCTAGTGTTCTTCGAACTGTTGGTCGAGTATTTGAAGCAGCCGTTATGTATAAATTAATGAGTAAATATCATTCACCGCAGTCGATGTCAGTCACTGTCAAACATGAAAAAACAACTAATATGAAGTTCTAGTTTCTATTTATTGTGTTTTTCTATTGAGAATATGAAGTTTAGTCTCAATCAGAAAATATTATTATTATGAACTTAATTATCCAAATACGTTTATTGAAAACAAGACAATTATTCGATTATATTAGTCAGTTTTGGTCTTTGTAGAAAATAGTTTTTTGAATAGCCGGTAGATCAATTTGATGATAAGATGAAGAATGAAAAATATGACAAGAACCGCGAAAATTAGAATAGCAATTATATCGATGCTATGAAATTGGAAAAAGTTTAGTAATCTTCCTTTTGAGTTCAAAGTTTCGAGAGGTCCAAATTCCACAGCAAAATTACAATGTTTCAAAACAACTTCTTTTGGTTTGTTTGGTTGAGACTGAAGAATTGTTGAAAGTCGCTTTGCGTTTTCCGAAATTCTGAAATAAAAGAAATACCTTAATTATAGATTATTATAATGATAATAAATATACTTTGGATTATTTAATACTGTAGTAATAGCTTTTCTTATAGCTTCAGAATCAGATAACTGTTGTTTATCTAATTGAACTGCTCCTCCATGTCTCGTTAACATATGTGCATTTCTTGGTTGATCAGCCATCAATGGAATAACAACAGATGGTTTTCCCTGATAAGCCAATTCGACAGAACTTCCTAATCCACCATGAGTTACAAAAAGTGTTAATCTTTCATCAGCAAGTAGATCATTTTGTGGCATCCAAGTTGTTAATTTCACATTTGGAAGGTGATCAACTAATGTTGCATTTTCAATTTCATATTTCCAAATAAATGTTGTTTCGGGCATCGATTCGAAAACTTTGATGAATGCTGCTTTAAATTCATCTGGCATATCTGATGAATAGGCATTTGAGCCAAAAGACACAAGAACTGTTGTTTTTCTCAAATTAAGAACGTCGTCCCATTCCTACAAAAATAAGTTGAAAGACATTTATCAATTATGATTTATTTTCTACTATTGTCTAGTTCATAATTTTTAAAAGACTTTGTTGAAAATCCTAACGGATTTTTTCTTTAAAAAATCACTTTTCTGTGGGATCATTCTGTTATTCATTCATGTATAAGTATTTCTCACCTTCGAAAGTTTGGTTTGTTTTCTATCGGTGTTCACTTGCATTCCACCAATAAATACAGTTTTTGGTAAAACTGGACTGGGATAATCCAAATATGGATTAGAATTAACCATGTTAAATGCAATATTGTCTAAATAATAAAACCATGTTCTTGTGGAATTTATAGCCTCCAATTCAGCATTATATCTTGCAATAGTGAAATAATATGAAAACATCAAACCAGCTGTGTTTTTCATTCTATCAACAATTCCCATATTATCTGTTTGCGGTGAGAATAAACCTGGATAATAACTGGTTGAAGCAGGTTCACCCAAAACATATTTCAATGTATCTTGATATAGAATTGATTCTGCATTTATCACATTTTTAACACCAATTTTTTCAAGAAACGCTGCAAATAATTCAGAAAAGGTATGCGAAAATAAAACTATTGAACTCACCAAACCCACAAATGTATAATGATTCTATAATTGCCAGATCAAAGTGTTGGTTTTTGAGATTTTCAATAATTTCAGTTTGTGCCATAATATATTCACATTGATAACCAGAACAAATCGTAAAGTTTTTAATCATCGGTAAAAACATCATCATATCCGATCCTAGTTTCCAAATTTGTTTTTTCATAATCTCTTCTGCTCCTCCTTCTCTCATCATTTGTAGCGCTCTAGGATCTTGCCCAATTCTGATAATTTTTTCAACTTTTTTCGAGCCAACATATCCTTTCTTTGAATCCATGTAGGTTGGAATAACCATTGTCTTAAAACATTTAATGTTTCAGTAATTATAGAAATTTTTGAAACTTACCACATCATTTCCAGCATCAATTAAAATATCAGAAATTTTTCCCAAAAAATTAGAATGACTTGCACCAAATGCTGGATTGAAAACTAGAACCTTGTAAGAATCGCAAAGTGCGATGCAAACTAGAAAGAACAAAATAAACTTCATCATTTTCATTTACTAAAAAATCGTTATCTACAACTCATATGATAAACTATGCACGTTGCGTAATGATTGCTTTCTAATCATCTCAATTTTTGACATTTTTTGTGAAATTATCTAGTCTTTCTTACTTTTTCGAGTAAACAATTTTCTCAAAATTCTCAAAAAACTTTTCAAGATCAAGAAAATTGTTACCAGTATTAAAAGTAGGATAATAATCAAAATAAGAACTATATCAATACTGTAAAACTGAACAAAATTGAGTAATCTTCCTTTTGAGTTCAAAGTGTCCAGTGATCCAAATTTAACTGCAAAATCACAATGTTTCAATACAGTATCCTTCGGTTGATTTGGTTGTGTTTGGAGAATTCGCGCAAGTTTTTTCGCATTCTGACTGTATCTGTAAAAAATTATTTTTGTTTTTGAAATGAGTAAGAAAAAAATTACATCGGATCATTTAGAATTGTTAAAATTGCTTCACGGATGACTTCAGGCTGTGAGAATTGTTCTTTCTGTAGATCAATTACACCACCATGTCTTTTCAACATATTTGAATTTCTTGTTTGATCTCCCATTATTGGAATCACAATAGCTGGTTTACCCTGATATGCTAATTCAATTGAACTTCCTAATCCACCATGAGTTACAAAAAGTGTCAATCGTTCATCAGCAAGTAAATCATTTTGTGGCATCCAAGTAGTTAATTTAACATTTGGAAGATGATCAACTAATGTTGCATTTTCAATTTCATATTTCCAAATAAATGTTGTTTCGGGCATTGATTCAAAAACTCTAATCAACGATTCTTTGTATTTCTGTGGCATATCACAGGACAGTGCTATTGAACCGAATGACACAAGCACTGTTGTGTTTCTTGCATTCAAAACATCATTCCACTCCTGGAAGAGAAAACTATTAACATGTGATTACAAAGAACTAATCAACCTCTGATAATTTGACTTGTTTTCTATCAGTATTAACTTGCATTCCACCAACAAAAACAGTCTTTGGCAATTTTGGACTAGGATAATCTAAATATGGATTTGAGTTGATGAAGTTGAAAGCAGTTTTATCAAAATAAGATTCATAACTTCGGGATATATTGAGTATTGCCAGTTCTTTAGAATATCGAGATTGAACAAAATAATATGAGAAAAGTTTTCCAGCTAAATTTTCCATCCTTTGTTTCAATGTCATTTCATCTGTATTTGATCCAAATAAACCAGGAAAATAACTACTTGAAGATGGTTCTCCTAACATATATTTCATTTGATCCAAAAATAAAACAGAGTCTACATTTATAACACTTTTGACGCCAATTCTTTCGAATAGTTCTGAAAAATGTTGTAAATCTCGTAAGATTATTGAATTAATTTTACCAAATCCACAAATAGAAATTGATTCTCCCATTGCTAAATCGAATTGTTCTTCTCGTAATTTTGAAACCATATCAGTTTTTTTCATCATAAATTCACATTGATAAGCGGAAGCAGTTGTCATTTTTTGCATCATAGGAAGCATTTCCAATGGATTTGTACTCATTGTCCAAACTTGTTGTAGCATCATTTTTTCAGCTCCACTTGTGTGCAATAGTTCAAAAGATCTTGGATCTTGCTCGATTCGAATAATGTTTTTCACCTTTTTCGATCCAACTAAATACTTTTTACTATCAAACTGAATTGGAATTAGCATTGTCTGAATACTTGAAAAATTTATTAGAAAAACTTTGAATTTTTTCTCACCACATCATTTCCAGCATCAATTAAAATATCAGAAATTTTTCCCAAAAAATTAGAATGACTTGCACCAAATGCTGGATTGAAAACTAGAACCTTGTAAGCATCGCATAATTGAATAAAAAGGAAAAACGTAGAATAAAACTTCATCAACATAGAAAAGTTTGATTGGAATTATGTATTTTACGTTTTTAAAATATTGACCAACGCCTACCCGACTGCGCTAAAGATGCAGGCAGAAAACAATGCGCGTATTGTCAAGTTATGAAAGAAGGAGGCAGAGGGGGAGAGGAGTGAATATCGGGAGAAATGTGTTGCATTGTAACATTTGTGGTCTATGCATAACATTTGTGGTCTATGCATTAAATAACTTTGCAAAAAAATCAAAATCACAAGATCAAACTTGAAGGTTGTTTTTTTTCTTGTTTTCCAAATCAAAGTTGCTAAGTACTTAATTGTTTCTTCTCTCAAATATAAAACACATTTAACTTTTTCAATTGTTTTCATTTTTATTTTGAAATGCATCATTTTCCCATTTTCACCTTGTCTAACTTGGTAAAAATGCCAAGTATTGGACTTGGAACGTGGCAATCTACTTCTGAGCAAGTCAAAGGCATGTTTATCAAAATTTTGTTATCTGATTTTTTTTTGAAAATTTAAAGATGCTGTTCGAACTGCTTTGAATTGTGGATATCGATTGATTGATACAGCAAAATTATATGAAAATGAAAAGGATATTGGAGAAGTTTTGCAAGAGTTTTTTGATGCTGGCACTTTGAAAAGGGAAGATGTTTTTATCACAACAAAAGCTTTTAGCAATGAAGTTGCACCGGATGCAATTGAAAATGCTTTGAAAGCTTCGTTGAAACGGTTACAACTTGATTATGTTGATTTATATTTGGCGCATGTTCCAACATCTACCAATGTTAGTTTTCAAAAAAAATCAATAGAACTAGGCAAATCCTTTTTCAGAATGATATGACTTTTCGAAATGATGTAACCGTTGAAGATATTTGGAAAGGGTTCGAAAATGTTTATCGACTTGGTCTTACTCGAGCAATTGGAGTTTCTAACTTTAACAATTCACAGATTGAGCGGATTATCAAAATTCAAACTATCCCGATTCATGTTTCTCAAGTTGAATTACATCTATATTTTCCTCAAAAGTCTCATCGTGAACTTTGCAAAAAGCACAATATTGTGATAACATCTTATGCAAGTCTTGGTTCTCCAGCTCGACAAAATGCGGGTCCAATTTTCGATCGAAATGCGGATGCAAAAAATGAACTAGACGATGAGAATGTTATTGCATTGGCTCTGAAATACAAAAAAACTCCAGCACAAATCATATTGAAATCTTTCATCGAAATGGGAATTGCTGTTATTCCAAAAAGTGTGACAAAAGTTAGAATCTTGGAGAATTTTCAACTTTTCGACTTTGCCTTATCACACAACGAATTGTCAATTTTGCAAAACCATAATCAGCCTGAAAAGCGTCTATTTTGGTTTCCAATGTAAGTGTGGACACAAAAAATACAAGTCATAATTCGTACAGAATATTTTTATCATTTATTTTTTCAAGGTTGGCTGGCCATTCCGAATTTCCTTTCACAGAAGAGGGAGAAACTCATTGAACACTCGAAATACGTTGAGTTTTCTAAAATAAAGTTTCAAATCAATGTATAAATATGTCAACCTACAGTAAATAAATCATTTGATTGCTTGGGTGGTTTGCATAATAAGATAGATAATGTTGCTCTTCGATATTCGGGAAGAATTGCAATAACAGCAATTGGATCAAGTATTGGAAATAAAGACACAGCTATTTGAGAAAATCTCCAGAAAATTCTAGAAAAAACAACATCAATTTCATTTCACAATACTTCAGAGAACTTACAATGGTGGGGACAATTGAAACAAAGGACAAGACCACGAAATAATTGTTGGTAAAAAGTTTGAAAATACTGGTATAATTGTTTGAACAATTAGGGAGAGAGTTAATCTTTCTTGCATTTCTTTTGTTTTTTTACTCATCTCCGTGTTTTTGAATTCTCTTATTATCTGAAATCACAGTAAGATTTTTAAATAACAGCAAAAACTAACAAGATATCCGAATATCAAATAAATCAATACTGAATAAATTGAGATTATATACAATAATATTTCAGCAATATATCCATTCATTATTGCTTTTTCTGATCCAATAGTAACTGTCATACAAATAATTGCGCGATCATGAATTGATAAGTTTGTTTTCAAACTAAATGCATCTTCGAATTCCGAACGTGTATCAGAATCACAATCTAACAAAACAACATAAATCAAATAAAGAATCAAGCCGTGTATGAGAAAATACATAAATAACATAAATTTTCCGCTCGTTGATGTTAGATTTTTCAAAGATTGAGGACTGCAAAACTGTTTGATTGGTTTACGAAATAATTTTCAAAAACAAACCGGCATATTGCAATATATCGATAAATAAAGTGTATTTCTAGCATTCCATAGGTTAATGCAATACAAGAAACTTTTATTGACATCACATGTAAAGTTAAGAAAGTGTTCTGAAATACAGTAATCATCACGGTTTTTTTGCGAAGATCACCTACATCAAAAATAGCACCAGGCTGCATATAAACTGAAAATACATCTGGAGTTATAAATAAAAGCTGATTTGATATAACAATAAGAAGCGAATAAAATATTTCAAAAATACCCGTCGCAGCCAATATTTCACGATAAGAACCAATCGCATTTTGTGATTTGAATATTACAATATACGTAAAATAAGAATTTATACAAACTGATATTACTGTAGTTATAGCATTGTAATTTTTGAGAATAATATCGACTAACGACATTTGCAAACAATACTTCCCACACAATGATCAAATTCGGGAATTTCTGAGAACCGTATAATTACATCAAAAAATTTATTAAAAAATCAAATTACAGAGTCTAGATTATGTGCGTTATTGAACTTTCGGATCGAAAATGATTATAAATCAAATAAAAATAGAGAAAACATGTAATTCCACCTGTGTCTTGGAACACATACGTTAATCAAATATTTTTCCGTGTCGGCTTGTTAAGAGCTACGGGCTGTTTTCTGAAAATGTGTTTGAATTGGGATATCTGGTCACAAATTTTTCTAAAAAGCTTACGCTAAACATTTCAGTTGTTGACGGGTTATTTTTGATATTTTGTTTACCACAAATCATAGCTGTCCAAGCTGCTCTTCGATATTCCGGAAGAATTAAAATAATTGCAATTGGATCAAGAATTGGAAACAAGGCAACAATTAGTGAAAGACTACGCCAAACAATTCTGCAAAAAAACATTGACATTCACAGAATAACAGAAATGATTATATACACAATCATAAAAACTTACACCGGTGGATTGATTTGGAACAAAGGGCATGACCAAGAAAACAATATTACACAGCTAAAAAAAAAAGAAGAAAATACATTAAACACTTTAGTTACGTACTCCCCCCCTTTTTTCCAAAAAAAGAAAAAAAAGTGGGCGGTGTCCGAAATGATTTTCGCCAAAGTGCGGCGTGTGTGTGTTGCATGCGCACGGTTTTTTCTTTATTTTTTTTATTGTTTGCAAAGCTTCATTTTTCAAAAAAAAAAAGCGCTTGTACCCAATGGAAAAGAGGAAATGCAATATAAAATGAAGAACAAAATCAATTCTCAATTGTAAATTAAAAAAGAAATCGAGAAAATAACGAAATTTGCAGTCAAAAGTAGCAAATATGGTTGAACAAAGATATTTGTTTTATTTTCGACTTTCTCAATTGACATGTTGATCTCAAAAACAACATTTAGAAAGAATAAAACACGTTTGACGTTAAACAAAAAAGTTTTGTGTGAAGATTTTTGAAAATTTAATTTAATATCCTGATTTATCATGAGTAGAGAATTTATTGAAATTCTGAGAATCTATATTAATATTAACTTTTGATTGAATTCTTGAAGGTTTCATTATTTCAAAAAATATTTTTGATATCAAAATCTAATTTTTGGTGTTATCGAAGTTTTCAGATCAAAAATAAACAATTTAAAAATTAGAAGTCGCAAAAATAAAACATTTATTAATGTTTGCAAAAATGTGAAAAATATAAACAAAAAACACACGAATTTACAGAACAAATAGATTTTAACGAGTTATTTTGAGTGTGGGAAGTCCATTCGCAACGAAGAGCATTTGAGAAGTCCAGATGAAGGCGAGATCATTGGATCTGGAAAAATTAACAGGCAGAAAAAAGTTCAGAGATTGAAAGTTGGACATGTTGGAGCTTTGGCGTTAAGTTGTAAAAATTTACGATTTTTTTGCAAAATGTTCAGTTTTTTTTTTTGAAAAAACAACGAAGGAAATTTAAAATTTTTTGAGAATATTTGGAACAATGCATAATTTTTGTGAACCTTATCCTATCTCGTACATAGGATGTGAAACTTTCACGAAAATATATGCAAGAGACATTTTTACACTCAAGCTTTTAGCTTTTGAAAAGTATGATGATGATTGCCACCAACTGAAATAAATGTTGAATGCAGGAATACTTTTGTAAAACTTTTCGTGATAAATGAATTTCTAATAACTTAATGTCAGAACATTTTCAATTCTAAGTTTTGCATATCTGTGAAAGGATGAGTTTTCAAAAGCGTTTTCATCTCCAAAACATTCCGATCGAAAATATTACATTCGGTTATTTAATAAGGCAAAATGTTAGACGTGAACTCGCTCGACATTTAACAATTTTCTACTCACCGGTTTTGGCATTTTTAGAAATGAGAATGATTTGTTTACCCATAATATTTTTTTTCGAAAATCTTCATAATTACACGGAAGCCAACCATATATCCCATGCGAAAAAATAATTAAACGATCGAATTATTTGTCATTCAATCTGAAAATAACTTCATTGACCTACGGGATTATGATTATACGGAACAATATTCGATTAAAAATTACCTATCACAGTCGAATCAGGTGCACTTTCCAAAATTGATGCGGTTTGTGCACTTGTAATAGCCATTTCTTCAACCAATTAACTTGATAGAACCTGAATGATGTAAATTACCTACGGATAATTTCGTTTACGGAACAATTTTTGATAAAGAATTACCTTTGATACAAAATGTAGAGAATCGTCGAAAATAGTGTGTTAAAAAATCATTGAAGTAGTTCGCCAGTGAATCTCGATTTGGAGATGAAATGACATAATCTATAAAGTTAAAAGTAGTTAAAAATCCCAAAACTGTGAAAAGTTTTAAAAAAAAAGTTTATAAAATTCTCCTATCTGGAAATATTTCACTGAAAATGATAAATAAGAAGTTTAAACTGTTAAAAAGTGGTATGACTTGCGATCAAGGTGGTATATTCACTCAAAATAACCGAAGTCACCGTTTAAACAATGAAAAATATGAGAAAACACACAAAATCTGTTGTAAAAAAAAATGATGCAACAAACACACACGCGCGCCGCACATTGCCAAAACCGTGTGCAACGCTTACCGAATAGGCCACGCCTCCATAGGCCACGCCTCCACGCGCTGTCTGCAAACACCGACGCATACCGTATGACGGTAACAAAAAAAATCTTTTTTTTTTAGCTGTGACAATGTTGGAATAAGATTTGAAACAAGAGGTATAACAGTTTGAACTATCAAGGAAATAGTGAGTCGTTTTTGCATTTTTCTGGTTGATTCACTCATTTGAGTTGATTTGAACTCACGAACAATCTGAAACATTTTAATAAAAACAAAAAACGTTGCGATTGACCCACCAAAAATCCTAGAATAAAATAAACCGATGTTAAGTATAGTGATATAGAAAATAATAAAAAATCAGCTATATAACTTCGTAATATCACCATATCCGATCCTTTTGTGAAAGTCATACAAATCATTGCTCTGTCATAAATTCGAAGACCAGTTTTCTTCAAAAAATCAGCTTCGAAATTAGTTCTTGTATCTTCATCGCAATAAAGAAGTTGAGATAAAACCAGATAAACAATGAGACCATGAAAGAATATGTAGATGGTTAGATAGATCTTCCAAGATGTTTTTGATAAATTTTTCATTGAGTGTGGTCTGAAAATTTTTTAGATTTACAAAAAATTCATTGACTATTGCTTACTTGCAAATCGCTATATATCGATAGATAAAATGAACTTCGAGAATTCCATATGTGAGAGTTATACATGAAATCTTGATGGCCATTATATGAATTGTGATAAATGAGTTCTAAAAAATAGTCACTTAGCTTGATTTCTATACATTAATCCTTACATCAAAAAAAGCCCCAGGTGTCATATAAACTAAATAAACATCAGGCGATATGTACAAAAGTTGATTTGATACAATGATAAGAAGTGAATAAAAAATCTCAAAAAATCCAGTAGCTGCTAAAACTTCTCGATATCCACCCATCCCAGTTCGAGATTTGAACATGACTAAATAAATGAAAAATGAGTTGATAACAACTGATAAAACTGTCGTGATTGTATTATTATTTTTGAGTAGAAAGTCCATTTGAAGTGCGGAATAACGATTTTCGAGACAGAGAAAATTGGCGGTGGTATGAATAATAATAATCTAATCTATAATCTCAATTTTTCCAATTAGCATTCGTTCCCAAGAAAAAGAGACAAAAAACAAGCTCACTTGTGTGTCTGTTTTATAAGATTAGAAAATCAAATGTCGTGGAGGAGTTTGTCATTGCTTAAAAAAGAGCAACTTTTTTATTTTCAAAACAATAATTTATTATTTATTGGAATTGTTCTTCACATAAATAAGTTTTCGAAAAATATGAAATGTTTTGTTAAGAAAAATACAAAGGACAACACTATTTTTATTTGGTTGATTGTTGGCGAGATCTCTGAAAAAACATTAATCAAAGATATGACAATACAATCTTAACATACACTCATTACTTCTAATGCGGATCGATTTTCTATTCTGAATTCGCATCTCAACATATTTGATGCAGCTTTGCGATAATCGGGTAGAATTAAAATAACAGCAATTGGATCCAAAATGGGAAAAAGTGCCACTGCAAATTGAATGAAACGCCAAGCAAATCTAAAATTATTGCAACAATTTCGAATATAAGATTTTTAACTAACATGGATGATGGGAGTTGAAACAATGGCCACGACCACGATAAAATTGTTGGAATCAAATTTGATACAACTGGAATAATAGTCTGTACAACTAAAGATAACATTAACCTTTTTTGTACTTTCAAAGTCGTTGGACTCATTTTTGTCTGCTTGAATTCTTTGAAGATCTGAAAAAAATAGTTCATATTATTAAGATTATGTTAGTAGATTACCAAGTACACCCAATACAATATAAACCATTGTGGAGTATAAAGAAATTGCATAAAGTGTTATTTCTGAAATATATCCAAGAGTTCGAACAAATGTTGTACCTTTTGTGACAGTCATACAAATCATAGCTCGATCATAAATTGATAAACCAGTTTTCTCAAAAAACACATCTTCAAAGTCGATTCGAGTATTATTGTCACATTTGAGAACAGTTGAATAAATGAAAAAAACAATGAGGCCATGAACAAAAATATAAATGAAAAGATACATTTTGGATGATTTTGTATCTAGTGTGTTCATCAAATGTGGCCTGAAAAAGCAAAATTCATTATGACGTTTCAAATCATCAAGGCAAATAATGTGTATTTTGAGATGATCTTAGATCTTCTAAAGTTTTTTGAGCATCTCTAGTTAATGAGGACGTCTCCACTTTCAAGTTAATTTAAAAAAATACAAGGTACAAGTTTTATTTACCTGCATATCGCAATATATCTATAGATAAAATGAACTTCTAAAATACCATAAGTCAAACCAATACACGAAACTTTTATAGCCATTATATGAATTGAGATTGATGTACTCTTCAAGAATCTAAATATTTTATCGTATAAATATTGAAAATTACCTCGAAAATAGCTCCAGGTTTCATATAAACAATAAAAACATCAGGGTGTAATGAACAATAATTGGTTGGAAACAATTATGAGTAAAGAATAAAATATTTCGAAAATCCCGGTGGCAGCCAAAACTTCACGATATCCACCAATACTTTTTCGTGATTTGAATAACACAAGATATGTGAAAAATGAATTGACAAGAACTGATATTGATGTTGTGATAAAATTGTAATTGTTTATTATGAAGTCCATATCTGGAATTGACTTAAAATTACAAGAAAGAGAATATTTTGCAAAAAATGTGATGTGCAACTGACAATGAGCAAATGAGAGGATATAAAATATTATTGAGAAAAATTGGTTTTACTGATTATTTATAATATCTGATCAGAGAAGCAGAAGTTCATTGAAGTGTGAAAGTGCGGCACAAATAAATGTGATTTGTATCGCGAATGAAGTTCTAATGAGATATGGAACACAGCTTTCGTTTTGATGAACACATATTTATTCAATAGACAGTGAGTTCTCACAATCAAAGATATGCGAACAAAGAATATTTGGATCAAGAATCAAAATACCGCAACCGAGTGAGTATGTTCAGTTGTTCTCATAAAAATTTTCTCAATCGGTTGTTTAAAATTAGGTATCCAAGATCGCATTGTTTTCCGATATTTTGATTTGGTAGCTAGAACCACTGAAGAAAACACTGATGAATGGGAAGCTATTCCTATCATTGAAAAGTTACCGTACTCTAAAAAAATTATGAATACTTTTCACTAATTTTTTTGAAATAAAAAAACTTACTTTGTAATTCTACCGCATCAAACATGACAATGAACATACAAAATACGAGTGGAAAAACAATTAAAACAAAAGGGCAAAGTGTCAAAGTGAAGAGGTTGATTGATGCATTCAAATGAATTCTATACGTTTGTCGAGACATCAAACCACGTAAATTATTTAAAATTGTGAAAGTTTCATATGCAAAATAAAGAGCATTACTAAAACATTTCATAATGTTGTTTTTTTTTTTAGAAATTTTTGAAAACTTACACGAAAGTGATAATCATAATCAAACAAAAATATACTGTAACATGAATCATGGCAGGTGTAGAAGTATCATACAATTCAAAAGTTGGTTCAAAAAATAATTCCATACATTCTGGATATTTCTGAAAATTTACAAAAGAAAATCAGACAACTGAATTTTTAAAACTTTAAACCTCTCTCATAATTTGATATTTTCTAGGAAATGGTGTATAAATTTCATTCATAAAATAAAGCGTGGCAAATGGATATAAATATGTTATAATCACAAGTAATAAACTGATTTTCGAAATACTTTTTTTGCTTCGAAGTTTACGTGTTTCCTCATAGCGGTAATAAAAACATTGTAAACATGCTGGAACTTCCCAAGTCACAAAAAAGCCATAAAATAACATCAGAGCATGAGTTGAAATATTGAAGTACAATGAGAATGTGGATTGACTGTAGCCAGCAAGAAGTGGGAAGTTATACCAGGGCCATGTGAAAATAGACATATCGGTTTCGACAACAAAAGAGATGAACTTAAAAATATAAACTTTTGAAAGGAAAAAAAGAGTTACAAGATTTGAGTACCTGCATAAAACTAACACAAAATTTATAAGTTCGTTTTGCATTTGGATCGTGCCAAATAAAATATGAAACTAAACAATTCAATGGAATTGATATACATTCTATGACTTCTAAAATAAATTTGTGGAACCATGGAGGATGATATGAGCAAATTGTTGACATTTCCTTGATTTTTGTTTTAGAAAATCAAACAACTTTTTAGTTGCAACTAAACATCGAAAATAAAAAATGACAGCTGATTTTTTTGAATTATTTTGTTTGTATATCAATAGAATCATAAACACCCACATGACGAGAAAACAGATTCTGTTAAGTTTTGGAATCAGCATATGTTTTAGGGTTCTACAAAAATAAAAAATCTAATAATTAAAAATAAGTTTATTGATTAGTTTCTTTAAAATAGTATAAAATAGTACAAACACAGTATTTAAATATCATCATCGGTCATATAATTCTTGACCATATATGTGAACTCGTCATAATCGATCACACCATTTCCATCAACATCAGCCTCGTTAAAAATCTCATCAATTATTTGATTATCAGTAATGTCTCCAAACTCTCTCAAAATGTATCTGAAGTCGCGTTTCGAAATTCCACCATTTTCGGAACGATCAAAAACTGTGAAACACTCCTTAACAACTTCGTTCCATGAACTTTTCTTCATTGTCAATCTTCTCATTACAACACAGAACTCATCAAAATCAATTTGATGATTTCCTCTTTGATCAACTTCGTCGATTATTTTATAAAGTTCATCTCGAGTTTGTTCAAGTCCGAGGTTTTTGATAGCTGTTTCCAGTTCGTCAATCGCAATTGCTCCACTTCGATCTGAAGATGAAGAAAAATGAATTAAGCAGAACTATGTATTCTTTCAAAAAATTACCTGAATCGAAAATATTGAAAACTTGTCGATATTCACTCAATTCCTCGTCTGAATATCCTTCCAATAAATGTTGTGAGATCAATGGATCAGCAACTCCCGGCGAATTTCCATCTCCGCCACGATCCGAATGGAGTTTGAGCTACAAAAAATTAATCAGATGATATTTTCGAATTGCTAAGCCTACCGCGCGTGACGCGAAAAAATCTCGCGGTGAAAACGGAATTTTTACGAGCGTTTCTACTCGAAACTTTCGAGTTTATCGAAATGAAAAATAATAATAATAGAAAAGTGAGTATTATGAAATTCCGCTTTGTAATGTATTTATATGTGTGTGTCCATGGTTACCACTTGTACATTATTATTATTATTAGTTTTAGCCGGACACCGCTAACAAAGAATTATATGTTAGACTCAGAATAAAGTGCGAAATTATTTATGAAAATTTGTTTTGATGAAAATCGGGGGAAAAGCTGCTTAAGTACGGTAGAGAGGATTTAAGGATTTAGGGGATACTTCGGCTTTTTTGGACGAGAGCTGAATATGAAAAAAAATATTATGAAATCCCACGCTTTTCAGAAAAAAAGCGAAAAGAATAGAAATGTTCAAAAAGGAGACTTCAAAAATTATTCCTCCTGAAAACCTAGAAATTTTTATAACTTCAGATCGAAGTGCAAAATTCTGATTTTTGATCAGTAAATATTTCTTTGACAGCTGAAAATTTATTTTACAGCAAGTTCAAAATAAAAAGAGAAAAATTAAACCTCAAAACTCACATAATCAACATTGAGAGTCATTTCCCAAAAAGTCAAGTCAGATGCTTAAAAGAACTAATAACTAGAGAATTCTGCAAAACTTGAACCAATTCAAAATGCATTACTTATTTGCTCATTCTATCCAAACCACAATTTTCAATACCACAAACAACTACGGTAAAACTAACCTCTTCAATCATAAAATGTGATAATCTTCTACGAACATTCGGAATTCGAATATTCAATCTACCTGGATATTCCAAAGGCATTTCTGGAGAAAACTTCTAAAATTCGTAATTTGAGAGCATTTCAAAAACGAAAAAAATGAAGGAGAAGAGAAAAGAGAAATGTATGTAGTCATGGATTAGTTGTGTCTCCGCCAAAAAGTTGTTCGAGCCCGCGACAAAAAAAAACACAGCGAAAAAAAACAAAAAGTAGTAATTCAATTATTTTTCTGTCGTCTCGACCAGAAAAAATGGATGGAAATGAATGACAGAGTACTCTGGAAAACACAACAGAGCTCTTCATGAATTTATAATTTTGAAATAAAATATGTTTTTTTTCTCGTGGAAACAACGACGAGAACAAAAAACAACAAAAGATGATTATGTATGGATTTGTTGATGAGCCGAATATGAGACTATTTTTGGAAAAAAAATGATGAAGAACGATTTCACTTTCAGAAAATATTTCGGAGAGAGAGAGGGGTGTCTGAAAAAGTACTTGAATCCAAAATTTCTGATTGCCTGGAAATTTCGAACAAGGGATATTTTAGAATTTTTCTCTGAGTTGAGTAGGACCAGAATGACCGCATTTTTCATTGTGAACTGGGTCATCAATCAGGAATCTGGTTAGGTCCAATTTTTTGACAGATTTTGAATTGGACTCAGAAAATCTTGAATCTTGGATACCAAATATCTTCATTTACCTCAATTTATTTGATGTTTCTTATGGCAAACATTTACGATTTCAAGAATCAAAATTCAAACCGAATTAATTTTTCAAACTCACTTTCGGCATTGCAAATTTTTCTTCTTTCGAATATAGTCTTGAAGAAAAAGTAGAAGAGGAATAAAAGAGTGAAAAAATGAAAGGTTTTTATGTCGCCGAAAACCGATACTTACTCTACGCGTAAACGACAAAAAAGTGTGAAAAATGAAGAGAATCAGGAAGAAGAAAGAAATGAAATAGGTTGAGAAAAATGGGAGCAAAAAGTGATATTGAAATGTGAAAAAAAACGAGCAGATGTGTTAATTGAATGAACAAAATGAACGAATGACATCCATAAAAAATTGGTTGGGTTTTGAAAAGATCAAATGTTCAATGAATGACGAATTAAAAAATGGTGGGAATTTTTTTGAATCTTTGATTTTGTGATGGAGAAGGTTTCTGACAGATTTATACAAAATTTTTGGAAAAAAACAGTAATTTTCCACATATATTAGAAAAACATATTTCAGTTTCTTGGAATTTTATACACAATTGTTTTTGTGAAGCTTGCATCTAGGGCTTTTCAAAAAAACAAAAAAAAGTAGATTTTTCAAAATCTGAGTTCTCTCGGAGCTCAAAACTAATATACTTGAAACCGCAGAAGGACCCCACGAGACTTTTTTCCCAAGTTCAACCATTTTCACCAACCTTAATTGCTCCAATCACACCGCCTCCACCACTATCTTTTCCATTTCCAGAAGATGCATTCGAAAGTTTTTGTCGAATCATAAAACTTGATCTCGAAAATGATCTCGTCAATGATCCAACATTTAAAGATAACGATCCTCGTTGTACAGTTGGAATTGGTTGATCTCCAGAAGCACTTGTTGTTGAAATATTGCCAGGACTCAATAGATTTTGAACAATCGTCGAAGTTTTCCGATTTTTCGAATTCATTCTGTAAAGGTGAAAAAATGAAAGTGGGAGACTAAGAAGAAGTAGACAATGAAATTCCAGCAAATAAAATTTTACGACGACGTTTTTTTTGTCTTTCTCATGGAATTTTTCGTTCTGGCAGGCAAGCTCCAACTTTATGAATAAGAGATTAGTTTTTTTGGTTTGGGTCCGGGCGAAAATCTTTGTTCAAGGAAAACTTGACTTGTGTTTTTAAAACGTATGTAGTAGGAGCAAAAAAAAGAAGAGGAAAAAACGAAAATTGGGTAACCCTTGAGAAAATATAATAGATGAGAAAAGCGAACAAGACAAGATATAGACATATGAAAAAGTAAGTAGAAAAAAAGCAAAAGAATAATGTACTTACTTACTTACTTTCTTTTTGAATCAAATATAAGTATTCAGGTTGTTATTTTCCAAAAGTTTTTGGGGCAGAAAATACATGTGTTATTGTTTTTACATGGGTTTCCTCAATTATTTTTTGGTGCGTGTTCAAAAAACATTTTCACACATTCGACAAGTTATCAACAATTTCCCAAGATATACAATTTTCTTACTCTGAAAATTCGAGAATTGGGGGTCAAAATTGTATTTTTTTCAAGTTTCCAATGATTTTTCTCAAATAGGACTACTAATTGTAAGTTCACATTGGAATAAAAGTCCTTCATGAAAAGAATAACTGACGTGCGCAAAAAAAAATCAAAAATAATTTTTTTCGCTGGTGAAAACAATTTCCTGAAAAATCGGAAATTAGAAAAAGTGCAACAATTTGGAAAACTTTCGAAATTGCAAAATGATTATGGTAATTATTCGAATTATTTTGAAATTTTTATAATTATGTTCCCAAAAAGTGTTCTTGCTTACCTCCTACGCTTTTCAATTTTTTTAATTGTTGGATGTGAATTACAAAAAAATCACCTGTCAAAAATCTCACTCCCATTTCTTTTCTTCTAACCAGTTTCCCCAAAAATGTCTAATTTGACCAATACTTCTGATGAAGTTGAACAATTCCCCATATTTGATAAAATATTTAAATTTTCGACTGTATTTATCGATGTTCTATCAACCATCTCATTTTTAATATTTCTTATCTATAAACATCGATCGTCTGAAAAATCATCGCAAATCACAAATGCTTTATCCTATCTGGTTCAACTTATGTTAGGCTGTACATTAATAAACCAATTTAATGCTATTGTTATGAGTTCACAAGTTAATGTCATTTTTTTATATACCGCATTTGCTTTTTCCTGGACCAACCTACTTTTCCCAATGATTTTACAAATTCCAGCAATTTTTCTGTTATTTCTTTTAGCAATTCAGAGATTCATATTTCTTCATAATCGAAAATACTATAAATATGTTAGTGGTAAATATATGAAGTTATATATAAATTTTGCAACTGTTCTATCATTTTTATTTTCTTATTTTCGAATTATCAAATGTTTCACATTGGAACATAACATTTATTTGAAATGTGACAATTTTCTCAAACTATGTTTGTTGAAGTTATCACTATTTTAACTCTTCCATTGATTATTTTGACAACTTGGATTTATTTTTCGATTTATCGATCGATTAAAAAATTGAATGATGATGTCACAGAATTGTGTTTCATTTATCAAATTCTACCCATTTCTATTCATCAATCAGTAAGTTTCTGGGATGAAAATATTTTTGAATCTACATGCAAAAAACATTCAAAAGCTTCAACAAACAGAAACAGTATCTTTCAGATTGAAAATATGTTTTCTTTACAAAATTTCAGATCTACACAATAACAATCTGCCTGATTCAATTCTTTGACTACTTCGATTATGATAACACAATAATGAAAGCAATATTACTAAGTTTCCTTTTTATTTTATACCGTTCTCTACCATTTGTGATAACCATGTCTTATATTGCTTCCAAGCAAAATTTACGACATTTTTTTCGATTCACGATTTTTCCGATGTTTGCAAATGCGGTGACGGATATCAATGGCTGATTTATATTTGACAATCAATAAATTAAACTTTTTTTGTTGAAAACGACTACGGTAGAAAATGGTGTGTGCAAACACCGCAAGAATATTGTTCATCCTAAAATTTTCTGCTGAGGAATTTTCGAAATTCGTTCGAAATGGAGCAGATCTATGAGAAACACAAAGAAATCTTCTTGTAAGTTAAACAATCAAATGAAATGAAGAATTTATTTTGAGTTTTTTTATTTTACAGGAATGTTGTTCTTCCAACAATTCCCGATGACAAATACGTACTGTATGAAATGGTTTTAGAAGTTATGACAGATAAATTGGAAGCTGCGTTTCCTGGTCAAACAAATTTGCTAACTGGATATAATCCATTTAGAATGATCGAATTTGAGAATCAACATCTCGATATCATCACACAAGGCGGTGTCGAACTAGTGAAAAGAAGACAAACACCAAAAGAGCCTGAAGATCGTGATCCAAGACGTCAAAAAGTTATTGAAAACTTTGAAGTTGCTCTCGCTGAATGTATGAATGCTGGTGTTCTTGAATGGAATCGTTTGGCGAAAAAAGAGAATGGATGTTCGGAGTTCTGTCACAATTATGTCAAACAAAACATCGGAAAATTCATCAAAAAGGAAGAGTGAGTTGAGGTTTTTGAACAAAAAAAAAACTTTTGAGCGAATATCTTTCAGTAACTTGCCAGATGACGCTTTTATGCAAAAGTGCCTCGAAATGTGGAAAGATGTCATAGACGGTATATGAAAACTTATCTTCTCAATTGAGAATTTTGTTAATAAAAAACTGTTAAAAACTCAAGCTTCATTCAATTTTTTCTCAAAGATTCAGGCATTTGTGCTGGTGGTGGTCTTGGAATATTCATCAAAACCTTCCAAGAATCATAAGTCAACCATTGCAATGCAGTAATAGTTCCAATCATAATAATTCTTGCTCCAAGTCCCGCCCACATTCCACGCCATCCTAATTGTTTTACCATGTCAGATAAAGTGGCTTGGGAATTTTGATTGAGTTTCGAAACGATTGTATCAGGTGGATGTGAAGCTACAGCACAAAGAATACCAGCCAAATAACCAGCAGAAAATGTGACAAGTAATTGTTCCGATTTACTGCATTCATTTCTTGGTTTTGGTACAACATATTGATACATCCATTCCATAATTCTCTCAAAACAGACAAATTTCACAGTTGTATACGGTATTTGTCTTGACCAAAGTGGTGGCAATCCTTTGAAAAATCCATTAATACCTTCAGTTTTGTAAATCATTGGCATACATTTTCTCATTGTCGCTGGTGCATTATCTGATGTTTGCATACGAACTTTACAAGCTTCGAAAGGCGCCAAGAAAAGATCGGCGAAAAATTCAGCAGAAGCTGCAGCAACAAGATAAACATACGATCGATAAATGTAAGCATTCTCCTCGCTCAACATTCCACCGTAGACATTCTTAAAAATCTCATAATATCCGAATTTTCCAAATCCTTGTGCTGAATAACCTATCGTAGTTGGTGCCCATCCTCTCATTAATCCTGAAATAGCATTTCTTGAAATAAACAAATGAAATAAAAATTTCAAAAAATACCTTTCCATCCATTTTCAGCAACAGTAACCTGAAATCCTTTCACAATTCCCGGATATTTTACATTATCCACTTGCATTCGACATTTTACAATATCTAAAGGTGTGATAAAAAGATGAGTTCCACCACATGCCAATGAGCCGCCCATTCCGCAAAGAATGTAGAACTTTGGAGTAGCAAAAACTTCTTTGTTATTGTTTGAGATTGATTTGTTAGTAGTCATTTTAGTCAGTAGGTTGATCGATAATGATTTCAACACCTCAGACGCTTATTTAAATAGCCATTTTTAAATTGGGTCAGATTGAAAAAAAAAACTAAAACACGTGCAATTTCATTTCGAAATTGTTTTTTTTTTCAAAAAAATCAAAAAACGAACCTTTATTGATATATTGCTGAAGTTGATTGAGGATCTACCATATTTTCTTCATCCTGGGAAGTTCGGAGCTCACTCTATTTCCTTTATTCTCGATGCATCGCGATGGTAGTCGACTTTGTCGGTGTTGTTTCGTTATTTCGTTATTTAAAATAAAATCCTTGCAATTTGACGTATTTTAGAACCTCGACGAATTCTGAAAATCTGCTGATTTTTAGCGTATAGAAAATAGACAATTAAAACTTCTCACATGCTCGAGTTGCTGTGGGCAAAAAAGCGCCAAAATTGATTCGAAACAAACAGAAGTAAAAAATAATAAAAAATAAAGGTACCGTAGCATAGGTTCAAAGGCGCACCACACACATCAAAAATATTTCTATTTTCTGAACATGCGCATGGGCGCGAAACTGTTTGTTCAAAAAAAAAAAACATTTCTACAATTTTTATTCCATTTTGCAAAATGCCATCGTTTTGTCACGCTAAACGTGACATTCGAATAGTTAAAATACTTCTCATTATTAGATTCGACGCCCAAAGGATATTTAAAAGGATATTAATAAGGTGAGCTTCATTGATTTTTCATTAGAATATTAAACAATTTCGAAACAGAAATAATTGATAAATTTTCAGGAAAAGCTGCTGGAATTAGTTTTTCGATCATATGTTGATGTTGAGATCCGGCACAATCATTGCAGTAATTTGTGAGTTTTTTCGGGATATTTTGTAAATAAAAAAAACAATAATGCGAATTTTGATGTTTTTATTAGATGAGATTCTTTTTAAAGCATTTTTACAAAGTAAGAAATTTAAGTTGTCTGAAATTTCAAAGAAAATCAGTATGTCGAATAACAATTTTTTGACCATCTTTGCACAAACGAGCAATTGAAACTAAAGAAACATCATTTGGAATTTGTGCATCAGCTTCTGGTGTGTTCAAAAATAATCCATATTTTCTTGGATCTTCATTTGATTTTCGATTCAAAGCCAAAATTATTTGAATAGATTCTTGAACATTGGTTCTTGGCGAAAGCAACATTGATTTATAATTAGATTGTTGACAAATATTATGATCATGAACAGGCTTGTGCGGAAAATAGGTTTTCGGAAAATTTCGGAAAACCGCGTTTTTCCGAATCCATCAGGTCGGAGAAAATTTTCCGAAGTAATTTTCCGACTTTTTATTTTCGGAAAAAAGTTTTCCGACTGTTTTTTCCGACTTAATTTTTCGGAAAATCGGAAAATTTCGGAAAAAAATTTTAATGAAGAAATAATAGTCTCGTTTGTTGGTTTTTGAAAATTTTTGAAGTAATTTTAACAAACTAAGCCGTTCTCACGATATTTTGGCAATTTCGTTAAATATTACTAACAACTTTCTATGTTTTTCAGAAATACCAAAATTATTTCGTGTTGAAATTAGCAAAAAATCTTGAAAACGGTTATTTTTTTTCACTTTTTCGGAAAATTATTTGTCCCGGAAAATTTTCGGAAAAAATTATTTTCCGAAAATATCAGTCGGAAAATTTTTCCGACCAAAAGTTTTCCGAAATTTTCATATGGAAAATTTTCCGACTCGTATTTTTTCCGAAATTTTCCCAAAAAGTCGGAAAATCGGAAAAAGCGTTTTCCGTTTCCGCACAAGCCTGATCATGAACTCGAACAAGATAACCAGCTGGATTTTGTAACAAAATAAATTTTGACATTCCAGTTGGATGACATCTTTGAAGTTCATAAGGTCTTGATTCATCATCAAGTTTTAACAAAGTTGTGATTGGTGCACCTCCTGATCTTGTTGTCAATTCCATCCAAATTTCGAATAGATTTGGGTCTCGACACGATAGTTTTAATGTGCTCATGAATTTTTCGATAACATTTTTGCAAGTTGTAGCGCTGGTAACACGAATTGTTTTGTAGTCGGTGCATTGTTTGACAGTTCGTGTATCAACTCGGAGAATTCCCTAAAATTATTTAGAGCTTTATTGTTAGAATAGGGTGCTGATTATACACAGAATATTTCTGATTCAACTTACCACTTCGGAAGAATCTGACAAAGAACTATCAGTTGAATTCAATGACAATAAAGAATTGCTTCGACTTGTCGTTGGAATTGCCAATAATGTGTCATCAATTAATAAAGAAGTCATTGACATCGATGAAAAAGAAGTTGGCGAAGATCCAGAACTTGCTGATCTTGGAGAACTCGATGTTGATTTAACTTGATACTTCAACATTTTCCTGAAAAATGATAGGAAATTGAAACGAAAAGAAAGTTTTGGAATAAATTAACGATGTAATAGTAATAACAATGAATGCATTGAAAAAGTGGGAGTGGCTTATTTTAGGTGGAAAAAAGACATGGGAAAATTAGGGTGACACCTGAAGGGTGTGAAGTGCGGTACTGATGGGAAAAGGAAACACGTGGCAAGGTGTGAGCTATCGAGAAAATGCGCGAAATTGTGGAGAATTGAATAAATAAAACAAATAAAAATATATGGAGATATCAATCATTATAAATATTTGATCAGTCCGATGACTATCTGATATATATTAATATAAATATAATATCTGATGATATCCGTTTACGTAATTTGGAATTTAATAAATGAATAAAAAAATGAAGAGGAAGGGAAAATAGAAAGAAAATAAGAGGAATAATATGATTTGACGAAAATTCATAGTAATAGACATAATTTGGGCGCCGGTGCTGTGCTAATTGCGTTGAAACAAAACGCGAAAACATCTGGAGAAGATGAAAAAAAAAAGAATTGTTGTGGTGATGGAGAAAAAAACGAGGAATAAACGATTGTATAGTAGTTTTGTCGGTTCCAGATCACACCTGACGAGACGTGTCCAAAATGGACACTGTACATTTTTTCAAAAGTCACACTGCATTTTTTTCGAAAAAAAACTTTGTTTCCTTTTCATCAACATTTAACTCGGGGAAATAAATGCACATTTAGTTCAGTGGTAGGCCATTTTGCTGGTGTTCAGAAGGCCCAGGTTCGAATCTTCATTCGAGCTAACTTTTTATTTTTTCCCAACTTCAAAATCAACTTCAGATTGCGAATTTTTCGAAGTTTCTCGGTGAAAATCAACTCAGCAGACTTTGTTTTAGTGTGGTAACATAATGTGCAGTGTGGAATTTACGTGACTGCTTAGCAAACCATAGTGTCACTGAAATTTCAAAAAAATTGACTTTCTATGAAAAAACTTCAAATTCCACACTGCACATGGGTAAATTCAAAAACTACGCTTAAAAATACACCAACTTTCTGAATATACCAACCCTTGATATGTGCTCGGAAAAAAATGCCGTCCGATTCTTTGTAATGTCCATATTTACCATTGAAATGGACACTCCAAAATAACAGCGAAATAGGGCATTTCCACACTGCACTCATGGTGTTCCACACTGCCTATGACCTTAGCAATCTATTGGAAAAAAATCAACTATATCCGTTAAGCCTAAGCTTAGTTATCCTAACTTCAAATTTTGAGCAACGTTGCAACGCATTCGTTTGAAAACAGTTTCCTTTCCACCAACATTTTCCCCTGGGGAGAAAAAAAGAGATGTGGCCGAGAGGATAGCATTTTAGACTGGCGAGCATGAGACCAGGGTTCGAATCCTCCTGCCCGCGGACTTTTTTCGAAAAACTTGAAAATTTCACGCTGCACATTTTTTTTTGAAAAAAATTTTCACACTGCACAAAAAATTTGGGACACTCTCTCGTCAGGTGTGTTCCAGATTTTTTTTGGGAAGAAAGAGGGAGAGCCCTCGAGGGGGAGGGGGGGGGGAGATATAGAAAAACCCTCTATAAAATTTTACCAGTAAATAGTAAATTTGCCTGATGAATATTACCCAGCTTCTGGAAAATACACCCATATCATAAAGCTCTCCAAAATGTGTCAAAACAAACCTGTCACACAAAAAAACTTGACATCTATCAAACTGACAGCATATCAGTTTTCTGGACATTTACAAAAAAGTCATTAGGTGACAATGGAAGTTGCCCAAAATTTTAGGTCAAATTTTTTTGGAGAAAAAAGTACAGATACTATTTAGATGACTACTGTGTGAGAATGAAGACTTATCTTATCATAAATCTTCTTCAAATTAAAATCGGAAACGAGAAAATTAGTGGCTGGTTTCAGAAATTAATCCAATTTGTTTTTAAATTTGGCTTCATTTTGATGTTAGTCATAGACTGACACACACGTTTCAGACAAAAACAAAGCAACCAAAAAATTTATCAGTTGATGACAAAAACGTCGGCAAAAACAACACAAAAATGATAATTCTATGTGGGAATGAAAGGGACAATGACTTTTTCACTATTATCGCAAAAATGTTCAGGTATTTTGTTGGTTGAACAAATAAAAATGGCAAAAAATGAAATATTTTGTAATTATAGGTTAGATTACCTTGAGGGGGTTTGTATCTATGATAGATGGAATTGGTCGGACGGATTAGAAAAGACTAAAAAAATACCAAAAGAAAGAATGATAAGAAAATAGTAAAAAGGAAAAGGTGTTGATGTACAAATTTTTAAATTATTTTTAGTTTAATAACTTTTTCAACATTGAATTATATGTATCTTCAAAAAAAAAGTTCAGAGTTTTTATAAACTTCGGAATCTTGGGAGGTTTTCATGCAAAAAATCTGTTTTTAATTTTGTTTAGAAATTTAAAACGTAAAAGTTTATGTTTTCGAAAAGTCAGTGTTTCAAATAAAATAAATAAAACCGGATTCTTTTTTCTGGGGATAACAACAGAGAAAAGTGAACACGAGCTACAACAATAACAAAAAGAAAGAAAATATGGGAACAGTTCAGTTTACATGAACCAAATGAAGCGAAATATGTCCTTGGTTAGTCAAATGGCAGGTGTCTTTTTCTAGCAACCAGCCAGCAACATAAAAAAAGGCGAAAAAGGAAATGTTCGCCCTGAGGGTGAAAGTGTTCCAATATTTATATCCTTGACCTGGCCCAGGATCAACTTAATCCGAGATCAAATGTTTTCTAATTTTTTCTCAATAACATCAAAATAACAGTGAAACAATTTTTTTCGAAATTTTGTCAAAGAAACAAAAAGAGGGAATTTTACATGTGTTTTCACACTTCTAATTAATCAAAAAGTGCGCGGTTCCGGAGAAAAAAGAGTAGGAAAAAAGAGAAAGAGAAGTGAAAAATGGATGAGTATTTATTTCGACAAGATGGAGAAAAACAACCAAATATCTTTTCAAGAAATTTGATCTTCCCGGATTGGAAAGTGTATAGATCGACAGCTGATTTTGAATTGAAAAGAGCAAGCTTTGGATATTGAAAGATGAAATGATGCGTTTTTTGAACGCGAGATGAGAGAACGGAAATCATGAGGTGGTCAAGGAATCGGAAAACGGATATCTAATCTTGAGTACTCCAACAGGGAGAAGTAATGTTTCTGGATTTTCTAGAGTGAAACACATTTTTCATGAAAACTGTTGTTTTTGATTGGCTATTTGTAGAACAAGTTGTTTTGACATTCATTTCCAGAACTTTTTCATTTTAACACTGTATTTGTGGAATTCCAGCGAATTTTTTCGACAATATGTGTTTTGGCACATTCGCGGGGTGAAATGAATCATTCCACAAATGTGGAAAAATATGTGGCATTATTTTGAATTAAAATTTCATATTGTATTTTAGAAACCGTTCTGAAAACCAAAAACTATTCATATTTTCTTAAAGAAACAGTTTTCCGTTACATTTTGTTCCTGAATTCATTTCTCGACAAAAGTTTAATGTGGCGTTTTGCACTTCTGTTTTTAATTTATATATTATTATCTAAATATCTAGAACCAACTTCTGAGAAATATGAAAATGATTTGTCTCCAAAAAATTGCTTATGTGAAAGTCATAATTTTTGCTACGCGGACCCACAAAATTCTTCAATATTTCACAAAAAATTCGATTGCTCGAGTTTGGAAATATTGAGAAACTTCGGGTTTTTGAATATAAATTTGGAGCAGAGTTTTTTTGAAAACACTAAAAAAGCGACGCGAGATCCGAATAATGTGGTGTTTTTATCTGCAACTTCGAATGATCATTTAGAATTTACAAGAAAATCTGTGAGTTTTCACCGAGAAAAAACTTTTTAGAACTAAATTTTTTAAAGATTGAATCAGTCCGCAAATTTTTTCCAAATCAAAAATACATCTTGTACAATATTGGATTGGATCAATCAAATTGTGATAAGTTATTGGAAGATTACGGAAATATAGAAATTCGAAAGTTTGAATTTTCAAAATATCCCCAGTATGTGGAGAACTTAATTCAGTTTCTATGCTAAAAAGTAGTACTCAACTTGGCGCGAATTTTATATATTTTGCAAGAACTCGCGAATCGCTCGAGATTCTAAAATGGTGGATTCTTTGTGCATTAGATTCGAAATGTATGAATCCGGATGGCGCAAAACTGAACTGTCAATTTGCCGATAATCGATACGAAATCTATGCAAATTGTTTTCGATTTGATCAATCGGTTTTGAATTTGTTATTATTGAATAAGTTTCAAGATCATAAGAAATACTTGAGTTCAAATGGATTCGGTGGATCACATTATTAGTTAATTTATATAAATACATATTTTGAAATTTAAAGATTATGCACATTTGATCAAAGTTAGTTGACGTTTATCTAAATTTGATGGGGTTATTTAAAATTCTGACGAATAATTATGGTTTTTCCTATTTTAAGCGTTTTTTTTTCTGAACATTAAAAACAATCAATGTAAATCTACAGAAAAAAAATAAGCTATTTTTGATCAGCAACACCTGCTAATCTACTCATCAGAAGTCAACAAACCTGTTTTATTTTCAGCCACACAAGATAGATAGAGAAAAATTAATCTGTCACTTTTTTTTGAAATGAAAAAAATATTCAAAAAAAAAAAATGATGAACACACCAATATTTATTCACAGTAGGAGTATTTACATACACATGCGTTTTTTTTTCATAAAATAAATTTGGAAAAAAAGTTCTTTCATGAAATTGGAAAAAATAAACAAATAAAATGAAAAAAAAGATGAGAACGTGAGTGAGGGTCATTTCAATAGATTTATTTTTTATTTTTCTCGATTTCGAGAACATCTGGATTCGTAGTGAGGGAAAATAAATACGAAATAAAATATTACATTTATTTCCCCGTGGTTGTAAAAAATACGTATATACACATCGTTTTAAATACCTTTTGCCGGTTTAACTTTTGACATCAAAATTGGCGGTAATTTTGAAAACTGGTTTTATTTTTTTCGAAAGCAATAATTTGTGAGTCAAAAATCGAAAACAGTAAAATAAAATAAAATGAGGGAAGAGCTGGTATGCAAATAGTTAGGCTACTACTAATATTTGTATAAATTTGTATACATTTTTGGAGAACATACACAATAACAAAAATATTATATATTTATATATAATGAAAAATATGTAGCAAAATGAATGGAAACGGAGACAATTTCTTCAAAAATATAAACAATAGAATTGACTAGCGAAAATGAAAAAGGCACTTTTTGTTTTTGTTATAATTAATTTTAAAGTGTTTGGAAATTGTGGAAAATGCGTGGTATTGTAGGATTGTCATGAGAAAAAGTATTTTTCTAGAACATGTCATAAATCAAATAGCTTATTGTGTGTTTTCTCAAAATCTGCTTGGGTCTGCAATATTTGGATAATCCTTATTTTCCAAAAATAAAAAAGATTATTCTACCCACATTTTCACCTGATCTTTGAGAATTAGTTTTTTTCGGAGAAAATTTTCTATTCATCAAGAAAGTTTCTAATTGTGAAAATTATTGTCAAACTCAAGTTATCGGACTATCCTTCTTCATATAAAGTTGAATTCAGAATTTGTTGAAATACGTTGTATTTGTCCAAAAATTCGCATTTTTTGTAGCCAGTCCAATTTATTTTGTGTGTAAACTCACACTTTTCAAAATTATTCGATTTTTTGATTATCAAAACTCATGTAACTTTGCTATATCATCATAATTTTCTTATCAAAGCCAAAGTTGAAAGTTGAGTTCGCGGAGAAGTGATTCTTATGAAATTGTGTTGAACTTTTTGAACTAATTATCAGAAAAAGTGAATTTTTTTGTTCAAAAATTGAAATATGAAATATTGTGGAAAAATAATTAGAGAATGTTGTAGAATAATTTTTTAATCACAAAGTTTTGATTCATTTTTGAAAATTATTTCGTTATGAAATTCGTCTTCCGAACAACCGTGGAATGCGCGGAATCTGATTTTTCACACAATCACTCAATTCCAAAAAGGTTTTACGCTCAGATTTCAAAAAACTATTTTTCTCAAACACAAAACATTCTGAAAAATTTTGTGTTCAATTCTGTGTGTTTTTAAATTCCCACTGCATTGAAAATATATCTTGATTTTGACTCCATTCGGGCGAAAAATTCATTCAATTATTTGATCAACACCAAGGTGAATTTCAATAATTTCAAACTTGTTCCCATCTCTTGATCCTCCCCAAGTTCCACATCAAATCATTTCGTAACCGTCCATTTTTAAAGGTATGATCTTGTCCAATATTACACGTTACTTTTTTATTTGTCATCATAGTAGAAGAACTTTGATGTCATTTTTTTATTGACCACATTTGTGTATATAAAAGGCCGATTGATGTGAGCCATTATTATCTTATCATTTGATTGTGGAATAGTTTCTGGAACGATTGATAAAATTAAGTTATTCATATTTACTTGCAATATGTCATGTAGTGACCGTTTATAGTTTGATGTTGATCAGTTTTTTTGTTCAAAATAAATGTATTTGTTTTGTTGATTTCTCTTTTCCTCTTTATTCATTTTATATTTCTTTTTTTTTTTCTTCCTATTTCTCTTTTTTTGACCATAGTTCATTTTATCGAGGTCTTTTACAAACATTTTTTATTTCATTTTTCATTTCAACATATATTTTTAGTTGAAAATGTCGGTTGTCGCTAAAAGTTATCAAAAAAGTGCTGATGCCGTGATTGCCTATACTTCGGATCACACCGTCATCCAAAATTCCCTTCAAAAGAACTTCAAGAATTAACTTTGGCCAAAGCTCCACACGCTGGTATGATTGGAGCACCAGAAGTTCTTTCTTTCGGTCAAAACTTTATTAGAAGTTTCCATGGAAAGCGTGTTCTTGATATTGGAACATTCACCGGAGCATCTGCGTTGGCTTGGGCTTTGGCTGTTCCAGATGATGGAGAAGTTTATGCATTGGATATTGATCACACAAATTATAGAACTTTTGGAATTCCAATCATCTCAAAATGCCAAAAAACTTTCCAAAAAATCAAGGCTGTTGAAGCACCAGCATTGGAAACTTTGGATAAATTGATTGCTGATGGTCAAGCTGGAACATTCGACTTCGCATTCATTGATGCTGATAAGGAAAACTACAGCAACTATTATGATCGAGTTGTGACTTTGTTGAGATCTGGAGGAGTTGTATTTTTGGATAACGTGAGTACATAGATACATTTTTCAACTGTAAAATCAAATTTTAAAATTTTTCCAGTGTCTCTGGGGTGGTCGAGTAACAAAGCCAGAAACTAGAGTTGATCCAGCAAGTGTTGCCATCCACGCTGCCAACGAAAAAATCTTCCAAGACAATCGAACCCATTCTGCTCTTTTGAATTTGGGAGATGGAACCCACGTCGCTTTCAAAATCTAATAAACAAATTTCTGTATTTACCTTATACGTATCACCTTTTTTGATTACACTTTGAAACATAAAGAGGATTATATCATTCCATTTTCACTTCATTTTTTTCCGTTTTTTTCGAAATGGCATTTATTCCTTCTAGCATTAAAAGTTGTTTGTCAAATCCAGATCCTCATGTTAATTATTCGGCGAAGGTTTGTTAAAATTGCCCCTATTCGTGTAAATCCATTTTAAAAAATGTTTCAGTTCACCACTATCCAAGATCCTTTACAAAAAGAACTTCAAAGAGCTACACTTGGAAAAGCTAAAGAATTTGGAACATTGGGTGCACCAGAAGTTCTGACTTTTGGTGAAAACTTCATCCGAGCTTTCAAAGGCAAAAAAGTTCTTGACATCGGAACCTATACGGGAATATCTGCATTAGCTTGGGCTTTAGCACTTCCGGATGATGGAGAAGTTCTAACAATGGATATTGATTTGAATAACTATAAAAAATTTGGAGTTCCAATAATATCAAAACATCCCGAAACATTCAAAAAGATCAAAGCTGTTGAGGCCCCAGCCCTTGAAACTTTGGATGAATTAATTGCTGATGGTCAATCTGGAACTTTTGATTTTGCATTTATTGATGCAGATAAAGAAAATTATGAGAATTATTATAATCGAGTGGTGACACTTTTGAAATCTGGCGGAGTTGTATTTCTAGACAATGTGAGTTAATTTCGAAATTTTAGATTCTCTACATACAAATTGTAATGTTAGTCATCTTCTATTTCTGCACGAATAACTTTTTTTTTTGAAAAAACCAAGAATTCAAATTTGTTGATAAAAAATTATGAGTAGAGAGTTAGCCGGAAATAACTTCAATTTCCTTTGTAATAGAAAAATATTCACATATCCTGCTCCAGATAAAAATGTAGTTATTTTTAAACCCCAATTTCATTTATTATCCATAAATCTTATTTTCCAGTGTCTTTGGGGTGGTCGAGTTACTGTAGAAGAACATTTGGAAAATGACCCACTGTGTGCGGCGATCCATAAAACAAATCGCATCATTTTCCAAGATTCTCGAACCTATTCTGCACTTTTGAATTTTGGTGATGGAACACACGTGGCTTTTAAAGTTTGATCAATAAATTCATTTACTATTTACACAATATCACAAAATAATCATCATACACGTATACAAATCTCGAATCTTGAACCTTCAAAAAAAATCACAATCAAATAAATTTACCATTGATAATATTATAAAACTCTTCAGATGGTGCATAAATATTAAAAACATTTGAAATTTCAATATCTTCTTGAATTCTTCGAACAGATCGCTGTATTCCTGGGAGTAATGTAACAAGTGAACCAATTCGAACTGAAGGATCTTCACTTTTCTTGACAAATCGAAGATATAATGATAATTCTTTGAACACTTTTTCTTTCACAATTCTTCCAATTTCAATACTTTGTTCATCTTGTCCATCTAATCCAAAATCCCAAAATAAACAAGTGCAAAGTGTGAAAAATTCATAAACATCAACTTTTTCTCGAATCATTGGGCGAATCGATGCATTTCGATACGATTCGAATGATTGTTTGAAGATTCTGGAATAACTGAAGGAATTAAATATTTGAAAAATCTGTAAATTAATTAACTAACTTTGCAGCATCTTCGGCAGAAACTTTTTGCACGCTATCCAATTTCACACCAGTTTCATGATAAAAAGTTTCCAAATTATTCAAGTCAATATAATCTCCAGACGGTAAAATTATAACATCTTCTCGATCTGAAAAGTCTTATGTATTTTTCCTGATTTTAATCAGGAAAATTTCACAAATTTTTTAACTTACTGTTAATATGGCATAAATAGGAACTTTCCAACATTGTGAAAGCCATGAAAAAATTTCTGAATAACACTTTTTTCTGTTCACTTGATAATTGTTGAAAATCATCAAAACACCAGGAAACCCAATCAACAACTAGAGCTATTTCTTTTGATGAAACTGTTGCAGCTTCTTTATAATTTACACTCCTCGGAATCCGTTGCTAGAAATTGAAAATCGATTATTTGATATGAAAAACTCCAACTCACCCCAAACAAACTTTCACCTTCTCTTCGATGAATTATCGATCTTCCATTATCCATTTTCGCATAATTCTGTCTCATTCTCTCTAAAATTGGCATCGTTTCCTCACTTGGCTTGAAATTAATTTGAAGCGGACTTGAACTCGAAGGTTCTTCTCGTAATGAAAAAGATGAAGATGTTGATGATAGAAGTGGTGAATGTCCAATTGGCAACGGTTCAACTTTGATAGGAAGTAATGGTGGTGTTTTTGGTGTTTCTCGTTTTCCAATTGTATCTCGACGTTGTTGAACTCCGGCTGGATTCATGCCAACTTCCAAACATCGCGAAAATCGACAAGCGCGACACATACATCGAATATCTGCAGATTTATATCATATTAGGAAAATTAAGTGATTTGCATCTAGAAGCTAACCTATTCATGACCTGGTGGATCTTCTTTTAATTAAGGTAATTTCCAGAAAAATTCCAATTTTTACTCCAACTTACTTGCTGTAATTTGACACTTTCCATCAGCCCGACAAACATATTTCTTTCCCAATGAAACACTTCTTCGAAAAAATGCGGCGCAGGCGCGACAAGCTTCAGCTCCAAAATGATAACCATCACCTTCTTCACAGCAAATCGTACACGTGGATTTTTCTGATTTTACATACATTGGCGGCAGTTGAACAAGTCCACCATCCGAATCACCAGTACTACTATTCATTCAGGAAATAACTGGCTGGAAAGACAAATAGTGAACTGTTATATTAAAGTCATGAAAATAGGAGTTACAAATCATAAAGTGAAATGATACAAATACTACAAAAATCACAAGAACCAAAAATTAAATAAAAACAGGAAACAAATGTGTGATAAGAAGCCCTGATCATTTCTTAAGTACCTTATGTTATAAATAAGTTTTCAAAAAATTAAGAAATCTACAGATAATCCACATCTGAATCAAAATGTTTCAAATACTTCTCGACAAATACATAGCTTGCATAAAAAAGAAAGAAAAGGACAACCGAAACAAAAAGAAAAAAAACGACTAGTTGCCTAGGCGGTGTGAAATAGTATATTAAAATGAGAGAAAAGAAAGAATGTAGTTTGTGCCTGTTTTGAATGGAAATGAAAAAAGAACCTATTTTTTTTACTCACGTTGGGTTTTTAAAGGGTTGGTGCTCCGCCAGGGAATCTTGTTTGGTTTAGATAGGAATAAGGTGCTCCTGGAAGGTTCCAGTTTTAGAAAAAATTCTAGTATCAATTCAGCCCATGTTTTTCCTCAAAAACACAAGCGAGTTAAAACCTACGAAATAAAGCATGTAAATGCGCTCTAGCGCACAACTTGTTTTTGAATTTTTCATGTGTGTGTTTGCACACAACTTTGAAAACAACACTGTGACGCCTTTTTGCAGACGATTTTTTCACCAGGAAAGCACCAACCCTTTAATAAGAAACAGAAACTTCAAAACGTTCTGCCTTTCAAAAAGAAAAAAATCAATTTTTGTTATCTCGATTTATTAGGAATAAAGAGAAAGAACATCGAGAGAGATAGAGAACAGGCATAAAAACAACAATGTTTCTATATTTTATTTGTACAACAAACCTGTGTGTGTGTGTGTCAATGAATGTTTCAAAAATGTGTAAATATTAGGCTGTAGTGAAAGTAGTTCAGACTCGCGGAAAATAACCTGTGATCTTTGAGAAAATACTAATTATATCTGCTGAAATCAGGACATTCTTAATCATTGATCACTAGACGACGGTTCGACCTTCAAATGTCCGTTCCAGGTGGAACGATTCTCCAAAGATTTGAAACTTTATCGCGAAAAAAATCTGAGTTCTATAAAAACCAATCCAAGCGCAGTCTTCGCTAATTTTTAATTTTTGAGGTTCAACGTCATCGAATTTTTTAGTCAGATAAAATAAAGTTCAGCCAAGCATAAGTCAGAACTTTATATTCGAATGTTTTGTTGGTTGAAAATTGAATTCTAAGAAAATGAAATGATATTTGCAATCAGAAAATTATATATATTAGGTGGAAAAAAAAACAAAAACCTGACGCCCACCTAATTCAACATAATCAAAACATAACAAAAAACATGAGCTTTTAAAGGTTTGATTTCTTTTTGGAGAGAAAATGGACTGAAAAATTCGTCACCTTCACACCTTTTCAAAAGTTCACCTCAACTAATCTATTTTCCGAAAGCTCTATAGAAAAATGAAGCAAAAATCCGTTTTATTCCGAATTTCCATTTTAAAAAGTGCGATTTTTTGAGCTACAGTAATCCTTTAACACTATTCTAGAGTTACAGTAATATATTTCGAGAAACAGTAAGACAGAATATTTGTAGTCGCTGTACTGTAGAACAGTATTTTTTCAGTTGAGAAATACTGTACTGTAGATATTTTAAAAAATTTCGAGAAATGTTCTGACAAATTTTGAATCTAACATAATTTCCGAACAGTTTTTCGAAATATTCTAAAAATTTGTTGTTTTTTTTAATAAAAAAGATATAAATTCGAAAAACATTGCGTTTTATAACAAAAACACAGTACACTTCTTTAATAAATTATTCATTTTTGCAATTTTCATAGAAAAAAAAACAAGAATATACATGAAAAAGAAACAACAAAAAATGAGTAACGGGGCTTTTTTGGGGAGGGTAATTTTTTTTGATTATCACATAAACACGTTAGATCCTAATTTAGTACACATATTAGTCAAAGAAAAAGGTTTTTTGTTAATTGAGAGAGAAAACTGTGAACATAGTCAACAAAATGAGCATTTTTCTTGGAAAATAAACTTCTCAATTTTATTTTGACTTTATTAAGAAAAAAAATTAAAAGAAAAAACAAAGAGATAAATGATTGGGCGGGGGACACAACTAAACTGTTGTACAAGACACAACTAAACTGTTGTTGTTCAGATTCAAGTAGAAAATACAACTGATCAGGCGGTTGTAGTCGATGCAGATTCAGCCTTTCGGCGGCGGTAATCAGCCAATGAAAGACCTCTGAAAAAACACATGTTGTAAGCAAAATATTTCGATTACTGATCAATAAAAATAAACAAACCTTGGTTTTGCATCGAAACTTGGAGCTGGTGGAGCACTATCCAAATGTCCATCATCTCTCGGACCTTTCGAATTATTGAGCAACTTTTCTGAAAATATTTTTCATTCTTTCATGGCGAAAGAAATACCCAGAGAAAAGTTGATCGTTGATTGAAAAAACCTCACCAATATTAATATTGAAATTGAGATTTGTAGAAGCCGAATTGTGCAAATCGAACATGTTGGCCGATTTTCGTTTTTCTTTGATTGGCGAAGCAAATCTTGGCTTTTTCTCAGGCGAACATTCTTCGGATTTCACTTCGGTTTTCACCAAATCTGACACTGAAATATTCCACTCATTTATTTTATAGCTATTAGATTAAATCGTAAATTGGAATTAAAAAAATCGAGAAATTGCATAAAATCGATTTTATGCAATTTCTCGATTTTTTATAATTCCAATTTACGATTTAAAAAAAACTCACAATTTGTCGAAGAAGATGAAGCTGAAATATCTCCTTCTGTTTTGATTTCCAATTTAATACCACCTTTTGAACCAGAAACAACTCTCATTCCACCTTTCTTTCTTGTAAACGGATCATCTTGTGATTCTTGTTGCATTTTGAAACTTCCGCTCAAAATCTCATTTTTATTTTGAGTTCGATTTCGGAAATTGATGAATGCGATTCCACTGATATCATGCGATCGTTTTTTGTCGATTTCACTGGCATGTTTTTCAAGTTTATCGATTTCGGCTTGGTATTTTTCAGCTTCTCGTAAATCTCCGGCTTGTTGTGCTAACTCTTTTTTACGGTTCCAATCCGCTTTTGTCATTGCAATATTTCGAGGAACTTTTTGGAAACGTCTTTTCTCTTCGATCAACTGTAAATATTCGCTGTATTTTCAAAGTTAATAAAAATGTTCAACTTACAGCATCAACTTCTTTATCCGAGAATTTATGATCCATTGCTCGTTTGATTTCCTTTTCTTTTTTCTCAATTATATCCATTGTTGGTATATTTGATTGTTCCTTTGTTATTCTATACCATTCATCAAATTCTGCTCGATTAAATTCGGAATTTGAAACGAACGCAATTCGAAATACTCTTTCTTGTCTACCAAATCGACATTTCAATCCTTTATTTGTTCGTTTTCCATCAACATCATAAATCTTTCCAGTTTCTTCAACATCAACAACTTGCCAAATTTTATACTTACTATCCGAACCGCCCATAAATCCCATTCCAACTTTCACATATCCACCAACTACTGTTTCTTTGAAAAATGGAGCATGAACGAATTTGCAAAGTTTGAACCGGGAAAGACGGGCTTTTATTAATTCATCAAGAGTATCTAATTCCTTTCGAACAATCTTCTCTTCTTCAATAAAACGGGTTGGCGATGAATCTCTTGAAGAAGATCGAGACGAGGATCGAGAACTTGCGCTTGAACTTGAAGAACTAGAAGATTCACTTCCATCTCCAGCACCAAAAACAGCGTCAATTGATAAAGATGCAGCTTTCGCATTTTTCTTTTCAATCTCTTTTCTTTTCTGCTTCAATTCAGCCATCGCATTCTTCTCTTTATGTTTTCGATGAACTTCACTTGGTCGATGGAATTCAGGATCTTCATCAGAAGAATCTGCAGCAGATTTAGCCGATTCTTCATCACTCGAAGCTTTCTTCTTTCTTTTTTCAGCTTTCTTCAGCTCTCGTTCTTTTTTCGCTTTCAATTGTTGTGCAATTTCATCGCGAGCTCTCTGATTTTCTCTGGCTTCCATTCTTTCGAATATTTCTCGTTCCTTCTCGAGTTCACTAAGATTTTTCCACCGCGCTTTGTCTTCTGCATCTTGGAAAAGCGAGTCATCAATTCTATCATCCTGAAGAAAAAAGATGATGACAAATCATCATTAAACGAAAAACGACTTACATCACTTGTTCCCGAACTTTTCCGTTTTCTCTTTGTGGCTGCCTTCTTTTTGGTCGGACGTTTCTTCTCAACTTCAGAATCCGAATCAGACGATCCTCCACTTTCAATTGTTTTTTTCGTGGACCGCCCGGCTCGTTTTCTTTTATCCCCCGCATCAGAATCCGATCCAGAATCAATTGTAGTGTTTTGTTGAGGCATCCGTTCATCATCAGACGAATCAGAATGATCTGACGAAGATGATGATGACATCGCTATTTCTAAAATATAAAATTTTATGAATGAATGAGTCAAGCGAGAGAAAAAACGAAAAAACACGAAATAATTGAATTGATTCGCGTGACCACGCCCACTGGCAAACCGCCGCACACAAAAAATGCAAACACCGCACGGCATTTGCAAAACGTGGGAAAACAATTATTTTGATTTCGAATAAAATGTTTATTTTTGCACCTTGAAAATCACCATTTCACACGATCTTTGTATTCCTCTCTCACACACAATCTTTTCACAATTTCGTAACCAACAACAACCAATCCAGAATACAATGAATTCGCGATTAAACGTGGAGCAAGGCCTTTGGTGAACAAATGACCTTTTTCATCAGTCACAAGTGTTCGAAGTGTATCTGTGTAAGTTCCACGATGCATTTGAATACGAACACGGAACAATTCCATTGGATTTGTGGCGACAGTTGCAACCATTCCACCAACAACTGCAGAAAACGCTTGATCATACATAATACTGCGATTTGTTGGAGGATGAAGCTGGAAAAATTGTGTTATTCTTTTGTAGGATGAAAATTACAATTACCTTATTCAAAACTTCTTGAGTTGCATAATAAACTGGCCAAAACATCATCATTTGTGGAACATAAACAATAGCCGATGCAAAAAATCCTCTAAAGAATCCAGATATTCCATCAGCTTTATAAACCGCTGAAACAACGCTCAATCCAAGAGTTCGACCATTTTTCACTTGTTTTCTGAAAATATAAGAAATTTCAATAATTATTCGGATAATTAAAACATACTGTATCAATTCAACAACTTGTTTATCATGTCCAGCAGTAAGTCTATCCTGATTTTTATAAATCATCATATATTGTGCAATAATATCAGTTGGTACAAAAATAAATTGTGTTGCCAAACTTGCACAACCACTAGAAATTGATGCAACTGCACTGATTGATTTGAATCCATTATCGTGGATTACGGATCGGAATTTTTCAAAAACTGTTGAATAAACGAGTGAGGATCCGATTTGTGGCACAGTGATCCAGAAACCCTGAAAACTTTTTTTGTGTATTCGAGATACTGTAAGTAGCTCGGGACTGGAGGCAAGTTCTGATTCCGAACTTGGTGTAACTAAGTGAAAATCTAGAAAGTGGATCGCCTCTGACAACACAAAGGCTCCCGGCTCATGTCTTCAAATTCTGACAAACCCTGTATAATCCTCTGATTCCTTCTCGTTTCGAAATATCTTTGTATGCATCAAAAGTATTTTTATAAATCGTATTCTGTTTTTGCAATTGCAATTGACTTCTCAAAACCGACAACGGATACAACGCGGTTCGAATTGACCAAGTCGAAAATAATGCACTTGGAATAAATGTGTTCGGATTCATATGTTCCCATTTAATAATTGTTAATTCTTCATTAATTGATGGTTTACCAGGAACTGCATAACAATCACGAGGAGCCGGTGGAAATTGGCGCATTTCCAAAGAAAACGACATCTCTTCTTTTTTCTATTTTTTGTTACTTGTTTTCGCGTTTACCTATTTCAGAAATGCCGGATTTTGGCACATTTTTGTCCACGTCAATTTTTGTGAGAAAAATTTCACGTTTTGAACCATTATATTTTTTTAATTGAAAGTTATTTATAAATAAATAAATAAAAATTCAGAACAAGTTCCTTTTCATGTTTTTTGCGTACATTTTCAATGAATTTCTATCATCTTCTTCTTGTTGCTGTTTTGATCTTGTTAAAGATCAAACGATGCAAGTTCGCGCGCAAATGAAATAAAAAATTACATTTTTTCAAAATCGTTTTGGTCACGCTGGTGGTATTTTATCGGAAATGTCGTCCTTGTCCTCAACATCAACTTCTACAAATAATTTCGATGAATGTTTATCGACTCGAAAAAATCGCATAATTCTAGGCGATTCTGAAAGTGAGTTGGGAATACTGTAGAATTTTTTGTCACAGATATATATTTTTTTGCCCCTATCCCTCCTATCATGTTCCAAAACACTTGCTATGTAAATATTTCATTTTCTGACAATAACAAAAATATTTACACACTTCAAGCTTTTTTGTCCTTTTTTTTTTATTTTTGTTTCCATTTCTCAAAATGTCCAAGGATTATAGAGGTGATTTTTCTCACATTATAAGAATTTCCAAAAAAAAAAAAAGAATCTGATGTTTCAGATTATCGTGAAAAGAATTTCTCATCAAATCCGGGAATTAGTGTGAAAGAAAAAGACGAATGGAAAATGGAGAAAGGATATAAACGATACAATTTTGATAGGTATAATTAATTATTGTTTAGCTATCAAATATAGATAAATCAAACTTCGTTCAAACAACCATTGATGCAAAATTCGTTCTCGCAATTATTTATTGTTTGTATGTTATCAACACGTGCGACGATGTAGAAAAAAATCGACACCCAAAAAAAGATCATAAAAACGATTTTTATTAGGTGATAAGATCTTTCATTTTTTCAGTAACCCGTCAAGAATGAAGTCGTCCTTGCACAAAAACCAGTTCACAATTTTTGATTTTTGGATTTCAAATTGCGTTTTTGGTGATCTTTGGGCTATTCGCTGAATATGCACCATCAGCATTACCAAATGGTGCAAAAGCAGCGGATGAAGAAGCGAGAATGCCAACTTTATATCCAAGTAAGTAAATTCTGATTAGAACTTATTTATAGCTAATTTTTCAGTGTTCCAAGACACTCATGTTATGATTTTCATTGGTTTCGGATTTTTGATGACATTTTTGAAGAGATATGGATTTTCTGCTGTTTCAATCAACATGCTTCTTGCGTGTTTTACAATTGAATGGGGTTTGATCGTTAGAGGTTTTGTTGGATCGTATACTCATGGAGGACATTTGAAAATTGTTATCTCTTTGGAACAGTGAGTGATAGTTTTTTGACATTTGGAAATTGCGAGAGAGAAATGAGGGAAACTTTTTTTTGACATTGGAATTTTTTTGGAAAATTTTGATTGTGAGAAGGAAAAATAAATTTGAAATCAAGATCTGAGAAACAAGGGAAAATTAAACTGCATAGAAGTTTGAAAATAATTTTCACATAAATGAAAAATGTAAACTTTTCAGTACCAGAACATTTCCAGCAGCATTTAAGAACTACAGTAGCCTCTATGGTCTACAGTAACTCCTGTTATTTAGTGATTGAGATCTACAGTAATCCCTATATAAATTGTGGAGATCTATAGTACACCTATATGAGATACAGTAATCTAGTAATCTCTATGATCTACAGTAATCATTATATCTCCAGATCACAGGAACTTTTTAAAAATTGATTTTTCCGAACTTTCATAATTCCAAAAACCCTGAACTCACAAAATTTCCAGACTTCTCACTGCTGATTTTGCCGCAGCCGTTGTTCTCATTTCAATGGGTGCAATGCTCGGAAAACTCTCACCAGTTCAATATATAATCATGGCATTTATCGAAACTCCAGTCGCTTTAATCATCGAACATATTTGTGTTCATAATTTGAAAATCAACGATGTCGGCGGTTCAATTATTGTGCACGCATTTGGCGCATATTTCGGTTTGGCGTGTGCAAAAGGTTTCGGTAAGAAACAGCAAAGAGGACATGATAATGAAGGATCGACGTATCATACTGATATTTTCGCAATGGTTGGTGCAGTCTTTTTATGGATTTATTGGCCATCTTTCAATGCTGCTGTTGCCGCTACAGCTGATGCAAGACAAAGAGCTGTTGCCAACACATTTTTGTCATTGTGTTCATCGACTATGACAACTTTTTTGATGTCACAATTATTAGATAAACATGTGAGTTGATTTTCCGAATGAGATCCTCTAGATATAAAAAGTATTTTCAGCGTCGTTTCGAGATGGTTCACATTGCCAATTCCACATTAGCTGGAGGTGTTGCAATTGGAACCACTGCAAATGTTGTCCTCGAACCTTTCCACGCAATGCTCATTGGTTCACTCGCTGGAATTGTTTCAGTTATTGGATATAAATATTTGACAGTAAGTTTAATACATATTTTCTAATAATCATCAAAAAATATTTCAGCCATTCCTTTCTAACAAATTGGGAATTCATGATACTTGCGGAGTTAACAATCTCCACGGTATGCCAGGTCTTATGGCTGGTATCGCATCCGCAATTTTCCTCTTCGTTTATGAGGAATCAAGATACGGTCAAGAGTGAGTTGTTGGAATTCAAAAAAATATATCGTATCTCAAATAATTTCCAGCTATTCCACAATTTATTCCGGAATGACACGTGGTGCTGATGGTTCTCGCGCATTTGATGAAAAAACACAAGCAATAAATCAACTTCTTGCAATTGGTCTCGTTCTTCTTTCATCAATAATCACTGGTTATGTCACTGGTTTCCTTTTGAAAATCAAGATCTGGGATCAAGTTCGTGATGCTGAATATTTCGCCGATGCTGATTATTTCGAAACACCTGGCGATTACGATTTCACATCTCGAATAATCACTTCAATTGATCGCGTTGATGTTGCCGAATATCAACCATTAACCCAAAAAGATGTCTGAAAAAACGAAATACTTTATTTTAATAGTTCTAGCTAACACTAAGTACTCTAACAAGAAACAAAACATGAAAAAATCTAATAAATAAAAAAATACATATTATTATTATTGCACCAATCTGAGAACACGTTGAAGATTCGAAACCACCTCATTTATATGACCATTTTTACTACGGCATACATTATTTGGATCGGCTCGCGACAAAAATCCCTTTTCGCGTAATGTTCGAATTGAATTTTTGAATGAGTCACTATTTATAGATTCCACTAAAAATGTTGAAATTAATTAGGAACTCTTTTCTCATGATGAAAAAAAACTTACAAAGTGGTTCAAAAGGCGGTTTAACATATCCTTCTTGTTCAGCAAGAGCTGCTTGACAAAGATCTCTAACAAACTTATTTTCTGGAATCGGATTTTCTGCGCATTTCGGTGAGGCAACAAATGTTGTGACAATATAAAGCGATTGGATGAATGGCCGAATCAAATTTGAATAAAACACCAAAATCTCAAAATCGTTTTCATCTTTGATTCTGACATGAACTGGTTGATTTTGTGATTCAACATCGCCAAATCCACCCATATCTTCATAATCTGATCTCAATACTCCATTAACTGGATGACTCCAATGTTCAGTGCTTAAAATATCGTGGCAAATCTCTCTCAAATCATCGCAAGGTTTCGCGAACAAAAAATCATATTGCAACCAATCACAAAGTGACATTGTATCATCAATAATCTCTTCAATGTTCACCATTTTACCCATTTCTCGACAAACCAAACTCAACGCTAGAAAAAATTTGAGAGTTTTCACGGGAAAATCAAAATATCTCACTCACCCAAAGCACTTTTGATCGAAAATCGACAAATGATGGCATTTTTATTATAGGCAAGATTGACAAGCGATTTGTGCTCCAAAATTGGACGAACAAATTGTTGATCTTTCAAATATTCCACGCAATTTTCAATTTTCTTCAAAGCGTATTTGACAATTGTTTCGCCGGTTGTTTCATTTGAAGTATATCCAACAACATCGCCACCTCCGGCAATTATTTTCTCACACAGCCAAATTGTATCATGTTCAAGAGTTCGAATGTCAGCCCCCTAGAAAATAGAATTGGAAATTGGATCTTCGAGAAACAGGAATTCCAAAAATATAATTTCACCTTTCTAAATTTGGCCAATAATAAACAAGATACAATCGATACTGCTGAAATTGAGCACATCATTTGAGCCTCGTGAACAACATGAAATCCAATAGCTCGAATCATTGATCGATCATCAACAGTTTCAGAATGTGTTCTATGCCAAGGAACCAATTCACGATATGAAAATGAATGTGGTAATCTTGTGAGAGCTGTCGGTTTCGCATTTTTACACGCCAATGCTGCTGTCATTGCTGATAAATACGTTGTCAATAATACAGGTCTTCCATAATGCATACGAACAATTCCACATTGTTTTGATTTACTGAATCCATCGAAAATTCCTTTGAAAACACCCATAACACTTTCACGAACTTTTGGGATTCCCATTAATTCATTGAGAAATACACCTTCAACAACTGCATCATAAGTATATGAGACTGGAACAAGATAACAATCTTTGATAATTCCTTGTTGAACAGCTTGAACAACATTTGAAATCAGACCATTTTTTGGAGGCAACACTTTTCCGAAACGATTTCTGGAAATAATTTTTTTGTTCGCCGTTTTTAAAATGAAATTCTTTTAGAATAATATTTTGCATCTAAATTAACAATCACTCCAGAGAATTACAGAAAAATAGACTTGTTTGATTCTTGTACTCACCCTCAGAAATAGTACTTTTCACAACCAGTTCTGATTTTTATTCAAATACCTTAAGCTTGATACCGCTATAATTTTTGCATTATATATTTTTGGTGGAAAAAAGGCTGAACATCATATCGTTTTGTAGTTTTGTACTTTTTGTTTTTGAACATAAATCATAACATATTAAATAAGGGGAAGCTCTTCCCACAATCTATCATTCTCAATCTTCTAATTACAATGGATTTGACATTTCAAATCTATCATACTGTATTTTCAACATTTGGTATTGCAATCACCACATTACAGGGTGCGCCATAAATACGTGGACAGCTATAATTCAATATTATTTTCAAATTTAGAACAGTTTTTTGTATATCGTTTTTAAAATACTTAATTAGGTCCCTAACGAGTAAATTAAAACCAATATCTCTTAGTTTGGTCGATTCTGCGACCTGGGAAATCTTGTGGAACTTCGGGAAAAATTTCATCTCGGCACGCTGCCATTTGTCGGACATATTGTCCCAATACTTGAAAACTAGGTTCTGTATAGTCTAAATACATGATTGGAGGTTTACCTAGAACCTTTCCGATAACTAATTTGAAAGAAATTATGCAATGGGTTGGTTTCTGACAAAAATAAAATCAATTTAAAAATGTTGCTCAAATCGAAAAAATTGTTTCTCAACAGCGATTTTGGGAGATTTTATCTTTTATTGTGTATTGTGATTGGCTGGAGCACTTGATGTTTGTTATCGAGGTTGATTTTCATTCTTAGGTACATATGTTAGTCCAGAAATACATTTATCTCAACTTTACTCCCGATTTTGACCCCAAAATCAATGGAGATCAATGATTGCTCCCAATGAAGCAGACTGTTCCAAAAATCTCCACCCAAACTTGGTGTGAGACATGGTGGACAATTTTATATTTTTCTTGGCTTCTTGGGACTCTCTGACAACCCCTCAAACATTTTACAACTCAAATGAAGCCTTCGCAATAAAAATAATTCCATCCAAAAATAGCGAGACCACTTTTTCATTGTTTTGCGTGCCGTGATGAAATTTTTCCCGAAGTTCCACAAGATTTCCCAGGTCGCAGAATCGACCAAACTAAGAGATATTGGTTTTAATTTACTCGTTAGGGACCTAATTAAGTATTTTAAAAACGATATACAAAAAACTGTTCTAAATTTGAAAATAATATTGAATTATAGCTGTCCACGTATTTATGGCGCACCCTGTACTTTTGTTCACAGTTTACAAAAGAACTCCAAAAAATATGAGAACTTATAGTTTTCTTATAACAAATATGGCAATCACCGATTTTTCAGTTTGCATTTTTAATTTTCTAGTAATGCAACGTCTAATTTCATGTGGATATTCTATTGTTTACATTTCAATGGGACCATGTTCAATGATTTCTCCACATTTTTGTTATTCAATTTACCTAATTATGCTACATTTTTATACCCATACAATGTGGTTACTTCTATTATCTTTTCTTTATAGATTTTTGATATCGAAAAGTTATAAATTCAGTCCTAGAAAGATTCAATCAATCATCGCAATATTTTATATTCCATCATTTTTTGAAATCATAAACATGTTTATAAATTCTGTTAACGAAAATACTGCAATCCATTCAATGTTCGAATATTGGCCAAATATTGATATATCCGGATATACACTAACTTCGGAAGAAACAATTTTCGATTTCATTGTGATGTATGTCATAATTCATTTTCTTTTATTGGGTTCTCCGATGATAATCGTCATTATTTGTATAAGAAAATGTATACTGAACAATATTTCAAAAATGATGATTTCTGAAGCATCAAAACGTTTACATTATCAGCTACTCAAGGTATTCCAAAATGTAATCTGTTTTTCTTAAAACCCCTTTTATATTTTCAGGCTCTCACATTTCAATCTTCAATTCCTATAGTTTATACAATTGGTGGAATGTGTTATGTTATTCAACAATTTCAATTAACTTCTTCAATTCTACCACAATACCTGATGTATGCAATACTAATCATCGTTCCAATTCTCAATTCTTCCGCCTCTTTGATATTCATTGGTCCATATTGGACATTCATTAAAAAAAGAAAGAAAACGCCTATAGTTTCAGTGAACACTTTTACATACAGTAATGGTGTTTACATTGGAGTGAACTAGTATATTATTTGTTTTCTCTATTTTCCTACTGTATATCTGATGATATCATTAAACCACGACTATAACCTTCAACGGCTTCCTCTCCGTTAATGTACTTTTTCTAATTATTTTTTGTATTACTGTAGCACTACTGATGGAAGTTAAAAAGTACATTGAATAAAGTGTTGAAAATAGAACATTGATCGATAGTTCATCGATAAAATTCTGGAATGTTTCAGAATAATATATTTGAGGAACTAGATGAAATTAGACAATGTGTTCATCTCGATTAAGATACAATAAAAATATGATTTTTTGTAAAATCAATGTTACTATTTCTCAAATTTTCACTAATTTCAGGTGATATCAATTTTCCGCTCATCTGAAAAATTCATAAATGAATAAAAAAAGACGTAGTGGCAAAAAACACAAGATTTTCTCAGCTCGTACTAATTTTTATGATTTCGGAACTTTTTTACTAGTCCCTTTCATATTGAACTATTTTTGACACTATGCTTCTAGGAAAATCAAGAAAAAAACATTATTTGTTTTTGATATTTCAGATTCCAACGAAACGAACGATTTTCGGATGCTTTTTTCCACTATGGATCCATAACTTCTTTGGCTGTACACGATGTTCTTGATTTTTAGCACTTTTCTCCTACGTATAGATCACGAAGCTTTGCACAATATCCGTCTCGATTTCCCCACTTCTTTTGCATCTGCACTTTTGATAATTGAAAAGATATTCCTACCACAAAAGCAAACGCCAAACGATATTTCGTCTACCTTTCCTAGTTATTATCGGAAAATGTTCTATCAACTTTATCATGGTTTTAATTCCGTTTTAGGGTGTTCGCTGAACATAATTCTTCTTATCGGAGCATCGAAACGGACGCCGAAAACAGTGCAAAAATATGGAAAATTGATTTCAAATGTCGCCATGATTAATATAATTATTTGTGTTCTCAATGTTTTGCTCTTGGAATGCTTGTTAATTCAGGAAAATATAATTATTCACATATCATTTAGTATTCTACCATTCAATGCCACCAAAGTACTTCATCTACTGCATTATGTTATGGTGAATTCATATATTCACATTATGTTGTTATACCTGTTTTCCTTTTTCTATCTTTTTCGAATGTCAAAATATCAAAAAGTGAATGGAGTCTTCATTCAATCGTTAACAGCTTCGATTCAAATTTCAATATTCTTCCAAGCCAATTTCATTTTCAAGAATAATTCAGAAAATGAGATATCTTCCGAAGTATTATATGAAATCGGAAATAATTTCAACTTATCAGAAATCGTTTATTTTTCCGAATCAATTTTCGATGTCTCAGTTATTTACACAAATATATTGATATTATTGATGAGTTTTCCAACACTTTTTGTTGTTCCATTCTTTTGGACAATTATTTCTTTGAGCTTCAAAACTTCAACAATTTCCCCGATTTCCCAACGTTTGAATATGCAATTACTGAACGCTTTATCATCTCAATTTTGCATTCCAATTATCTATACATTTGCAGTTTTGATTTTTTCTTTTCAATTATTTGAAATATTTGATCAAAGTTACCTACAATATATGATTTTCTCAATCCTTATTCTAACCCCATCAATAAACGCAATTTTCTCATTGTTTTGCATTGGACCCTATAGAACATTCATTTTTGGTAGTTTTTTCGAGAAAAAGATTAAAGTATCGCCAGCTCAACTAACAAATAGTAGCAATTATGGTGTTTATATCGGCTAATATAATATGTAGAATCAATAATTCATAACTAACTTTTGAATAAATCATTTGATAAATAAAATACACTAACCTTGTTCCTTCCAAGAAGAATTCAATCGGCAAATCTTTTTTCAAAACTTGTTCAATATACGAATGCAAAATAGCTCTATAGAAAACATCCTTTCCTCCTTCATCATCCGGATTTACTCTTCTTCTAATGAAAAATGCGCCAGTTGCACGAAGAAGCCATCCAAGTCCACTGAGATTCAAATTATCACCCGAAGCAATATGTGGAAGTTTTAGACGAAAATGCCAATTACACCAAGTAATAAGAAGATAATCAAGATGACTTCGATGAAGTGGAAGATATACAATTGGAATACCGCTTTCTTCTGCTTTACGTATTCTATTCAATTCATCTGGACAAACCAATAACTTGGTCATCAATCGCCGGAATACCTGAATTAATTGAAAATGGTGTTGTCAAAAAGAGAAATAACTCACTTTGTACAATAAATATGAGCATATTTTACAAACAAACTTCGATAGATTCGCTTGAATCTCTTTGAAAAATTTGACGGCTTTTGATCGAAGAGAAGAAACAGATGTATTTGAAGTTTTTAACAATGTTTGAATAGTTGATTCGACCCGAGGAGAAGTGAGAACATCTTTTGTAACTGATGGATAATTATGAGGTAGAGGGGTTGACATGCAATATCTGATATCCGCAAACCAGCGGGATGGCTTCTTCGATTCGTCAAGAATCGGATAAGGAATACCATTGAACTGAAAAAAAAAGAAATAATAAAGCAATTCACATAATTCAATTTTTCAATAAACAAAAGTCATACATTCGAAAACTCCAGAAGATCGACATAATTCCCTCTTGATGGAACTTGCTCTTGGATCATTGGAAAACATGTGTCACAATGCGTATCCAATCTTCTTGCGTTCGAAAACTCGAAGTTCATATTCATCTCCGGTCGCTTGAAACTCTACAAAAAACAACAAGATTGATAATTCCATCAAAAAATGATAACAAACTGTTTGTCTGACGAAATTTTTGAAAAGACTGCCTCCATTGTCGCCAGCAGCATTCATCTGTAACGTGTACTTTGGTAGTGATACAACTAAAACAGGAAAATTGACAAAAAACAGTGGTGCCTCGATCGAGAAAAAAATGAAAAAGTGTTTTCCAATAGAAGTACACACATTCCTCGGCCATTTGGTTTTCTAGGCCATTAATGTGTGATGTTTGGAGGCAATTTGAAATTCTGTGCTCATTGACTTTTCCTAGCAACCGGAAAAATGTAACACTTTGGTTGTCAATTCATTTCCAATTACCTATTTCTGGGTGTGTTTATGAGCTGCGAATATCGTTTTAAAATGCATTTGGTTGTTGTTTCGCTTTTTTCTCATTTCTCATTCGATTTTTTTTTTCTGTTCGTGGATTTGAAACAACCCCCACTTGACTTTCATTTATGACCTTTAATCGAGAAAAAAATATTTCGTTTTTTTTTGCTTGAAATTTTTTAGACACTTCCCGTTTCCGCTATTTTTCTCATTGCAATGCTTTCTCACATATTGGAGTCTATCATGTTCTATTTTTAATATTTCGTATGAAAATTGAGAATTCTGATGACTTTTTTTCGTGAAATGTTCAAATGTTCCAAAAAAATTTCAAAAGTCACAAAACACATATTTCAACTTGCAAATTATTAAAAATTTATAAACTTTCTTTAAAAAATCTAGCTTTTTACCGCCGTCATTTCAGAAAACTTCCAAAAATATCTATTTCTCGATAAACATACTTCCTGTCTACTTAGATACACTTATTTTCTCAGTTCAAGGCTCAACTGAAAAAAGAGGAAAAGTTCAGAATTTTTCCGAAGACAAAAGAGGAAAACCCGGGGAGCCGTGAGCAATTTTATAAATGGATACATTTTGTATTATTCACATCTTATGTATATTATATTTTTCAGATTTTTCCTTTTTCCAGTTATTCTATTCATTCGGAAACTTTTTTCTTTTCTTTTTTTTTTTCTAAATACTAATCCAATCATCAAAAAATGGCTTCTTTTTAATGCGCTGATATTATTTATGTATGTAAATAAAAATTCTCAAAAATACTTTGTTTTTTTGATTTCGAAAAAATAAAGATTTTTATGGTTTCCCACTTACCTTTTCGCCGAATGTTTCCGTGCCAGTTTGTCCAGACTCATTAATAAAAATTGAATGAATAAATAATCTTGAGTTGTTCGTTTGATTCGAAAAAAATTGAATTGAAATTCCAAAAATCATTTTTTTTTCAGCTGCCTTGCAAAAATATTTTTCGCAGACAATTTTTCTGGTAGATCAATTAAAAAGTATAGATTTCATATACATAATTGCTTGTTCGTGTGAAATTTGAATTTCTCATTTTTCTCAATCCAATTTTGAATTGAATTGTGCCTGAAAATTGAAACAAATTAATTTCAAAATCAGAAAAAGAATATGTTTCAATCAAAACTGTCACAATAATTTTTGGAACCTCACATCATTTTTCTTCCCTTTTTCCGTCTGCTCAATTTTGTTGTTTTCTCTTCCAAAAATCGTCGTTTTTCCAAGATTCTCATCCAACATTCATATTTGATCAACTCCTTCTTGTTCTAGGTCATTTTTTAGTGTTATGAATACATATTTGATTCATCTATTCTCATTCCATACTTCCTCCCTCTTTATTCTTTTTTTCAACATAGCTTTTCAACTGACTCCGCCTTTTTTAGCAATTCGATATCCGGTTTTCGAACTTCAACCAGTCTCTTTTTTAATATTTTTATTTGTTTTACCTCATTCAATTTTTTGAGCCAAAACATAATTTTTCACAGATTCAAAGATGATGCGAATAAAAGAGGCAATTCAGCGTAAAAAGCTGATCCATGAGATGAATGAAGAATGGAAAGATATTGATTATGATCTTGTGCCAGGAATGTCAACATCTCAACCAAATCGATGTCCAGCATCACCATCGATTCGAAAATCGTACGGGTCTTTTCGATCAATGCAAAATGAAGAATTTGAGACTCCGGAAACCAGATTACATAATTTTGTTTTCTATTTATCCGGGAAATTGTCAGATTTGCAGGTTTCGTTTTTTTCGGGAGATTCTGATATATATAAATCAAAAATGGGAAAAAATAAGGTAGATCAATGATTATCTGGGTCACGTTTCACTTTTTTGGTAGTTTGCTCATTTAATTTGAAAAAATTTCAAAATTGAAAATGAAACGTCATAAATAATTTCCACACTTTTCACGTAGACTAATCCACTTGATACTTTGAAAACTGGCTACAATTAGACCCAATACTTTAGGTCGGAGTTCATTTTTTTCCCGATTTTCGTATGACGCATTTCATTTCCCATGTCATACTTTTTATTATCAGAAAAAATCCAATTACTCACTATAAAAAATAATCACGCGCACGCACGCACTGAAAAAATCAACAAATAAAAATTAATAATTTCCGCTCCGGAAATTATTCTTTCTCATCCGAAAACGGCTAAAAATAAATGATGTTTGTTTGCGGATCTATATCATGACTTTTATAACATGACTTTTTCGCAGAAACGAGCTTTGAAAATCACATGGCGTCGATTATCAGAAGCTCCAAAAACATCCGGAAGAGGAACATTACATATAATGGAAAAAGTGTTGACAAAACTTTGTGATCAATCACCGGGAGTTACTGCAATTTTCTATAAATCTGCATTTTTGTCGTGTATTGAGGATCGGAAATGTGGAAGAAGACAACAAGCATCGATTGCTACTATTAGGTATTTGTTTTCAATTTTTGGAATTCAAAAAAACTAATTAATTAAATAAATATTTCCAGGGATCATGCTCATATCCTAATCACATTAATCGACGATATTCTTCATATAATGTTCGAGGGACCACTTCAAGTTGTCAAATATGATCCGGTAACAATTGGTGAAGTTCATTCTCGTTTAGCACCTCTTGGTTTCGATCGTGCAATTTGGCATGTTTTTGGAGAATGTTTTGCTGAGGTACGTGTTTTTGTGTATGCGAAGTGTAACAAATATGTTATTTTTTCTTGTTGTTTTTTTCAGGTGATGTTTATGCAAGAATGCATTCGTGCGTATCCACACGCTCCTTCCGCTTGGTCATTGTTGGCTGTAGCATTGACTGATCGCATTTTCTCATCCTCCAAATTATCATTATCGGTACAGTTTTCATCTTTTTCTTTTTTGGCCAGATGAAGTTGCACTTTTGATTTCTGAGCTCAAGGTTCGGGGATTTCCGATAGATCCTATATTTTTGTGAAGTGAAATTGTTCTATGAAAAATATTTTGAGACAAACATTGTCCACGTTTCTCTCTCTTTTTTTTCGAAAAAACTCTTCCTGCTGACTTCATAGTTGTAGATATTTGCAACAATGTCTTTTATTCAAATTTCAAATCAAATATTCGTACGCCAACAACAATATTCTCAAAATAAAAAATGTTGCGATTTCCTCGAACATCATTCGAAAACTCTAATCCTAATCGGAACTCTTTGAGGTCAACAAACATTCTATTCTGTCATGTGATAAAAATTTTGAAACATTAAAAATCAGATTTTATTCAGAAATCTCGAAATGAGCCATTCCCATTACACGAATCAACATCTTCAACAGTTCAATCAGCTCCTCCAGTTCCACCTCCTCGAAAAACTGCGAATATGCGCTGCCCATTTTTCTCTTCAACAATCAATCCAACTCCTGCATGTTGTCCACATAAAAGAGCTTTGCCAACTCCTCAACCACTTCAGAATCGATTCAGTTTGGTAAGATCAAAGATCAGAAGATTTGAAAAATATTTCATCTACAGAGTATTGGAAACTGTAAATACAGACTTTTTATACTTTTCTAAAAAATCTTAAAAATATAAAATATCTATTCATTCAACTTTTATCACAACAAAAATAGTATTGCAGGATCTATCCGAAATCTCGACTTCTTCAACAAACAACGACGACGACGATGTATTTTTCTCAGCGCGTTCCCATTTTGAAAATGATCAACCAGCTCCTCCGATCCCACCACCTCCAGTTGTGCCACAAAGAAGATTGCCGATGTTAATGATGACAACTTCAGTTTGCGATGAAAGGTAAATATTCATCATTTGAAATTCTTCAGAATCAAAAATATATATCAATTTCAGAACGTTTTATGATAATCATCATCGAAAATATTCAATCCACGAAAGCCGCCCTCGTCGATCTCGAAGTGTTCATCATAATGCTCAATTTCTTCGTTCGAAATCTGAAGCGCGTCTCCGTCTTCAACGCGCCAATCGAGACCCAAGTTATGTATGAAAATTACGGGTTTAAGAAGTCTTTATTGTATGTATAAACAGAAAATAAAGTAGTTCTGTTTCGATGAAGAATCTGTAAAAAATCTTTTCAGTTTTCGCAATTTTATTTTGCTGGAGAACTATCAAAGATTTCTTACCTGCTCATAATTTTTTTCTAATCTAATAGCAATAATAAATAGGGAGTTTTAACGTGGTCAACAGGGTTTTTATAGGGTTATTGTTTGCACAATCACATTTGACACATCAAATGTCAGAAGTCAATAATATATCATATATATTTTTTGACACATTGGTTTTGGTTATGCATACAAATCGAGCGGCGGGTTTCTATGGTGATTGATAGTAATTTTCGAGGAAGAAAATGGAGAAGAAGTAGGAGAAATATGGACATTTTCGAAATTGAATCAGGGTTTCATTTCGACATGAGAAACCTTTGGACAAATTCAGGGAAATGTACGGAATTTGAAAAAAAAATCGGTCTTCGAAAAATATGATCATTGGTTCGAGAGCAGGAAATTTCACATCAGCGGATAGATTTGTGAAAAATATTTTTTATTGGTTTGAACATTTTCTTTTCTGATCCTCAATTCAGTATTTATATGGTTACGGTTTCCAGAAAAAAGTTCCAAAAAACTACTGAAAGGTAAAATACTATTCTTGAACCCCCATCATTCTTTCACATCAAATGTCACCTCAAATTATAAGTGAACTTTGAAGGGTTCCGTTTTCCGTTTTCTCCTTTTTCTTTATGTGCCGGAAGGAACATCAATTTGAATGAGAAATATGTGTGTGTATATACTACTTATAGAATATAAGAACAAAAAGAAATGCAAAAGAGATAGATGAGAAACAGAAGTCACTCCGCGAGTTGAACTAACTTAATGCGTACGTTTTATATCCGGCCACAGGTTGACTTCCAATTTTTGTGAGTAAGTGAGTACACCTGTCGGCTCGCATTTTTCATTTTTTTTTTCTTCTTTTTGAAGAAAATAAAAGTTTTTCTATTTATTTTTATTTTTTTCCAGCTCTAGTATACTACAGTTATATTTTTTTTCACATTCAAAAAAAAATCCAAAAGCCACGCAGGCCGAGAATAAAAGAAAACAAATAATGAATATTTCATTATTCATGTCAGGTTGTATGTATTCAGATCCAATAAATCATGTGTGAGAATCACTGGTCTCTTTTTTTAAATTTATTTATTTTTCCATGGAACATCTGAAACCAATTGTGAACTCTCCATCTGTTTCAAATTCCTGGAATGAAAAAAATAAATGTTTATTCTTTTTTTTTGTCTGTTGAAAACGGCTGGAGCCGAAAAGAATAGTAATAATAAAATGTCCGTTGGGAAATATTTATAATCATCAAAGGCTTTTGAAACTTGGGTTTGAAAAATATTCACACGTCTTTTTTTCAATTGTTTTTTTTACTTGTTCCAACAAAATTTCCTGTTTTTTGTATACAAAATTTTTTCTCTGAAAATTCAATTTTTGAGATTTCAAGCAAGAAATACACAAATCTCACATCTCTTTAGATACTTCTCAACTTTTTCCTCAACTCTTTTTTTTTCCAGCAACACATCGTGACAATCGTCCCCCAAGAGGTTAATTTTTCAAAATCGGTTTACTATATACTTTTTTGACTCGTTTTTTTTTTCGTGAACCGCGCAGTTTTTTTTCTTCAGTGTAGTGTGGACGAGCCAGGCTCAACTCACATCAGGAATTAGTTGTTTTGTTACTTTTCTGTGTCTGTGCAGGCAGTTTCGAGAAACAAAAAAAAAAACATCAACAAAAAAAGAAAGCTTGAAGGTGTTCTTCTTCCAATGAAATTTTATGGACCTTGAGCTCATCTCACACACCTTCTTCTTCTTCTTTCATTTTTTTTTTCATATTTTTGTGTTGTTGTATTTTTCTATTTTTTTCTTCTTCTTCTTCTTATTTTCCTGTTCTGCTTCTTCTTGTTTTGTTTTGTTATGTTATTATTTTTTTGTGTTGCATTCATATTGTTTTTTTTTTCATTTTTTCTGTAAAGAGATTTTTTGAGTACCTACAGTACTTGAGGAGTTTTCCAGAAATGAGCCAAACTGAATTTGGTTTATCTAAATCGGGAATCTTGAACGTCAAATCCAATTTTTTAAGGTACCTTTTACAAAGATCTCCCACGAGGGTCTATGACAAATCAGAATATAGAAAACTTCCAAATGAATTTTTGTTCACCAATACATTTCTTCCTAAACTCCATCCACCCCCCCCCTCCCCCAATGCCACCCAAAAACTAATAAACTACACCATCTTCCTCTATTTTCCTTTGACTCATTTCAATTTCATTTCACACATTTCCATCAACTGTCACCGTCATTTCTCCCATGTTTTTTCTCGCCTCCTGTGATGCACTTCTAATCCACCCCCAGTTTCGATCCATCTTTTCTAATTCTTAATTTAAATACCCTTTGACAATTTTTGTCTTTGCAGAGCAGAAAAAAATAGTGCGATATTTCCTACTTTTTGTTACATACGTTCAAAAATAGAACAACTAACTAGTTGGGCTAATTTGCTTTTGAGGAGCAGAAGAGCTAAAAAACCAAATTATAGGTTCCAGAAAGAAGTAGCCAGTGGTCACCTGAAGATAGTAAATAATTATTATTTTTCATATTTTTCAAAAATCTAAAATGTTCATCCAAGTTGTTGTAAACACTTTACCAGGCTAGTAAAAATAGTAATAATAATAATAATAATAACCATGTGTTCCTATTTTCCCCTTCTAGTTTTTTCATTTTTTCAAGTCAAAAACGAATTGAAATGTCTCGCCTTTTGTTGTTACTTCCCTTCATCGTCTTCTTATTCTCCATCCTTCTTTCAAGTACCCCTTCTTATTTTTTTCGTGTATGTGCTCCCAAATCAAACTCAATTTACTTCTCGCCTTTTTTCTTCCTGCGCAACGTGTGTTTTTTGTCTTTTTCTCCATTTTTTGCTGGTCTTCTGGAAGAAGAGTCAATTTTTGACCTTTTCCAGTTAGCAGAACATCATCATGTTCCCTCCTTTTTTGGTTTTTTTTTTTTTTTTCCGTTTTGGATTAGGGATCGTCGACACGGATTAGGAAAGTTTTTCTGATCCGATTTTGTTTCTCTTTTTTTTTGAATTCAAGACCATTATATAAATTAAATTGTTTAGAACTCGTAGGTGTGAGAAATCAAAGTTTTGCACTTACCTTTTTTGTGATTGAGATTATAACTTTTTTTTAAATTTCATAGTTCTATTTTGGATCTAGATTTCTATGTTTGTCATTATCAGAGCGAACATCTAATTTTTCACTGAATTGATCACGTTCAATTTTTTCAATTCAAAATCTAATTTAATTCTAATTTGTTTCGAATTCACCCGATGGAATCTTTTTTTTCAAATTCATTCTAGCAGAAATCAACGGAAAGCTGATTCAATTCTGTGGCTTGATTCTGAATTCCAACTCGGACATCTTAAAATTCCGATTCCTTGAACCCAATTTAGAAAATCCCAAAAAAAGTTGTCATACTAATATTTCCTCTCATCGTATTGTTGTTGTTTTGTTTTGTGTCTCCTCAAAATTTCTGATTGAATGCACCCGATGGAATTCAAACCACTTGAAACTTTTTTATTCATCCCATCCCATCCCAAAATGTGTTTCAAAAAAGTCATTTTTCCTGCTCATTCTCACTCGTTTTTTCTGTCCTCCTATGACTAGAATATCCAATTTCGTGTTTATTTTTACTATTACATACTTGTTATGTTTTTTTTCGCGCCGCCGCTTTCTTTCAAAATCCATCCATCTACAGATTATCCTTTTCCCTTGTGTATACACATAATTTTTTCCGAGAAACAAAGCTTGAATATAGAAAAAAAACCCGAAATCGAGAAAGCGAATAAAAATTGTCGGACATTAACTAGAACATGAAATGAATAATGTGAATTTGAATGGGAAGAGTCTTCTGAATTTTCGTTGGAGTAAAAGAAGAGATGAGATAAAAACGAGCCGAAGAGCAGCCCATGGAGAATAGAATACATCGTTTTTTTTGGCTGGTTAGATGTTGCTCTTGTCGAGAGATGAAGACCGGCTCTCGATTTAAATTTTATCGTTTTCTCTTTTTTTCGCGCGTAGTATTCAGATGTTGTTTTGTGAATGTGTAAATTTTTGGAGATTGGGTTTTTTCGAAGTTGGAAAAAAGTTTTCAAGATTTTAAATTTTTAAATATTTTTTTGGATTATCACAGTGAGAAACGGTCCCATTTTGAGAATCTCTTAACCTTACCACACAAAATTACAGTATCAAGTATCTCTGAAAAATTTAGATTGTATCAATTCCGTCCCTGAATCAATTTTGAATGTCTGATTTGGTCCAAAAACTATTCAAGTCTACATCTAATCATTTCAAAATAAAAATGAACTTTTGATCTTCTGGGAAAAAATCTCATAAATATTTATGGATTTTCAAATTTTCCGTAAAACCCTCTTTCCAAATATTTCCCGAAAAATCAAATGAATTCTGAAAAAAAAACGATTTCCTAAATCCTCCAAATCCTTTTACATACATGTTTTAAAAATTCAGAATTTTTCAATCTCCAAACTATGCCCAGCTCTCTCTTGAACACATCTCGATTTTGTTGAACGCATTCTTATCGCTCTCAAGAAATCTATCTCAATTATATTTCAACTCCTTTTTCTCTGCTCTGATCAGAGCTGAAAATGAAAAATTTATAGGAATATTCTGTCTGGATTTTTTGTGTTTTCGAAATTCTCTTTTTTAGAAGAAAAAAATATGAATAGAAAGAATAATTGAATCTCCGGTATTTGAAAGATTTATGAGAAAATAAAATTCGAAAAACTTTTTGTGCTTCTGATTTTTGTGTTCAAGAACAAAAACACAACTTGACTTGTTTGAACATAATAGTAATAATATAATTCAATAAAAAACACCAAGTTTGTTTGATGTCCATCTTTTTTTCTATTTCAAACAAAAACCCAAACTTGTCTCCTAGTTTTTTTTCCGTTTCCAGTATATGTGTTTTTTCAAGCTGTCATTCAGTCAGTCATTCAGTCCGTCAAGTCACCATCAATTCATTTTATCCTTTTCTGTTTTTTGTCGCTCCTTCCATCCACATTTAATTTCACGTTATTTGTTAGTTCAACTTTCTCCGGATTTGAATTTTTATTTACATATTTTTTTTGCGAACATCTGCTCTTTTGTGTCGAAAATCTGTGCTTATTTCATTTTAATTCTAAAAAAGTGCTCAATAGGAAGTCATGTGGAACTTATTGTTTTGTTTTTTCACTGATTCAGAAAAATAAAATAATAAAAAAAAATTTCGGAAAGAATAAAATGAACTAAAACTTAAAGTGTGTAATCCGATTCATTCCAAAATGGAAAAGGGAGAAATCTGATATCTGTGATTTCGCCTTTCAAATTTTCCTCTTGTCCTTCTTGTTTCACCCTCACCCTCACATTTGAACTTCTAATTTTTATTGGTTTTTTTTTGCAGTTTATGGCGAAGCTGAAGTGGCGATGATGTTACAATTGCTGATTACGATCAGCTCAACGTTTCCAATTTTAGTCGTCAATTTTATATTTCGCGAAGATCCAAAAGAAATCCGATGCTATGAATTAGAGCTGGAAAATTGTTTTCGGGAAGCGTTTTTGGTGAGTTTTCAAAATTGTTTCCGAGCTTTCTAGATAAAAGATTTTATATGGAAAAATAGAAAAAAAAATGACAGGTTTATCTCAAAACTATGATTTATCATCGGAGGCCACGACGAACAGCGGAGAGTAAACAAAATGTATATTAGATGGGAAATGTGAAACTGTTGTGATAACAATGTAATACTGTTTGGGTTTAAAAAGTTTAAATTTTTTTTAGAGGTTTTTCAGTGGAATATTATTGAAAATAAATTATAGAAATAATTTTCTGAAATTAATCTCAAATGAAGTCTGAAAATCGATGAAAACGTCACTATTTCGTGAAAATTTTACAATTTTTCTGTACAACTACAGTAGTTGTTTTCAGAGGAGAGATTTTCAGAAATCTGAAGTAATTTCTGATAGCTAAATATTTTCTTTTATTTTTTGTTGATGAGAAAAAAGTCAATTTCCTATTGTTTTTCCGAAATATTTTCTCTCAAAAATAGAATTTCAATAATAAATCACCCAAAAGTTCCCCGTGTCGCATTTTCTCATCCCCAAATTCCCGTTAGTACAAGAACAAACTCTTCAAAACATTCTAAATTTTCCAATTTTCAGGGCGCAATTCATCCTCCTCTAATAATCAAGCGAGATGTTGCAATGTTTGCCAATGGAAATGTAACAGTTCTTGATAAACGAAAACGCGATCATCATCACCATAACCATTATACACATATGCAACAGATGGAAGATCCGAGAACATTTCAGATTTGTCACGATGTTCGAAAATTTTCAGCCTGTTTTATGTATCCGGCATGCACTGAACAATTAGCTGCAAATGTAAGGATTACTGTGGTTTGATAATATAGCAAATTTGAAAAATTAAGATCGCCTCCACTCAATATCACATGGTTTTCGGAAAAAAGCTGCCGAAACATGTTTTCTTAGCCTATCGTGGATATGGAACTCAAGTTTGCGAAAAAGCATGTTCACTGACGACTTGTGAGATTCGAAATCCAATGGAAAGTAAAGAAGAGCAAGGACTTGCATTGGAAATGTCAACTTTAAAAGGACATATTGATCCAGTACATAAAAATGATCTAACGTCAGCTTGCACGAGGTTCAAAATTGTACTGGTTAATGTAAGTTTTTTTTTGGAATATAAAAATAAAAATAAAAATAATTATATTTCACGAGCGTAAAAATTTAACATTTCTGCAATTTTAGCTTCTTCGAATTCGTCGTCAACATTGCGGCGAAGTAGCCAAATGCACCTGCAACGAGCCAGATATTCGACATAATATCGATGGTTGCGCAACAGGTTGCGAGCATTTACTCAAAATGGATCTTGACGCTCTTTCCGAATCATATTCCTCAACTTCTCTTCCATTTCCTCCATTTTTCCTCATTTGCGTTATTTTTCTCCGTCTTCTGATGTGATTTTTTATTCAACATGGGTCTTTCTTCTTATTATTTTTTACTTTTTCTAATTTTCAACATTCTCAACTATAGAATGTTTTTCTCATTTAAAAAAAAAATTATCTCACAAAAACTACTTTAATAGGTGGATTCAGTATATTTTCAATTTTTCTTGTCACGGGTTCAACATATTTTTTTGTCTTCGATAATATAAACTTATTTTTTTCTGATCTAGCACTGTTTACGACGAGAAGAAAAACGAGAGAGTGTGCGAACATGAGAGAGTATGAGAGATAGAGAGAAAGAAGAACACAATATTTTTCTTTCTTTTATTTTTTTTTGTTTTTGGTCATTTTGCACGTTTTTTGTTTATAGTTCGAAGATGTCGGATTCGCCAGAAGATCTTGGTGTTGATTTCGATGTGGTGGTTATTGGTGCGGGTATTTCGGGATTGGTGGCTGCCAGAGAATTGGAGACAAGAAGTCCGAAGACGAGAGTGAGTTTTTTCGTTGAAAAATTGAAGTTTCGTGGGAAAATCTTTTTTTTTTAATGAAATTGATTTTTCATATGCGATCACATGCAAGGCTAAATAACAAATATCTTGGAAAAAGTAAACAATTATTGTTTTCCGTCGAGTGTAAGAACACAGAGAAAGAATAGAGAGAAAAATGGAAAGTGCAAAAAAGGGAAACCGGGAAAAGACATTACCATAGTTGTTTTTTTGATCTCACTGATCTTTTGAACTTCTATTCTAATGATCGGAAAATCTGGTCTTTTTTCGGATTCGGGAAGTTCAAAAAATTATGTTTTTGGAATGATAAATTGAACGAAAGTGATCAGATTTTAGAGAGAATAAATATATGTTGTAAATATCAAAATGATAGGTTTTAATGTTTTCTCAAAACTCTGACATTAGTTTTTTGTGAAGTTAAAACTCAAATGGGTTTATTTCATGCATAGCCAACTATTAGAATTTTTAATTAGAAAATACCTTCCTTTCAAAGAGCATTTTTTAAAATAAGCAAGTTTTGACTATAATCAAAGAAGCATAGAGAAGTTTTTACAAGTTTACATAAAAGACACTGAAAAATGCGAAACAATAAAGCTTCTCATTTTCAGATTCTAATCCTCGAAGCAAAAGATCGTGTTGGTGGTCGAACTCTTGGAGTAGAAATGAAAACAGCCAAATACACCAAAGAGTATTTTGATCTCGGAGGACAATGGGTTGGAAGAACACAACGACATATTTTGGGGTTGTTAGATGAACTCGATTTCAAAACCTATGAACAATATGAGGATGGGGATAAAATTGCACAAATGGGTGTCTCGAAGCCAAGAAAATATTCATCGAAGTTGCCAGTTACTAGTTTAAGGTGAATCTTTTTTCTGAAAATGTTTCTTCAATAACACAAAAATATTCCAGACAATTCACCATTTTCGAAATTTTCGATTCAATTGCCTCATTCGCTAAACTCACTTGGTTAACAAGATTCATCAATCCATTTGATTATTTTTCATCAAAGAAATCAACGAATCTTGATGATATGTCTGTTTCAAAATGGTCTCGTGAAAATTGTTGGACTCGAGCGAATCAAGATGCAATCGATATTGCAACTCGAAGTATTTTTGGAGTTGAGCCAAATCGAATGAGCATGTTGTATAATTTAGTTGTTGCACAATCAGCTGGCAATTATTTGAATCTTTGCGAATGTGTTGGTGATGGTGCACAAGCTCTGAAAATCAATGGTGGAGCATTTCAAGTTGCTCAAAATTTGGCGGGAAATTTGGAAAATATTCGACTAGAACATGCTGTTTCTGAAATTATTGTTGATGAACAAACTGGAATAACTTGTATAAAAGGAATTGATTTAAAAAATAATCAAGTTTTCACTTTCAAATGTTTGCATGTAATCTCAGCAATCCCACCAAATCAATGCGGAAAAATCCAATGGACTCCAAGTTTACCAGATTTGAAACGACGATTATTTGATGGTTGTATGCAAGGAAATCTGATCAAATTTGTAGTCACATTCGAAGTTCCATTTTGGAAAACAAATGGTTTATCCGGAGAAATTGTTAGCACTGGAAGAACACCAAATATAGGCGAAGTTCATCCAATAATTTGCACTTATGATGGAACAACAGCTATTGGAGCACCAGCAATTATTGGATTTATGAATGAAGAATATGCTGATAAACCATTTAATGAACGATGCAATGCAGTTGTGAATGATTTGATTAGATTTATGGGAGATGATGCACTTCGACATTTTTTGGATTATAAAGATAAGATTTGGGCGCATGAACAATATAATGGAGGATGTCCAAGTATTTATGTGCCACCTGGACAAATGGATGCATATCAATATATTCGACAACCCTTTTACAAGTTAGTTATTAGAATTTTTTTTTTGGGGGGGGGGGGGGACTTTTAGAATTCGGCCTAGGTTCGTAAATAATTCACAAGTTTTAATTTCTCATTGAAACACATTATAGTGTTCATTTTGCTGGAACTGAAAGTGCCACAGAATGGATTGGTTATATGAGTGGAGCTGTCCAAAGTGGATATAGAAGTGCTCACGAAGTTCTTCAATGTATGGAAAAATTTGACAAAGTCACCTATGAACATCTAGTAAGAGTTAAGAATTTTTCGGAAAACTAGTCATCCTTTTTATTCTAGAAAGGCACAATTTACGATCAAGAGTATTGTCCTCCAAAACTTCCATCAAACATCTATGATGAAACCCGATCACCGTGGTGGCGTCGCCTTTTCTTCATGAGTGGTCTGCTTTTTGGAATCTATGCCTACAGTAGACATTATAGACTTTCAATTGTTGCTAGAACTGTGAAACCAATTGAAAATCGACTTGTCAAATACTTTTTCGATGTTGATTGGCCAGAGTGATAGATTTTTGGGTTCGAAATTTTCAAGAGTTTGATACAGGTAGACTATTTTATCAAGGTAAACAAGACAGTGAACATATTTAGAAATTTGTTATTTTCTCGTTTGAAATGAACACTTGATTTTTTTTTCAAAGCATTTACGAGTTCACGTTCAGACAAAATTTCAGATAAAAATTTATTTTCAAAAACAAAGTGTGATAGAAAAAATACCAGTAACCAACAAACAATTATATAATTTCTAAACGAGGAAAATTATCATGAACCCGCAATATTATTTTGCATCTGGAACTTTGTATCTTGAATAAGTTGTCCAATACCATAAGTTGAAAAATAGGAAAAGAGTTGGAAAAAGTGCACGTGACACCAAATCTGCACGTTTCGCATTATCCTGAACTTCAAACCGTCGTTGAAACCATCGATATAATCGAAGATTTCGTATAAATTGCGTAATTTTCAGTGTTTTTCGAATTTTTCTTGGTCCAAAAACGATTAGTTCAGCAGCCTCATCATTTAGATGATTTGGAATACCATTTGAAGTTGGAAGAGTTTGTCGAATCCAAACTTCATTGTCTTCTTCTAACGGTAAACCCATTTCGATATTTTGAGCAGGATCCGAAAATTTTCGAAGAGTTGTATTTGGGATAATCATAGCTTGTTTTGCACCAATCAATAAAGATCCGCGAGCAGAATCAACTGTTTTATCTGAAACAAACAAAAAAATACACTCGGAAAGATTTTCATGTTGACTTACGTCTATAAAAACTTCGAGATGAAATATAAGTAACCCATGCAAATTCAAGAAGAGCTCCAAAAATGAAAGTCAAACATGCTCCAATCCAAACATCGATAGCTTTTGTATAAGAAACTGGGGGAAGTTTTGCATTGATACCGGATGCTTGGGTTGTCATTGTTAGAAGAGTTGTAACTCCTAAAGTAACTCGAGCTGGAACTGCTCCACGATCCAACCAAAAGGAAACCCAAGAAACAATTACAAGCATAGTTGAAGGAATATAAAGTTGTAGGAGATAATAACTGAATTGTCGACGAAGTTCAAGTTTTGTTCGAAGACACGAATATACTCCTGTATTTGTTTGACTTGTGCATAAATCTGTTGTTACATTAGTCAATTCAAAACTTGGAAGTGAAGAATTTAGACCATTCTTTAGCTGCACGGGATTTTCAGGTTTCCATCGATATTCGATATCACTTTCTGTATAAGCATACGAAGCCAAATCAATTAGACAAACTTGAACATCCATTGGATAATCATTCAAATGCATCGGACAGGATAAAACCATTGATATTCTTACAGAATATAAGATTTTACCATCTTTATGAATTCTGATTAGAACATTTGGTTTATCAATAAGATGTCGATGTGCCATTTTTTCGTTCTGAAAAATTATTTGTTTAGTAAACATTCTAATTGAAAATACCTGAAAAAAGCTGTCTGGCATCCAAATTTTTTGCCCTGCTGTCAAAATGAGAAACGATGGATTTTCGTCGTTTGGTGTTCCATACGCCAATCTTCCATCAACCCATTCTTCTCGAAATGTTAATTGAACACTATATTCCATATTTACATCATCAATTTTCGAAATACTTCTGATTAACATGTTAACATTCACAATAACAGCGCCGTGAGTGCCTTAAAAGTTGAAGTTAGTCAGGTCTACGTTAGTTTGGCTAATATATGATTATTAGCTTTGTTGCACTATGTTTTTGGCTCACCGGGAATAGTTAGATTGATTCCAGGGGGTCGAACTCGCCAATCATAACCATGTTCAAGAAGTTTTTTGATGATTTCGGTATCGGAAGCAGCATCAGCAGAACTGCAAAAATTCAAAACTTTTAAGTGATGAGTTTGGCCTAGTATTGATTAACATGACCTAATTTCCTGGACGACAAAATGTTCGTATCTGAATCGGATTCAGATTTTGTCCTTGAGAAATCAGTGTGGGATCAGAAAATTATTTTCAAGATCTTCCAATTTTCATTTTTAGAATTTGGTATGACATTCTTGTGATTTGACAAACAAAGACTTCCTAGACAACTAGACCTCCCAAGAGAACTAAAATTATTATTGGAATCTGGTATGTCTGAGGTTTGTTTCATGTTAGCTACGAGCCACCTCGAAACTTACCATAACTCGAAAAGGGTGCATATTAGAAATACAATAACCAACAATCGTCTCCTCATCATTGATTTCGTTTATTTCACAAGTTTCGATAGTCAACAAAAACAAAAAAAAGTGTGAATATGAGTTAGCAGAGCAAATGGACACTACTAATACTCACTCAACCCTTTTTCTAACTCGACTCGCCACAAAAATTGGAAAACCTCATCATATAACGAGGTTAATGAGCCATTAGAATACGAGATGGATCATCATCAGGGTGTGAAGAAAAAATAGGAGAAGATTTATTTGGAGAAAAAGAGGAGGGTGAAGATGGAATTTGATCCGAAAGTCTGTCAAAGAAAAAATAATATGAAGATGTTGCGATTCAAGTTAGAAAGAAATAATATGACGAGATAAAAAATAGAGAAGGGATATGTAAACAATTAGAGGTATAACCCCAAGATACCTAGAAAAAGTACAATGATCTGAAGACAAAAAAAATAACGAGCTATCTGATCCTATTATAAATTATTAATCCGCGGGATTAATTTCGCTCCGTTATAAGGTGTCGGCGAAAAAAAATGCGGAGTATGACGTGAGAATCTTTGAACTTGTCCAGAAAGAAAAATTTGCATTTTACACTTTTGGCAAAACTTCAACGAAAGACCAAAAAAACGAAATGTTTTCTAGCGGAAATGCCCTTCCGGAAAGAAACTTTTTCTACATACACGTGTATTATTTTCAACGGTAGGAAAAAAGAAGAAAGTGAGAAGAAAGAAGAAGTGGGGTGAAAAATTGAAGAGCGTGAGAACGAAATAAAAGTTTTTTGAAACATCCTGACAAGTTTTAAATAGATTCAATTACTGTGGGAATCGATTTCGCGTGTTTTGGTGGAAAGAAGGCTTGAAAGGAGCCAGGAATATTTTTTTAAAGATTCTGATTTAGCAGAAGTTCGAGATTTTTTGTTAAAAAAGATATCTTGCACCAAAACACAACATTCAAAGAGTCTGGGAAACGTTTAAAATTTCAGGCTTTGCAAAACTGAACTTTTTGAAATTTTGATCTAGGAAGTAACATAAGACTCTTAAATTTCAAAAAAAAATCATTCATATAATTATCAAAAATTAATATCTAGATATGAATCCTTGACAACTAGGATTTCTAGGATTGACTGCTTGCCATAGAAATTTTAAAGACGCGGGTCCTAGACACTAGGTGCTATACTCTTGTTTTGTTTTTTTCTCAAACAGTAGATTTCAAAAATCACCAGACCTACTTGATTTTTGAACCACTCTAACTAGAATTGCGCCGAATTTTTAAACGAAATGTGACTAACATTTTCGGAAATGTTTCAGAAACAAAAATCTGGAATAATTCATTTGGTATAACAAGAATAATGAAGGGAATTGAATTGAAAGTGCAATTCATTGAATCGAAAATTTTTAAAGTTTTTCGGAGGATTCTGTATAATATTTTTCAAAAATATAGTAGAGCAATTTTGAAAGGAAAGGAAAAGAAAATAAATAATAATACTAATCAAAAATGTGTGAACATTTTGAGGAACTCTATAAAAATATTTTGTGAAGAGTTCCCAAAAATCTTTTTTTCTGATGCACAAAAAAACACACAAAGCAAAGAAGAAAGTTCACCTTGATTGAATTTACTCGTATGTCAACTGACTGTGAAACGGAAAATGTTAAAAAGAAAAAAAAACGAAGTAACACACAAAAAAAACGAAGATTAGGTTATGAATGAACAACAGAATTTTTTTTCTAAAGTTGTGCTCTTTTTCGTTGAAAATTACATTGAAGAAACACAAAAACGAGAAGGTTTTTGAAAAAAAGTTGAAAAAAACAGAGAAAAACGAGAAGATTTAAATTGGAAAAAGAAGACTTCCTTAAAACGTAAAACGGTTTTTGGAGTCGGAATAATTGCAGAAAAAAAAGATTTTGAACAGGTGAAAAAATCACAAAAACTTACATATCTTATGGCTGTGAAATCGAAATGAAATGAGGAAAACAAGTGTTCGGGGGTGGAGAATTGAATTAGACGGCAATTAGAGATTTGATCTAATCAAATAAAATTCGAAATGAAAATGAAAAAAACTAGGATTATTGAATTGTCGTTCACGCCATAAATTTGATTTTTCGAACAATTTTATATTGTCATTCCGAAAAAAAAAGAACCTTGGAAGAGAACCGCAATGGCCTAGGAAACCAATACTACAGTAGACTTCGCAAAATTTTGGAGTCTATTTGAAAAATGAAATGCGAAATTTACACGCTGGCTATTTGCCAACCAGTTTGATATGCATGTGTCACGTCATTTTTAGTCTACTGTACGTTCTTCAAGAAGTTTTTTGATGATTTCGGTATCGGAAGCAGCATCAGCAGAACTGCAAAAATTCAAAACTTTTAAGTGATGAGTTTGGCCTCTAGTATTGATTAACATGACCTAATTTCCTGGACGACAAAAAGAGCGCCAATTCAAACGGGGGTTCTTTTATTTTCGGAATGACAACAACTGGAAATCACATGCAAAAATGTTCAACAAATTCTGAAGTTATTCCAAGCTCAGATCTACACGACTAGGAAGAGTATAAGGAAAACCAGGCGGCTACAGACGAGCTGAAAAGTAAGCCAAGGTTCACTTTAAGCCTAAGCCAAAGATCGACAGTGGATTCGAATCTAAAGGTAAAGGCCAAGTCTTATAAAAAGTTTAACACCTGACCTCGTTGTGAAAACCAGGTCAAATGACGTTTTGCCTTGAGCACAGTTTGTATTTTTCCCAAGAAACAATTCCCGAAAAACCTACCAACAAAAAAACAACAGCAGTCTCCATAATAATATTCTTCTACACATTTTCATTATAGCTCTTTTTTTTGCTTCTTCTTCTATCTATTCATCTAATTTTTTCGGCTGTATGGCCGGAGAAAAATCGCTCCATGTGAGAAAAAGAAAAATATGAATAACTGACTGAATGACTGGAATAAGGAGAAGAAAACAAAATACTCCCAAACACACACACAAACGAAATAAATAAATATCTACTATGTAGAAAAAATAAATATTATGATGATGATGATGACGAAGAAGAAGAATAGGACCAGCGGAGGAAAAATGTTGAAAAAATGTGTGTATACGGATGTTGCGGTTATAAATTGCACATGGAAGACAATTAGGAGAACAAGGAAAACGAAAAAGGAAAAATGAGTTCTTTTTTCCTCTTCGTTTTGTTTTTAGGGTCGTCTAGATAGATAGATCACCGGAAAATTTTAATTTGTCAAAAACGGGTTGCGTGACTGACCTTGAAGCACTTTCCGGAACAGAAGTAGGAGGCTGGGTTACTGTAGAAAATGTTGTTGGAGGTGGAGTTGAGGTGGTTCCGGGTCGCCATTTTTTTGGAGTTGTTGGCGCTTTGCCAGTTTCAAATTCTTCCAAGATTTCATCCACATAATCGTCTTGATACTGTAAGAAAGAGGGTTTGGAACATTTTGATATTTTTTTGGTTTTTTCATTGTGAGCTCCTTTGAAATTTGAAAACCAGAGATCCTTTGTGGATGTTTTCATCTTTGCAAAAAAATGTTTGATGTCTTGATTTTTTTGCGGAAAATCGGGGGTTTCTAGAAAATTGGTGCAGAGCCATTCTTCTTCTAGATTATTTTTAGAGCAAAGTCACAATTGATCTTCAATAGTTTGTACTCAACATAGTTGCTATTTTTGAAAGGTTACACAATTCCACAGATCAATAGGAAAAAAAAAGAATTTTCTATTTAAATCCAAAAAAAATCCATTTTTTCTCAGAGAACCTCTCAATTAATTATTAATCTTCAAAATCGAATCATTTCCAATTTTCGCAAAAATTCCCACGAGTTCCCTGCTGTTTTTCATCTTCAATTCTTTATCCAAAATTCAATCAAACATCAAAGCTGTGAATCTAATTTTGAGTCGTGTTTTTTTCAAAATCTCAAAAGATTGAACGAGTAAATAAATACATGAATTCTAATTGGTTTTATTCAGAATCAAAATAGAACACGTGGAAAAACTATAATTTTTTTTTGGAGAATGGACAATGTGTTCGTAATAACTCACATGATGTTTTCCTTGCGATCCAATTTTTGGAAAATTTGAATATCCTTGTAGCAAATTGAAATTATTGAAGAGGAAAAATAATAGTAAAAATATCACCATTTTTTCGGAAATTCTGAAAGTTATTGAAATTAGAGGCAAAAAAAGAAGCCAAAAAGAAAATAGAAAAAAAAAAGAAAAAACATATTATTACTTCATTTTGGAAATTTGGCGAAGCGTAACAAAACAAGAAACAACTCGAGAGACTGATTATATAATATTTTGGTGTTTTCCTAATTCTCACGCTAGCTGATCCAAAAATAATAATGAGATGAGATGCGATGCGATGAATGAAAACTAAATCACTACGATTCAATCTCGAAACCAAAAAAAAATAAGAAAAAACCACAGATTTTTCAATGAGCAAGAATAGACTCATTGTACTAATTAGTGCCGTAAAGTTTTTTTTGTTTTCGAAAATATATTTTCCTTTTTGGTGTCCAGTAGAAAAGAGGAAAAATGTCATTTTCAGATGGTGCGGATTAGTGCGCGAGATGAGATTGAAATTTCCAATTTCATGGATTTCCTTCTTTTTTTTTGGAAAAAATGGGCTTTGGGATTCCGAATTTTCTTTTTGCAAAAAGCATATAACCCATGAATAGAATTTAATTTTGATATACGAATATCAAAATATCAACTAGCAATAAATATATTTATTTCAAAAAAAAAACTTGTGATATTTTTCAGACTTTACCTAACTCATGTGTGAATAGAATTTTTGATCAAATTTTATTCTCAAAAAAAAAAACAGAAATTGTTATGTTATGTTGTCTCGCACTTTTGTCTCCTCTTTAAAAAAGGGAGAACCCAAAACTGAATTCATCTTTAGTCACAAATCAAATTTTCGAGAACAACTAGTATTGTTCTTGAATCAAATTCAATTCAACTCAATTCGATGAACGTTTTGAGAAGAAAAAAATGTGAGAAGAATGAAGGAATGAACATTTTATGAGTGAGCAACCGATATATTTTCGGAAACGCCTAAACTTTTATGGTTTTCAGAAATAAATATTTTATGAGATCTTATAGTTCAGATTCTCCATTTATTTGTTGATGAAAAAAATCGAAGTGACTTTCGGAACCAGCTTCCATTGCAAATTGAAGACTTTCTCTTTTTGATTGTTTGATAAATTCGAGTTTCCGATACATTAAAATTGTCACAATTATGCTGTAGAGTGGGAGAAAAATTGCTACTGGAAATTTTTCAAGTTTAGTTTTCATTTAATCAATAACAAATCTCACATTCAGTTAAAGCGATTTGATTTGGCATACTCAATTGTCCTTGTTGCTTCTTCAAAATCCACAACACAATTCCAATTATCATGAAAATCACGAAACCGAGAAACATAAGATTTTTAGCGAAAGTTAGAGCTTTCATCGATTTGATACTTTGATCTAATGTAAATCGATCACTCAAAGAAATTGTAAGCTTGTTTCTTTTCATCTGAAGAAAAAACAAACATCTGCTGACGCAAAAGATTAAAAAAAAACTCACTTCATTCCATCTTAATAGAACTTCGAAAACAATTCGTGAGAAAATATGCGTGACAAGAACAATCGCAATGTGAACTTGGTAGATATTTCCTTCTACAAATGATAGAACTTGACAATAACAATTATTTGTATGGACATTTTTTGAATACAAACTTGATAGAAAAAATGAGGAAAATATAAATTGAAGAATAGCAAGAAGAATTCCAAACCATATTCCACAATGTTCATAAGAAGATGAGAATACTGTAGCTGCTAATCGTTCCAAAACCAGTGAAATTGATGTTGCAGAAGATGTATACATTCCAGCATTGAAAATAAATCGAAAACATTTACAAAATAACGTTGGTGGTTTATGAATTTTGGGATAAAATTCATAATTGTAAAGGTCACTGGAATGGAGAAAAACTCTGAAATATTAACATTTGTTTGTTTGAAGAAAAACATTTCTCACCTTGACGAAGTGTGAGTTAGAAGCGCTATTAAATGAACTCCAATTTGTATTCTAGTATTTTTATGGAATATTTTGATCGATTTCAAATAATAAATTGAGAAAACTAGTATTGGTATAGAAATTAATGAAGTTATCAAATTCCAAAACAAAGACATACGAAGAAAGTTCGAATTTGCATAATCTTTAATTTGACATTTAGTTTCATCTAACATCTTTGTGGGTAATACAATTCAGAATGAGGACCACAATATGTTCAAAAAATAATTGCAATCTATCAATCGGGAACATTCAAACATATGTGTATTTCTTCTGACGTCACGGATTCACCCACCGTTTGGTCGCAAACTTCAAAATACTACTCATTTACTTTTTTAATCAACAACATGCACTCGGAGCTTTATTAAATTAAACAAAAAAAAAACACAATTAACTGATTTGTTTTGCAAAAAGTGTAAAATATGCATCGGATCCGGTATGAATCGCTTTATTCAAATTTTTTTTGTCCTCCTTGTTTATAGTTTTCAAATGCTTATAAATCAAAATTGGAACAATTATCGAATATAACGGAAGAATGTGAACTGTTTCAACTAATGCCAAATACATTGGTTTTGAGAAGGCATAAGATGTTAAGTGAAGTGTTGGTGTAACGATTGATAAAATTGTGAATACAAAAGTACTGTAGTTTATGGCATGGGTGAGCACATTTATTGATCAAATACTTTGATCCAAATTATATCGAGTGCTCAACGAAATTGTTTGACGAGTTCGAAGTTTCTGTAAGAAAAAGTTTATTTTTAGTATTACGACAATTCCAATCTTACTTGATTTTTTCTCATCAGAACTTTGAACATTAGTCGAGCAATAATCTGTGTCGCTAAAATAAAGTACAGAGGTATGACAACAAAAAATATATTCCCTCGAGAACTGGCAATTGTTTGACAATAATATAAAACATTATTACCGGGTTGAAAACTTGCATAAAAATAAAGACTTCCAATAAAACTAGTAGCTAAAAGTATTTGCACAGAAACTAAAGCAATTCCATAATTTGGACCACAATGTTCATAATTTGAAGAGAATACGGTAGATGCATATCTTTCTAAAACCAAACAAATTGAACACATTGATGAAAGTGCAAGACCGATATTATAGAATGCACGCAGAATTAAACATCGATAAAATTTTGGAATTATTTCACAAGCAGATGAATTACCACCCAGAGAAAAATAATTGAAAAGATCAAGAGAATGTAAACCAAGTCTGAAATAAACATATTATTTTTCACGTGAAATTTACGATTTCATTTCCCATTTTTTATTTTTAAAAGCAGGTTATTTTTATTTGATTGTGTTCTTAAAATCAAGTAAAGAAAGAAATACCTTCCAATAACATGAATCAGAAGAGCAATCAGATGAACAAATATTTGCATTTTTGTATTTCTATGAAATGTATCAGTTTTCCAAATATAAATAATTGATTTTACTAAAATTGGAAATGCAACAATTGCAATTATCAAATTGACAATTAGTGAAATACGAAGTTCTATTGAATCCACATAAGTTTGCATAACATCACAATTTGGAGAAACTGAATATTCCATCTGAAATTTTAAAAATTCTAGATAGTTTTCTAATATAGAATCAAATAAAACAGTTTTGAAAAAAGCCAATAAAGAAAAATGAAAAATAAGTTCTGATTCTTAGCGTTATATGCTATTATAAAAAGGTCTCCTGTGAAATTCCCAATTGGCTCGGTTAGTAATCCAATAAAGTTCATTATTGAAAATTGCACTCATTGTCTGGTTCTTGATTTTTTACATGACCATGACCCATCAGAGTTCATATTGAGATCTGGAACTATTTCTAGAAAGTAAAGATGATTTATTCTTGAGAGATATAATGAATCCGTCAGGAAACATAAGTGAGAAAACCAAGCAAATCTAATGAGCCAAACTGTGCTCATAACAATTCGTGATTCCACAGAATTGACGTATTCTCAAAAAATGTTCCCAAAATTCATAGAATCACCATGTTTCAATGGTTTTCAAATTGTCACCACGAAACGGAACTTTGCTTGTTCTTTTGATTCTTAATTTTTCAATTGCATGAAAATTGTTGTGATTCACGATGTCTGAAAATATCCCATTTTTTTCTATTAGGAATTCAAAATTTTCTAAACTCGTAAACAATCTTGCAAGATATACACGTTTAATAAAATTTTATTTTATCAAATTGTGTTCCAGCTGACGAACTGCACAGAATATTTTGATCAAGTTCAAAGTTTGAAAAATAACATTATTAATGAATAAATGACTTTTTTCGAAAAAATGTGTTATGATCAAGACACGTTTTCGGAAATTTTATAATTTTCCAAAAATACTTTTGTCATCTATGAGTCTTCGAAAATCATACGACAGGATGATTCCCTCGAGTTCTGACTCAAAAATATAATTTAGTTTTTATTATCATCAAAACAAGTGTGATACAATTTCTGATTTTTCATGTTTTCACACTATCCAAGTTCTATATTTTCAACATTTCGTTCAGATTAGCAAAATCAGTGCCTTTCAAGTGAACTTCTATCTTTCTCTCAGAATTCCCTTTAATGTACCCGAAGTTTCTAAAAATCCAATTAGAACTTCAATGCGTAACTTACCGAGAAACACTTGGATGGTGTAATGTTTTCTGCGGAAAAAACGTGTTTATTTATAAATTGAAAGATTTCCAGATAATCAACTATTTTTCCAAACAAATCACCAAATTGTTCCTCAAATTGTTATTTACTTCCATTCATTTTTTTGTTACTCTTTGGTTGTTATTTTCAGAGGTGTTTTCTAATATATTTTTTTTATTGAATGAACTTTTGTTATTCACAAATTCGCACAAGATTTTTGGTTGTTAAAGAACTTTCAGTTTATATCAGGTTGTTCATTATTGCCTTTAAAATGATCAAAATGAATTCATATAAAAAGGATATTCAACTATGATATACCCTCTTTGTGTTAATCAGCTATTATGTAGCAAGCACACTGTTGTGGCGTTATACGCCTTGGGTAGCCGACATGCAGAAATAGAGCTGCGACTAAAAAATAGTCAACGCCAAATAAAGATGAGTGTACGGACAGGATCGGTAGTTTAGTGGTAAAACTCTCGTCGCGTAAACGAGCATCGAGGGTTCGATTCCTTCCTGTTCCTTTTTCTGTCTCTCTTCTTTAACTTTCAGTTTATATCAGGTTGTTCATTATTGCCTTTAAAATTATCAAAATGAATTCATATAAAAAGGATATTTTTGGTTGTAATAAAATATTTTTTGATTTCAGATGGAATATTCAGTTTCTCCAAATTGTGATGTTATGCAAACTTATGTGGATTCAATAGAACTTCGTATTTCATTGATTGTCAATTTGATAATTGCAATTGTTGCATTTCCAATTTTAGTAAAATCAATTATTTATATTTGGAAAACTGATACATTTCATAGAAATACAAAAATGCAAATATTTGTTCATCTGATTGCTCTTCTGATTCATGTTATTGGAAGGTATTTTTTTACTCGATTTTATGAACATAATCAAATAAAAATAACGTGCTTTTAAAAATAAAAAATGGGAAATGAAATCGTAAATTTCATGTGAAAAATAATATGTTTATTTCAGACTTGGTTTACATTCTCTTGATCTTTTCAATTATTTTTCTCTGGGTGGTAATTCATCTGCTTGTGAAATAATTCCAAAATTTTATCGATGTTTGATTCTGCGTGCATTCTATAATATTGGTCTTGCACTTTCATCAATGTGTTCAATTTGTTTGGTTTTAGAAAGATATGCATCTACCGTATTCTCTTCAAATTATGAACATTGTGGTCCAAATTATGGAATTTCTTTAGTTTTTGTTCAAATACTTTTAGCTACTAGTTTTATTGGAAGTCTTTATTTTTATGCAAGTTTTCAACCCGGTGATAATGTTTTATATTATTGTCAAACAATTGCCAGTTCTCGAGGCAATATATTTTTTGTTGTCATACCTTTGTACTCTGTTTTAGCGACACAGATTATTGCTCGGTTTATGTTCAACGTTTTAATAAAAATAAACAAGGTTAGATTGAAATTCGGTTTCACTTTCAAAATTGAATGTTTTCACAGAAACTTCGAACTCGTCAAATAATTTCATTGAGCACTCGATATAATTTGGATCAAAGTATTCGATCAATAAATGTTTTGACACATGCTATAAATTATAGCACATTTGTGTTTATTGTTTTATCTATTGTTACAACAACACTTCATTTGTTTTCTTCCCATTTTTCAAAACCAGTTTACATTGCTCTAGTTGAAGCAGTTCATATCCTTCCATTATATTCCATCGTTGTTCCAATTTTGATCTACAAGAATTTGAGTGATATTAATAAAATGGATAAGAAGAATCTCAATAAAGCAATTCATACTGGATCCGATGCATATTTTACACTTTTCGCAAAACAAATCAGTTAATCAAAACATTTGCTTATTAATTTTTTTCCCAATGAAATCTTCAAATATATACTTATTCTAAAACTCAGCAATCAAACTTGTTCTAGTTTTTATGGTAATTTCTATTTTTAGAATATTTTCAATCATTCCTGTGACGCTAAAATTCTCTTCGGAGATTTGGATAATTGAAACTAGAGTTTTTCTAATCAAGTGAGAATATAAAAACAAAATTAGTCTACGTCGCCTACACTATTTCAGAGTTGTGATTTATCGAAACATTTTTGACAAATTTATTCTCAAAAACAAAATTAACCAATTTGAACTACAGTAGTATTCTTTTTCCGCGATGAAAAAGCTTCTGATTGAATTTCTTGAATTTTTGTTGGAAACATCAATTGTCGAAGTGTTTTTTGAGTTGTCATAAATATCAAAATATTCACAACTCCTTTGTTCAAATTCATCAAATACATAACATTTGAATTGACAAATGGATAAAAATAAGTTATCAAATCAGGTATTGTAAATAGAATAAATGTGCTTCCTGTTATTAGAGCCACTGTTTTTGTCATACTCAATAATCTTTTATTGTTTTTCGTAGAACCGGGAACAAGTTTTGTGTGATTTTGGATACTCTGTGAACGCTAAAATTATATTTGAAACAATTAGGAAAACTTATCTTACCAGGCACATTTTCACAAAAATTGGAACGTAGATAAAAATACATAAGATTGTACAAACTATCCGAATTGTTCGATAATAAACATACCAGTTTACTGTAATTGATTGATTCAGCAAACAATTCATTGTAAACTGAGAATTGAAGAAAAATAAGTATGAAAAATTATGCATTCCATAAACTTACGTTTTTCACAAGTCGATTTTCATAAGCTCCAGTTAACCCAGGAATCCATAAAGGTATTAAAATTAAATATGGTAAAAACATGATCGAGTAAGAATATTCATGATGTAATTTGATGTAGAAAAATGGGAAAAATATACAGATAAATCTATCGATGGCAGTGGAAAAAAGTTGAATTCCAGCCATTATTGTTATAATTATAAAAAGTTGATTATGAATTGTGGAGAAACAATCAAACATCGAAACAAGCGGAAAATCTGAAAAAGTATGACAGAATATAATGTAGGCAAGTACATTATAGTTTCTGACAAAAAAAAATAGAAAAGTCATTACTTACATTCGTATTTGAGAATAACAATAAGTCGAAAAACTCCAGCACTGAAATAAGTCATACCAAAAAATATATCAAAAACAATACACGATCCAATAACCACAAATTCTTTTTGACATCTCAAATTTGGATGACTGAATAACTTGATCGCCAAAAATATATTGACCAGCAGAATGAGAAATCCTTCCGAAATATACATAACAATTGAGAACTTATCATAACTTGCAGTGGTTTTTGTAGAGAAAACTATGTCAGAACTCATTTGTTTGCAGAAATGAAAAAAAAAGAACAAAAATATAAAAAAGAGTTATGAAGGAATGAGAATAGAAATAATAAATAGAGAGTAATTGAATTGGTTTCAATCAAATTTGTTCCAGGTGACTTTCGAGACCGCGGGGGTAGCAGACACGAGGAAAACGTGTTGCAGAATGGAAATTGGTACAAGAGGCTAAAGAATATTTGTTTTGGTAAGATTTTTTTGTTTTGACGATGAGAGTTTATAAAAAGCTCTTGAACTTTTATCTACATGTTTTCAAAAATAAAGAAAATTAAAACCAAAACAAAAAAAAAAGTTCAAAATTTTCATTCGTTAATTAATTCAAACAGCATGTATTAATATTGTTGGAGTAACTTTTCTTGATGAAAACATTTCAGAATTCATCATATTTTTATCTTTCATTGGAAACATCAACGTTCGAAGTGTTTTTTGAGTCGTCATAAATATCAAAATATTCACAACTCCTTTGTTCAAATTCATAAGGTAGAAGATATTAGATGTTATGAATGGGTAAAGCATTGTTATCAAATCAGGAATCGTAAATAACACAAAAGTACTTCCAGTTATCAATCCAACAGTTTTCGTCATATTCAATAATCTTGTATTGTTTCTCGAACTTCCGGGAATCAATCGAGTATGTTTGTAGACACTCTAACAAAAACAAAGATTATTATGAGCGAGTTACATTATTTTTGAAAATGAAGAAACTTACATAGAATACTTTTGAAAAGACTGGAATATAAATGAGGATACATAAAACTGTACACAATATTCTGATTATTCGATAATTTGTGTACCATAAAACAGGTATCGATTGATTCAGCAAACAATTCATGGTAAACTGAAAAAATAACCATAACCAACGAATTTTGAAAAATTACTCACATTTTTGATTTCTCGATTTTGAAATGCTCCAACGGCTCCAGGAATCCATAATGGTACCACAAAAAAATACGAAATAAACATGAGACAATATGCATATTCCACTTGTAATCGTATATAAGAAAATGGAAAGAAGATGCAGAAAAATCTATCGATTGCGGTTGCCAAAAGTTGAATTCCAGCCATTATTGTGATTATTATAAATAATTGATTATGAACAGTTGCAAAGCAATCAAACATTGAGACAAGAGGGAAATCTGAAAAATGTTTGATATCTTCTGATCTCTATCCCACTGGTTCAAGTTCCCACAAATAAGATTCAATATAACTTACAATCATATTGCAGAATCACAATGAATCTGTATAATCCAGCGCTGAAATATGTGATCCCGAAAAATATATCGAATATAATACAAGACCCGATTACTACAAATCTGAAATTCAACGGCAAGTTTCAAATCAGTTTCAGTGTTTTTTTTTTAAAGAACCCTACTCTTTTTGTGCACGAAGATGTCGATTTGTGAATAATCTGACAGCCAAAAACATATTGACCAACAGCACAAAAAGTCCTTCCGAAATATAAATAAATATTGAGAATTTATCATAATCTGCGGTCCTTTTTGTTGAAAAATCGAGCATTATTATTGTTAGAGTTGCTTGAAGAAAAATGTGACCACCAAAAGCACTTTTATACTAGTATCTAGCAAAATATTAACAGCGTGATTGAATCAAATTCAATTTATTTTTTATTATTAGTCAGACTTATTTGTGGGCTGCAAAAAAAAGTTCCTAATAAAAAAATGATTAGGCGCCTAAAGCGTATAATAATAAATCTTTGTTTTTATGATTACGGAAACTGTGAGTAGTGGGAAAAAAGCAGAGAACAATTTGGAGAAACAACGTATGCAAATTTCTTGGAACATGGATGACTTTAAAGATGTTCAATGCTTCTATTGAAAAAATAAAACCAATTAAGTTTCATTGTGTCTGCAAAGGTGAATAGTTTGATTATTTGAGAAATCATAATATGAGGGAAATTGCTTTATGTACATATAGCTTTGTTTTCAAAAATTTGGGTGACAGAGAATTTTACGCCGAATTTTGATCTAGCCTACTGTAGGTTTTTGAAAGTGCCGAATCATTTATTCATTTCAATATGTAAAAAAAATTCCAAAAAAAAGATCAAATTGAAACGGAATGCACAAAAATTCTGGGATTTGGGACATATCTTGGGCGACGGAAAACAAAATTAAGAACATGTTTTCGAATCAAAGCATGAAACACAAAATAAATTAGAAAGTTGACCAAAGAGCTCGAATAAACGATTGAAGACCCGATCAAATATTGAAGAACGATTGGAGTTTCCGCGAAGAATTCTTGATTATTTTTGCGAATCACATTGTATGCTCCGTCGATTGCCATAATTATCATAATAACCACTGCTTGCATAACAAATATATTCTCTTTTGTTCGACGATTTTCAGCAGATGTTCTTGAAATTCGCGGAGCTGTTGATGCATTACAAAGTCGACGAAGTTTCACGTAAATGACAACGAATATATTGAAAATGCACGTGAGAATTAGAACATAATACGTTTTTTCGAGATAATGTGATGTTTTCCATTGATAACAATCAATTGACCAAAGATAGTTCAATGGTGTCAGAATATAATGACAATCATTGATAAAATATACCATATTGAACAATGTTGTGATCCCCTGAAAATCTCTTTTTTGTCTATTTATTAAATGTGATTAGAAGAAGTAAAACTAACCCAAATACTGTAAGAATAATAAGTCAAATGATCTTGAGAGAAAAACACATTTTTTTCTGGCGATAGAACCACAACAAAACGATTGATTGACATCAGAAAAGTTAAAAGGAATCTGAATTGTGTTGCTGTCATATAAATAAAGCTGAAAATTCCAAGTGTTTTGAAATTGACATCATCGAAGAACCAGCTTGGTTCAATCACCAAATGTTGACAAATATTCAAGATCAATTCAGCTGTTATCATATTCATCATATAGACCTTGGTTTTAAGGACTCTTTTATTGATGACAAGATGAAGCAAAACAAAGTTGAATGAATAACTTAGAAGATGAATCAGAATTATGAAAACCCGGATAATATCGATCAAAACTTCTTGCGCATAGCTGAGCGCCATTTTGAGTTGCTAACCAAAAGTTTGAGAATGAATAGTATAGTGAAAAATTTTCAGGGGGCTGGCTTGCTGAAAAATACAAAAAAACTAGCTTAAAACTACAATCAGTCAGAGTAGTTCTTCGGAATAAATATAAGTTAATCAGCAGTATTCATTCGATGCAAGTTAGTCATCACGTGGAAGGAGTAAAGCACATTTTTTGCACATAAAATGGATTTATTTGAATGATTCCAAAAAATTTGGATTACTGTAGAATTTTTGGTGCTAAATGCATTTGTTATAATTTTTTTAAACCGCAAAATTTTGAAAATAAAAAAATTTGTTCATATAATTTTGTTCGGCGTCAAAAAACATCTGATTACTGTAGTTCAATCTCAACATTTTGACACAAAAGATATTTTCTCAAAACTGAGTTACTGTAGATTTTTAGAATTAGTCAACTTTTTTTTCTCGTTTCCAAAATTCTTCACTTTCAACCCAAATTTAGCAAATAAATGGTACTCTTTGTTATTTTCTTCTTCTTTTTTCTCTCTCAAATTCTACCGGTCGATGTTATCAATTAATTGTGTGTCGCTGAACTTGACAATAAAAAATTGTAATTCATTTTTTCGTCAGTCTGTCAAATTGTCTTTTTTCTTGTTCAAGTCGAGAAAAATAATGGAAATATGGTTCTGAAATATTTTCTATTTTTTGTATCGACTAGTTTTGCTTTGTAAGTTTATTGGGGATGGATTTTAGTGATGTTAAATTGTACATTCTAAAATCTGTGGTTGGAAAAAGTTTGACGTCAATGAATAAGAACGAAAATATTGAAGGATTTCTTTGATATTCAAATTTTTTGGGGATTTTTCTAAGGGCTTTTCGAAATGGAACCTTGAAAAATTGATTGAACCAAAACTAACCAGTTCCTTTTTTATCTCACCTTTCTCCCAACCAGAAATAATTTCCAGAGGTCCACCTGGAATATCAATCGATGATACTCCAATAACCGTAACTTCTGCTCGCACAGCACCTCCTCAAGTGATCTTCACACCTGCAACAACACTTCGTCCACCACCAGTTCGACGTGTAGTCGCAGTTGCAACAACACAACGTCCAGTTGCGCAGCCTCAACAGAAATGGCCACAATCTCAATCTCAAGATCCTTGGAGTGACAATCGTCCACCACCTCCACCCTGGTGGGATAGACCTCCTCCGCCTTGGGGATGGCCACATCCACCCCCGCCGCCACATCATAGACCTCCGTGGGGTTGGCCACCTCCGCCACATCATCGCGGATGGCCACATCCGCCGCCGCCACCGCCTCCAGAATGGGATAATAATCAATGGGGTTGAAGAATTTGAAGAAAAATGTGTATTCAATACAAAAATATTGGGTATTTGTAAATAAATAACTTGATATCAAAAAGTAACAAAACAAGAATGAATAATCCGGGGAGATCGGGGTTAAAACGGGTATAGTAAAAATTAAATTAAAAACCAATCAGATTATTGTGGTGGGAAATCGCACATGATTCCAGTTGTATCGAGAGCTGAATAAATGAAAATGTTGCGAAGTGGGTTTTTTCCTTCGGATAAAGCTTTGATGGCTTCTTGTCCCATAAGACCACCGACAACAGCGCAAGTTGGAGTAAGTTGTGGATTGAAGAGACTGCAAAAAGAGGAATTTATTTCATTATGTCACAATTCTTATGTATGTTCATTTTTTCAGAGTTACGTGAGATTTTTCCGCTAAAATTTCCGAAATTTGGTTGGTAATTCGAGTGTTTTTTTTCGAGAACCGGTTTTTAATCCAATAAACTGTTCAAACTAATTTGAACTGATTGAAAACATAAAATTAGGTTTGAATTATTCGAGTCCAAGAGAAAAAAGCAGATTACCTTTCGAAAATTCAAAACTTGATTTACTATTTTAAAAAATGTTCACGATTTTATTCAAAATTAATTTCCCAGTTCACGTTTCTTCATAGTGGAACATCGGTCATTTCTCGATGTTTTGTGAGTGCTAATACGCAGCTAGAATTCTATGAATTTTAGTGAGTTGAATCTACAAAGTGCCATTAGTTACATACTTGAAAATTTAGATAAATGACTATAGAAGAAAAAAACTTTTCGATTTTGCCAAATGTTCGGGACTCTAATGGTAAGTAAAATGTTGGGAAACCTATGTATTTTAGGGCCAAGTTGAGAATTTGGCATTATAACACTAAAACCTCCAGAGGTATTTTAATATTTCAATAAAAATCACAAAAAAAACTCACTGATCAAACTTTTCCGGTTGAACAGTTTGTTGTTCTTTCAAATGATTTCCATTCTTCACTTCTTCTTCCCAAATTTCTTCCAAAACTCGCAAATCGGCGTCTTCACCATTTCCAGTAAATCGCGATTCTTTTTGTGCTCGCAGAATCGATTTCACCAAAAAATACGAGGATGGGATAATTCGTTTGCATTTTCTCAAAAGTTTTTTCTGGCTCCAATCAACATTAAAAGCTTCTTCAAAAGCTGGATAAAAATATGGTTTTGGTTCAAATTGATCTTCTTCAATTGTCATTGTCATTGCTTTTTTGTTCTCATCTCCTTGTTCATTTTCAAGATCCATTGTTGATGATGCTTCTTTATCTTTGTTTTGGACTTTTCTACAAAAAAAGTTCATGAAAAAAACGATTTGAAAAACAACAAAAAACTTACGTCAAAAATTGATGTCCATTAAAATCGAAAAACGAATATCCAACCCATCCAAAAACACTCGCTCCAATAAATCGAACACCAAGTCTTCGACAAATCGCATTCACTCGAACAACCAAATCATAATTCTGATCAATAAGTGCGACAAGCGAAAATCTTCCCAACCAATCTTCGCCGTTTTTCGTCAATTCAGTTTCCAAATCATTCGGGATCGCGGTTAATTTGACATTTGGATTGAGAGTATAAGTTCGAGGATACGCAGCTTCAGCTCGCTAAAAATATATTGTTTTAATATTTGTTTTACTGATCCGGTTTGAAAATTGAATAAAACTTTGAAGAACTGATAAATTTTCGACTAATTTTTTTCAAAAGTTGAAAATACCCACATTTTTTCCAATCAAATCTTCTCCAGGTGTAAGTGGCAGCAAAAAATTGTGACCAACATCGTCTTTTGTGATAACATGTCCATCTAATAATGTTAAACTGTTCAAACCAGAAAGTGTTATATTTTTGGCAAACTCGGCACCAAGTTGCGAGATTCCAACAACAAGAACTGATGAGTTTCGAAGTCTGAATATTTCAGCAAAAATTAAAACTTTTTCAAATGAAAAATGACTCACTTATTTTGCGCATCAATTCCCCAAAGTCGAATTTGTCTATCATAAACTGCAGCCTCATCTTTGCTGATAGTACTTGCTTCCGCAACCATTTTTGTCTGAAAATTTCAAGATTTTCTCACCAAATCTTCACGATTTCCAAATCTAAATAAATATGAAAAAAGGTTCGTATCACCTAGGCAACAATCATCTCAATAATAAAAATCTTACAAAATTTATTCACAATGATTTGATCAAAAACTAGACGAAGAAAATGGAATTTTTGAAGAATAAAAAACATCTAAATAGAAAATCTGTGCCTATCGAAAATCAAGAAGAGAAAATGGGATTGGAAATAACAATAATAAATTATCTAAAATTACAAATAATTGATGAGAGAGAGAGAGAGGGAACAGGGGAAATTACCCGCAATGAAAATTGGGAAATTTGAAAAAATATAAAGTATGAAGATAAAAATAAAGTAGAATAAAATCAATTTTGCCATCGGTAATGATTATTGACGCGATATGGTTGAGCAGATTTGTCATCGTCGGCTGAAAACATTATTTCTCATTTTTGAAAGGAACTTGGAGATTTTAATCAAAATTCAAACCTGTATTATAACTACTATTTGATCTAGTTGGTTGTTGTCCACTAATCCCATTCATAGCTGTATATTCATTTGTATTTGTCACATTATATCCAGCCCAATTTGGTTTTTGTTGTTGTGCTCCACCAACATCAGGACTCACAGTTCCTGGCGAATTGATAAAATCACGTTTCGGTCCATTCGGATTGCCTCCTCCTTTTCCAGGTCTCGCCCAAGTACAAATAAATCCTTCTTGGCATGCTGTCACAATACAATCTTGTCGGAATTCTAATACAGTTAGACGTTCATGAGCTATTTTTTTACACATCAAGGGTTCTATAACGGGAACATCTTGAATTCTCGGACATAATCGGGATCCAAGCAACCGAGTTTCTTCACAACAACTTATTTGAGATATTAGAAGATGATTGTTTTTCCTAGAAAAAAATTATTTGAAAGTTATTTAGGAACAATTTCCAACCAAAAACTCACTTATCAGAAGAATTAACACTTCCATTTGATGTTTTCGGTAATATAGAATTATTCGAGTTGGAGTTTGAATTTCCACTACTTCCAACATTAAGTCTTCCTAAAGTGAACCCTCTTCGATGGAATCGTTTCTTCTTCGGTTTTTCTACTGGTTTCACAGCTGGAGAAGGTTCAGAAGAAGTTGATGCTCCTCCATTACCAGCAGGTGATGCTTCAGTTAAAATATCTAATCGACCAGCAAGTGCTGATGTTTGAATTTCGAGACCAGCCATTGGTGCAATAATTGTCGAATTTCGATGTCTTTGAATATTTGCAGGTTTTAGCATATCTTCAGTGATGTCCCAAAGACAAAGAAGAGTATCATGTCCAACACTTCCAATGCGATAACAAACTCCAGCACCAGCCTAAAAAATACAATTTAAAAAAATATTTTCGAATTTCAAATTTAGAACTCACGGCAGATGTTCCATTTATAGTTCCAAAGGATGCAAATGAACATCTTGATAATGTCGAAGTTGCTGAAAGTGGTGTTGCTCTTTTTGCATGTGTTCTCATAACAGGTGTTGTATTTATTTCGGAACTTGTTGAAGGGGGTGGTCCTGGCCGAAAATTGACATCCGAATTATTTTGTTTCTCTTCGATATTTTCTGTATCTTCTTCAGTTGTACAACAATATGAATCGAATTGAACTTGACTTATCCAACTTTTATGTCCTTGTCCTCGACAAATAACTCGTTTTTCATTAACACTATAAACTGTTAATAAATCATCCTCTCCTCCAGTTGCAATTAATTTAGCATCAGGACTCCAAGACATAGTCAAAAGTCCACCAAAATATGATTTCATCATTGCCATAAGTTCCATATTGTGATAATCAAAAATGCGTAGAAATCCATCGTGTCCAACTGTTGCCATCATTTTTGCATCAGGACCAGAAAAATTGAATTGATGAATGGCGCCTTCACCGATTTGCCATCGATAAATCGGATTTCTTGCAATTTTTGATTTACACGTGTAAACCGCAAACTTCTCGCCTTGTTTATAAAAATTCCAGACAGGAGGAGTGGTGCCCGCCACAACTTCTTCATTATATACATAAATATTGCCGGAAGCATAGGAAGCGAGAAATATATTTGGTTGTCCAGGTTGCCATCGAATACAAGTTACTGTTGATTTATCATACGTTCGATCTTCATTATAAAGACGACTGATTGGAGCTGGAGTACTTCGATCAAGTGGATCAATTATTTGAAGTTGTCCTGTTGAAAAACCAATGATAAGCGAACAACTTTTTGGATTGGCTAGCTCCTGATTAAAGCAGTGAACTGTGGGAGCTGTTCCTTTGTAAACTCGTTTATCAATTGGTCTTGCTAGATCAGCAGCCGTATGTGTACCTCTAGAAATGAGAAAAATCAATAACAAAAAAAACTTGGAAGATGACTCACCTATAATGATAAACATACAACTCTTTTCCGACATTGAAACACAACTTATCTGACCAATAATCTTCTGGTTCATCTTTCGATGATGAAGATGTTGGTTGAGAAGTTACAGTATCATTATTGTCAACAATATCTTTCGGAATTGTAACAAATGATACACGAACAGGTGCACCACTATGAACCATACTTTGATTATTCAAAACACCCTGCATGTGATATTGTTGTGGACCTCGTGGACGAGAATATTCAGCAAGAGTCATAACTCGATAAATACCTTCACGAGTTTCAAAAGTGGTTTTGAGTTCTTCTCGAGGTTGTTGAGAATGTGATAAGAGAACGCCTAAATATCCAAAAATTAGTTTTATTGCTAAATTTGAAATTAGATAAAACTAACCGTCTGATAGGGCGTTGGCTGATTGTAAAACGGAATTAGAATTCGTATTTAACGAAGTCGATGGGCCGAGCAAATGCTGATGTAACATCATCTCGAATAAGTCTAGAAACAACTAAAAATAATCTCAGATTTAAAAATACGGTCATACCTTGAAACTGGAGAGTAGTTCAACATTCCGCATCTCAAACAATAATCGTCATGGCGTCCCAATATTAAAAAATTGTAATTGAAGTGTCTGAAACGATGAAAACTATGAAAAACAGGTGAAAAACGAAAAAAAATGTCGAAAATCACCGAATTTGTGTTTTTCGGCGCGTTGCGGCAGATGCATTTTGTGCGGTGGAGCGAACATTCGTTTTCTACTTTTATTCAAGTTTTTTATTTTCCTTTTTTCAGCGAAAAAAAACGCATGTTACGCTCGTTTTTGCGGATTTCAACAAATTATTATTTTAAGAATCGATTCATGTCGACTCTGCAAAATGCAAAAGATGTCGTCGATCAAAGAATTATTTGGATTGATTGCGAAATGACTGGTTTAAATGTCGAGAAACAGGTATTCGTTAATTTGTCGATGAAAATTATGAAAATATGTATTTTAGACGCTCTGCGAGATTGCTCTAATTGTGACAGACAGTGAATTGAATACTATTGCTATGGGACCAGATATTGTCATTCATCAACCAAAAGAAGTTTTGACAAACATGGAAGACTGGCCAAGAGATATGTTCCAGAAAAATGGATTAATGCAAAAAATAGTTGTAAGATTTCTCTTATTCTTCAATTTTTCTAATAATGTCGTTTGTTTTAGGACAGCAAAATCTCACTTTCTGAAGCTGAAAATCAAGTTATAAGTTTCCTCGAAAACCACACAATAAAAAGGAAAATCGCCGATTGCTGGAAATTCTATTCACATGGATCGCGCATTTATCAGAAAATATATGCCAAAATTAGATGAATATGCGCATTATCGATGTATTGATGTTTCAACAATCAAGGTTTTTTTTTTCAAAAAATATCTTTCCCTACTCATTCTAACCTTTCAGGGTCTTGTTCAACGTTGGTATCCAAAACATGAGCATATAAAGAAACAATGCACTCATCGAGCGTTAGATGACATAATCGAGTCAATTGCAGAATTGAAGAACTATCGAGAACATATTTTTGTTAAATCTCAATGAGTTGATTACTCTTTAGAGTTTGTTTTAGAATTTCGGGTTGAACTTATATTGTTGTTTGTTGTTGAAAATAAATTTTTTTCAGACAATTTTTGTTCTCAGACATGTATTTAATCCCCCTCCAACCTCAAGAAAGCAATTAGAAAAAATTCAATTTTACGAATGTTAAAAAAACGTTTTTTTTTTATTATCGTGGTGAGATATTTTAGGAAATGTGTGTTGCACCTTTAAAACCTACAGTTTTGTTTTCCGCTCGCGCGCGCAAGAAGTATTTATCAATCACGCTTTTTTCTCGAATTTTCGACGCCAATTCGTTAGTTGTCAGATTATCCACTCGAATACCATTCCCGCATTTGCTCCCAAATTCAATGAATCCTCAAAATTTCAAAGTCGGAGTGAATCGGTGTGAGACCCAATTTCTACCGTAATCGATTACGTCATCATTCTTTTGAAATTTTCGTTGGCATTCATTCGTGTCAAAGTCGAGGTCGTCCTTGGTTTTGAAAATTTCGAAGATCTTCGCGATAAATTTCTCGAATTTCTTGTTTATCCCATTTCTAATTGTCCCCAGGAGGGTTTTTTTCAAATTATGTTCCAAGTGCAGTATTTTGAAATATTATCTGTTCGCAGTCTATTTGTAATTTAGATTTTTTTTCATCTGAAGCAAGTTATGAGAAGATCAACTCTTAAGCTTCCTATTTTGCGAATATTTCTTACCAAACTTCTCATAACTATATCATGGGCCCATCTTTCAAAATTAAAAATATAAGGCCATTTTTTATTTGTTGTCTTTCTCTCTGCATCGCTGTAATGTATGTTGTTTATTGGCGCCACGAGAAGAGAAAAGGAAAGAGATAGAGGAACATGGAGAGCAGATGAACGTTCTTTTGTGTATAACCAGTAGTATTTCGTCAGTCTGGCGCGAGAAGTATCGCCGCACCAAGCCACTTTTTTTTCGACCGTCTCAAAAAACATTGCATTTCGCTATTTTTTTGTACACGTTGTATTTTTTGTCGTGACCCCTGTTTTCCACGTAAATTGTTGTTCGTTTCTAAATTTTTTCCTTGTTATTTCGAGATGTTCTATTGTCTTCTTCGCTTTGCTCATTGCTCTCTGGTTCTTTAATTTTCCTATTATTTCGCAACATCTAATTTTTTCAGCAAAAGAAAATGCCAATCGCTAACGATATCGTTGGAAAATGGAACTTCGTCTCATCTGAGAACTTCGACGAATACTTGAAGGCAGTCGGTGTTGGATGGGCTGTCAGAACTATTGCCACCAAGACCAAGCCAACTCTCGATTTCGTCATCGAAGGAGATGAGTGGAGAATGACATCAACATCCACTTTCAAGACTTTCACTTTGAAGTTCAAACTTGGAGTGCCATTCGATGACAAAACCGCCGATGGCCGTGATGTAAGTTGTTTTTTTAAGCTCTCAATTACATGACACTTTTCAGACCGGAAACGTCGTGACTGTCGAAAACGACCGTCTTATCCACGTTGAAACTGGAAAGAATGGAGGAGCCGACTCTCGCATTGAACGCTACATCGAGAACGGAAAACTTATCATCGTATGTTTTGTTTATTTTGAAAATATCAAATTACTTTATGATTTATTTACAGGTTTGCTCATCTGGAAGTGCCAAGTCAACCCGTGTCTACGAAAAAGCTGCCTAAACAATCAAGCGAAATCATCCGTGATAATGTACCTTTTTTAATTAAATTTTTAATTTATTCGAACCCCCTTTTTTATCAGATAATGAAAAATCGTTTATCACAATATTCTTGTAGAAAAAATGCATAGACCCGTAATCAAAATTAAGATTGTTTCTAATTGAGTTGTCGGATTCCTAAACGACATCTTCGTCGATGAATTTTATCGAGCTGAAACTGGCACCAAATGCTTTCCTAGGCAAACCTCGCTTTTCATTGGCAATTCGTCTTGAATGACAGACGAATAAAAGAATTATCGAAGCAAGAATAACTGTCAATATCAAAACAGCAATAACAATCAACCGGCTGGCAATCGGAGGAATTGTGAATTCCTAGAAAACATATGGTAATTTTTGTGGGAAAATTAAAATTGAGAAAAAAAACAACTAACAATTTGAGGGACCCAAATGCACATGTCTGTATTTTTGGCAGTTCGGAAAAATGGACAAGAAGGATCGGGACAAAGAACGGGACTGGCATTTGGACGAAATTGTGATATTCGAGCATTTTTGCGAGTTATGAGCGAATTCCAAATAGCAAGATGAAGAAGTGATAAACCACGCTCGGAAAAATGTGCACAATCGTATCCGAGGACACTCAAATCCATTCTGAATCCGATACAGGTTAGATTTTTTGAAAATTTATATAAGTTATTTACTTGGTTATCTCAAAATCATTTTAAAAATTAAAAACGATGTTTTTGGGAACCAAAATTCATATTTTTTAATCCTTAACACCAAAAAATTGACCAAGTTTGAAAAATTTCAAGTTTTCCCCAAAACACTCACTCTTCTGGCAAATTAGTCAATGCTGGATCTTTGAACAATGGCAAAACTTCTACATTGAATGTGGTCTTTTTATAATTTTTGTCAACAATTTTCTCAACTTGATCCCATACAGAATTATAGTTGAATTTATTGTGAACCTTCCATTTCGCAAGTTGTTCATGACAAGCTTGAGATTGATGACTCGCATCTCTCCAAATTCCACTTCCAGATGTTCGCAAAACAACCACAAATGTTTTACTGGGTAATAATGTTTCAAGTTCTTCGATCGCTGCGAGAACTTCAACAGCTGTTTGTCCAGTTTCAGATGCAGTTCCATCTTGAATTGTTGCCAATATCATTATCATTTTCCAAACATTTTCCTGTCCCGGGATATTTTTAATTGTTTGTGCAATATCTTTAGCTTGTTCTGCTAAAGAATCCAACAAACTATTACTTTCAATTGTTGTCAGATTTGCTCCTCGAAGTTGTAACATTTTTTGAATTGATGGAAGTGTCATTGAAGACGATCTTTGTCGACAAGATCCAAGTACTCCTAAAAATAACATTTTTTGTTATTATTGAAAATACACTAATTAATTAGGCAGCACTGGATGGATGTAATTAAGCCGATTTACGATACTTTTGGGACACCGCTTGAAGCTTTTAATTAAAAAGGTATTACGAATTTGGTTCCCTCATTTTTCTTCTTCATAACATTCCCTTCAATTTTTCTTGAAATTGGAAATGAGAAGAAGATGAAATGTATACAGTAATTATTTCACGCATCATTAGATACATCGCAATTGAAACATTAGAGGAATTTATTCGAACGATTTTAGCGCCAGCCACATATTTATTTATTTATTGTTTCTAAATATTTTCAATTTAAAAAGTCACATGAGACGAAATCTTTGAAAAGTTTCAATTAAAATGAAACAAATTAATTGCCTTATGTCACTTGATTTCCTCCTAACAAACTAACCCTTTTTCAAAAGTGTATAATTGCTCGGACAATATGAGGAGAGTTGTCCAATTTCGGCATAAATTTGCAAATGTTCGGCACGCAATGAGTCAGCATCTTCAGCTGCTGTCACTTGATGTCGTGGACATGTTGAAAGATCTGTCAGCACATAATCTAGTGGATAATCTAGTTGTTGTTCAAGAAGTTGTTCGTTCTGAAAGTTCTTGGGAAATGACGAGGGAAAAGTAATGAGTTGTTGTGTTTTGTTTTCGGGAGAACAAAACGGAAGGAACATTGGCGGATTATATACAACAACACATTTGATGAATTTTGTTGTGTTCTTTTGGTGGTACCAGATGGTGCCAAAAATAACCGGAGAGAAATAGAACTCTAAAAATTTATACTGAAAATCATAATTTTCAAAATTTGGATTTTTCAAACTTTTCATAAGTTCATAAGTTGTTCGTTCTGAAAGGATTTTCTAGGCTCGAAATTCGAATTTTTGAGTAACTACAAAATTCTTTTGTGAAATTTGAAAAACTTGATCTCCAGAATATTCCAAAGTTTGTCAGACACTCGTTAAATTTTTCTTCCGAACTCTATTTTGAACCTTTTTTGTTCAAAACCCGGAAACCCTAGTTATTTTTTACGAGCTTCCGAAGTGACGTTTTGATCACAATAAGCTTCCATCTTGATTCTACAGTAATCCAAAGCTAGTTTAGCCTCATTAATCAACCCAGCCTCACAAAAGTGTACTTTTGAAATGCGTTTTTTTTTTCATTGCATTTTCCAATCAATTTCGATTAAACTAACAACATCTGTCAGTTTTTTCTCATCGAGATCAAAGAAAAAACTTGGAACTAACCTGAAGACTAATAAGTTGCATCCATTGATCATAAAATTCTCGATCAACTGTCAATTTTTCTTCCAATCTAATATTATCATTGAAATCGCTATCTTCACTTCTGATTTTCAGAATGAATAATAAAATTAGAAATAGGAATAGAAGTGGTTTCTTCATTGCATTTCGAAGTTACAGAAGAAACGGGGTTCTGAAAAACAAGAAAATCAATAGATTATTAAGTAAGTAAGTAACACATTTTGAGGTATTAATATGATAAGAGATAGACAAAACCAACTATTAATAGAACTAGAACATTTTAGGTTAGAAGGATAATAAAATAAAAAAATGGTATATTTTTTTAGGGGAAACCAATCAGAGTAATGGAAGAACAACGAAAAAAAAACCAAGCCAGAGCCTTTTTTGTTCTGTTACAAATTGCATTTTGTGCACTTTTTGTTCGCTTGTTCCATCATGGATGAAAAACAAAAACAAGCTAAACTTTTCATGGAAAATGTATAGTTTTTTGTTGGCCTCCGAGGCACGCACAAGATGAAATTATCGGATTAGATAGAAAAAACACACATTTCCAGGGAACCTTTTTTGGAAAAAAATGATACATTGTGGCAATAAATCATATAAATGGGTAGAAAATTTCATAATTTATAAACATTTGAAAAATGAACCCTTCTCATATTTCAAAAAATCACGCAAAAATAATCGTGGTCCTAATGATTTGTCACAGTTGTCTCAAGTGGGAGTGCCAAAATTTCTCATTATCATCTTTTCGTTATGAAAAAAATGTGCAGGTCAGGTGTTTTCAAAAAGAAAAATCAAAGTGTAACCTAATTATTGAACTTTGAAAGAGGAGAATCCTGGGCCAATGTGTTTTTTTTTTTCAAAAATGAGTAATAATTAGTCAACATTATTTCAATGTGTGGACAACAACAAAACAAAAAAAAAGTGTGACAAAGTTTTTTGATACAAAAAATAATAAATTTTCAATATTTCCATGTTGCAATTAAAAACGTAAGTCAAGTCAACCGGAAGATATCAAAAGACAAAAAAAAAGAAGAACGAGAAGAAATAGGGGGGAAGGCGGAGTTTCAGGAAATACATATAGAATTTCTTGGAAAAAAGGGGGAACGGGGCAAAAAAGCAAAAAAGGAACGAAAAGAAACAAGTCGCGCAGACTTTATTATTTTCTTACTAAATGTTTTGTTGTTTTTTTTGTCGGCTGGCTGGCTGTCGGCGAAACCTGGCGGATGAAAAAATGAATATAAAAACACACAAAATGCGCGAAAAGTGTCAGTCGTAAAATATGTACTTTCTACTTTTTTTTACAATGAAACCAAACCTTGTTTTGGAACTTGATGTAAATTTTTTGATTCAGGTATATTTTTCAGAATTAAAAAAAATTACCGAGTTCAAAAAATCCTAGGTTTTGGGCTAAAAAAAGTTTCTCTTTTTATTTAAAAAAAATGAATCAACCAAAAAAAAAATTACAAAAATAAACACGAGAGCGAGAAAAAACGAACACTGACCCAATTTTGATATCTCACACCTTTTTTTCAACTACAAATATAAAAACATAAATTTTCTTCAAAAAAAAAAAACCGGGCCTCAAATTTCATTCATCAATGCACAAAAATGAGTTGTTTCGAAGAAGAACAGGTTGTTTCGGACTGTTCAAATAAAAAAAATGAATGTTGATTTTTTTCAAATAATAAATATTTGGGTAATAGAATAGAATAGAGACAAAACATATACATACATATGTCGAGAGAAGGGCAATTAAATACAAAATCGGCAGAGGTCACCTGAAAAAATATAAAACTTTTTAATGTTTCAACCAGAAACACAAAATAACACCACACAAATCTTATAGTTTTATGAAAATGGGTCAAAAAGTTGTGTCACTTCAAATAATAATTTCCATTTTTTTCTTCTTTCAATCAACCAATTATACGTTTCAATAATATGTTATTATACACATTTTCGAATAAAAAACAACTTTCAGAAGAAAATGAAGAAAAATGTGGAGTAAAGGAGAAAAAAACGAAGAAAATGTTGAAGTAATTTAAATTTTTACGAGTGTCAGTTACATTCAGGAAAATTGCGGGGAAAAGACGTTGAAACTTAATTGAATTATTTTGAGCAGTTTTAAAATACAAGTTCGTCATCGTTTTGAAGGCGAGACCACCCACGAAGACTCTGGAATTTACTTCGAAAATTGATAGATCAAATCAAAAGTATAAAAGTGCAAAACTTACTGTACTCGAAAGTGTTCACACTAATCCACATAGCTTGTAGGCAATTTGAAATTTGAATATTTTCCGCTCTTTTTTTACAGAACTGAAAAAGATCTCTGAACAAAAAATCAAAAAGATTACTGTAGGTTTTTTGAACTTTGCTTTGTTTGCAGAAACCAGTCATCTATCACATTTTTTTGTTTTTGAAAAGAAAAATTATTCAAATGAGGTTTCCAGGTGGTCTTCTCTTCTTTTTTACTATGACGTGATGGCTTACTGTAATTTTGAATGAGTCATTGATGAAATATTGAATATGATGACAATTAAGTGTTTTAGAGATTAATTTTCAAAAATTTGAAAACTGGCAAAGGGAATTTGAAAATAGAAGAATAAATGTGATTGACGGAAGAGAAGTAATTTTTGAAAAATATTCTAGAAGTCTCAATTTTGGAATTCTGAGTTCATAGATAATATCGAAAGAAATTCGTTTTCATAAGATTCCAAGTATTCATCGAGAATTCAATTTTTCAAACTGCGAATTTTCCAAAGCCATTATTTAATGTGAAGTTCACAATTCCGGAAATTTCAGAATTTTTTGAGAAATGTTTTAAAAAAAGTTTAGATAAATTTATTTGCACAAATATTCACGTGTACTCGTCGTTATGGAAATTTAAAAATCATTTTCATTTTTAAGAACGGATTGAAATTTGACATTTTTCTGATTTCGAGATATAAAAAACATTTCAAATCTTCTCTATTGTTCATCGAAACGTTTACAAATTTCCCACAATTCGATTTTTTTCCGAAAAAAAATATGATCAAATTAAAAATTGTCTGTGCGTCATCAAAGTTTTATGCAATTCTCAATTGTTTTTTCCCAAGCTTTTATGTTTTTTTTTTCACGATTTTCAACTAAACTTTTTTTGTTTCTCAGTTTTGTTTTGCAAATACCAAAAAAAAAAAAAATGAATGATATCACCAACTATTTTTTCCCGTATTTTTCCACTATATTTGTTTCGACTTATCATAAGTGAAAACAAGTTTCGTTCCGTCGGAAAAACCATTGTGGGGCCACCGGCGGTAGGCGGAAAAAACACACACCAAAATAAAAATGATATATAAGTTGCGAATTTTTCAACAGAGACTTCATGAAAACCAAAATGCCGTGTCAGAGAACCTCTTGGAATGTGGTTTATCTTATGGGAATTTTTTCGTTGATTCAAAATACACAGTATTCGATTTATTTGACAACAATGTTTGCGTATATGAAAAAGGTTCGAGTTTTTTTTATCTAGAGTAAATTAATTAATAAGTTTATTTAATTTCAGTTAAATTCATCTGCAACTGAAGTTGATTATGGTTTAATTGTTGCAACTTCATCATTTGGTCATTGTATTGGTTGTTTTTTATTAGGATATTGGAATAGTCGAACAGGAAAATCAGCAAATTCAATGTACTGTGGATTTTTTCTAATGCTATTATCTAATTTAGTTTATCTTATAATTGATTTTATACCTCCTGAGATGGTTATTTCAACAATGATGATTTCTCGTCTTCTTGGAGGTTTTGGAATGGGAAATTCAAGTCCAATGAGAACTTGTGCATCTCTTCATTCAACTTCTTCTGATAGATCAAAAGCTATGGCTTCGATTTCTGGTGGAAGATCTGTTGGTACTGTAGTTGGTCCAGGTCTTCAACTATTATTTATTCCACTTGGTGAAATTGGATTCAATATTTTACCTGGATTATTTATTCATTCAAATAATGCGCCAGCTTATTTAGGAATTGTTTTGACTATTCTTGGAATTCTTCTTTTAACCTTTATGTTTGATGAGAATGATCTATCTGAAGATTCGGACAAGGTTGCAATTGCAGATTTCTATTACAAAAGTGTGAAGGTAATTTGTAAAAACAATAGGAATTATGAAAAGTACACACAAATCTGTTTCAGCTAACTTATCCAAATCCCGACAAAACAGCGATGTTCATTTGTATGCTCACTAGATTTATTCAAAATTTCATGCAAATTGCAATCGAAACTCTTGCACTTCCACTTGTTATGATGATGTTTTTCCAATCGAGTCAAGAAGCAGTTGCAAGTATGGCAACAACTTATTTGACAACTGGGTTAATAGCTACAATTTTGTACCTAGCTATTATTTTCACCAGTTTGTCCAAGTAGTAAGTTACAAATTTATGTGCGTGTGTTTTCAAACCAATGTTTTTCAGTGTTCGTGAAAAGATTTTTAACTGTGGCGTATTGCTACTTTTCATTGTTCATTTACTAATTACATATCCGTGGCAATTTTATTCTACAAAAGTTATTGATTTTCCAAATAATAATGGAACTTCAACATGTGAAGAATTCAGCTGGTGTGAAACAATTACCATTCCACCCGAGATGGTTAGTTTTTATTTTTCTCTTCAAGAGCTAAATATGTGGTCATCTAAATATTTTCAGTTATTTTATATCGGGTATATTTTATCTTTTGGATTGTTTATGCCATTTATCAATGTCGCGAACGCGACTCTTTATTCGAAACTTTTGAACCCGGATAATCAAGGAACTCATCAAAGTTTATATGATATTTCAAATACAATGGCTAGAATATTTGCTCCTTTAATTATAACAAAGATTTATTCGGATTTTGGACCAAGACGAGTTTGGGAATTTATGTCATTAATTTTGGCATTGACTGCCTCGTTATGGATTATTTTTGATAGACGATTAGTTCCAATTAAAGCGATCGAAGGAAAAGAAATATTCGAGGATAATTCGGGTTTTGAAAATCAGCAGAAAAAACTGGTGGTTTAGGAAATGATTTGTGATTTTTGTAAATTTGCGAATTGTGTGTATATATTTTTGTATAAATTATTTCAATTTATTTTTCGATTGTTTTAAAATAAAATTCTTAAAATTCATATTTATTTCAAGTTTGGTTTGATACCTGACTTTTATCATATTTTTCTCAAAATTTTTCTGCTTAAACGTGATCAAGCCCTTGCTTGAATGATTTCAATCCAAGCAAAAATCAAAAGCTAAAAATCAGTTTTCATTTTGATATAATATTTTTTAGTTTAATACATTACCTCTTCATATTTTGGAAAAATCGATATTTGTGTTGTGTTTCCTTAGTTCTAGTCAATTTTCCAGTTTCAGAAAAAAAATGACAATTTTCAAAACTTGGCAAATTTTTCGTAGAACTGCTCAATGGGCATGCACTTATCTCTCGTTTCTACTCAACATCATTCTGATTTCTCTCATAGTTTACAAATCGCCTAGAGGTATTGGAACTTACAGATATTTAATGATATATATTTCAATTTTTGAATTGGTTTATTCATTATGGGATTTGCTAGCGGAAGTGGTATATTCTTATTGTACAGTAAATCAATCTATGACACTTAAATTTCCAGCAAAACTATAATTTTGAATCTGGATTTATCGTGTTTCGAGATATGAACGGTTCAATGTTTTCTAGAAAGGCTGGGTTTTTGCTTGTCGTGGTTTACTGTGCATTATTTGGATTTTCGATGGCAATTTTTGGAATTCATTTCATCTATCGTTATGGTGCCATTAATCGAGAATTCTTCAACAGATATCTTTCTCACAGAAAAATTTATATCCTTTTTTCTATACCCATGATTTATGCTCTTTGGTGGGGTTTGGTTTGCTATTACTTTTTTGATATGAATTTACGCTCGGAAGAATATATGCGTTTGAGTATGTTGTCTGAGTATAATCTGAATATTGAAAACACTTCTTATGTTTGTGTTATTTTCAAAACTCGAGGAGATCAATTTGATATAAAAGTATTGATCGGAATGATATGCTGCTGGTTTATTACGGTAGAATTTATGAAACACAATATCAATATGATTCTAAAATTAAATTACAGATTTCATCAATGTGGACTGTGTTTTATTTTGGAATCAAGTGTTATTTTAAAATCAGGAAAACTTTTAAAAATACCTCTAACATGTCGAAAAACACTAAAAGTCTCCAACAACAACTCTTCCAAGCATTGGTTGCCCAAACATTTATACCACTTATTCTGATGTACATTCCAATCACAATACTTTTTCTATTCCCAATGATTGGATATGATATTGGGCAACTTAGTTCATTTGTGACATCAACTATCTCAATTTATCCGGCAATTGATCCTATTCCAAACATGTTGATCATAAAAAGTTATCGTAACACAGTACTCTATTTTTTCTGTTCAATGTTCCGTTTTTCCCACAAGATTTACCACTAGAGTTGATATCGTTGTTACCAATTCTCTTACTTGAAATAAATTGTTGCATTTTGTCAATCGCATAGCTTTTTTTATTTGAGTTCTCAAAGTACAGCTTTATATGGGTTGACTTCAACTTCAACTCAAAATATTTCCACATCACTTGATAATGTAATTGAATCACAACTTGGCCTTCAATGTGGTACCTGTTACTAATGCAACTACGTTTCTAAGCGTATCTGTGTTTTAATGATATGAAAACCATGTTTGTTTACGACAGCTTCTAAAAAATGAAATTCAAAATATAACAATTATGATAATTTCTGATAAATCAAGTGATTTTATGGTCTGATGAATTTTTAAATTAAAAAATGACTACATTAAAAAAGAGATACACATGTGAAAGAACGATGAAAAGCTCATAATTTGCTTTAATCTCAGAAAAAATTGTATCTCTAATTCTAGGCAACAATCTAATCTCTACGAAAAAGTGCAAAATCAGTCACTCATTTTTTTATAATGATGTTATCTCAAGAATATATTCAGTTATTATGCACTTCGATTTCTTTAATTCTAAATATTCTACTGATTTATCTGATTGTTTCAAAGTCGCCTAATGGCATTGGATTTTATAGATATTTGATGGTGTATATTTCAGTTTTTGAAATTTTTTATTCAATTTGGCATGCGTTGACTGAAGCAGTAAGATAACCTCAATTGATTGTAAAAATATCAAATTTCTAGCAAACATACACTTTTGGCACTGCTTTTGTGGTATTTCGAAACATGGAAGGGTCAATATTTTCTAGACACACCGGTTTTCTATTTATCGTAATTTACTGTGCGCTATTTGGATTTTCAATGGCAATTTTTGGGAATTCATTTTATCTATCGCTATGGTGCTATCAACAGAAACTTCTACAATAGATATCTCTCTCACAGAAAAATATATTTTATTTGTTCTATACCATTAATCTATGCTATTTGGTGGGGATCATTGTGCTATTCATTTTTTAAGATGAATGATATTTCTGGAAACTATATGCAATCTAGTATGTTACAGTATTTTGATTTGAAGATACAGAATACATCTTATATGTGCATAATTTTTAATAAGAAAAACAATGAATTTGATTTCAAAGTGATAATTGGAATATTTTGTTTCTGGTTCATGACGGTAAACTCATATTAACGTGTAATTGACGACAACAAATTTTTAGATTTCATCTGTTTGGGCGGTATTCTATTTTGGAATAAAATGTTATGTAGAAATCAGAAAAACAATGAAAAAGAGTTCAAACACTTCAAGGAACACTAAAAATCTCCAACAACAATTATTTCGAGCTTTGATAATACAAACATTCATTCCACTTATTCCAATGTACATTCCAATTTCGATTTTATTCACATTTCCGATGATTGGATATGATATTGGACAAATTGGATTAATTGTACCATTTACAATTGCACTCTACCCAGCTATCGACCCTTTACCTAATATGTTGATTATCAAAAATTATCGCACTGCAGTAATTCAAATTTTTCGCAAGTGTTTTCTTTGGGCTTCTTCTTGTAAGGTTGATGTGACTTTGAACACTATTACATAATGAACAAATGTTTTTTTTCTAACAAATGTTTTTTTGTCTGAAGCATTATCTCATTTCACAGACTTGAGGAAGTGAATAAACTGTTCTTCTTAAAACTTATTCACTCAACTATGATAAGATTCATGCTTCAATAATTTTTCCAGAGCAAACACACAAACTAGAAAAAAATCTGGGAGCTGATCTATAGGAAAAAATATTTTTCTTGAATGAGAAAATTCTATAGTTTCAAGTGTAATTCAAAGCTTCATCTAATCATTTTAACATAGTAATTTATGAACAACTTTCCTCTAACATCAATAGTAATTATGAATTAAAAACTTTACCCAATATTTTTCGATGAAGCTCAAATCTCACATGTTAGTTTTGTCCCCCCCCCTCCCCCAAACCTCAAAATAAACTAACTTGATTGGCCCGTTCCGTAAAAAGTTGTTGATCTCTTTGAATGTTTTGTCCAAACGGAAGATCTTCTTGTTCGGAAACCTGCAACTTCTACATTCTTTTTTCAACATTTTCGCCTATTCTTAAACTCACATCAGAAAATGACAATTTTGGATTTTATTGGACCGCTGCATTCTGTTACGGTTGTCTCTAAAAAAAAAGAAAATTAAAAAATGTACGAAATCACCCCATTAATAAAATTTTCTGCGCTGAAAAAACCACTCAAAAACCAGAAAAAAGCAAAAAATAAAAATGTCGTGCAACAAAATATAAAAAAAAAACAACGATACTCCGCGTGCGCGTTGTTTATCGTATTTATTTTGTATTGTTTTTTTTGCAGGGTAGATGAGAGAGTGTGGAAAATGGAGAGAGGGTTAGAGAGAGAGAGAGAGAGATGTTTTTTATTTGAAAAGAAATTATTGATTGAACGCTTTTTTTTCGAACTGATTCATTTTTCTGGTTTTTCAGCTGAATTCAGAGCAGAAAATGTTATTAATGGGGTGATTTGGTACATTTTTTAAATTTTTTAATTTTTTTTAGAGACAACCGTCACAGAATGCAGGGATCCCATAAAATCCACAATTGTCATTTTCTGATGTAAGTTTAAGAATAGGCGAAAATTTTGAAAAAAAAATGTAGAAGTTTCAGGCTTCCGAAAAAGAAGATGTTTCGTTTGGTCAGAACATTCAAAGTGATCAACAACTTTTCACGGAACGGGCGGCCAGTCAAGTTAGTTTATTTTGAAGTTTGGGGGGAGGGGAAGAGGAGCTAAACTAGCAGGTGAGATTAGAGCTTCATTGAAAAATATTGGGTTAAAGTTTTTAATTCATAATTAATATTGATTTTAAAAGAAAGTTGTTTATAAATTACTATGTTAAAATGATTAGATGAAGCTTTGAATTACACTTGAAGCTATAGGATCAGCTTCCAGATTTTATTGAAAAACAAACTATGAAACATTTCATAGGCAGATTAGTTTTTTCATAGTTTTATGCACGCGATTTCCAGTTTGTTTTGAATTTATTTTTTTCTCCTATAAGAAAAAAATTTTCTTTTACAAGCCATGTTCGAGCCAGGACAAGTTTAGGCCATGTTCAAGGACAGGAAAACATGAGGCCAGGTCAATTTCCCCACCCCTGCTTACACTTGTTAATAAGTAACAATTTATTCATTGATTTTTATTTGTTTCATCTCCAAGATAGACATTTCGATGATCAGAAAGTTGCTTGATCCGAAGTTGCAAAGTTTTGGAGCGGCTAAAAATAAATGGAACTATGAATTAAACAATGCAAACTTACATGGCATACGAATCATAAATCTGATTAAGCCATAGTTGTTGCATTCGTTCTTCAGTTCGATATTGTCGATTTCTCTGTGCTAATAAGGCCATCACAGCAATCAAAAGGACCTGAAAACATATATTGAAAATTTGAAAGAATTTCTTCACAATTGAAAACTCACAATTGAATAGAAAAATGTGCATACAATATGAAAATCCTGAAGAAAGGTTTAATATTATTTTTTTTTTTTGAAAATGTGTGTTCTTACAGATTCCAAATGGTAGTTTGTCATTTTTTGGTTATCAAACAATAAATATCAAAACAAAGATTATTTTTATTAATAATGAAATGATAAGAAACGGGTCACGTTTCTCCTATTTCTCATTTTTCGTTCATTTTATTTTATATTTTTGCGATCTTTGTTGCTTTTCTTCAGAAATTTGGTGTACTTGTAGAACTCGAAATGTCCTCAAATATTGCTGCAGTTTTGCATAAAACAAACGACTTAAGAATTGAAGAAGTTCCAATTCCAACTCCTAAACCAAATCAAGTTCAGATCAAAGTTCATACTGTAGGTATTTGTGGAAGTGATGTTCATTATTGGACTCACGGAGAGATCGGACCATTTGTTGTGAAGAAACCAATGATTGTTGGACATGAAACATCGGGAACAGTTTCACAAGTTGGTTCAGAAGTAACACATTTAAAAGTGGGAGATCGTGTTGCATTAGAGCCAGGGCTTCCATGTAAAGATTGTGATATTTGTAAAAATGGTAGATATAATTTATGCACAAAGATGAGATTCTTCGCAACTCCGCCAATCGATGGAACATTGGCAAGATATATAGTTCATGATGCTGATTTCTGTTTCAAACTTCCTGAAAATGTTAGTTTTGAAGAGGGCGCATTGATTGAACCATTATCTGTAGCAATTCATGCGTCTAAACGTGGAGATGTTAAAATGGGAGATCGCATTCTGATTTGTGGAGCTGGACCAATCGGAATTTTGAATGTTTTGGCTGCTCAAGCGGCTGGAGCTATTTCAATCGCTATAACTGATATTGATGACTCAAGATTGGCACTCGCAAAAAAAGTTGGAGCTGGAACAACAATCAATGTCAGGTATGAGCTTTATGTATTTTTTGTTAGAAAAATGAATATTTTTTCCAGAAACAAAACTTCTTTGGAAATAAAATCTGAAGTTGTCAAAGGACTTGGAGGCGAACCAAATGTTTCAATTGAATGTACAGGTGTTCAAACAAGTATTGCAACAGCAATCGAGGTTTCACCATTTTAAATACATAGACATTCATCAAAATTAATTTTTCAGACAACAAAATCTGGTGGTACTGTAGTCCTCATCGGCCTCGGTGAAAGTGTGATCCAATTTCCGATTGTCGAAGCAGCAACAAGAGAAGTTGATATTCGCGGAATTTTCCGATATGTTAATACATATCCAAAAGCTCTGGAACTCGTTAGTTCTGGAAAAATCAATCTATCTTGTATCACAAGAGCACATTATAAACTCGAAGATACTCTTGAAGCATTTAAACGAACTCAACAAGGAGATGTTATTAAAGTTTTTATTCAATGTGAATAATATTATTGTTTGGAATTATTGCATTCGAATGTGTATTATGCGTTCTCTCAAATTCTTCAACACTTTTGATAAGATCAATCTTGATCAATAAAATTCCCAAACTATCGTGAAATGTTTCTCCACTTTTTACAAGTACTTTTTGACTGATTCCTATAAAATATTGTATTTTATACATAAGTTATCCAAAATGAAAAAAACAAACCTTGATGTCTGATATCTCTTGCAACTCGATAATTATTATCTGAATGTGGTCCAGGTTGAAGTTCAAATAAATATTGAATAAAACTGCTGAATATCTCATCTTTCGAATCATTCTCCGGTTGACGAAATACTGGTAAAAGTTGTTTCATAATTGTTAGAAGTTTGATTTCTCGTGGAGCCTTGTTTTTCTTATCCAAAATTTTGAACTGCAAAGTCTCATTGTTATGAAGAAGGCGGAGACAATGAGTGATAACTTTCCTGAAAAGAATGTTGTTGTGTGGATGGAAAAATGAAAGGCCTTGATCTAATTTTTCTGAAAACTCACAACAACACTTTGTTTTTTCCAAGAACCGTAACGAGTGAAGTTTTTGGCAGAAATCCCATCATTATCACATAATAATCATCTTGATTCTTGATCGGATGCCTAAACAATTTCAATTTTCTTTTTCGAAAAATATCAAAAAAATTACCCTCCAAAATTATCCGGCAACATTTTCTGACGTCGACACTGATTAATGGGAGTCCTGAGAAAATGAAAATGAAGTGCGGCGATGAAAAATAACACGGTTCACGTTCAAAATTTATTATTTAAATTTAGAAGACAACAAAACACTTTGTTAAATAAATGAGCTTACAATTTGTTGAAATTGACTTGCAACGTGTCTGGAAAAGCAGGTAGACCGAGAATATAGTCGATTGATTCTGAGAGAACTGGGAAGAGTTCGATGTGAACTGGATCTTCGACTTTGGGAATGATCTGAAAATTTATTTCAGTTTTATAATTAGAATTTTCAAAAACATACCTCTTCTCTTTTTATTTCTTCCACTTCTTGTGGTTCTTGAATATTCCTAGTTTCTGTCGGTGAACTCATGTTAGGCTCAGGATTCCGGGGTTTTCAAAATGTCCGCTGGTACACGGTTTCTCGTCTTCCATAGTCTCCAACTCTCCCTTTAACAACCACTAATTTCTCATCTGTTGGCAAAGTTCTTCTCATTCGAAATCCATTATCAACCTCGGTATTCTTCTTAACATCAGGAAAATCTTCAACATATTGATCGATCAATTTTTCCAGAATCTCCGCTCTCGAAACATTTTGAGAACGTTTGACAGGTTTCAGCAAAGCAAGACTGTGTTGAAACTCATCGTCGAGACGGTTTACTCGATCCCGTTCAGTTCTGAAAATAATTTAATTCGGGAAAAAGTTAATTGGAAACTTACTGGTTTCTCCTCTTCCTATCTGTAGAATCCACTTTTTGCACTTTCTTAGGCATTTTTGAGCGACTTCTAGAAACACAAGATAAAATAGAAACTGAAATGAAATGACAAAAAAAAACAAAAAAAAAATAATGAAGTTCTTGAAAAATAAACCGACAAAGCGGGAGTATTGAATAGAACAGTAGCTTCTATTCACAAATGATTAACTCGAAAAAGTTCGATTCCTTTGATGAGCCGACAGAAATTCGTAGGTGGTCCAGAAGTTTTTCGAGAGAAAAAAGAATACGGTGAGAATGGATTGAGTTCTGGAGATTGAATGAAATAGGAAAACAGATGTTGGTTCAAAAATATGTAGCTCCTAGATGGACAGAGAAAAAAATCATGGAAAATTGTGAAAAACAAGAACAGATGTATAGAAAAGGAAGGGGAATAGCAAGAAGGATTACTGTACATAGTTGCGAGAAAATTTGAGATTTGAGATTCTCAAATTGGGAACCAGAAAAAGAGGGTAGCTCAAATGTCGAAATGGCTAGATGCCGGACGCCTTTTTCCTGTACTGGAGCAGGTGAGCTTGCTTGGCATGTGGCATTTTTTCCAGGAATATTTACCCTATCTCTTTCTTACTTCTGCATATCAAATATGTTCTCTGGAAGTTTTCAACTTTCTGATCACGATTCCACAGGAAAATTAAATGCAGCCATCCAATTTGACCATCCAACTATCTTTTGTTTCAACATGAGTTATGACGTGGCGAAAACTAGAAAACGAAAGTTGAAAGTGCTCAGTTTGAAGAAAATAACAGCACAAATGATATGAAAAATCTGATTTGGTAGAAGCTCACAGTGGAATCTAGTTAAGAATAATAATTTTTCAAGATTACAATATCAGCAAACCTGAAAGATCTAGTAACTCACAAGTTTCATTCTCTGAAATTTCCCCATAATGTCAATATCCATTTTTCTGAAACCCCAAAACAACTAGTATCTTTTGTTAACAAAACAAATTTATGAAAACATTCACATTTGTTCAATTGTCCAAGTTTTCGAACTCGGTGTCCACCACATTCCACTTGAAAAAGTATCAACAGAAGGCAATTCAACACCAGAGGAAGATGAAGAGCTCGAAGATTCTCCATTTAGAATTTTAGATGGAGCAATCTTCCGATTTTTGCGATGAATCGGTTCAGCAACATGAGTTGAGCAGACAGCTTCTTCTTCTGTTGAAAATCGAAATTTCAAATAGGAACAGTAGAATTTTAAAACTCACTGCTATCAATGTCGATGGTCTCACCGTCAGATTCACTTTTGTCTGATCCCGTGTTGTAGATATCTTTCACTTCTTCAATTTCTGAATCATTTTTGAAACGTCCAGCGACGAATCTTGAGAAAACAAGACCATCCAATTTGATTGATCGACGCATTCGCAGATTATTATCCTTTTTGGTATTTTCCAGAACAGCGGGGAAATCCTTGATGTATTGCTTGCAGAACCGTCTGAATACATAATCACCGTTTTTTTGAGTTTAAAAAAGTTACTTACTGTATAATTTCCTCTCTTGATAAATATGTCGGTTCTGGATGTTTCCCTTTTCTAGGTTTCAGCATTTCCAGAGCTTTTTGAATTGTATCATCTTTTCTCCGCAGTCTTGCTCTCTCAAGTCTGAAAAATAACAATCATTAAATTTTCTACCATTGAAAAGCAACTTACGCAGCTCGTTTCTTTCGTTTTTCAGCTTCAGATGACATTCCAAACCAGAACCACAGAGTAGATAGAAAAAAACGAAACAACTGGAAAAAGATCTATGGACCTACAGTAGTTTGGTACCGCCTATTTCGCCTCGCAGCTGTGACTCTGTCTAACTTCTTTTTATTTTTTCAATAGTGTGAGGCAGTGTGTTAGAGTTAGAGAAACTAACATAAAAATCAAGGAAGATGAATAGACTTGAGGTGTGTTTTTGGTGCTGGTTTGTGTTATTTGTCTACATACAGTGCGTTCCATAAGTATACGCGCACCCATAAAAATGATTTTTCGGCTCTCAACTTAACTTTTTGAGTAAAAATAAGTTGTTTAACGATAAGTACGTGTAAAAATACATATGTATACACTTTTCTGATATAAAAAAGGAACAAATAGTTTTTCGGGGAAAAAAATATGAAAATTTCGGATTTTTCAGCGTCTCAAAAGTATACGCGCACCCTATCAAACTGTAGTTAGGAGGCATCTGGTAGGAAAATACGTGCTCTGAGGTTTATTTGGCATGAGTTTTTCACATAAAATACATGAAAAACGCTCAATTTTTCAAAGAAGTCGGGAAAAATATTTTTTGATTTTCAATTTCTGGGCAGAAATTTTTCTGATATGCATACAAAAACTGTTTTTCAAAAATTTAGAACATCTTCAAAAGTTCTGATTATTGAGATTCGCGATGAAACTGCCCAAAAGAAAGTTTGAGATGAAACTTACTTTTTTCTTTTTTTGAAAAATTTTTCTTTTTGTGAGTTTTCCTACCCATTTCAGAATAAAATTGAAAAACAATTCAATTTCACATTTTTTCATAATTTTTGAACGTTGATCGATCAATTTACAAAATGATATTGGACTGAAACTGAACTAAAAGAGAAATTTATGTTTGAAACAAAGCATGAAAAAATGTTGATTGCAACAGTTCTTCAAATAAAACCTCAAAATACACTTTAGATGTATGTTGAACGTTTGAGAAGTCTTTGAAAGTGACTAAAACTTGTGTTTCAGTTATTTTAATTGCTTTTTATCAATTAAGTTGATGTTTGCAAAACGAAACGATAAGTTTTAGATCGAAAATTGAGCGTTTTTCATGTATTTTATGTGAAAAACTCATAATTTCGAGTAGATAAATCAGTCAAATTGCTACGAAATTGTGTCAAAAATTCAAAAAACACATTTTAAGACTGGTCCTAACAGTTCTAAAACAACAGAAAATTTTTCTAAAAAAATTCGAATTTTTTGAAAATTTGGTCAGAAATGTTTGTTCCACAAAATAAATGTTCATGGTAAATATTTTACCAATAGGTAAAAATAAGTGATTTTACGTTTTTCAGCATGCCAAATAACCTCAGAGCACTTATTTTCCTACCAGATGCCTCCTAACTACAGTTTGATAGGGTGCGCGTATACTTTTGAGACGCTGAAAAATCCGAAATTTTCATATTTTTTTCCCCGAAAAACTATTTGTTCCTTTTTTATATCAGAAAAGTGTATACATATGTATTTTTACACGTACTTATCGTTAAACAACTTATTTTTACTCAAAAAGTTAAGTTGAGAGCCGAAAAATCATTTTTATGGGTGCGCGTATACTTATGGAACGCACTGTACAGCAGGGGTTTCAAAAAATATAATGACTTTTAAAAAAGTTGTCTGAATCAATTGATTGATCATGTTTCTTTGAAATCGGCGAAACTTCAAAACAGAACAAGTTTTGTGCAATGAATAGAGCAACAGATTCAAAAGGAAACACCGCCCAAACTTTGTGGGTGGTTCAAAAAATTTTAGAATTATGGAATACTGTTGAAAAACATCAGAATCTTGAAAATAAAAACTTTTATTAGTCAGTTTAGAAAAGAGTCACAACATCAGTCTGAAGAGTTTCTCGGAAAGCAGGCAATTCAAGCAAATAATCAATAGATTCGGGAAGAATAGGAAAATAAGAAAAATTAAATGGTGCTAGAAAAAGATCTTGTGGATAACTGTTTCCAGAGACAGTTAGTCTTTCCAGATTTGGGGTGCTTTCGGTTTCAGGAAGATTGAGATTTAGTTCCACTTTCTTTTTTCCAGCAGCTGCACATCTTCTCTTATCTCTAGAATCTTCTTTTGATTTTTTCGCAATATTTCTTGGCTTGTTTGCTGAACTATTGTCTTTTTCATCGCTTTCACGTCTGAAATTTTGAGATTTGCTAAATGTTACTTTTTCTCGAAATGATTAGATTTACCTTTTAGCAGCAGTCCTTTTTTTCTTACAATCTCCGGCATTGAGTTGATCAACTTTTTCTTGGAAAATTGCAGCCTCCTGTGTTTCAGTTGACGATTTCTTTTCTCTGAAAAATAAAATAAGTTTTTATTGTGATTTTTAATTTTATTAATAAAAAAAAACTCACCGATGAGATTTGGACTTCGAGAACTTTGTTGGATTTTTTGCCAGCCATGGTGAGCAAAAAATAAATGGAACAAAAATGAAGATACCGTAGTGAACTCCACCCATCTTCCCTGACTCGAAGTTATGAGTAATGATGTTCGTGTCCCAGGAAATGTGATGATATAACAATGTAAATAATCGTTTTCGTGGTGTGAGTTGATGAAGGTGGCACCATAATTACTCAACGACATTTCCGATGATTAATTGATTGTCAGAGAATTGCTAGATTTCTGGTGCACAACTTCATAAATTTCTCATAATCCTATTGCGAAGAAATTTTCATCCGGATTGAAATCTGAATAGAAAAAAAACATTATTGGAACAGTTGCAAAATAAATTGTTTACCTCCACATTATTTTTTTTTTGAATATAGAACACATCGAAAATTCGGGCAGGCAAAATCTGGGTTCCCGAAACCAGAAGTTATTTTCTCCCTCTTCTCATACATAGCTTCCACTACTTTCTCGAAAAACAAAGATGTTCATAAAGTAGTCATTTTTTCTCTGTGAAGATTCATGACTCGATGATATGACTAATCGTGTAATGAGAATAATTGTGTTCCTTATATTTATTTTGCCAAAAACTTATATTGTTTTAGTGCAATTTAGTAATCGTGGTACGGAAATAAGTGACATCACAAGTTAACATCAACATCAACTTTCAGTTTTTGGAATCTCGGGAAAAAAGAAAACAGAAGATGTATAGACAAACATGAGAGATGTAAAAACAATTTTTCTGAAAGAAAATCTTAACTATAAATATTTTATGGGAATACGAAAAACTGTTAATATTATGATACACCATGAACTGATAGACGAACATTAATGTGACGGGACAAAATCACGTTTTTTTCATTGTTGATGTGGCTTCCAACCGAAGTCGGTTCGAAGAGTTTCTTGAAATGCTGGGATATTGAGAAAGAGCCCAATAGATTTGTCGAGTACCGGGAAGTACTCAAAATCAATTGGGTCTGACTCACTTTCCCAAACAATTTCCTCATCCGATTCATTTCCAGATTCTTCCGAATCAATTGATATCTCCCCAAATTCCATCAGTTCAACTTCATCGTTTTCACTTCCATATTCTTCGATGGTTTCATAATCAGAAAAATCGTGCTCATCTTGTGTTGGATCGTCATCATAACAAATCATTCTGAAAAATAATTGAACTTCATTCGAGAAAAAATCAGCAATACAATACGGTTTTCTGGTCGTAGGTTCTGAATAAACATGAAGACCATGTCTAATACCTTATCTATTTTTCGATTGGTTCAAGTTCAGACCATTTGAAATCAGAGGGTTTGTGGATAAATTGTTTTCCCTAATTATAACAATTCATCTGGATGTCAGGGTTTTTTTGGGGGACTGGATTCCTTCCACTATTTGGATTAAAGACTGCCCTAAAACACTCACTCTTCCAGATCGAAGATCCCATCGATAATAACGTCGGGTTGATTGCCGTAATAATGACTTGCATTCATTGTTGAATACTCTTGTTCAAGTTGTTCTAAAAAAAAAATTGGTTTCAATGATTAAAATTAAAAAATAGCAAAAAACATACAGAAATATAACTATCGAAAGAAAAAATAAAGAAAAAAACTACTCTCTGCTGAATAATAAACAATTATGAATGTTGTCTCAATACAGTACTCGGCGTCCTTTTCAAACATAAGAACAAATGAGATCAAAAAATATTTGGAGGTCTAGAGGATTGAAAAAATTATTATTTTTTCTATTTTTTTCCTAAATTATTTTATCTTTTTTTATTTAATTCCAAACTTTTTGCTGAATTTCAAGTCACAAATTTTTTGAATATTTGATCTATAATTTTTAAAATAAAAAACTCACAGAACTTTTTCCACTTTACTAAAAATGTTTTAAAATATAGCTATGTTGTAATATAGAAAGTTTGTAAACGAACCAAATGTTTTTATATTGTGTCAATAGGACTAATGAATAAAAAAAAGCCAAAATCAAGAGAATGGATATTGATTTTTTCTACTATTCAAAACGAAATAAGTTGTGTCTTTTTACGAATGTCACACTCACATGTTTCTTTTGACTTTTTGTGCTTCTTTGAAATCGGCAATATATCAAAAAAAGTTGCGCGCTGATCAAGTGAAAAAGCGAGGGAGAAAAGAAGAAGAAGAAGACACTTCGTGGGTGGTCCGAAAAAAGGAAAAGGTTACTGTAGATCGGATTTTAAAAACTTTTTTTATTAACAAACGTTTTCATAGAAACACATCAATGAAACAATTGAGATTCAATATTGAAGAGGCTGTGGAGGCTTTCCGTCGGAACGTCCTGCTCCGGTTTCATCCATCCACGGTCCTTCTCCTGAAAATTAAAATTTTATTGTTTTTGAATTTATGATTATTTCGAAACTAACCAAAAATTCTTTCAATTTTGTGCTCAAAATTCACAAAGACTAACGTTTCCTTGCCTTCCTCTACCATCAATTTCACTAATTTATGATTGTTATCTTGTTCTGTTGAATCATTGTAAATCGTTGTCAATATTTTTTGAGCCATTCCCAAAATATCATATCTGCTCATCAGTTTCTCTTCTGTTGATTTCGGAAACAAACGCATGATTTCAACAAGGTAAACATCAATCATATCAAGTTCTTCTTGGCTAAATTTTAAATATAAAAATCAGAATTGAAACTTTGAAATGTCAAAACTCACATATTTTCCATTATAAAAAATAAGAGAAGCCAACAGTTGTGAACAAGAAAAAAGAAAACAGTTAACTAAACTTTTGTGCAGTTTTTGCTCCTCCCCCAAATGTATCATTCTTATAATGTCAACTATTAAAGTGCAAATTGGTTGAAGATGGGGGCGTATTTTATAATAGTGACATTACTGTACGGTAGTTATTTTTTGCAAGGAAATTTTCCAACTTAAACAAAAAATTTATTCACAATAAGTCGAATCAGCATTCAAATTTTTCTATCTGGCAAAATATCAGTTCTTAGAGTTTCAACAAAAACTGGCAAATCGAGTAGAATATCAATAGATTCATGAAGAACTGGAAAATATTCGAAAACAACTGCTTCTTTTGATTTCTTTGCTTTTCTTGAACCCTTTTTCTTATCTATTTTCGGAACCTTTTTTGATAAGATAACCTAAAATTTGAAAGATATTTAGAATTAGAATTTTGAGTCAATAGCTAGAATGAAAATCATTTGTACCTAGATAATCATTTTCCAACCTTCAAAACTTTACCTCTTTACGTTTCTTCAAGTCTTTCCGATTTTCATTTTCGCTTCGAATTTCTCCATCTTCTAAATCATCTTGTGATTGTTTGGATCGTTTCGGCATTTTTCGGGAAATGAAAATCAAAAAATTCAGAGGTGATCACGCGAAAGCATTTCATAGAAAAAATTTATTTTTTTTCAACAAACAAAATTACAGATTATGTATGCTTTTTAAAATGATTAGTGAGATTCTTTTCGAGATTTTTTTTGGTGAGAATTACAAAATAGTTACAAATGATTTATGCTGTTAAAATTCGCGATCCGGGAAAATTGCAGGCGCAACAAGGGTCCAACAATATAATGCAACACAGAACCAAGATGAGACGATTTTGACCCAAAGCGAAGCCGTATTTGAGTTGAGATGAGAAAAGTCATTTTCCGGGCTGAAACATTTTTTTAAAAGGCATCAGACAAATTCCCTTCAACTCTTACCTGTACCAATTTGTCAAAGTCATCATAACATAAAGTGAGGCGAGGCAAAACATAAAATGGAAGAAGCTGTAGGAATAGGCAACTGAATCTTCTTCATTATCCCATGATTTTGCACCCTTTTCCATATCGTCTGAAAATCCGAGCTTTGTGATTATAAATTAAAACAAAAAATCTTACTCAATTGAATATTTTCCTCATTTCCTTCTCCAGTAATTTTTCCCAGTGAAGTATTTGATGAATTTCGAATCGAAGCATAAACCAAACAAACAAGCCAAATAGCCAATGAAACAAAAGCATGAGATGGAATTGGTGAGCCGAAATCATCTTTGTTTTGCTCGGAAGATTCAGTGACTGGAGTTGTTTGATTATAAGTTCCATTGCAGTGTTCATCTAAAATATATTGTCTTGTAAGCTCTGAAGTTTTTTTGAATTCACTCACTAGGATTGTTGACAAGGGCAGACCATGTTAGATAAATAACATATCCACTGATTACAACAGCTTGAAGAAGTCCTGATTTTGGCATTCTTTCTTGAACAAATGGCATAACTGACAAAACGCTCAAACCGATGCAAAGAAGAACATTGAAAATTAAGAAGAATTTTGGGAGATATCCACAACCTTCTCCAACAGCATAATTCAAGAATACAAAAACAACAGCGATTATGCAAAGAAGAAATCCGCCAAAAGTAGTGAGAATCAAGCCACCATAACACAATCGAGAATCTGTATCTTCATATTGAGAAACCCAATTTTCTGCAAGACCATGAGCGAAATCAACAATCAATATAAGTTGGATCAGAATAAATAGGAAAGCGCCGAGCATACCGATCCACATTAATGCTAAAAAATCAGAGAATCAAAGAAGTTTCTTTAAAAAAAATAAACTTACGAGTTGAAAGGCTATCAGTTCGCATCATGAAAAATCCGAAAACCAATGCTCCCAATGCAAGATACTTGAAAAACCAGAAGCCATTTTGAACTGAACTTCTAGAATCTTTTGAAGAATTCACACCAAACATAAAGCACATGAAAATCAAAAAGAATGAAGCAGTTGCTCCACAAACTCGATAAACAGCTTGATATCCAACAGCGTGGTCACAATTGATTCCAGCGTATTCGTTGAGTCCTTCACAAAACCATTTGTTATCCACCATCTTCTTCTGAATTCCTGGTGTCAGCATTATGCAGGCAATAAATGTCATCACAAATAACATTGTTGCGTACATAAAACGAGTTGTTGTTGAATTGCGAGTGCTTGGACAAACCGAACAGCATAATGAACAAGCTGCACTTCCAAAACAGCATGCCGTCTGGAAAATTTAGACATTCGATTCATAAATAGATTTAAAAATCAACTAACCGATGCAGCGACACAAGGAATTGCTAAAAGTCCTCCCATGCCAATCAATAATCAGCTTCAACGTCTCAACGGACAAAAAAACAAAAATTACGAAATTGTTCGCGCGAAATACACAGCTGCATCTGTCGGATTCTCGGCCAAGGCCAAGTGTTTTTTATTTTTGTTTTTGTTCGAAAAAAATTCTCAGAGAAAGCCGGCGACTAATCGGCGACCAACAAGTTCGTCGCAAGTTCGTCGGCGAAAATAGTGTGTGTTTCCCGGAGACGCAGACGAAAAAGTTTCAGGCGACTAATCGGCGACTAACTTATGATTGGTCGCCGATTAGTCGCCTAAAACTTTTTCGTCTGCGTCTCCGGGAAACACACTATTTTCGCCGACGAACTTGCGACGAACTTACGATTGGCAGACGATTAGTCGCCTGATCTCGATTCGTCGTAAGTTCGTCGCCGATTAGTCGCCGGCTTTCTCTGAGTTGTTTATTTTTGTGTTTCTCGCATTGATTTTTAACGAATTCTTCCAAAAACTATTTTATCTTAATTATTGGCATTTCTAGTGAGTGTTTGATCTCCTCCCACCTCTTATCAACAATGTTTTCTATAATATTCCAATTCGTTATCATCATTTATATTATTTCAGGCCAACTCTCCAAAAATGCCGGCTGATTTGAAAAATGTGTTCAGGTAAGAAATAAAACATTTTGTCGTTTTTTATTTCACGTTGTCCCAATTGTTTTCTCTATTTAAATAAATACATTTCTAGAAAAAAAGAATGATTTTTTCAGTCAAATCGATGCTGATTACGAAAATCTCAAAGCACTATTGAAAGAAGCAGTTGCGATTCAAAGTGTTTCGGGAGATCCGAGCAAAAGAGATGAAACAATTCGAATGGTTCATTGGATGAAAAAACATCTCGAAGAAATTGGTGTAACTTGCAATTTGGCAGATTTAGGAACGCAACAACTTGAGGGAAAAACCGTTCAATTACCACCAGTTCTATTGGGAACTCTTGGAACTGACAAAACCAAAAAGACACTTTTAGTTTATGGACATTTGGATGTTCAACCAGCTGCGAAATCAGATGGTTGGGATACTGAACCATTTGAACTTGTAGAGAAAGATGGAAAATTATTTGGACGTGGATCATCGGATGACAAAGGACCAGTTCTTTGCTGGCTTCATGCGATCCGTGCAGCACAGAAAAATAATATCGAATTGCCTGTGAACATCAAGTTCTGTTTTGAAGCTATGGAAGAATCAGGATCAGTTGGTCTCGAACAACTTTTGATTCGTGAAAAAGATGGATTTTTGGCTGGAACTGATTTTGTATGTATTTCTGATAGTTATTGGCTTGGAACCAAAAAACCATGCCTCACTTATGGTCTTCGAGGAATTTGCTCATTCTTCGTTGAAGTTACCGGAATCAAACAAGATCTTCATTCTGGTGTTTTCGGTGGAGTTGTACACGAACCATTGCAAGATTTAATCTACGTTATGTCTCAATTAACAACTGTTGATAACCGTATCAAAATTCCAGGTTTGTATATTTTTCGTGGAACTGATAAGAAGAAAAAAGTCACGTGACAATCAATTTTTCCAGGAATCTATTCACAAGTCGCCACACTATCCGCAACCGAAGAGAAAACCTATGATGAAATCGAATTCGATGTTGCCGAATTCCGCGATAGTGTTGGTGCCAAACATCTTCCAACCGAAGATAAGAAAACACTTTTGTTGCGTCGTTGGAGAGAACCATCATTGGCGTTCCATGGAATCGAAGGGGCTTTCTATGGACCCGGAGAGAAAACTGTTATTCCAAGCAAGGTTATCGGTAAATTCTCAATTCGAATTGTTCCTGATATGCAACCAGAAGATGTCAATAAAATAACTATCGATTATTTGAACAAAGTTTGGGCCGAACGTGGATCACCAAACACTTTCAAGTGAGAAAGAATGAGTTCTGTTGTTGTTAAATAAAAAAATTTGTGAAATTTTATTTAGGCCACGACCAGGACACAGTGCTAAACCATGGGTTGTTGATGTGAATGATGCGAATTTTCTCGCCGGAGCAAGAGCCATGAAAATTGGTAAGAATAATATCATTTTCTCAAAAATTCAATTTATTTTTCCAGTTCATGGCGTTGAACCGGATCGTATCCGCGAAGGTTGCAGTATTCCAATCACCCTAACATTCCAAGAATTGACTGGAAAAAGTGTTCTTCTTTTACCATTAGGAGCTGCAGACGACATGGCTCATTCACAAAATGAGAAAAACAACAAATGGAATTATGTGGAAGGTGTCAAAACCTTATTGGCGTATATTTTAGAACTCGGAAATGTATAAATATTTTATTTCTTTTTTTTTGTTCTTTGTTTTCTGTGATTTGATTTTTGTGCTCGCCTCAATTAGCTTTCTTCCCATAACAATAAATTATTTGTCCATTAACTCCTAAATCACTTTCACCCAATCAAGCTCCCGTAATTTATGTCAATGCTCATTAGCATAACTTTTTCACTCACTAACTTACTCAATTCATCTTCATTTTTTGTGGAGTAGAAGTTTTTTTCGCCCACGAATATTTTGTTTATACTATTCATTCAAAAAAGTTTTTTTTTTTGAAAACAAAAAAACTGATCCATCATTTTACTGTCTATTCATTTCAGTTTTTGGACGTTTGAAGTTTAGATATGTAAATAATGTTTCAAACTCATCAAAAATCGAATTCTATGCTACAGTAATAATTTGGCATTTTTTCTCGAAATGCGAAAAAAAAATCTGAAAAAGCCATTTTCTTTCACACGTTTACTGTGGTCACGCATAAATTTGTTCGCTGAATAAAATTAATATATATTTTTTTTCATTTCTCCATTTTTTTCTCACTTTCGTCATTCAACAAAATTACCATAAAATATTTAGAAATCACGAGTTGGGGAAGACTTACTCATAGATATCTATTCAGACACCAGAAAAATGTTCGAGGTTTTTTTTTATTCTCGGAACATAATCTCAGATTTCTTTTTAATGTTCATTGGACCGTGTGTTGAATATAAATATATAACAAAATATATGTCTCTATGACACACTTCCGGACAGAAAAAATGAATGCGATGTCTTTGAAGGTGTTTGATTTTTTTTTATTTGATGAAGCGAAACAACTTCTTTTAAGTTTTGATCGAGGATAAAAAATGTTTTGGGAAATCTGGGATTTTCTTGCTTTTTTTTTTCAAATTATTTTGTAATATCTTTAGAATAAAAAATTTCCAAAAAAAAATCTGATCATTATTTTTCAATCAGTAAACTCCCCATTCCCATGGAACCTACCATTTCCAATTTTGTTCTACAAAGGCACGGCCCCCTACAAATGTTTATTCATGATTCAAATGTTCTTCATTTCATTTCGCACAAACATATTTTTTCTAAAAATAAAATCATCAAAAAATATACGATTTTTGTCGACCTCCATGTCTATCAAGCAGATGATTTTTCGCGAAAAATTTCATCTTCGAACTTTTCGAGCCCTTCGATAAAACTGCAAGAAAAAAAACAATGAAATCTCATCAAGCTCTGCTCTGTTTTTCGATTAAAACGAATTTTTTGCCAATTTCAAATGACGTTTGATGGCCGACAAAAGACGTTTGTATTTAATCTAAAAATAAAATTATCTCTTCCGCTATTGCCTCTTTCTTCTTCCTTTTCAAAACCCTTTTTTTTTGGGTATTCTCAGAGAGAAATAGAAGATATTTTTATGAGTATGATATATCATCTCTCAAAATTGTCACGTTTCAAAAAATAATTTGAATAGAGAAATGAGTTATTTCAGCATCGTTGAGGGTCTTTTCATTTTGACAAATGTGAACTTTTCAATTAAATGAATCACTCTTATATGAAAATTATTGAAAAATGATTTCATTTTTTTTTCAAAATCAAAGTTCTGTGAACCTATAGAAAAAAGGACTTGTTTTCAAATTCTTTTCAGTGTGAAAATGTCACATCCGGTTTCATTTCAACCCATTTCTAAAATCCATACTCCTACTCATTCATTTTTCTAAAAAATATCTAATTTCGAAAAAAAAAACAACAGATAATTTCAGAATCAGAAAAAGAAGACTAATATAATCTTTGCAAGGCAAAAAATAAACGAACGGATTAGGAAAAAAAGACGAATTTGGTCATTCCATCTTCATCTTTTTCTTCCGCCGACAATTATTATTATTATTTTCATTAGACAGGCTTTAATTTTTGTTTTCTGATATTCTTGGTGTTTCCGCGAAAAAAGTTGAATTTTTGGGGCGACAAGATGATGAGTGAAGCGGAAAATTTGTGAGAGTGCATGAATTTCGAATTTATGTACCTTTTTTTGTTCGAAAATTTCTATTCTTTTTAGCGTTGAAAATCACAAATTGTTTAATGTTTTGCAAAAAAAAAAATACTGTATGTCTAGAAAAAATTTTGAAATGTTATTTGATTTTCAACAATAAGAGGTTGCTCAATTATTTTTTTTTATTGAAAAATAACTTGCCCTTTAAGAAATAAGGCCAACATGATTACTTAAAAAATATCCTTGAAATATTTTTGAACAGATAAGCTACAAGTACAAGTTCCGACTTTGTAGGCAACAAAAATAGTTCGAAAATCTGAAAATCCCAAAAGCAGCCAAATTTAGAATTTTATTCAAAGAAACTTTTGATAATTTTTTTAAATATCAAAATTTTCTGATCTTTCAAAATTCATTGATCACTTTTTATTTTTGTTAAGAAAATTTTTGTGCCAAATCTAACAATCTGCAAAATTTCGAGCTTACATTATAAATATATCTAATTTTTCTCAGATCAAAACTCAACAAGAATGAATTTTAAAACAACTTGTAGCGGTCATTTTGATGTCGTGCAAAACAAAAATAAAGTGACACCACCCCAAAAAAAATCTTTTGATTTCTCTCGTTCTTCTTTGGGTGTAGTATTGGTGGTGGCATGTCTCCCCCATTTTCCTCTATTTTTTTCTAATCCGGTCGGATTCATTTTTCGCTTCTGTCGCACCAAGAGCAAAAAAAAAGAAAACAAAACTTTTTTTTCCTTTCTCTTTTGACTTTGTCTTTGACTATTTCTCACGGACCTTGAGGACTTTGATATTTTATTTTATTTTTGTTTTCGTTCATTTATTATAAAAAAAACTTTATTCGTGATTTTTCATGAGGGAAATTTTTCATCTGAAATTTTGATAGAGATAAATATGAAAATAAAATATGGCCGAGAGATTATAGATTTTCGGGATTTTCTTTTTTTTTTCTTGCCAGCTGTTTTGATTTCTTTTCCTAACTTTTCGCTTTGTATCCCGTATCCACGATTTTGATTTTCTTTCTGTTATCATAGATTTTTGCAGATTTTGGAATTGTTTATTTGATTTTGGCAAAGATGGTGAGTTCTTCTGGGGACCCTTCCCATTCCACCTCTCAAATATTCATAGTAAAGTAGTCATTTATCTATCAAAAGTTATCGAAAGATAAAAATTGTGCCCTTGGGAAACTTGAGGGTGGAATGGTGTGAGTTTGAGAAAAATCGCAGAATATTATCATCTAGGGAATTGTCCTTCTGCTTTTCCCCTTTTTTCTTCTTCTTATTCGAATTTTTTTCTCGGAGTAGATAGATAGAAGCTTTTTGTCTCCGGGTGTTCAAAATTGAATTCAGTGAGGTCTCTCAAAAACTTCCTTTTTTTTGCTAATGACGATCTAACAAATTATTTTATTTTAGTCAAAATATATTTGAACTTTTATTTTTTTCAATTTCCTGGAGAAAATTTGCTGCATACGTGGAAGGAAAAGCTTTTTTGGTACTACATAGATCATTAGCAAATTAGACATTTCTGAGAATTTATTTTTATGTTCTGGTTTTCTCTTTTCTCAATCTTCCAACTTCAAAATCCAAGACTCAAAACCCAAAACCCATTTCAATACCAATCATAATGACAACCAATAAAAACATGTCACAAAAACCTCTCTGATCTAACAATAAGTGGTAGTGTTTTTTTCTCCAAAGACAAAAAGCCGAAGTTTTTCGTCTCTCAACAACTGACACCTTCCAAAATATTATGACAATACACGAGACGCAGACAATCATCACACACGAAAAAATAAATTTTTATATTTTTCGTTTCTCACTCATTTTCATCCCAACAATCATAAATAAAGAATATTGCGAGATTCCCGCATTTCTTCAGGTGCTCATTAAAATCTCTCATATTTTTCTCATTCTTTTTTTCTTCGAAAAAAAAACACATTCCGAAGTTCTACGATACAGTACTCCCACCCCTTTTGAAAAGCAGAAGCACTCTCATTTCAGCTTTAGCTAGCTAGCAAAAAAACACCAAAAATAATTTAGTAATTACCGTAAAAGTGTATGTAATTGGTTAGTTGGCAATGGCAGGAGCAGGCCAATAAATCTTTTTCTTCTTCCTCCTTCGTTGTTGCCCGTTTTTTGCCCGGTTCCCTTCTTTTTTTTCATTTTCGCCTTTTTTTTGTTCGCCGGCAAAAGTTCCACCCGCGCGAGCTAAAAGATTTTTTTACGACTTTTTTATGATGGCTGAAGGATTATGGTAAAAGTTATTATTTTCGATAATTTATAAGCGGAACAAATATTTTGGGCCGAGAAAAAAAAAACATCTGGTTTAGACACTCATTTTGATTTTTAAGAACTTCAAGATAATATTTTTTCTCTTGAAGTAAACGACTTTTTGAAAATCCCCAATGTTTTTCTTGTTTTTTTGGAACATCCTAATCTTCGAAAAATCCGAAAAGCCTGCTAAACGCAAAAAATCCATATAATAATATATTTTGAACTCTGCCGGCTACCAACTTTTGTTCCGAGAACTTCGTCGGCTCAAGATGATAATACACTTAACAAAAACTTTTTGGAGTGATAAGTGGCCCTTGAGAATCGCACCTTTTGAACGATCTTTATATCTGATCTGAACTCATTCTCGTTTTTTTCTTGAAATAAATTTTCTTGGCAGATTTTTCAAGAAAAATGGAATAAATTAAATTTCACTTTGTTGTGTGTTTTTTTTCGAAATTTGTGTGGGAGGAAAGTTTTAATCAGGTTAGCTCCAACCACCAAGAAAACAAAAGAAAGACCCAATCGATTTGGAGCAAAAGATCTTACTCATCGATAACAAAACGCACTTTTAAAAAACAACACACACTTTTTGCTCATTTCATTTTTCTTCCTTCTTTTTCTCCTCCCATCAATAAATATTATTTATATCTTTGAAATATATATCCACCTAGCGTTGATCTTACTAATTTTTTCCAATATTTATTTTTTCTCCGTCCATTGTCAATGCTCACGAGCACGCGAAAAAGAGAGCGCCAACTTTTTTTTCGCTAATTTTTTTTTCGATTTTTTCAAGATGATAATAATAATGGTTGAGGAATTTTTCAGAGGATTTTTGTTGGTGATTGATTTTTTTAAACATTAGGGTAATTAACTCTTAATTTTAAATGTGTTCTTTTTTTTCGTGTTTTTTGAAAGTCACAGAATCTCTGGAACAGACCTACATCTTGGCTAAGTCCCTGGTTTCCAAAATCAAAAATTGTAATTTTTATTTTAAATTCTGAACTTTGAAGACCATTATAAATATTACATCTTCTATGATCTACAAAAAAGTTTAAAAAAAAGTTCAATCTTTTTTCTCCTTTAATTTCCTCCTGCCTGGGCGTCAAAGTTCATCGTCATTAGTAACATCTTGAAACAGCTGACATGTCATCAATTACAAAATTCCGGTTGGTTCAAAAAATCCAGCTAAAAATTGGCTGTTCGTTTCGAGATTTTTTTGCCTACGGACACCAACAAAGTCTAGGTATTTATTCAATTTTTCTCCCTTCTTCTTCATATATTTTTTTATTCATTCATTTATGAAAATGTCCTTCTCGTTTTTTTTTCGTCCGTTTTTCTTATTCTTCCCGATTAAAAGGTCCTTTTCTTGCGGTTGTTGTGGAGCATGAAAAAATGAATGTGAGGAGGAGCGGAGAAAAGACACTTAACAATTATTATTATTTTCTTCTTCTTCTTCTTTCATTCTTGAAGAATGAAGCGTGTTGTTTGATGGAAGGAGGACTTTTTCTGACATGTTTCATAGTAATTTTTTGATCCCACCCACAGTAACCTTTTTTTAAGATTAAAATTTCGTCAATTTCTTTCTCTTCTCCTTGTTTTTCCTCTATTTCTTTCTTTCGACATAGATTGTTTCCTGAAATTTTCCGGTTCACATAACCGACAGAACTCTGATCATCGTCATTTTGTAAAAAAAAGTTATTTTAGGGTGGAGAAATTTTTTTTAGTTTAAAATATCCACGTCAAATACAATTTTTTTGAGCTCGGGTAGATAGGTAAGTAGATTAGCTACTACATTTCTCCCCACGCTTTTTTTCCAGATCGACTTTAATTCTTGTATATTTTTTATTCAGAAGACTAGAATTGAATAGCATAAATAAATTGTTAATGAAATGAAAGTCTAGTTTTTGAAATGAAATAAAAAAGCAACTCAAAAAAAGCATAGAAGTTCTTTTTTTTACATCCTCCTTCTTTTTTCTTTCATACCTTGTTTAACCGTGCGTAAACATTTATATGTATTTTTGTGTGTTAGTTGAGAATGGGTCCAAAAAAGGAGCCAAAGAGGAAAGGGAAAAGTTTGCTGTTTGATGTAACACGATACTTTTTGCTTTTACTATTTGGCTATTCTGTTCTCAGATTCGGATTATAAATTTTTTGTTCGCGCGCCGCTGGTTTTTTCTATACATATTGTTTGGTTCAAAATTTTTTCTTTAGAAAAAGTCTAGACATCTGATCTTGATGTTTTCCAACCTCAAAAACTACTAAAGTTCTCCCAATTTTCAATAAACAATTTTATAGGCGGCTTCGCCCTTCACCCCATCCACCAATAACACCAACAAAAATGCAGTCATCATCAGCGGGTGCGCCATTTTCCGATGTGTCGAATCTCATCAACATTAACGACGGTTCGGAGTCGATGAAGATGATTTTAAGGGCAGTCGGCGAAAACCTCGATAACTTCACATCCACTACGATGGAGACTACGACAACAACCAGTCCGTCTGATTTACCACAACATGTTCCGATGGGCATGTTTATGACTATTCTTATGATTAGTATTGGCACGATATTTGCCATCGTGACTTCGGTTGGAAATTTGATGGTTGGTTTTGATGGGAAAAGGAAATGGGCAGGGTTTGGGAAAAATATTGGGAAGTTCAAACCAATCTCCTTTAGAACTTAATTGAAGATGATTATCACCAGTGATTACTTTTTTAATAGTAATTTTTCAAAAATAAAAAAAATATGCCAAAATTTTTCACTCAATCTCATTGTTTCCAGGTGATGATAAGTTTCAAAATCGATAAACAACTTCAAACAATTAGCAACTATTTTCTATTCAGTTTAGCCGTTGCCGATCTAACTATCGGTAAGTTCTAAACCTTCCGATTTTCTCCATTCCATCGCCAAACATTTCCAGGTGTCATATCAATTCCCTTGTTCACCTATTATGTGATAAAAGACCAATGGGACCTCGGCTATGTAATGTGCCAATTTTGGCTATGTGTCGATTATTTAATGAGTAATGCATCGGTTCTCAACCTTTTGCTCATTTCATTCGATCGATATTTTTCGGTAACTCGACCGCTTTCTTATCGGCCTCGAAGAACAACGAAAAAAGCATTGACAATGATTGCGTGCACTTATATTATTTCAATGATTTTATGGCCACCGTGGATTATTTCATGGCCTTATATTGAGGGAACTGAGCAGAGTGTGAAGGATTCAAATCAATGTGCTGTACAGTTTTTGGCAACTAATGGTTATGTAACTGTTGGAACAGCAATTGCCGCATTTTATTTACCTGTTACTATTATGTGTATTTTATATACTCGGGTTTATATGGAAACTCAAAAAAGGCAGAAGGAATTTGGAAAATTACAAGCTTCCCAGGTATATTTTTATTTGTTTCTTATTTTTTGATAAATTCAGAACTTATTTCTGAATTGAATGTCATTCAGAGTTATTCTCAGTCAAGTGACAATAAAACTGACCGGCCAACAAGACGTGGATCAAAAATTGCAAAAAGTATCAGAAAGGTCCTTTTGATAGATTTTCTCGTTACCATTCCCGTTTTTATATCAAATAAGAATCCGAGCATGAGAAAATTTAGATTGAAAAATCTAGCAGAATAACAATTTTACTTTCAGTTTCCGCGGAGGTCAATAAAACGAGAAATTTCATCAACTTCGATTGTAAAATCATCTGGATCAATCAGAAAGAAACCGGGAAACGCGGATTATGATGAAGTTGCAACTACAACAAGAATATCAAAAAGAAGAAATTGGTTAAGAAATTGTACTGGAAAATCGAATTCCTCTTCAGAAGAATCATCAGAAGCTGCTGCAATGAACTTGGATACAACATCTCTATCAAGTTCGCATTTTGCTATGAACTCGTCTGGGAAAAGAAACGGAGGAAGTCGAAACTGTGGATCACCTCCATCTTGTACACCACTTCCGACAAATTTCGAGGAAGAAGATGAGAAAACTGATGCTGCTGAATCGATGAGAAATGGATCAGCTAGATTTAGATCAAGACCGACGAATGAAAGTAATCGATCATCAGAAAAGAAGGGCGATACTTATACGGTATGTTTGGAGAGTTTTTGAATCAGAGCGAAGGACCCAATTCTTGAGAGAGGGGCCGATTCAATATTTTTCTCATTTGATTATTTTGCAGAAAAAAAATTCAAAATTTTTCAATCAAAATATTGTTTTCAGGTCTTGATTGAATTGAATGACGAGGGATCGAGACCAAGTGTTAGGCTTAGCAGTTGTGAACCATTTCTTGAGTGAGTTTTTCTAGAACCCAACCCAAAAATTATTTTTCCAATTTTTCAGGCAGCCAAGCGTTGCTAGAAATCGTTCAAAAAGTGATTGTAACAGTGAAGTTCCCGAAAGTCGTCGACAAAGTTTTCTGGGAAAACGTAAGTTTTTATCTCCGAAATTTTCTAGCCTTCTATCAATTCTCTCTTCTCATTCCAGAATCACCATTCAAAAACGGTCGAATTCTCAAGAATTTCTCGACAACCGAAAGGAAAAGCGAGAAAGAGCAACGGAAAAACGATCGAAAACAAGAGAGTAAAGCCGCCAAAACACTTTCGGCCATTTTATGCGCGTTTATTGCCACTTGGACACCGTATAATTGTGAGTTTTTACGAGTGAGATATTAGTTTTTGTCGTGTTGTTTTTTGTGCAAGGCTGGAGGCTGGAGGCGGGATGGTTGGAAACAATATTCAAAAAAAAATGAATGTCAAATGGGGAATATTAGTTCTAGTGATAAGGATTTTTTTCAAAAGTTGATAAAAACAAGAAGTTTCACATGCCTTTCTGAACGAAGTTGTGATTTCTGAACAAAATTCAATTGTCAAGATTCAGCGCCTAGATTCTCACTCTAAAAAGGAGCCGCGCCTTGAGAGATCAATTGTAAAGTAACGAAGCCTAGGGAATACATTTGTCAAGGATCAGAGCCTAGAGGAAACCAATTTTCAAATTTTTGAAATTTCAAAACATTCATCTGGCATATTACACTTGAAAACTTGGTATTTTTCAATGAAAATATTCCATTTTCAGTATTCGTCTGCATTTCCACAGTTTATCCAAATGCGATCAACAAAGACATTTATAGTTTCGCATATTTCCTATGCTACATTAATTCGACAATTAATCCTGTTTGTTATGCATTATGTAATGCTAGGTAAGACTCTAACTATATATATTTCCCTACAATAACCATCAAATTCAACAGATTCCGTCACACTTACATGCGAATTCTTCGATGTAACTTCAAAACTGAAAGGCCGACAATGAATACAGGATATGTTAGAAGATAGATTACATAATTGAGTACATTCCTTTCCATTTTTTGTGTGTATTTAGTTTGCATTTAGGTTTGAACCTGATTTACCGTATTGCTCATCATTTATTTTGCGGGTTTTTATATTATGTTTTTTTTTGAAAAAAAAATTATTTTGTTGCTTGGTTAATGAAAAACTTCTACTAATCGTGTTCCATGAATCGCATTCGTTCTTCCATATCAGCTGCGTTGAATTCACGTTTCTCAACTTTTCGATATTCTCGAACAGTTGAAAGTGTGTTTGGTGAATCGGTTCGATAATACATTACTGCCGATTCTTTGACACCAGGTTTCTCTTCTTAAAAACCGCAGGTTGTTTGATGTGTTTTTATTTAATTGTAAGGTCATAGTTACTTGCTAGTTCCCAAAATTAAAAAAAAACTTACGACAAGATCTTCGAATAAAACAAAACGCTCCCAAGCAAATAATGAATAAAATGAGAATCAGCAGGAAAAATATGAAAGAAATGAAGGAGACTGGAAGTTGTGCAACAACTTGAGAGAATCCCATATCACATTTGAATGCTCCATTTTCTTCAAATCCACAAACTTTGAGTTGCGGCTCAATTATTCCATTTTCCTTCGATGTTACTGGTATAAGTGTCCAACGGGGATCTTTATTAGAGCGGAGTGGATAATTGACATAGCCACCATAAATTTTCCCATCACCAATTCTGAAATTATCTTGTTTTCCATTTGAAAAAAAAAACAAATAAAAACCCATCCAATAAATATTATTTTTTCCTCGAATCTAACAATTGTTTCTGTTTCTGTTGACTACTGACACTAGTCATTTTTTCGAAATTCAAAATGTATATTTTCCTCATCTCTTCTATCCTGATTCATATTTATTCTTATTTAACAAATTTTATCATTATAATTTTGCTAATCAAAAAAAGATGTGAATAGTCTCATAATCTCCTTTCAGATACAACAAAAAACTATTTTCAGTAATAAAAAACCGAGCTTTTCTAATTCATGCGGTGATTTGTGAGTTGGTTATTGGAATTAGACAACATCTTGATTACGAATATGTTATGATTTTCAAATATTCGAAAAATAACCAACAATGTGAGGTGTCAAAATATAGGAAAATAACAGTTTTTCTCAAATTACAGATAAATATGAAATGACATACTTTTCTAAATCCTCCGATCTTATTACAAGATGTGCATTTGACGTTAGAATTATATTACTTTTATTAATTGCCCTTTTCAGATCATATTTGATTTTAACTCAAACTCCAAAAATCCATGAGAAATTAATTCATTCATTGCTTATCTTGACTTGGGTAATTAGCCTAAGTTCTTACACTGAAAAATGTAATATTGCAGATATCTGTCATTTCATTTCGATCATTATATATTTATGAAGATCAATACAAATTGTTGTTTGATTTCAAATGGAATAAAATGTTAATCGAAAACTATCAAACGTTCGAAAAATATCCTATGAAATTAGTGAGAATTTTCGACAAAACAATGGCTGGAATAACAGTTTTGACATTTTTTGCAAATCTCACGTTGATTTTAATACTTCGAAGAAGATCAAGAAAAATCAACTTATCAATCAAAACATTCAAAAATCGTAATTTTGTCCAAGAAAGGAAATCGATAATTGGATGTTTCATAATAACTTCAATTTTACTAGTTCGATATATTCATACTATGTTATTCGTAAATATTCCGATGCCAGATTCAAATTTTTTGAAAATAATTGGATTTATTCAATTATATATTCCTGATTTATTGAATGGTTTCATGTTTCATGTTATGAATACACAATCTCGAAATGAGTCTATAAAATTAATCAAAAATATGTGCACATGTCAATAAATCATAATAAAATTGAAAGAGGATAAAAGAAAAAAAAAACAAAACCTCATTCAATGGAATCCTCAATTATTTTTCTACTAATTATTGGTTTTCTTTCAAATATTTGCTGTTATTTTTCAAACAGTATTGTAATTATTTTATTAATAAAAGATAGAGGTTAGTATATTTTAAAGAATAAATATCATCAAATGAAAAGATATTTCAGTAAAATGGAATCGTGTTTATGTGATGCATGCGATATTTTCCGAACTTGTCACTAACATAACACAAAGTTGTACTTATGGTTATTTTCCAGAAAATATTATCAAACAGCTGATAAAGACAGGAACTTTTAAAATTTGTGAGTCTAATTGTCAGGCGGAACAAAATATTACAAAATTCTAGATACATTTCTCGAAAAATTATTTTTCTCGATTCACTGGAGTGCTTTTGATTCAAAAACTGTTATGCTACTTATAATGGCTATTTTAAGATATAGATTAATAAATGGATCAAAAGGAAATATGATAAAAAAGACAACAATTAATAAAATATTAATATTTGGATGGGTAAATAACAATTCACAGCTTGGTTTTTGAAAACAAATTGATTTTCAGATTGTACTTCTGATTTTGCGAGGAATTTCTATACTTTCTGGATGTTCTGCTTATACTGGCCAAGAACATTATCTTGAAATTTTAACGAATTTTATGATTCTTACAATTGCAATAACTACACTAACTATCAATATAATTCTTGCTTTTCAAGTTCGTTCAAAATTGAAACTTCTTAAAGTATCCCTAAATAATATACAATCCCGAAGATTATTCAAAATAAGAAAATGTGTTATTGGATGTTCTATTATCACTATTATTATATTAGCTGAATATTTGCATTGGATCCTTTCGAAATTAGATTTAAAAAGTTCCAAAAGTTCTATACTTACTCCTCTTATTTTGGTAATTCGTTTAGATGGTCCTCCTCAGAAAAATTTCCGCCGCCATGCATCCGGATTATCGCCTTTTGCCAGGATGCTGCATTCATCTTGCCCCCATGCCGCGCGTTTCCATCGGTCGAAGAAGAAGGCGACCCGTGCACAAACCGTGCAACTTTTTTTTTATTTCGCAAAAATGTTTGCCGCCGTGCGGCCTTCTTCCCGCATCGTGGCTCTATTTTTTCATATCGATTTTTTCGAAAGTCATCATTCCGATGATTGTTGTGGTTTTCTAACAGTTTTTTCTCATTTTTGAAGTTGCATTTCGTGTTTTTCTTGACTTTCGAAGTTGAAAGTTGATATTTATTACATGCGCGGTTGTTATTCACAATTTTCTTTACAGAAACATTGTTTGGAAGTTGGGAAAATGGAGTTTCTTCTCCTGCTATGGTTAATGTTCGAAATTCAAAACATTGACTGACTGATGTGGCATAAACAGAATAAAATATGGCTGTATTTTAAATGTACAGTAAATTCAGTTGAATTGGGTGAGTAGAGATAGATAGGGAGATTTCGACTTTTAATGTGCGATTTTAGATCTGTTCTACTGTTTTCGCTGGAACTTGGTTATGAGGAAACATTCGAAACAAACAAAGTTTATTGGATTCGGAAAGAATTTAACAAAAAGTGGTTCTTCAAACTTCAAGGTGAGGTGTTTGGAATCAAACTGTATTTTCACTAGAATATACATGAACTAGTTAGTTTCGAAAAGTTAACCCCTCTAACCGATTTTTTGTTGATTCTTGACCCCTAGAAGCATAAAATTTCCAAAGTTAAAAGTCCAATTTTCGAAAATGCACTTGAAGTTAACCTCCTCCCTTCGAACTTGGACTGGCAGATCACGTATGAGTTAATTCATACATCTAATTAGAAGCGTTCAACTTTATCTATGAATGTATGTATCACATTTGGAATCTAACATGTCTTTTCTAAAATTGTAACTTCAAATTTTCTAAAGTTTTGACCTCGAATTCAGCTTTCCCCGTGAATTCTCTCCTAAGTTCTAGACACTTTAAACCCCAAAACCAAGTCTTTCCCACGTTCAGGATTTCACAGTTAGCCACTCTCTTACGAGAAAAGTCAATAGTTAGCCCTCTTGATCATTTTAAAATGAAAAGAACCCTTTGGTATACCTATGGAAACTTGTTTGATCGAATATTTAGAGTCCCGAATAAACCATAGTTTAATTTTGAATACATCATCATTCATATTTTTGTTTCAGATCGATATGGGTTGGTCAAAGAGTCTCAACAACAACAACAACAACAACTTTCTCGCCACAAATGTTGGATTTTCGAGGAAAATCGGAGAAAATCGAGTGAAGAACGAAGTCTCCCATCGCCGACTAAGTTCTAATTTTCTTTCTCTATTTATATTCAAATTCAATAAAACAATCCTAATTTACATATATGTTTGCTAAATGGTTGATTTTTACCTAGAGAAAGCCCTACTGGAAGCCCGGATTCAAAAAATAAAAATATCGTTGCACGGGTGCAGCATTACTATTGCACTGTTTGTGCACGGGTGCATGGTTATATCGGCCACCGTGCAGCCGGTTTGTGTGCGCCTAGCGACCGGCTTGCGTGCACGGCGGCAAAAAGACGAGTGCATGGGGGGCAGAAGTGTGTTGCATGGCGGCAAACATTTTTCTGAGATCATATGCTTAACACATTTATGTTTTTTGTTATGAATTTAGAAACAAAAAATGAATCTAAAAAATTGATAAAAGAATTTTTTTCTTTATTTTTATTGTATTTTCGAAATTTTGGTAGATAATAAATCTCATAAACATGTGGTATATGAATCACTTCCGGAATACCCAGTTCAAACATTTGTCAAAAAAAAACATACCGGAAATCAACATTTCTTTTTACTTCTTGAGGTGTTAAAGCAGCTGTAACATAATATGGAACATGATCAGCTTCAGAAGTTGTTCTATCAGCCAATTTTGAAATATCAATTGGTGCAATATCATGAGGTCTTGTATCAACAACAACTAAATATCTCCAAACTCCTGGTGAATGCACAACATTTGCACTTTGAACATCAATATCTCGTTGTCTTGATAAATCATTCAAATGTGTCACTAATTCACTTGGTGGATGTGTTGAACACTGTCTTTCAAGAATACTCCAATGTCGAAGAACAACAGGCGACCATTTATTCCAAACACCATCAACACGAGCGCGAACTTCAAATGTATATTCTCTTGGTCGATGTGGTAAATTGAAAATCACAGCACATTTCCACGGACATTCAAATTGTGGACATCGAAGCTTTTCGTCATCAAGTTCTTCTGTTAAAGTTGTCGAATTTCGATCTTTCAAACTATATTTTATTTGATAAGTGATATCTTTTTGAGGTAAATTCAACGCTTGAAAAATAATTGAAACTGCAAAATCAGTTTCAACAACAATTCTCGCTTCTGCAATTCCATATTCTCCTTGAGACATTGTTGAAAATACAGCCCATGCTGATTTCCATCTTTTTTGAGTCCATTTTTTCTCCTCATCATCTAATTGTGCAGCTGTTGTTATTATTGTGATATTATAAACACTAGATGGCATCAAATTATCGATAGCAAATTCATTGGCTTTTCCAGGTTCACCAACAGCTGAATTCTCGATTTCTTTATAAATTCCTGTTGGCGAATAAAGTGTCTTTACTTTTATCTGAAAGAAAAACCAATTCAAAAATTCAATAAATGAAAAAATTTCTAAATACCGTGAATTTTGAAGTTGGTTTTGTCAACCACGTCGATGGCCACCAAACAGTTAATGAATTTGGTGTTCGACCACGCATTTTCAAAAAATTATTCTCATCATTATCCAAAGTTGCAAAAGCACTCCAAACTGATTGACCATAACCATAACTTGTTCCAGCATTTACTGTTATATTATATGCTGTAGCAGGCTTCAGAAAATCAATAGTCACACGAGATCTTGGAAATGGCACAGTTATAGATTGTTTTTTCATTGAAACATTTCCAACAATTTCGAAAACTTTTATGAGATGTTGAGTGAGAACTATATGATGACCTTCTAATTCAACTGGTGGTATCCATGAAACTTCTAACGAATCGTTTTTTCGATCAGTTAGAGTTAATTCAGTAGGAGGAGATAACCAACTGAGAGCTGCAAGATACATTTCATTTTTTTTTATCTCAGAATCATAAATCAAACTTACATGCTAAACTGGTTGTTGCCATATTGCTGGAATACCAAATACTAAATGTACCATTGAATGCTTCTACTGAACATCTATAAGTTGTATTTCCAACTAAACCAGTAAAAGTATAATCTCGAACATGTCCTTCAACTTCATAAGCAGTTGATGATTTTTCGGCTTCTTGCGAACTTCTCATAACCATTACAATTAATCGTTGACGAGAAATATTATATGTTTTTGTATCGAAAGACCATTGAATATGAATCGCATCATTTCGAACTTCGACAAATTCAACACTTTCAGTTTCTGCTGTTTTCTAAACGATATATGATTTAGAATGATTTTTTTACTTACATGTTATATCAGTTTTAGCAAATATAATAAATAAATTAATAACAAAAAGAGATAGAAAAATCGGCGGCATGTTTCACATCAGTCAAAATGGCTGCCAAAAATTGATAGAATTGGCCATTTTTGATCGCAAACGAGAAAAAGAATTGATGAATTAATACAGACGCAGTGTGTAAAAAATAAAGAAGACGTTATCAATCGGCAAAAAATGAAGAAACTTTGATGATCATTTTTTTTCGAGAAAGAACGAATCGAGTTTGTTTCAGTTTGGCGCAAAACGTGATTATAGTCAGAGAATCAACATTCAGACAATAAAATAATTAAAGAATTACTAATTATAGTTTACTAATGGGCCTATGTAGAATAATATTTTGTAATAAAAAACATTTTTTCCTCTCGGTCAGAAAACGGCGGGGTCGCTACCGATCGGGGCGGAGTCGCTACACGTTTTTTGTTCCCCGAAACGTGTAGCGACTCCGCCCCGATTGGTAGCGACCCCGCCGTTTTCTGACCGAGCTACTTATCTTTGCAGAAAAACGTAGAAAAACAAAATATAAATACAGTTTATTATTTTTGAGTAGAGACAACGTAACATTGAGAGTGCAGGCAGACAAATGGATTTTTCGCACAAAAAATTTGAAAAAAAAACAAAAACCTAATTTTTTCTGTCTGCATTTTCTGACTCTCTCAATTTCGCATTGTCTCTATTCAAAATAATAAACTGTATATTTTGTTTTTTCGACGTTTTTCTGCATAGGAAAAATATGTTTTTTTTAATTACAAATTATTATTCTGCACAGGTCCATAATAACAACGATAAAGCCTCAAAAAGACTGTGAAATCAGTCACAAATTTTTTTTTGAAAATAAAAAGCGATGAAACAGTACCCCACAAAGAAACATACCACACATATTTCATTGGAGTCTCGTCACGAAGTGAAAAGCGGGACTTTTTATTTTCAAAAAAGAAGAAATGAAAAAAATTGCGAAAAAAACATCGCGAAACATGGAAAATTAATTGGTGAACGTGTAAACGTGAAACGTGGAATGTGTCGCCCTATATTTCCGCCCGTTTTTTCTCAGTATTTGGTTTTCGCTTTTTTGAGGTTAGTTTATCTCGTGAATTCTCTCTGCTAGCTAAAAATTGTAGTTTTCAGGCATAATGGGATTGTTTTACGATGTTTGTGAATCAGTGAAGAAATCAGATACTTCTTCAATTTTGCCATCACCTGCAAATATTATTAGAACTGCAAAATGCGCTTCGGGTGGTGAGTTGTTCAAGTTGTTCATTTTTTGATGATAAATAATCTCAGGAAGTTCGTCTGACGCTCCAGTTGAATTTGGTTCTGCCAAATTCTATGCGCTTTGCTCGCTTGGTGGATCTCTTTCATGTGGTGTGACTCATTGTGCAATCACTCCTCTTGATTTAGTTAAATGTAGAATTCAAGTGAACAAAGAGAAATACGGTGGAATGGTTCAAGGTTTCAAAGTGACTGTTGCTGAAGAAGGAATTAGAGGATTGGGTCGTGGATGGGCTCCAACATTTATTGGATATTCGATGCAAGGATTAGGAAAATTTGGATTCTATGAAATGTTCAAAAATGTGTACAGTGGAATGCTGGGTGAAGAAAATGCGTTCCTCTGGAGAACTTCCATTTATTTGGCTGCTTCTGCATCTGCTGAATTCTTTGCTGATATTTTCTTGGCACCAATGGAAGCTGTCAAAGTTCGTATTCAAACATCACCAACAGCTCCACCAACTCTTCGCGCATGTGCTCCAATGATTTACAAAGCTGAAGGCCTCAATGGTTTCTTCAAGGGACTTCCACCACTTTGGTCTCGTCAAATCCCATATACTATGATGAAGTTCACTTGCTTCGAGAAAACTGTTGAAGCGTTGTATCAATATGTTGTTCCAAAACCGCGTGCCGAATGTTCGAAATCTGAACAACTTATGGTTACTTTCACTGCTGGATATATTGCTGGTGTTTTCTGTGCTGTGGTTTCTCATCCACCAGATACTTTGGTATCAAAATTGAATCAAGATTCAAATGCTACGATTGGTGGATTGATCAAGAAACTCGGATTTGGAGGATTATGGGGAGGATTAGGACCAAGAATTGTTATGGTTGGAACTTTGACTGCTCTTCAATGGTTTATCTACGACTCATTCAAGGTTAGTTCATTTTTTTTGATAAAAAAAACGATTGAAAAATTTTGTTCGCTAGAAAAACTGTTTATACACTAAATTTCACAAATATATTTTTGTTGGAAATTCAAAATAACACAGGTTGCCATGAATTTGCCACGTCCACCACCACCAACAATGCCAGAATCATTGAAAAAGAAATTAGAAGCAAAGTGAGAATAAAATTATTTTATTTCAAATTTGTCAAAGAAAGTCAAAAAAAAAAATTATCCAAGAATAGCTCCGATAAGTCCTGGGCCGTATCCGTATCCTGAAAAAGATTTCATTTAGTTATTTGAAAACTTCTATGAAAACTTACTTGGTCCATATCCATAACGTCCTCCTCCATAACCACCATATCCACCACGTCCATAAGGTCCATATCCTCCTCTACCGTATGGTCCATGATGGCCCCCACCTCCATATGGTCCTCCACCGTAAGGGCCAGGTCCTCCTCCCCATTGGGCCATTGCAACCGCAACAATAATAAAAAGAATAGTCAAAAATAGAAGATTTGAAGACATTTTTAGGGTGAATGAAACTTTTTCCATCTTATATACTGCTGATAAGAGGGGCGTGTTAGACATTTTTTGACCATTTGTTGTGTCTTGTTTGTAACATTAAAAGAAAAGTTGCGCAGTTATCGAAACTTTTGATCTTCTTTTGTTTAACATTGTACAGCGTGATTTAGGAAGTTATTAGTCACCTTTTCTTGTTTGTTCTCTGTGAATAATTTATTATTTCTGTCAATCAAATGGCTACTGTAGATTTGGAACTTTAGATTCAAATGATCAATTTAGATGTGTTATCAATTAAGAATATCGGCTATATTCAACCAATGATAAGAAAAACTTATCAGGTCACATTGGATCAACAATAAAGAAAATTGTGTTTAATAGTGTGATCTAAAAGTTTAATTCAAATTGACGTCATTCGAAAAAATATTCTTTGTATCGCTTCATCAACCACTCGTATTGGTTTCGTTTATTGAAACTTTTGAACTCTCGCAAGATTAAACGATTTTTGTTCAAATCAAACATTTGAAAAATAAAATCGGATGAATAAATAAACTGTCAGTAATCCTTTTGAAAATGGACCAACAACTTTATTAATAGCAAAACCAAAAATGAAATGGTTTATCTCAATATTCATTTTTTCACTGATTTTCATCCAAACTACATTTACTAAACCAACTGATTCTTTCTCTTCTTCTACGGAAAATCCATGTTGGGTGAAATCTAAATCTTCGCTATCGTCTTATCTTTTTTCTACAATTTTTGTAAATGTGAAAGAAGGAAGAGGATATGATATTATTGCGAACAATTGTTGGGAATTTTATGTAATTTATCATTTTTCATATTTAAAAAAATTGAAATTTTCTCTATAGAATAGTGGTATAAGTCAACCAGAATGTGGACAAGAACTGACGAAGTCTTTGAAGGTTTATGAAAATGACTGTTCATCATTTGAACATTTGTCAACCAAACCAGTTGGAGAATGTATCCAAAAAATTCGATCAGAAAATTCTACTTGCTCGCAAGAATATTTCGGCACTACATTGTCATTTATCAGTCTTCGAGTATGTTTTATTTCGTAATGTTTCAAAGTATTATAACGTTTATCTAGGGTAAAAACGAAACATCTCCATATTACTGTAATAACTACTTCGGACTTCAAAACTGTATGAGAAGTGTGATTATTCGGAATTGTGGGTTGAATTTTTGGAATGATTATAAAGTTGGAATGACGAAATCTGAAGTTAATTGTGATTTTGAAAATATTTGAGTGGTTCCGTTCCGATAAAGAATTTGTTTCAAAGTTCTAAAATGTTAATAAGAACATTATTTGATTGTTCTGCATCTCTTTTTGGATAGGATAATTGTATGAAACGTGTTATTATTAAAAACTGTGGGTCGAACTTTTGGAATAATTAAAAAAATAATGACTAAATTTGAAGAAAATTTTGATTTTGAAAACTTGTAGTTTATACCTTCTGAGTATAAATTTGTTTCATAGTTATGTGATTTGTTCATAGTTTAACGGTTAATACTTCAACCAAAAAGGAGATTTAACATTTTTTATGCTGCGGTTTTTTATTCTTTGTTCAACACTTCCTTTCGTTTATTGCCGAATCTTAACAGATTGTCGAAACGAAACACTTATTAATGTGAGTTTTTAAAAATTTGCTAATCATGATAAATAATAAATATTTTTTCAGAGCAACAATGAAATATTGGAAGAATCGACAAGTATAAAACTTCTTGAAACGTACAATGGTCTTTATGAAGCTTGTAAAAAATATCAGGTGTTAAAAAAAACTTATTTGGACATGTGAAAAATACTCTTTTATTTACAGAATCTTCTAATCAATTCGAAATGTGATGCGATCGACAAAATTTTGATAGACAAAAAATGCACACTAGCGAAATTGATGACTAGTGGATTTGACACGAATTGCTACAAGAAACTCAAAATTGCAGATTCAAAATGTTTCAATGATTATTTATATCGAAACAAGAGACCGTTCATAATTATGCCACCGAAAAGTTCTGAATATTTGACTGATTATTGCTCCAATCTTCTAGGCGAAAATAATTGTTTGAAACCTTTGATTTTGGAATTATGTGGCTCAGAAAATTGGATCGATTTAGAGAAGAATTTTCTGAAATATGATAATTATTGTGGTGAATAAATGAACAATTTTTTTCAGCTGTGTTCTTGATTATTTTATCATATGATGTGTGTTTTCGAAAAACCAACATGAAAATATTTTTTGTATCCATAGTAGTTTTTGTTTATTTTCTCATGTGAAAATCTCCAAAATTCTTCGCTACCACAATTTGCTATTCCTCAAACTTTTCCAAAATATTCGCGGTAGATCAAAAATATTTCGCGGAAAAATTTTGATTAGTAAAAAATACACTTTGTTCTAGTTACAGTCCCGTAGGTATACAACGAAATCTGATCACTAAAAATTTTGTCACGTTTTTATTTCAAATTTTCACGTGAATTTTTTTCATTTCTCAAATTTAGAGAAATTTTTTCGAGACAATGGTCCAAATTAATTTATTCCGTGAGATAACGGGGAGCAAAAACTTTCAGCACCAAATTGACTGCAAAACTTGTTTTTTTACTGGAATTCATCCATTTACAGAAGATTTAGTAACTGTTTGAGACGTTTTCAGCTCCAGAAATCTAAAAAATTTCAAAAAAATTTCAGAAAACTTTCGAAAATTCTGATTATTTGTGAGACTTTGGGAACATTTTCACAAAATTGGATTATGAAGATTTCACCAAGAAAAATCACTTTCCTGATTTTCCGGGCACAATTTCCGGATAATCGGAAAATTTTCCGTGAAAAACTGGAGAATTTCCGTCACAGGTCTACCCAGAAAGAAAAATTACTATTGCTAAAAATCACTACAGTAGGTACCAATAATATAGTGAAAATCAAAATCAAACAAAGCAAAAAAAATTCATTTTCAAGAAAAACACTTCAAAATATCTTCGTTAATCCCAAAATTTCGTTGAAAATCTTCATTATTGAAACGTCAGCTTCACAAAATCATTCGATCGGTTTTTCGATGATAATGGTCGTAAATTTCGATGATAATAGTCGTAAATCTCCAATTTTTCTGAAGCCAGCTATAAAAAATTCAACATTAGAACTGGCCAGAGGAATTTATTATTTACCGTAGATTCAATTGAGGCGAAACATTCGATTGGTTTACTGTTGAAGCAAAATCTGAAAACAAAAACATTTTTTCAATTTTTGATGTTCTGCTCACTCACCATTTTCCGGACGCAAAAAAATATCAATGACTGGACAAAATCCAGAAAAACCAACATGAAAGGCCGCCACGTATTTTCTGACAAAAGAGACGTGGCAAGATTTGTTTATCTCGTTGAAAAACAAAACAAAACAAAAATAAAAAACTGAAAAAAAAATTTATTAACGTGACACAAAAAATTGATCAGATTTCGTTGTACAAATACTGTTATATAGTTAGAAATTAGAAAAATCGATAGAATTGGTTTCAAATTTTTTTCATAATAGTGTACTTCATAAGTATATGTTTCAAATTTTAATAATGTTTCGTTGCTCATTTTCTTATTAATATAAAACTATGTTCAATGAACCTGTTAGTTTTTCCCACCAAATATTCCATATTTTTCTTGTTCACTGATTTTTATAATATTTATTTGCAAGAAGTCTGATGACATAAAAACTGACTAATGAGTTACTTATACATCGTATTCAAAATTTTGAAAAATTGAAGAACTTTTTGTTTTTCAGAAAATCTGTCATCACTTTACACCTAGAAAAGTTATAGTTTAATTATTGAACATTTTTAACTTTATGTACATTTTATGTGAAAAATATCAGGATCATTGTATTTGGTTCATATTGCATTTTTTAATATAAAATATGCTTTTGAAATTCTTGGAACATGACATTTAATTTTTTTTTCAGTTTTTCAAAGTCTGATATAATTTTAGAACATTTTATAGGCAAATGGATGTATAATAATAAGAGATCTCAGGATTTTGAATATATTTTTCATTCATAGTTTTATGGTGGTGTTTGCGGTTCTAGGAGAGCCTTTTTTCATTTTTTTAAAGGAATCTTAAGATTATCTCTTCCCATATGTTGATGATACAACTCATCTTGATTTCTGTTTTCTCTTTAGAACTCAAGCGGAACTTTCTGATTTGCTCTTTTTTCTAAAAATATCTACTTACGTATTCAACCAAAGTTCACTCACTTTTTTTAAATTTAAAGTTCACCGCCCTTAATTTCATAATATTATTCAGAAAATTCTTCATTCCAACTTCATCAAATTTTCAAAATGCTAACTCCATATTGGCAAATGGATTTAATAATTTATGAAACAATAATATTATTTCCAATTTATATACTACTTCTGATGGATATTGTGATTGCAAGGAAAAAGTTATCAATGTTTCAAAGTTCCTACTATATTCTAGTTATTTCTCAAGGAATTGCTGATATTTTGACAATTTTAATAATCATCAATTTATTATTAGCGAGATATTTTGCGATTGGAAATATTCTGACCTATGATTTACAAGACTATGGAATGGCTTCGTTTCACTCGAATACAGGACCATTGTTATTCGTTTTGAGATTATTTGGTGTATTTTTGATAACTTTGCAAAGATATTTGGCGGTTTGTAGAAATGGTGGAACAATGAACAGAGTGAGTATTTTTTGGGTAAATAATGGTTCAAAATTATAAAATTCAAATATTTCTATGAATCAAAAACCAAAAAGGTTCATGATCCATGAGACCAAAAATAAAGCTAAAAATATGAAGTATTCTCACGTCTTGAACAGTCTGTGTATCGTGTGAAAGTTGAATTTTTGATCTGGCCAAAATTATTTTCTCGATTTATCTTTAGACTCGTGCTGAGTGAGGAAAAAAGTAAAAACATGGATAATTTTTAATCACAAGCAGTGTTTCCTGAAATCTAAGGTAGACCGGTACCTGAATTTCAAATTCAGCAGTTTTAAGTAGTAAAAACCTAAAGTATGCGATAATTGTTTTGTTATAAAGGTGCCGACACGCGAGAAATGAAACACTGGTTTCATTAAATGATTAAAAAAATTCATTTTAACTTTTCTGTTTTCTATTTTTTTTAATATCAAATTTGAAAATCATTTGTTAACGTGATGACCTAGTTTAAACAAAAATTATAAAAAATCAGAAATCCCAAATTGAAATAACGGTTTCATTTCTCTTGTGTCGGCACCTTTAGAACTGGCAAAACCTTGTTTGATATTCAGACTCTGGTTGGTTTTATAGATTTTCGAATCAATTCAGAAAAAAGTTCAGTTTTCTTTTCAGGTGTTCAACAATATTCCATGGTACATTTTGATAGCAATTCATTGGGGTATTCCAATGCTCATTTATACGCCAGCTTTCATAGTTAGCAATGCTCATTTTGATAATCCAAATACACTTTTCATTGTCAATACTACACAACATATGCAGGTTTGTTATTCATTTTTAAAAATAGATGACACATGGCATGCTTCACTGAATTTCTTGATAATAATTTTAATTAGGAAATATTTTCAGACTTTCTCAATGATAGTAGTCATATCGTTTTTCGTCATTGGTATTTTGATTCTTATGATGTATTTGAGTGTTTTATTGGTTTTGTTTCAAACACGAAAAGTTGTGGGGACTATAAATACAGCAATTTTGTGAGTAACAAAAATAGTTCTTCATTGAATTCAATTGTTCCTGGAAGAAAAATATTTGTGCTACCAAAATTTGATAATTTCTCAAACCACAAAAATTCCCAAGCACTACAAATTTCCTTTTTTCTGATCAAAAATCCGTTTCTTTTCTAGTCGGAAAAGATCAATGCGATATCAAGAAATTCGTTTGGCAATCCATGTTTTCCTTCTTGTCACCATGTCAGTCTTCACATTTTTATATTATTTTTTCGAATATCAATTTGCTAGTAATCAAATTGTACGTAATGTTGTTCAACCTAGATTTATTTTTTTGTAACTCAACAATCGAAAATCAAACAATAACTCTTGATAATTGTCATTCTTTTTCAAAAATATAGATTTTTTGGAACAAAAAAAAATTAATTATAGGATGGCGAACGGCGAAGTCTTCGAGTTTATTATCCGATTGTAGCTGGCAACTTTTCATATATAAATCCAATCACATTGTTGGCATTGAATCGAGACGTTCAAGCGAGGATTAAATCGTGGTTTTGTGGAAAAAAGGTGGGTGTTTTATGGGAGGGTATTCTCGTTAGTTAGAAGGTGTAGTTTCTGAGGTCTAATATTTTCTGCATGAAAATTAGACCAAGAGTTCAATATTTGTTCAAGCATCAAAGTGAATAATTTGATCTGATGTGTCTGCTTGAATTGCACGTTTTTTTTTGGAAAAAATTGAAATAGCATGCACGTTTGGGTCAATTTTCAACACCTTGCTTGAAGCTAGTGGAATACATAAAACTGTATTTCAATTTTTTTTTCAATTTTTTTTGATTTGTTCGTTTTTTTTTATTTTGAAGTTTGATCACATATAACACGTTTCTATGAAAAACCAGTCGTGCAAAATTTAATGAATGAAAGCATGAAACCTCTTTTTCTTATTCTTCTTCAAAAAATCATGTATACATAGATATACGTTTCAGCATCACGAAAATTTGAGTGCTCACAACGGCCGATTGACTTGGCCACACAATAAAGGTGTCAATTCTGTTTTATCTTGAACTAACAAAAAAAAATGCTTGAACTCAATTGGCAAATTATAATTGTTATTTTCGAGTCTATAATTCTTCTTCCACTTTATTTCATTATTTTACTCAATATTTTAGTGATGCGCAGGTTTTTACCAACTTTTCGAAGTCATTTCTATACATTGGTTATCTCACAGGTATGTCGCATATTTTCAGACTTGTTTGTTTGGAATGACATTTCCCAACAAACCTTCCAATTAAAAATTGAAGGGTAGAAGTTATATTTTGAACACATGACGATTTCGTGGTCTATAAACAAACATCTTTGTGATAACACTGTTTCCAGGGTATTGCCGATTTCTCGACAGTTTTTGCAATAATCGCTCTACTCCTTCCGAGATATTTTGGAATTGGGAACAGCCTTCTTTTTGCACTTGGTCCTTATGGTGGCGCATCATTTTTCTCAAATAGTGGTCCGTTTTTCTTTGTTCTTCGAATTTACGGTGTTTTTCTTATCACTCTACAACGATTTCTGACAGTTTGTGTTGCGACATCAAGACTAACTGCGAAATTTGCACTCATTAGACCTTTCAAAATTGTTTTACTTCACTGGCTGGTTGCTTTACTTATATTTTCACCGGCATTGCTTTTGAGTGACACTGTTTTTGAAAATTCAGAAAATCTATTTCTTATCAATAATGAGGCACAATCTCGAGCATTCTCTATTATTGTAATTTCATGTTTTGCTGTTTTTGGGCCAACTACAATAGTTTTATACAGCCAAATGTTGAAAGTTATTTGCTCATCAAATCATGCACCATTGAGTAATACTTCTATGTAAGTTAGATATTATTACTTGATTTTTTCTTATTTCTTTTCTTCAGTCGAAAACGTGCGTCTCGATATCAAGAACATCGTTTGAGTATACATGTATTTCTTCTAACTATTATGTCAATTTTAACATTTTTCTACTATTTTTGTGAATATTTATATTCTGATCGGATAACCAGTGAAGCAATGCGATATGTTCGTAAATTTTATCCTCTTATTTCTGGAAATTTCTCATTCATCAGCCCCATGGTTTTGATTATATTAAACAAAGAAGTGCAATCGTCGCTGAAAAAAATGTTTTGCTCAAAATTGGCAGCTACAACTGAAAACAGTCTTCGTCTTAATACTTGGACCACAAGTCCATAAACTATGGGTTTTTGAAAAAAATGTTATTTGTAGCTTGTTGATCAATAAATTGTTGTGCCAGATTTTGAAAAAAGTTCAAACATCAATTACTCTAAAGTACACAAAAACAGTACTTTATGTTTTCATAGATTTCGATATTCGCAGACATTTCCCAAATGGGATTTCATCGTAATTAGTACGAGTCACCTTTCAAAAATGTAATATAAGGGCACATGGATTTATTCATAAAAACCAGTTAGTTCAAACTCAAAGAACACACCGAGAAGATAATTCATGTTAAAACTAACTTGGCAAATTATAACAGTTCTTGTTGAATCTGTTGTTTTTATTCCTTTGTATTTATTAGTGTTCATAACAGTTTTACGGATGCGAAAAACTTCGGTAAATTTTCGAAGCCATTATTACACATTGATCGTTTCACAAGTGAGTTGATTATTTGAACGATTTTTCTCAAATAAGGATTCAATTTAGGCAGTTGTTGATTTCTTTGCAATATTTTTCGTCATCGGTTTAATCTTACCTCGATATTTTGGAATTGGGAATAGTGTGATATTTTCAACATGCCCAGTTTTGATTGCAACAATATTTTCTAATTCTGGTCCAGGGTTTTTTGTTATCAGGTTTATAGGTGTTTTTCTCATAACTCTTCAACGATACTTGAGTGTATGCTGTCCAACATCTTCGATAACTTCAAGGTTCAACACTCTGAAACCATCAACTATCATCATTTTTCATTGGATGTTTTCATTCATTATTTTCTCACCAGCCTTTTTTGTTAGCGATACACACTTTGAAAATATTGAAACTTTGTTTATTATCAATTCAAATTTAAATTCGAAAGTCTTCGCAATTCTTGTCATATTATATTTCGCAATTTGCACTCCAATAACTCTTCTGATGTATCTTAGAATCCTGATCGTTATTTGCATGAAACAAAATCGATCAAAGTATCAAGAACATCGTTTGAGTATTCATATTTTTCTACTCACAATTTTATCAGTTTTCATTTTTGTATACTATTTATGCGAGTTTATTTTTGCTGAAAGTTTCGCGGTGAGAGTGTTTGATTGAAATATAATACTGAAGTTCAATTTTTAGTCAACAACCATGATAATTCTCCGAAAATTTCATCCAGTTTTGAGTAGTACATTTTCGTTCATCAATCCATTCATTCTTGTACTTCTCAATAAAGATATCCAATCATCGATTGTGTGCTCGTTTTGGAAAAAGGTAACCTGAAATGTTCAGAAACTAAGAACATTCTTATGTTTTTTAGAATAACAACGTGGTTAGCGAAGGAAGTCGAACTATTTGGATGACACCAATGTTGTTATGATTACTTTATGTTATTTTGTCATTATTTTTTGTCTTGTTGCTAAAATAAACTTTGAACCGCATGAAAGTAAAATTTTCCTCGTGTCTCGGACAAAACCTGTGATTAAAATGGTGTTCTGATTTGCCCGAGTGTGGTTTGGTTGATTTTCATTTTTTCATATATGTTACTCATTTGGGGAATTAATCTCTGTTTTTGTGAAAAAACACATTGTTAGTCATATTCGATATTTGTGATGGATGCTCTCATAAAATACGGCGGTCTTCAAAAAAATCCACTCTATAGTTGCCAAGAAAATCATCCGATTGGTGAAAGACGTGAGATTATTGGTGTTGCAAGTATTTTAATGGGAATCGTGGCTTCATTTTTCTTCATATATTGTTTGAAAATTATGCTTAACCCCGATTTATTCAAGCTTTCCTGCTATAAAATCATGTTTTTTGTCGGAGTTGTTGATGTGTTGGCGATTTTTATAAGCGCGATTCTAACAGGTGTTCTTGGTTACATCGGAGCGACTTTTTGTGACTATCCCTTCTTGATATATATTTCTGGCGCGCTTGGATTATCTTTCTGGTGTTGCTCATGTTTGGCAAATATTGTGCTTCTTATCAATCGGATTCTATGTTTCAAATCCATCAAATATTATGAGATGTTTTTTGATGGTTTCCGTACTTATGTTGCACTTATTCTTCCTATAATTTATGGTCTTTACTTTTTGATTTTCACCAAACCTGTGATTTTTTCTCCAACGATCTTTGCATGGATTTTTGACCCACAAATTTATTCAAATCGAAGTAGTGAATATAGAAATATCTATCACACAATGAATAACTTTGTGATGGTTGTAATAACATCTGTTCTCTATATCTGGATACTTGTCATTGTTCTTCAGAATTGGATTCAGCGAAAAAAATCAGCAGATGACAATCATAGTCGTTTGACGTCAAAAACAGTGAGTAGACAGAAACTTCCTAGAAAATAATGTTTTTGTTATTTTTTCTAGAAAAATACAATTTTAAAACAAGCAGTCGCAATTTGTGCCATCGACCAAATAGGATCTATTGCTTATGTCGCTATGAACTTTATCATATTTCCAGCATGGAGCGGAGTTTTTGCACAACTCCTCTGGTTTTGTGCACACTCTTTCCCTATCGTCATTTATTTAACAATGAATCGCACTATGATGTCAAGATTTTCAAAAATATTCTGCAAGTCTAAACTAAATAACGCACAAATCAATCCGTCTTCTGCTGTTGTCACCAAATAATTATAGATTTTGGTTTTTGATTAAAATTTGTCATATTTTATACTTTTCTATTTTTCTCACATAAAGTTCATTCAGTTTCTGAAAGTTTATTTTTTTCCAAACGTTCATGAATGAATGAAGTTCATTAAATACCACCACAATGTGATCATAATTTTTTCAAAGTTTTTTTTTGATATCATTTGTATTCTATTTGCTGATCAACGATTTTGTCTGATCTAATCTCCGGAGATTACTTTTTTTCTCAATAAAAGGCGAGATCTGGAACCTATTTTTCAGTTCATTTTGAGATGGAAGCTCTCATAAAATATGGTGGTCTTCAATCTAATCCACTTTACGATTGTTCGAAAGATACTACAGTTGGTATACGACGTGAGATAATTGGACTCATAAGTATGATTATCGGAACTGTCACTTCGATTTTGTTCATCATCTGTTTGAAGATCATGCTATGCTCAGACTTGATTAAATTATCGTGCTACAAAATAATGTTTTTTGTTGGAGTCCTTGATGTTCTCGCAATTTGTGTGAATGCTATCCTGACTGGATTTCTTGGCTTCTATGGCATCACATTCTGCGAATATCCACTATTGATATATCTTTCGGGTGCAGCTGGATTGACTCTTTGGTGCAGCTCATGTCTTGCAAATATCGTTCTTCTCGTAAATCGTATTCTCTGTTTCAAATCATTAGTTTACTACGAGATGTTTTTCGAAGGATATCGAGTCTATATAACACTGTTGCTTCCAATAATTTATGGTTTATACTTTCTGATTTTCACTAAGCCTGTCATCTTTTCCTCTGCATTATTTGCATGGCTTTTCGACCCGTTGATTTTCCCTGATCGAAGTTTGGAGTATGCTAATGTCTATCACTATGCTAATAACTTTGTCGTCGTTGTCATCACTTTGGTTCTGTACATTTATATTATCATAATTGCGATACAAAACTGCAGAAAACCTACGGATGAAACAACTGATGCACAAAGTCAATTGACAGCCAAAAAAGTGGGTTAACTTTAGAATTTTTACTGAGAATTTGTCGTATTTTTAGAACAACACTGTTCTCAAACAAGCCGTTGCAATTTGTGCAATCGATCAATTAGCCTCGATTTTCTACGTTGCTATGAACTTCGTTACTTTTCCAGCGTGGAGTGGAATTCTCGCTCAATTCCTATGGTTCTGTGCACATGCTTTCCCAGTGGTTATCTATTTGACAATGAATCGCACGATGAAATCGAGATTTTTGAGAATGTTCTGTAAAGCTAAATATGCTGTTCGAATTGGTCAATCGACCACAGTAACTAAGTAGATAGATCATTGATTAATAAATAATCTTGTTGTTGCCTTTCGTAAAGAAAAATTAGACTCCCAAAGGATCTATGATAATTATTTGGCCAGCTCAATTAATTTAATTGTTTTTTGCTGATTTTCCGAGAAGCAACTTGTTTTTCACTCAGGTTTTTGAACAAGAATCATCTTCCTGATTCCACCAAATCACAGTAGGAAGTTCTGGTTCAGTTTTTGTAAATTCTAATCTTCTGATTTTCTGATTATTTCGTCTTCAGAAATTACGTATTATTTTTTTTCGTGAAATTTAATCTCACGAAAAGTTGATAATAAAAACAAGGAATTGACTTCACAAATAGCCATTTTCAAAATATTTCCTGGTATTAAAATTAAAATATAGAAAACAAAACATTTTGAAGATTTATGAGCAAAACATAGCATATATTTACAAATACTCGTTTCGAATTATTCAGATCCTAGTTTTCTCTATTTCTTTTTCCGAGATTCCATTTTCGATCGGTTCAACTTTCTTTGTTTCACCATTCATCAAACCAGAGAATAGTAGTTTTTCCAATTTTAAAACTGGGACTTCAAATAAACAACTCCAAAAGAAAGCAGCAATATAAGACAAAATAGTGGCTGGAATAGCAATATGCGAAATCATTAAAATAATTGAGTAATAATGAATTGGTTGATCGCTTAGATTTAAGAAATAATAAAGAACCATCCAATGAACCAAATATGCGCAATAAGATAATCGACCAAACGGTTGCCAAATAGGATGAGACATGAAATTATCAATTGGTCCACCCCAGCCCATATGATTTGCAACAATCACCCAAGACACTGCCAATGACCAACCAATCCTTGATAAATTATAATAAGTGGCTCTCTCGAATACACTCCATTTGACACCTTTGTCATTTTGAAATGTTGAAAATAAACAAGCCGCTGCAATAATGACTGCAACAATCCAAAGTGTAACACTTGCAACCCAATTCAATCGAATTTTTCTTTTCCCGTAAACTGCGATAAGATAACCAACAAGTATTCCTATTAAATATGGAGTGCATCTGATCCATGGTTTATCATACATCAAGTTGTTGAAATCGAGAACATCCCCATTTCCGAAAAATGTGGCCGGCAAATCGTAAATTCCATATAAAATATAAACCGTGATTATACTTCCGATACAGCCAGCAAGAGTTAACAAAGCACCAGCAGTAAATGAAAAATATAATGCAATTATTAGAATCGGAGCAATAATGTAGAGTTGAGTATCAACAGCAAGATACCAAGTTATAGCATAGCACTGAAATAAGAAAATAATTTTCAAGAAAAATGAACAGAACGCTTACACTTGATTGACTGTTAAAATTGTTGATGTATAAAAGATTCTGCCACCACATTGTTTTACAAACTTCGGTTTGGGTCAACATTTCATCTGAAAGTTGAGGGGTTAGTTCAAGATTTCTAAAGAATTTACAAACTTTCTGTTGATGCTGCAAATGGTCCTTGAATATAAGGCGCATAAACCGTGAAAAATCCAATGAAAATCATCATTGGTGGAGTCAGTCGTAAATATCGATGAATATAATACATTATCCAGGTTACTGGACTTCGCATAACTCTTCCCTTTGGCCTTTCTTTGAAAAACATGTATGAGAGAACAATTCCAGAAAGCAAGAAAAATGTGTCGACTGAAAATACAGCATTTGTAATAAGATGATTCCAGAATTTCTTTGGAAGTGTTGTAACAGGTAACAAGTTTTCTGAGAACATTATATAAGTCAAGCCATGTCCAGCAACTACCCAAGACATTGAAATTGCTCTGATGCAATCCAAAGATTTTATATATCCAGGCTTCTGTTCTTTGACTGCAAGAAGTTGTCCTGCATTTGTCCAAAAAGAAAATGCTAGAAGGATTTTCAAAGGAAGTATTTTCTCTTTCTGACTTGATATTCCAAATGATTTTTCTCTCACAAAATCGACTAGTGTTGCTAAAAGTGCGATTCCCACCATAACACACATAAATATAGTGAATCCCCAAAATGGCGTATCCTTTTCAATATCCAAACTAGAACAGTAAGCTGAACAAGCTGTTAGTGGCAATGGTGTCAATTGATTGAATATTGTTGCCAAATCATTTTTCCCGCATGATTTTGGCATACAAACCGCTGTTCGAATAATTGAAATGTTTCCCATGAGACCGGAATTGCAATCAGCGTTCTGTTTTTTGTTTTTGTTTTTGATTAGGTTAAGAAAGTTCAATGAAAGGACATACTTTACCAGGTCTCAATACAAGATAACAATAGTTTGTCTCGTATTTCTTGCCGCTCACACGTTCACATTCTTGATAAGAACCATCATAAACAACTCGACCTTCTAGAACTCCAGCTACAGGAAACTTTGCAAATGCATCAAGTTCTAAAAAAAGTAAACTGATGAAAATTAGAAAAATAAGTTCTTACGTTGAATGGCAAACAAATCATTTTTCAAAGTAAGCAATTCCAGCGGGTTACATATTTTATGTTTTAAACAATCTGATGTAATTTTTCCGATTTTTTCTAATGAAGAAATCCAAATTGAAGTATCATTTGCACATTGATCCGTAATGTTTTTCAGTCCTAGAATGCTATCAGAAGTTGTGAATACATCCTGAAATATATTTAATTTGAAAAAAGTCAACACAAGAAATATTTTCAATTTACCTGCCAAGTGAAAGCGACTACATACGGTATAAGAAATAAAAATAAAATGAGTTGCATATTTAAAAAAATATAAATCATCAGCAAGATGATGCTATGATTTATAGAACTTTCTTATCAGTAAAACATTGATAGAATGTGACTTATAGTGATCATTTGAGAGTTCTACGAGCATATGTGCTCTGTGCTTCAAAAGTACAATGTAGTTTAGAAATGTTAACTATATTTGGAACATGTCTAAACTAGGTCACGTCATATCGCTGAATAGTTAGTAGTTTCCAAATTGATTTTAACTTGAAATATTTCCAACAAAAGTATATAAAGACGAAAGAAGTATTTTCAGTACACCAATTTTCGACCGATCAATAACATATCTGTCTTAATCCATAGTTCATCAACAAAAATAGTTTTGGAATCGCATCACAATTCTTTAAGTCTACTCACAAATCACAAACTGATAACAAATTATTATTTATGAACTCCCACTCAGTTCTATTTCTGAATTTGTCATCGACAATTTAGCAGATTTTTCAAGGAGATATTCAAAGATGTAATCTTTATGTTTTTGTCAATTTACTATTTGGTAAATGGATTTCCGCAAAAACCCTGAACATTACATTTATTTATGTTTATTCACTTTATTTTCTTATTCAGTGATTTATTGTATTCTTCCAGAAAAATTTGAAAATATATCAGATCTTGAAGAGGTGATTTGATATAGTTCATTGATTTCTTCGAAATAAATTATTTCAGACAGGTCAACATACTTTATCATTTTTGGAAGCTAAGCTTTATGCAAAGCCAGCTTATGTTCCTAATGTAATGAATCCAAAATCACCAACTGATCGAATGGTGGAAGCATTAAGGCAACGATTTAAACCAAATGTTCAACGCCCTGTTAAAGAAGCTGATACTGATATCACATCTGATTGATTTATTTGCTGTTTCAATAGTTTCATATTTTTTTCCATAATCAGTGTCCAATAAAACACTTTTTTATCAATGAAACATTTCTTGAATGTTCTCTAAAAAAGATAGTCGTAGTTCATTGTACATTATCAAGAATCACATGAATTTGACATCATTTCAAGTTAAATTTATTTGCATTCAGATTGCTATTTAATTTTTGTTATATTGATTCTCGAGTAATGGTTCAATAAAATTGTACACATAGAAAAGTTGTTTTTAGGTGATGTTATTCCAAGTTGTTTTTCAAATAAGTTCATAAAAAGTTATTTTGGAAAATAATTGGCGCTCTTGGGGTTTTTCGCGGGTGGAGTTCTATCACCTATAAGATATTTATAGATAGATACATCCTTCAGTTCAAACAACTTAACACAAAAAACATGTTTATCCTTTTTCACTTATTCATTTCGGCTTGTGGAATAATCTTGAATACTCTTTTGATTTATGCAGTAATGACAAAAACACCAGAAAATATGAATAAATATACATTGATCATTCTCAATGTTTCGTTCACAGATTTATTTCTATGTTTTCTGGATATTTTTGTGATTCAAAGATTAGTTTCGTGTGGAACTGCTGTTGTTTATATTTCAATGGGACTTTGTTCACGGTTTTCAAGTAGTTTCTGTTTCTTAATGTATACAATTCAAATGCATCTTTATATGCATTCAATTTGGATGTTGTTCGCTTCTTATGCTTATCGTTATTATGTTTTGGTTAAATCAGAAGTAACAAGAACTCAAATCCAATCGTTTTTGATGTTATTATATATTCCATCGTTAGTGCAAATGAGTAATGTATTAGTTGAACACGGAGATGAAACGAAAGCGGCTGAAATTCTTACCAAGAAATATCCGGCAATAAACACTTCTGATCTAGTTTTAACGACGAATTCTACAATATTTACATTTTCAGTAATGTATGTTATTGTTCACATGATTGGGAATTGGATTATTATTAGAGGCATTATCATTATTTTTACGGAACAGAATTTTAACAAGAATCAATACGACCTTATCATCTGCTCCATCAAGAAAGATGCATTTGCATTTTGTTAAAGTATGTTTTGCTGAGCAACGCTGGGATTTCTCATTATGAATTGATTTACAGGCTTTAACTTTTCAAGTTTATGTTCCTATGTTTTATATTTTTGGTGGTTTCTGTTATGCTATTCAAGTTTTTGAAATAACTAATGCTGTATTTCCTCAATATATCATGTTTTCTTCATTCTTAATGGTTCCTTTTCTGAATCCAATTTCATCTTTTATTTACATCGAACCTTATCGAGTGTTTTTTGTCTCATTATTAGTCGAACAACGGGATAATCCGAATTCAATCTATATATCATCCAGCGGACTTATCACATTTTAACTTTATAAAGTTAAATTGCTTTTACACTTATTGTTTTTCATTACATAATTGAAACTTCTCGGAATACAATAGATAGAAATTACAGCCAAACAAATTGGAATTTCATATCTTGAAAATACATAATCCAAAGAAAATAACTTCATTATTTAAATAACAATAAAAATGTTAAAATGAATAAATTATTAAGTTTCATATTCGTGTTCGCATATTAAGCTCTACATTACTCGGTGGTTTTGTTCTTCTCAAAATACTGAATATTTTTCCACCGGAATAATCAAGTACTCCCTGTCTATATTGTTTGATAATGAACATTGTTGGAAAAGGATCAAGAGCTGGAAATAGTGCAAATGTGAAAGTTCCGATTCCACTTAGTGTTCCAATATCTTTGTTGAGTAAAGTGAAAAGAAAAAATACAAAAACATGGAATGTGCATTAGGAAAACTGGGATCAATGTTTGTGTAACAAGGGCGTAGAATAATTGAGATTGTAGACTCTTCATATTTCGCGATGAATTTGACATCAGTTTAGTGATTCTTAAATAACATTTGAAACCATAATAGAAAGTGACAGCAACTGAAGATATAATCATAGAAACCATTGAAGCAAGTGCAATCAATGAATTAATATCAATCTCGTAAGAGCCATCTTCTTGAAATTGATAACAATAAGGACCGATATAATTAATCTCAGTCATTGGCCATCCGAATTCCATCATAACTTCTTTTCCCATTATCATGTCTATTTTTTCATTGGGTCCAATTAGAAAGTAACATACCAATCCCCAACAGGTTCCATATGATAATGGAAGTAATGCCCAGACACACAATCGATAACCTTTGAAAGTTTGAAGCAATTTCGAACCAGCTGCTACATAATATCGATAAATGAAATTTATTGAGAAAACAGCCATAAAAGAACCGAAAAATCCACAATATACGGCGTTTAATACGAGGAGAATTTGAGGAGAAAGAAAATGATTTTTTGTATGAACAATGTTCATATAGATTGAACCATGAGAAAATATTATTGGAGAAATTAGAATATCCAAAAACGAATAGCACATTTCAAAAATTGAAACAGAACACAACAAATATTTGTAAGGTCCCATTTGGTCTGGAGATTTTTTAATTATCAACAAAAGTAATAATGAATTGATGATGATTGAAATACTACCAGTAAGACTCTGGGAAGATCGAAGAACTGCGCTCAAAATCATTTTTATTTTTATATTTTCCATCATTTCACTCTCTTATATAGAAATGTGAAAGTACTAAAGGAAATTGAAAATAGGTCAATGCACTTTTTACTACGTTGGCTAGCTAAATACAAAAATAGATAATCTGACTTTTGTATAAAATATATAACTTTTAAAAATCGGAACGAGCGAATGCCTCCAGAACAAGCGGAACGAGCGATTGTCTCCAGTAGAATTACTCCACCGATCGCTGAGATGTTTGTTTCGCCGTAAGACCGTGTCAATAAATGTTCTTCATCGTTTAAAACCATCATTTTTTTTGTGAATCACCGCATCATTTATCTTCTCACAATCAGCATAGGTTCGACTGAATAGTTGTTTAAGTTTTACCAAAGTACAAAAAACCACATCGAAAATTTTGTTTGTTCTTTCCGATTTGATTATATATTAGACATCTATTATTATCGCTTTTCAACTCCCAAACTTAAGTTTGTTCTTAACAAAAAAATGTATTAACTCCCGTTTTGGTGGTTTCACTGTTTTAACGAACTTTGAACTTGTTTTACTAATCGCAAAAACATTTTGTACGTTCTTTCCGATTTGATTATATATTAGACATCTATTATTATCGATTATCAACCCCCAGGCTTAAGTTTTTTTCTGAAAGAAAAATATGCTAACTATTTTTCATAGTCGTATCCCACGAGACGATTAATCAAATGCAATAATAACTTTTCAACAACTTCTTTTTATATTACCAATAATGATTGAATATCTCACTGTTTTCATTGGAATTGTGTGTGTCTTTTTACAAATTGGGTTGAATGGACAGACTTTTTTTGTGAACATGGTGTAAGTTTGAAAAATCAGTTTCCAATGTTTTTTTTGAAATTATATACAGAAAGTCAGAAAGTAAAGAGATCAGGCTTATAATTGTTCGAACGATTCTTGATATTGCTCAAGGAGTTTTGAGTAAGTATTTATTATCATGAAAAATATGTTTGAAAAAAAAACATATTCAGATCTTATATTTTTGGTTCTCACAATTCTTCATTATTTAATGCCCTACAAATACTCCTATGATTATATTTTCCGATCTGGGGGAATTTTGGTTCTTATAACTGTTTATCGAACTTTTTTAGCAATAACAATTGAATTGGAAAGACTTTGGGCTTCATTTTTTCCGATCAGTTTTTCTAAAAAGAGACAAAATATTTCGAACAGTTTAATTCTGCTAATTCTTCTTGTTTTTCCTGCCATTGAAGAGATTATGATGATCGGAGTATTTCCAACTGTTGATTCTCCAATGTCGAATTGCAGTTCATTTATTTGTGGAGTGAGTGACGAATATAAAAGATTCACTGCTTATTACACATTTTCCTACGGAGCTGTTAATTTCTTATTATCTTTTATACTTTGCACAAAGTTATTTGTACTATATAAACAAAGAAATGCAATCAATAACAGTTTCATGAGGGTTTGGAGAGAAAATATTTGTGATTTTTTTCAAAGGTATTTTCCAGATTAACATTTTGTGCATCACTGATGGACTGTGTTCATTCTTTTTTGATTTTATACCAGCTATATTATTTTATACTAAAGTTATCATTATTAGAGATGCAGGACCAGTCGTTAGTACTGTTCGTTTAATTGGAAGGGTTCTTGAAGCTTCAGTATTATGTTATATGGTTAATAATGCTCCAAAACCCAAGGAAGTGCAAACTATAAATAATAATAATTGTAATAAAATATAAGAATATTTGTTCATTATTTTACGTATCTTAAAATTTGGAAGGACTTTTTTGAAAATATGTTTTCATTGTTCACTAATTAGTATTAACTAATTATCTGTGTTTACATATTGATGCACTTTATTGTTGTTGAATAATTAGTAAAAATATTATTTTCAAAGTAATCTAAAAACTCACATTGTTCAAAAATGGGTACGCGTGATGTTATATCAATTCTCGCAATAATTTTTGCTGTCTTTGAGATTTGTATGAACTCATTCACCTATTTTGTTTTTTTCAAACCGGCCATCAAAAAATCAACATTCAGATTGATTGTAATTCGAACTGTTTTCGATATTGTTCTTGGAATAACAAGTTAGTTGAAGTGGATTTTCCGAAACACATTTTGATGTTTACAGGCATTGTCTATTTTGTAATTGGTATTTTAATGTATTCTTTTCCCGAACATGTTTCTTTCAATTATTTATTTTTCTTCGGAATAATTAACGTAAACATGATTATCATCCGATCCTATATTGCACTCGTTATTGTTTTGGAAAGATTTTGGGCAACATTTTTCCCTGTCCACTTTTATAAATTCAGAAGAATGATCAGGCGTAACTTCATATTTATTTTTATAATTAGTTTTGCAATCGCCGATGATTTCATGTTGTTCATTGTTTTTCAACAGAAGATTCCTCAAAACTCGAAATGTTCTAAATATTTCTGTGCAACTCCTCCAGGATATAGAACTTATGAGATAGCACATACTTGTTTTTACGGCGCATTGAGTTACACATTGTCAATTGTACTTTGTGTAAAATTATTCAAATCAATGCCGATTATAGAAGACGCTAGAAGAGTTAATAAAAAACGTGATATTTTTCAAACTTTTAAAATTTCAGTTGAACGTGCTTTGTGTTACTGATGGTTTATCGTCTTTGTTTTTTGAGTTCTTGCCTTTACTTTTTTACATTTTTCATTTGAATGATCGAGATGTTGGCCCAATCGGTAGTGCTTTGCGAATGCTTGCACGATTTTTTGAAGCAGCAATAATTTATTTTTATACAACCAAGAAAAACAAGAAGTCTACAAAAATTTGTATCGTGAACTAACAATCAAAGTTCTTTTTTTGTTATGATGTTCTTGCAAAAATAATTTTTTAGAACAAAAAGAAAAACAAAAACATTTGACGTGATGCGTAGACTGATATCTTTCATTGGCTTATTGTTTGCCTTTTTACAGTTCGTTTTAAACTTTTTGATATTCCTGAAGTACTTGAGAAAATCGAATAAAGTTGAAATGCGCTTGATTGTTATTCGAACAATTACAGATATTGTATTCGGAATAATAAGTGAGTGTGATACATGAATTAATTGAATTTTAATAAAAATAAACAATTGCATAGGTACGCTTTATTATATAATTTGTCTGCTGGTGTATTCTTTTCCGGAAACTTTTTCATTCCAATTATTATTTTATACAGCACTGATTATTTTGAATACTCTAGTATTCAGATCATTTTTAGCGGTTGTGATTGCAATCGAAAGATGTTGGGCTACATTTCTTCCTATCAACTTTTACAAATATCGTTTTCAAATTTCAAACACTTACATCATTTTATTCTTGATGAATGCTGCATTTTTAGATGACATTTTGCTTTTCCTAGTTTTTAATCAACAACTTCCACCGATTCCAATAAAATGTGACGAATTTTTCTGTGCAACTCCTCCTAGTTATAATTTATTTGTTCTATATTATTCATTCTTCTATTGCTCTATCAATTACACGTTGTCAATGATTTTATGTTCAAAACTTGTTGAACTTCATTTCAGAAAAACTTTCATGAATCGAAATATTCGTAGGGTAAGAAAGTCTTTTCAACAAATAAATTAAAATGAATATCGTTTTTGTTCAGATTAATATTTTATCAGTCAGTGATGGATTTTCATCATTTGCTTTTGAATTTATGCCAGCAATTGTTTTTTACTTTGATATATTCACGACCGAAGTAAGAATTTTTAGTTATTTTTTGGTAAAAGGCAATAAATATATATTGTTCAGAATTTGGGCCCGATCGCAAGTGGTTTAAGAGTAATTGGTCGTGTGTTCGAGGCCGCTGTTCTCTTTTATTTCATTACTAAATCTAATAACAAAGTATCTAACAAGATGTTCGTATTAACTTAATTTGTGATTAACTTTGCCGATTCCATGTATGCTGTAATTGTTGGAAATAAACACCAGTAATACGTTCTGCATTTTCTGTCTGTACATATACTTTTTTCGATCGAAAACTTCTTGGAATAAATGGAACATTTCTAATGAACGCATTTTTCCACTCAACAACTGAAGATAGAGTTGCAGGAACAACTACCAAAGGATTCCTAAAAAGAGACAATATGTATAGAGAAACCTTTTCAGAAAATTTGATTTCAACTCACAGTAAACAAATAATTTGAAAGAGCACAAATGCGGTTTTCGAATCGATAATACCAAAAAGATTGGATATAAGAACTAGAAGAAAAATGATATTGATAAATATTGCACAGTATACGAAATGTGTTGCTAACTGAAACATTTGAATTGATATTAGGTTATATTTTTTGGTAATTCTTACACTCAAAGATCGTATATTCTCTTCGGTTTGAAATTTGGCCGCAAGCGGGTCTGGAACATTGTTTTGTCCCATTTTCAGTGTTTTTCGTAGTTCATTGTTATGTTTCTTCAAAAATAGAAAAGATGGTATGAAAATAATGACCATCAATATGCTAATAACAAAAGAAGATTTCATATTGACAATATAAGTTGTTAGAAGAAAAGTTTCGAAAAATATCAGCGTCGGTAGAATTACAATAATTACTAGAGTTAAGGTTGGACGAGGTTTTCTTTCGTAATCGCTGAAAAGGCTAGGTTGTTTTTAAAACGTTGTTCGATTTTCATGATTTGAGCTTTTGGTATATTTTTTACTATGACCACGAAAACACCTGCTGCCAGAAATGTAGGAAGAATCATGTATTTCACAAAACGGAACTGTGAAAATTTTGCCAAGGGCTAACATTTCAGCTGGCATGAACTTCGAGACGGAAAAAAATCCTGACCTATACAAATACGTCGCAATTGCTCTTTCCGCCAAAAATAATAACAATGTTGATATTACAGTACTGAAATATGTCCAAATTAATATTGAACCAATCAATAAAGGAATTGTTTGAAAAGTTATATCAACAACAACTCGTGAATGAGTTTCGAAACCAACTGTTGAACTATCAGAGACTGGAAATGAGAAGAAAAAGTTACAAGATTCAAAAAGTTACAAGATTCAAAGTACCACCTTCTAGTTCAATAATGTTATATTGATATGGTAATAATAATAAATATCCAATTGAACAAGTGTACCAACTTGTTATCAAAACACTCAAAATTATTCGATTGTTTGTGTGAAACTTTGGAATTTTCCACATAACATCAATTAGAACAAAAATGAAATATGCGCAAAACAACATTAGAATTGCAAGAATTATAAAGAAAAAGTAACTGGTCCATGAAAATTGTGGTTTATCACAAAATGTTTCAAGTGGAACCCATAGATTGATAGTTGAATAACTAAGACGAAGAATCATAGAAACCTGCAAAGAAGTAATAGGTGGGAAATAAAAAATAATAATAATCAGACAGGTGACTTTTTCAACTGACGAAAAATAAATAAATTGCATTTGAAAGTAGCAGACATGAAAAACTCTAAATTTGATTAAGTTAAAAATGTTCGCCGTCAGAATTTCATAAAATCACTGTTCTTGAGTCACAACTTTTTTATGTCAGTCAAACTACATATATAAATCTTACCATGATGATTTTCAAAGAAGCTAGCAGATTCGTAACTTCAGCGAGACAGGAAGTGAAAAACTATCAGAGCTAACATTTATGCTAGGAAAATCTAGCGCATAATTCTATATAATTAGCTCATGTGTCCGCAAAGCAAAAGTTCAACATACAACATATTTTATTATTTTGAAAAAATATTTAAAAAAAAACTCGGAAATGATTTTAAAAACTACATTATATTGATGTGAATTTCTTCAAATAAATAGATCTAACAAAAACCATGTTCGTATTTTGTAAACATCAGCTGCTTCAAAGTTAGTCACCCAGGAAATATTTTTATAAATGTCAAACAATTGGATATAAAAGTAGGAAGTAGGATTTCTGAATATATGAAATTCGAAAAAAAATTACAATGGGATGATAATGATACATTTATTGAATTATTAATCTAAAATAGAATTATTCCATGTTCCAAGCTTCAACAGTTTCTTTGATGAAAGATTGACATCTTGCAAATGATTCAGTGATTCTTGCAATATCTGGTTTTCCATCAGTCTAAAAAATCGAATTTTGTTTCACAATTAAATCTAGAAGATATGTATAGGAAAACTAAAGGGTGTGCAAGTGCGCTCTATAGAACTATACACAATACCTGTGACATTTTTCGAATTTTTTGTTCACTCGACATTTTTCGTTTAACTTTCTGCAAGGTTTTTTAAAATTTGGTGTAACCCCACCCAAAAAACCGCTCTATTTTTACCTGTAAAATTGGAGAGTTCGCCCAGAATCCATTGGCGAAAATTGTGAATGCAGATGAAGCAACTAATTGAAACTTGTATTCTTCATCGATTTGTTCCCGAGTCCACGGAACTTTGACACCTTTCGCTTCAAGACCCGCTGACAATTTTTGATAATAATGATCGATCAATGGTTTTGTCAATCTTTTCCGATTTTCAACTGTTGTACAAGTTGATAATAAATGTTGTAAATCTTCCATTGGACTTCCTGGATGTGCAATTTGCCAATCAATTATTCCAGCAATGTTTTCTTGACTATCCCATAAGATTTGTGGAGCCCACATATCGCCATGAGCAATTACAGCAAGTCGATTACCATTTAAATATTGTTGACCATTTTCAGCAAGAAAATGCGGATTTTTCTCGAAAGTATTTCTACTATAAACTTTGAGAATTTCCATTCCTGGACTATCGGAAAGTTTGTCAGTTATTGTGTGCATAACAGCATGGAATTCAACCATTATTTTCTCGATCTAAAATGCGAGATTTACATAGTTATGATAACTTTCCTTGCACTACTCACATTTGCATCTGGTTTAATCTTCTTCCATTCTTCAGTTGTCAATGAGAAAACATGTAAAGCAACAATTTCATCAACTAATTTGAAGAGTTGGTTTTCAGAAAAACCTTGAATCAAATCATAGAGATGACAGTTTTCAAACATTTCCATGACAATTACTGGAACTTCAGTTGTTTTATTGATAGTATCTTCCAATGCATAGATCTTTGGAATTTTGATATGTTTCTCGTTCGCTGAAAAGTTGTGTTGTTTTATCAAAGTCACATTGTAGTGGTTGTGGTTCAATGCTTCTTACCGGCAGAAAGCACACGATAATAATCGCATTCTGTGTTGTGCATGAATTGCTCGGTCATTGATTTATCAGCTTCGGAAGGAGCTTCCATATCACCTGAAGCACCTTCGATTGCATCAAGGCCTTTTCCAGTTGTTGTTATCTGAAATGAGTGAATGTGGGAGATTTTAATAGATCTTTCTCCAAAATGTGTTTTCTGTGCCCCTTAGATTTTCTTATTCATTGAAAATTCTATAAAAGTATATAAAACATCTTCATTAAATTTGAATTATTTCATTCATAAATTCAAAAATAAAAAAAGGAGCTCATTTGCACTTTTTATCAGACTCATAATGAATCTTACCTTCAAAACGACACTCTTTGGAAATTCCGAATCATCCCCATCAACTTCAAAATTCAATCCAACTTTTCTAATCATCGACATATATCCGAGTTCTCCATTCACAAGTGTTGAACTTGTTCCAACAGTTGGACGAACTCCCAATTTCTTTTCCATAACATCAGCAAGCCAAGTTTTAGTCAATGGAACATCGGGAATTATCAAGTCGTTGCTCATTTTTTTCTAGAAAAAGTATAGTTAAATTTCTCAGACACACTAAAATCTATAAAGACGAAAAACAAAATGAGCCAAGAGACTCTGATAAGATAGTAATGATACCAAAAAAAATGACCTCGTGATTATCATAAGTGTAGTTTGTGTAGTCATCGATTCAAATGGGACCCTCTTATCAATTGCTCGAAAAAAACGGTTTTATGTACAGTTAACAAAAAAGTTCAACATCTTGTTGGAAAGTTCACATTAGATTACAAACATGTGATTTTTTCGTCATTCCTCCACCATTTTTCTTTCCATTTCCGATTAGAGATTTGAATCGGGTGACTGCGGCAGTAACAGCTCCAAGATTTTTGAGATCAAAGGTATCGAGTTCTGCTTCTTCAGAGATCTGAAAATAAATGATTTTGAAAGTTGAACGTTAAACTTTTATCAATGCCATTCTATCAATATTAATTCTTACTGGAATATGCATAAATTCTGCCAAATGTTTTCGACAACCCAAATGTGCAATATTTGTCAATGTTTCTTCTTTTGCTAATGGATCGTGTAAAACAACCGTAAGAAGTGAACCATCTTGAGCTCCAAGAACAACGAAAAAATCTTTTGGATCGTAACTCCAACAAGTAATTGTAGCATGTGGACGAAATGTTCCAATTAGTTGAGAATCCAAAACTCGAAATACACTGGAATTGTATTCAAAAATATTTTCAAATTTACATATGTAATTTCAAAAGTCTCACCGCAAAGTCTTATGTCCACTATGATAATATAAAACATATTGTCCATTTGGAGTAAAAGAACAAGTGACATCATTCACACCTTCGGTAACATTTCCAATCAAAGTTTTGCTAGTTAACCCAGTTTTTGTGTCAACAACAAATAATCCACCTTTTGCTGGAGCAAATAGTCCCATTTTACCGTCGTTTGAAATTAGCCCATTGAATTGTGGAAGAAGTCGCAAGAATTTTTTAGTTTTGATATCCCAAACGCTGGCTTTGTTATCATTTTCAACAACAATCACTTGATTATTATTATGTGGCATTGCAATGATTTTATGAATCATAACATCTTTTTGTTTTTTGAGTTGTCTTGGGCGGAATTTGAGACGTTGAATTCGTTCAACTGCATCAAATATCATCAAACTATCATGTCCTTTGAATAAAGTGACAACAACACAACTTATATTATCCTAAATTTTTATTAATTTTAAGCTGTATTCAAAATTTAACAAACCTTTAAAACTGCACATTCTTTGAATAATCTGCACGGATATTCGAAATTATAATGCATTGAAAAATCGGCAATATTATAAATCGTACATCTTGCAATTTTCTGTTCAGCTGAATCAACTTGTCGATAAATAACCCCAATTAAAGTCTCCCTATTGAGATAGAAAATTTGGAAAACATTTGGGGCATGAACAGAATTGATAACTGATTGAGTTTTGAGATCCCAGAGAAGAAGTTGATCAGATTCGACGGCTACAATGGTTTTTCCATCGGCGGCTAGAAGAGAATCCGAGACAACAGCGCCGTGAACATTTGCAACCAATGAAGCAATATGTCGATGTGATTTTATATCCCATATTCCAATATTTTTGCGTGTTTGAACTGCAGCCAGAGTTGGATTGTTTTTCGCAATCAAAATCTTCTCAATACTTTGATCCATTGTTGAAACACTAAATGATTTCTCAAAAATATTTTCCATATTCCAAATTTTGATAGTATGATCAAGTGAGCTGGAGATAAGAATATTTTGACCTTGTTGACTAATTGCATCAAGATTGAGAATTCTTCCAAAATGCGCATCTAAAGATCTCAAAAGTTCAGCTGTTTTCACATTCCAAAGATATAAATGTTTTCTGACACCTGTAACAAAAACCGTATCATGTGATGCAAATGCAACTGTTGATGTTGTATGTCTTGGCTTAATTGGAATATTCCTTATATTCATTGGAAGATTTAAAGTGACTGGATGACTTTCGCAATTATCTCGATATAATATAAATGTTTCAACTGAAACTCCAACTATCCAATTTGTATTTCTATCAGATCCACCAGTTGAAGAAGCACGGTAAAATATTTTGATATGATTTATTCGATCATTCAAATTATCCTTGATGATTTCTTTCACAATATATTTCGATTCAAACAATTCGATACGAACCATAGCAAAACTATAGTATCCCTCAGGATCAGCTGAGCCTGAAATCATTTGTTTTTCTCTCGAATAATAAACTTGAAGATCTATGAACTCACTTCTATGTTGTATACAAGCAAACCCATGTCTGAAAAATTCGTCAGTGAACGTGATTGCAGCCTCCACTGTGAATTGATGTAATCTTCCTCTCGAATTAGTTTTTTCATCTCTTATATTCCCAGTCAAAATAAGTTTCCAATCATCTCTTTCGCCATTCCAAAGTAAAAATAGAAAATTGTATTCATCCCGATGGAATATGTGCACTAATTGCTGAACAGAAACCCATTTATTTTATTCTCAAAAGACTACTTACATTATACTCCCCTTCACTTTCAGATCCTTGTGTTACCATTCTTCCATCAACCGTATAAATCAAATATTGATTTTTCGACCACATCAAAACATTATTATTCCGCACAAATTTGATTCTTTGAAGTTCCATTTGTGTAACAAGGCTTTCCGGTTCAATACTCGTAAATTCTCCAGTGACCAAAGAGGTCACAATAACTTGATTGTTATTAGTGTAACTGGCGGCATACTTATCGTCTCGTGAGACAGTCAATCCGAAAAACACTCCGTCAACATTTGGATTCACAACTCGTGCAATATCACCAGTTGCAACATCCCAAACAATTATTTGATTTGATGTTGAAACTAATAGTTTTTTATCCGATGTTAGTTGCATTCCAAACACAGCAAATTGATGTTCCTAGAATAAATGCCACTGTTTGAGTTTTGGGAATTTTTGATTTTGTTTTTTGTCAATCTGGTATTTTTCAAAAACTAGCTAGCGAAGTAGGATTTCAAAATCCAGAAATCCAATAACTACATAGACATAAAGGAAATTAATTTGTATGCACTTTTTCACAAAAACAATTATTTGAGGAAAAAACTGATAATGATTTGGGTTTTCATTTGAGAAAAAACAATTCTTTTCCTATACTTCAAAATTCAAAAAAAAACCTCTAATGAAAACTTCAAAGGTCCTCCTGGCGCATGGAAACAATGATGAGCAGGAATAAACGCGTTGTGTTGTGGTCCTTCGCGATCACATTTAATCAAAAGTTTGCTGACATATGGATTAGTTGTGGCAAGTGGAAGAAGTCGACCAAGAAGTTCGAATGCAAGCATTGATGGGTTTCGACTAGAAAATCAAGATTTTTTTGTAAACTAGAGTGAATTCTCTGAAATTCCTTGATCTATTTTTCTTCATCAAAAACATATTTGTCACGCAATTCATGACAATACAATTTGTTCCTTCCTTTTCTCATAATAACAAATGTGTCAGTTTTATTTTCGAAAATACGTCAATTACCGTATCCCTACAAATTTCGTATTTTTCTAACGTCATTCGGTGTGTCTACAGTAATCCTACGATACGAATACAAAACAACCTACGAAAAGTACGACGATTTATATACTTTCAGTCTATTTTTTTATTTTCAGATAAGATATTGAAATTCCGGTTACCTCAAAATACTTGCTGATAATCTAAGCGCATCGACAACCAATGCAAGTTGTCTTGAAATTTCCGAATCTTTCACATTCTGAATAGCATCTTCGTAATCAGCAATTAATGATTGAAGTGGGAAAGTTGAAACCTGAAATGTAATGCTCATGTTAGTAATTAAAAAATGACGAATTAATGATGTGTGTTTTTTAGTCATTATTCTTCAAATCTCCAATTTATGTTAATGAGAAATATTTCAAGGAGGCCTAAATTTACAATTCCTCTAGACATTTCCAAGGTCTATGTTCTCTTCCCAATCTCTTTTTCTTTTTTGTTTTGATTTCTCTCTCCCTCCACCCAGTCGGCCAGCAAAAATTAATTAATTCAAATTTTAGTTAACAGTCCACTTGTTTGTTATTCTTTTTTCTTTTCTTTCTCAATTTTTTTTCTGTCTGAAAAATCAAAAGCATTTTTTTGTTCAACTTTCGTAAGCATTTAGCTCATCGTTTTGCTATTTTCCCAAATGACATTCTTCTTGCCTAATTTACAAAGCCCGACTATTATTTTACATCTTTGATTTAGCAAGCGAGTAACAAAAAATTCCCACCAATGTGAAATAATCATAAAATAATATTATAATGTGAGTGTGCGTGACGTATAGAATCTGAGAACGAGAGAAAACCAGAAAATTAGATTTCTTATTTTACACGACTTTTTACCTTTTTCCTCGTTTATTTGTTTTTTTTTCATCGTTTATTTTCAGAAATTTCTATGATGCATTTGTTTATGTTTTTCAATGTTTCAACTGTAGAAGATGCTAGAACTTTGATTAATTACCGAATAATGTTTCATGTTGAAATTTGGATGATAATTATTAATCTTCTTCACACATTATTCTTTCTTCGAGTCACTTTGAACATCAAACAATATCATCGGAATTGGACGAATATTCAAGCTTTTTTATACATTCAATATTCTTTGCATGGGTTAACTTGGCTTGCGCAAAGACTGATTATTATTTGCAGATTGACGGAAGGTTTGTTTAAATTTCAAAATATTGTCTTATTAATAGGTTGAATGTGTTATATCCGGATTTTTGCATAGCTGGGTTGATTTGTTAGAATTTTATATTTTCTAGATTTGTTTCTGGCATCAAATACAAAGGGCCTATTCCAACCTAAACTTGCTAGATCAACATGTAACCTAGACTAGAGGCAAAATTCCCAAAGGCCATAGATTTTTGATTTTTGACATGTAAGATATTTGATCTAGAAAGAATAACATTTTCCAAAACTCCTACATATTTTTTATAACCTATTTCTGGAGTCAACAACAAAAAGAACATTCCTAGTTCAAATTTTTTAGGCGTGAACTTTTTCTGAAAACAAAGTTGCATTTTTCAAAAGTATAATTTCAATTGATTTTTTCTCAGACAACGTTGAACTCGATAATTGTCTTGCACTAATTACCTCATTAATTAGAACAACTTGTATTTTTTGCTCTTTTTATATATTGCTCATATTAACAATAGAGCGAGTTTTTGCAACATTTTTCCTGGAAAGTTATGAAACTGTTCGGAAACAGATTCTATCATTTTCCCTTATTATATTATTGGTTGTTTTATCAGTTTTAAGTGCCCTATTTGTTCACTATTTTAATGGTGTTTTCTCAAATATGCTGATATTTCTTGTTATTTTGATTAATATAACTGCCGCTTGGTTAAATAATGTTATTTATGAAGTGAATCGAAAATTTAATCAGACAGCTCAAACACACAATAAATATTCATTAGGGAGAAGATATCAAATTTCTGAAAATTTGAAAAACTGGAAGGTAAGTTTTGAAATAAATTATAATAACTTGAAAATATAATCGATATTTGAAGATGATTCGCATACCTATTTTAACAATAGCCATTCTCAATTCAATTTTAGCTGCAGCTATGTGTATTTCTAAAATTTTCACTACAAATTTTACAGTTATAATTATTGATTTTATAATTCTTATGTATACTTTTATCATTCCACAGATTACAATGAGATGTAGTCCATTATGGAGAAAGGAGGTTCAAAGAAGCAAACAAAGGGTAGGTATTTTTTTATTACCGTAATAACAACCAGCCAATCTACCTATAGGTCATCTGAACTATTCTGATTATTTTTATAGGAAATTGTTCTTTTCGGGTACCTAAATCCGATAAAGTCTACCAAAACGGAAATTATTTCACAATCCTTTTTTCAGTTGTTCTCAACTTCAAAAGTATTTTCTGAACCGGCTGAAATTCAACGTCCACGTATCGAAGTTTGCAACGTGTTTGGAAAACGACTTCGAACAACACAAGATGTTTCAGAACATTTTGATAATTTACAAAAAATGTGGGAAGATAATAAATTTTAGCTTGGGTTATGTACATATGGGAATAATTTACTGTTTCAGGGTTCTTGTTTTTCTAATAAATTTTTACTATGCAAAAACTATGAAAGCTCACCTTTGCATGCAGAAAATCATAATCAAATAAACAAAGCGATAAAAGTTCTTCAATTCTTCCAGCTCGCAATAAATGATATGGTAATTCATTCAACTTTCTTGTGTTATAACGATGATGCCCATCTTTTGAATGGAAAACATTTGGTTGTTTCGGAACCTTTCTATCCGCCAACCCTAAATAAATAATCATCCAATCAAATTCCTAATGAACAAATCAAATTCACCTTCATTTTCTGTCACACCAAATCTTTGTTTCTGCATTTCTGTATATTGATATGGTTTTGGAACTCCACCCCAAACACCAAGAAAATATTCAGCCATTGCAGAATGACACGTTTCCAAATGATTCACATTTTTGAAATATCGTTCAATAGCAACTTGTCTGAATTGTGTGTGATACCAATTTAATACAATTACTCCATCAGCTGCTCTTTCTGATAAATAACCAGGAAGATCAGATCTGATTCGACTCCAAAGAAGTGGAGGAATTCGACGAACTGGGGGAAGATGATATTGATAAATATCATCGAGAACTTTGTCATCAAGTGAAATTAGATCTTCAACTTCAGAATCTGAAATTCCAGAACGAGCAGCCGAAATATAAGAAATAGCATGTGATACAAGAAGTTTACCTGAACAAAATAAATAAATATAATTCACTTGTCCCTAGATTGTTTTTCGAAAATCACTTACCATGTTGACTTTCTGTTCTATGAAATAAAGCATTTATACTTTCTTGCAATGATGAAAATAAAACAGTATCTTGCGGTCTTGAATATGATTTCCATCTTGAAACTGTGGCAAAAATCAATTTGACAAATAAAGGAAGAGTGCATTTATCCAAAGCTTTCGAAACCATTGTAGATTGTCTTTCAGAAAGTGTTCTTCCTCTTTCAGACAACCACTCCTTCACAACTCGAAATCCAAGATCTTTTCCTAAACTTGGAACTTCCAAATATTGTCTTCGATCTTCAACTAATCTTTGAATTTTGTTTGAAATATTGCTTGCTCCAGGAGTCATTGAAACAAATAGTTTGACAAATGGTGGAAGCGTTGGTGGAAACCAAAGAAGTTCATGAGCTCCGTCAATTTTTGATAGAAGATCTAAACTATCAAATATAATAATTAATGGTCTTTCTCGACTTGCAAGTGATGTGATTTTTTTGAAATGTTGGAATAATTTGTTGAGTTCTGAAGGAGCCGAATTCTTTTGTGTCTCATCATAATTATAAGCAATTTGATCACAAACAGTTGTTAAAAGAGGAACAATATTTGAACTATCTGGACTTGTTCCCAAAAATCGAAGAAGAATAACTGGATTACACGAATCACCATACCATTCTCTAATACTTGTAGCTATTTTTGCCATCAATGATGTTTTTCCACATCCATTTTCTCCTTGTAAAACCATCGGGATATTTGTATTTTTCATAATATAACCTTTTGCCATTTGAAGTTGTTCATCTCGCCCAAAAAACATTTTCGAAACAGTCAGTCCAGTTGTTAAATGTGTCAAAACTTCTGTAAATAATGGATCTCGAAATCTAGCATGTTTTTCCATAGCATTGTCAACCATTTGTGTAATACTTCGATAAAAATCCGCACAAAATTGTCGAATATATTCAGCGTGATATTGAACATCAATTCCATCTCGACCAACCCATTCCACAGTACTTCTTCTAATATTTGTTCCAATTAATTTTGCAGGAACTCTTTCATCTCGAAGATTTGCCAAATATTTTTGTGCTTCCGTGTTCACATGATTATGAGCAATATCAACAAATTTTGAAGCGGTTTTCATTTGTGTCAACGAAATATTATTGATGTGCCGAATATAACAAAGACAATGTTCATTCGGATTCTTGGCTTTCAAAATTCCATGAATAACTTCTCTTTCGGTAACTGACATAAAATAATTATGCATAGTTTCGTGATCCAGGAGACCTTTTTCATAACAACTTCGAGCAGCTTTTCGAAGAAATTGTTGCATTTTTGCTTCATTTTCCCACCACTGTTTTGCATCTTGTTCTTGAAGTTTTGGAATACGCTAAAAATAAATTCAATGAAGATTTTAGTGGAAATGAATTTTTGTTGCTTGAAATGAATGAAACGTAAAAAGTTTCAATAATCTATTTTCCAAAACTGACCTTGTTATTAAAATTAACCAAAATACTACTAATTGGTTGCAAAACAAACATTGGTGGCACAGAATTTGTATCCTCAATATACCAAGTTTCCAAAACTGTAACATCTTCATGTTCTTCCTTCAAAGTTCTTTTGAGCATTTCAAATTCAGTTGATAATATTTCAGAAGGAATCGGGCGGTAACCATATTTCTGACATAAAAATACAACAAAATTTGGGCCGACCGAAAGACGTTGACAATTCGCAATTTCATTAATACATAATTTGGTTGTCATATGATCATCAGTTGCTTCATCTCGAACACCCCAACGCATATCAACGACTTGAAAATCTAATCCATGAGTTTCACGACAATATTCTTTTAATTTCGGATAAATATCCTCCATCAATGCATTTCTTTCAACTGTTGTATCAGTAAATGTTGAACTTGTGAATACTCTTACCAATTTATTCTGCGGTTTCGGAATTTTACTGAATTGTCCACAAAAAACTCGATCAAATGCATCTTGTGTAATCGGGTCCAATTTGTCAACAACTTGAGTTTGCTCATTATTTTGACTCATCAAAAGTGTCAAACTCGACAGATGTTTGCTGTTTGTTTTTGCCAGTGCTCCTCCATTTTTTCCACTTTTCCGATCCACTGAACTGTTTCCGCTACTTTGTCGATTATTCGTTGATTTTGCACGTTTTCTCAATGGATCTTTTGTTGAAGTGGAATACATTTTTTAGCAGGAATAAAAAACGGAATGAGAACAGAACATAAATAAAATCGGAGTAGCAAATAACCAACTTCCTGTCTGAAGGTAAGTCAAGTGTAATATAATTCCGAGGTGTTGCAAGTTATTTGGAAACTGAGAGAATGAAGTGCACAACATGTTGGTGTTCAGAAATGAAAAGGTCAAACTCGAGGGGAGCGGTGATGTTTTTCGACATTTTTGAGACTGGCTTGGCCTGGACGTTGTGAATAAAAAACACGTGATCTATACTCGGGAAAAAAATAGCAAGTCTGGCGACAAAAAGCACAGCAAATTTTTTTCTACGTGACCTCAAATAAAAAAATCATTGCAGAATGTGTTTTTCACGCGGCACACACATCTGGGCGGAGCCTAATAAAATCCTGTTTTTACTCGTTTTTTGAGGATTTGAACCCGAATTTCAGGGAAAAGTTGATTTTTCACTATCAGAATTGAGCAAAGAAGGGTTGAGGGAGGTCCGGAAGACAGAAAATTGCTTATAAATCTTCTAATTCCGCTCAAAATGACGTTTCTCCATATTTTTCTCGATTTTCCCAGGAAAGACAATAAACTTTTGATTCAAAAAACTATTAGTACTTCAAAAATTATCAACTACTTCTAAAAATGTAGTTTGAGCATGTTTCCTTCGGTTTCGGCTTCAAAAACACATTTTTTGTGAAAAAAAACACAAAAAAAGACATTTTTTTTGCGAAAATACTGTAGCGACACGTGAAATTGTGCAATGAGAAAATGCGTAGTGAAAAATTTGCTGTGAAAAGTAGACTTTTAGCCAGCTTGCGACCATTTTTAGCAAGCTTGCTACATTTTTTCCCATTATAAAATTTGTAGCAAGCTTGCTAAAAATGGTCGCAAGCTGGCTAAAAGTCTATTTTTTGTCGCCAGACTTGCTACTTTTTTCCCGAGTAACCACTTGACCATTTCCGACACAAGAAATGACTTTAGCTCGAAGAAAATTTTGACGTGAGAAAAAAAAATATTTCTTTTAAAAAATGAGACTTTTACGCCTGGGAATACAATTTGTGAAGTTTAATGAGTTATAGATTATAAAACAAAAAAAAATAAATTCAAAACAAACTGGAAATTGCGTGCATAGAACTATGAAAAAGTTAATATACTTATGAAATATTTCATAGTTTGTTTATCAATAAAATCTGGAAGCTGATCCTATAGCATCAAGTGTAATTCAAAGCTTCATCTAATCATTTAAACATAGTAATTTATGAACAACTTTTCTTTAACAATAATAGTAATTATGAATTAAAACCTTACCCAATATTTTCCAATGAAGCTTAAATCTCACCTGTTAGTTTTGCTCCCCTTCCCCCCCCGAACCTCAAAATAAACTAACTTGACTGGTCCGTTCCGTGAGAAGTTGTTGATCTCTTTGATTGTCGTGTCCAAACGAAACATCTTCTTTTTCGCAGGCCTGCAACTTCTACATTCTTTTTATCAAAATTTTCGCCTATTCTTAAACTTACATCAGAAAATGACAATTGTGGATTTGATGAAACCCCTGCATTCTGTGACTGTTGTCTCTAAAAAAAGAAAATTAAGAAATGTACCAAATCACCCCATTAATAACACTTTTTGCGCTGAAAAAAACCACTCAAAAATCAGAAAAATGATTCAGTTCGAAAAAAAAACGTTCAATCAATAGTCTTTTCAAATAAAAACATCTCTCTCTCTCTCTATAACCCTCTCTCTATTTCCCACACTCTCTCATCTACCCTGCAAAAAAACAATAAAATAAATACGATAAACAACGCGCACGCGGAGTATCGTTGTTTTGCTTTTATTTTTTTTTGCACGACATTTTTATTATTTGCTTTTTTTCTGGTTTTTGAGTGGTTTTTTCAGCGCAGAAAGTGTTATTAATGGGGTGATTTGGTACATTTTTTAATTTTCTTATTTTTTTCAGAGACAACCGTCACTGAATGCAGCGGTCCCATAAAATCCACAATTGCCATTTTCTGATGTAAGTTTAAGAATAGGCGAAGATTTTGAGAAAAAGAATGTAGAAGTTTCAGGTTTCCGAACAAGAAGAAGATGTTTCGTTTCGACAGGAAATTCAAAGAAATCAACAACTTCTCACGGAACGGGCCAATCAAGTTAGTTTATTTTGAGGTTGGGGGGGGGGGAACAACTAACAGGTGAGCTTCATTGAAAAATTTTGGGTAAAGTTTTTAATTCATAATTACTATTGATGTTAAAGGAAAGTTGTTTATAAAAATTACTATGTTCAAATGATTAGATGAAGCTTTGAATTACACTTGATGGTATAGGATCAGCTTTCAGATTTTATTGAAAAACAAACTATGAAATATTTCATAGGTAAATTAATTTTTTCATAGTTTTAAGCACGCGATTTCCAATTTGTTTTGAATTTTTTTTTCTTTTTTTTTATAAACTATGTATGTCTCATTAAATTTCACACTTTGTATTCCCAGACGTTACTTTTTCAATGGGGTGATTCATAAAAATAAATAGACAAAAAATCCGCGATTAATTTCACGTTTTTAGTCAATTAATCGCATTTTTTCAGAAATGAATAAAAGAAATCTTTTTTTCTCACGTCAGCTTAGCTGCGAAAAGGGTTTTTCTTCAAAATTCAGAATTTTTGACGATTTTCTGACTGTTTCGCCTAGGGGCACCGCCCATAGTCTGCATTAAAAAAAATAAAAATGCGATCTCCTATTCTTTCGCCGTGTTTTTTCTCAACTAAAAAAAGAACCTGTCCAGGACAGAACAGGTCAGGTTTTCACTTGGACCTGTCATGGCTTATGTTCTTACCAGCATAGCCAACGTGAGGCCAGGTTCCTCTCTACTTTCAGTGAAGCTAGCACGTCACCATATCGTGCTAAAACGTTTGTGATATACCAAAATCTATTTTAATAGACAGAATTGATGAACTTTTACAACACAGCGTGGCGCAAAATTTTAATATCAGCAAATGCTCCCACCGATCTCCTGTTGATCTATTCATCTTGATTGTTATAAAAGCAATTCTCTGATCTATAATTCTCATCATCATTTCAACAATGATTTTCCGTGTTCTCCTTGTATTCGCTCTTGTAGCTGGAACTGGTGCTGTCACCAAAGCTGTTTGCCAAGCCTTCTGTTCATCTGTCAATGGTGGAGCATCGTATGATTATTGTTCACCATGGATCAGTTTCTCTCAACAAACCAACAAAACTTGCTACAATCTCTGTGTCAACAATTGTTATAATGTTTATGATGGAAGTTGTATGACTGATAGTAACTTCAGATGTTGTTTGAATACTAAACCAGCTAAAACTCAAGAATTCAAAGTTTCTGGATGCAATATTCTTTACAACAACTTGATCGATGATTACTGGAACTAAGTGTTCTTTTTGATTAATAAAGATTTCTTTTGAAAACTTTTTGTATGAAATTGAAAAAACCAAGAAAATCAAAAAAAATCTACACTCATTTACTAATTTTTGTTAATGCGTTAATTTAATCATCAGATTTTCAATACAAAAAATTTTAAAGTTCCAAAAATCAAATATCAATATTTTTTAAAATATAAAATATAGAGTTTTTTTGAAACGCAGTTGATTTCCGTTTGTTCCTTTTACTTTAATCGAATAATTTAGAATTGTCCAGACAGCAAAATGTTCTAGTTAGAGTGACCAAACAAAACAAAACAGACTTGACTTTCTTATCATTTACCTAATATTGTGTTTAATGTGACCAAAATGGCATTTGTAGTTATTTTTGCTGTCAAAAAACATTTATAAAGACAGATAAAATTGTTCAATTGTAAATCAAAAATGATTTTGATTTTGCTGTTACTTTTTACTCTCTCCTATATTATCAATTTCTACTGGAAAGTTTCCAAGTATCCAAAAGGCCCATTTCCTTATCCAGTTGTCGGAAACTTGTTGCAATTCCCACAAGAACTATTTCATCTAAAAGTTGATGAATTATCAAAGATTTATGGACCATGTTTCACAGTTTGGATGCCTCTTCCAATTGTTGTTTTTGCCGATTATGAACATATCAAAGAAGCATTTGTAACACAAGGTGAATCATTCACCTATCGATCACATCTTCCACCAGAAAGTCTTCTTCAACCACATGATCAAGTTGGAATTTTAATGTCTGATGGTGATAATTGGAGACTTCAAAGAAGAACTTCACTCAAAATTTTAAGAGAATTTGGATTAGGAAAAGGTTTAATGGAAGAACAAGTAAAAGGATCAATTGAGGAAATGCTGGAACAATTGAAAAATATCGAGAATAAAAATGATGTTGATATTCATTGGCCAATTCAATTATGTGTTGGAAATGTTATCAACGAAACTCTTTTTGGATATCACTTCAGTTACAAAAATCCTGAAAGATTTGTTGAATTTGTAACTATTGTTTCAAATCACATTAGAGATTCCATTGTGAGTTTTTTCTCAATTTTGTTCTAAAAAACTATTGTTTTTGTAGAATAAAGCAACTTTAATGCTTCAATGCTGGCCGTGGATGAAATATCTTCCAGTTTTTGGAGAATATGCATATCACAGAATTAAACGGAATATTGATAAATATCAAAAATTCATCGAAGAGGAAGTGAATTCTCAAGCAAAACTATTTAATGATTATGATGAGCCAACTAATTTTGTGCATGCTTATATGCAACAAATGAAACCTGATAATGGTTTAGATATGAAAAATCTTTATGCATCAGTATTAGATTTCTGGTTAGCTGGAATGGAAACAACTTCAAATTCACTTCGTTGGCATATTGCTTATATGATGAAATATCCTGAAATTCAACAAAAAGTTCGAGAAGAAATTCTTTCAGTTGTTGGAGTTTCTCGTCTTCCAACAATGGCTGATAAACCAAATATGCCTTATACTCAAGCAGTTATTCACGAAGTTCAAAGACACTCAAATATGGTTCCTTTTTTGGCAAGTCATAAATGCGTTGAAGATACAATTATTTGTGGAAAGAAGATCCCAGCTGGTACAGCAACATTCCCTCAAATTTGGTCTGTACTGGCAAATGATCCTGTTTTTGATTCTCCACTTCAATTTAATCCATCAAGATATTTGTTAGATGATGGGAAAACAACAAATAAAGTAAGTAAATTGAATTGAGAACAAATAAAACGAACATATAAATATAATTTCAGACAGTTCTTGATCGTTCAATTCCATTCAGCATAGGAAAACGAGCTTGTGTTGGAGAAGGTCTTGCACGAATGGAATTATTCCTGATTTTTAGTGCTCTTCTACAAAAATATGAATATGTTCCTCTTGCGCCAGTTGATATGTCACCACAAATGGGAGGTGTTTTGACAACGAAACCGTATCGTCTAAAATTGGTTGAAAATTTCTGATGGTTTTGATTGATGTAAATACAAGTTTTAATAAAATATTTTGATTCAAAAATGTTCATGAACACTTGCTCTTTGTAAGCGACGGGGTGCCAAGTTTTTATATCAGAGAAATTGGATGATAATAATGCCGCCCGTTGATCTATTCATCCAGAATTCTATAAAAGCATTTATCTGATTCATGATTTCCATCCTCACTTCAACAATGATTTTCCGTATTCTTCTTGTCCTTGCTCTTGTAGCTGGAACTGGTGCTGTCACCAAAGCTGTTTGCCAAGCTTTCTGTTCATCAGTCAACGGTGCTGCTTCTTATGATTATTGTTCACCATGGATTAGTTTCTCTCAACAAACCAACAAAACTTGCTACAAACTTTGTGTCAACAATTGTTATAATGTTTATGATGGAAGTTGTATGACTAATGCAAATTTTAAGTGCTGTTTGAATACTAAACCTGCAAAAAAACAAGAGTTTGTGATTTCCGGATGCAATATTCTTTATAACAATGTTATCGATGATTACTGGAACTAAACAATTTTTTGAAGATTTAAAGGTGGAGTCCGAGCAAAAATTAAGTTGTGCTCATTTGAAAGAGCATGTTTTAATTAGTACAATCCTCGAAAGATTTTTTTCTGGAAGCTTCTCAAATATTAAATCCAAGCTACAGTACTTATGGACTTTCACACTTTTACAGCCATTTTACACGGTGTTTCACTGTTTTTTCGAACTTTGTAATTTTTAAACCAATGTTTGAAAAGCTTCCAGAAAAAATCCTTCGAGGATTGTACTAATTAAAACATGCTCTTTCAAATGAGCACAACTTAATTTTTGCTCGGACTCCACCTTTAAGAAATGAACCATTTTTGTAGAAAGTTCAATAGTTTATTATTAGATAATCTTTCAAAATTCTTCCAGAAAATCACGCTTTTTCGTTAATTTTTTGTTATATCAAACAATCAATATTGTGTCGCCAAACTTTTTGATTCGATCTTCGAATCAGCGAATAGTTTAAAAAACAGATCAGATCGCACTTTTCAAGAAAAGAAAACATGTCAAAATATTTGGTATTCTCTGCGATTCTGATGGTTGCTGCTAGAAACTGTTTTTGGGCAAATGGACAATGGATTTGTTAAAATATTAAAGTTTTGTTGAATAAAGTTATCGCATTTTCTCTTATGAGAGTAAGAATTCGAAAGATTTCATCTCAAAATTTTGGGTGCTTTTTGATGAGTAACACCCCAGGGGAATCTTTCTGAAAAAGCGTGAAACTTTTCGGAAAAAAAGGTTGCGTGGTCAGAAAGTTTTATTCAACAAACACAATGACTTTCGAGTTTTCTAGTCTAACCTCCTTTTTTCGATCGAACTGAACATCAAAAATCAAAAATAATTTTAACGAGTGAATACACAATACACAAATCAAATGATTAATATTGTTTAGTTTTATGATGTTCCAAATCCCCTGTAAAATTGTTCAAAAAAAGATCGAAACTTCTATAAATTGTTGTTTTTTTCAATTAAAACACACGCATCATTATTAAAAAAATTTACAAGAGGAGGGGGGGGTTAACTTTTTCGAATTTTTTTTTCTGGAGGGGGGTTAACTCGGGGGTCCCCGGAGCGACTAGTTCATGTATGATCATTAAAAGTTTATTGATTCCATCTAATTACTTGGTAATATTATAACATTTGTAGAGTTTGACATTAACAACTTTGACAGCATAAGTTTTGCAACAATTCCATTCAGTTGCAGTCATTTTCTTGGATAATTTAGTGCAATATTGATTGACCAAACTCTTTGTAACAATAGCGAGTCCTTTTCCATACATTTTGTTGATACACGCATTTTGTTTGGCAGTTCCAGTTTTTGTGTTGGTTTTCTTACAATTTTCCAATGCTTTGATACTTTGATTAATTGGAACAGCAGCAATTGTGAGGAATGGTTCAGTTAGTTTATCAAGAAGAGCCATTAAATCAGTGCATGAATTGACTGAAACAAATTGAATGTTGTACAGGTATATAAAGGGGTTTTTAAAAATCAACGAAAACTCACACGATGAATACAATGATAGAGCAGTAATAGCTTTGCTAGCACTATTATTGATAACACATGATTTTCCAGTTGAGATAACTGTTTCAGTATCAGTTGCATTCAAATATAATTGTGGTTCAATGCAAGACAAAATTGGTTGCATTTCAGCTGGTGTATAGAAAGTTACACCAAAGTTCTTAGCCTTTGTGCAAACTGTTGCCCGATTTGGAACTTGTGCATAGGTTACTGTAGCCAATAAAATAGTCGAAAAAATCACTGATCCGATCATGTTTGATTTAAAATTGTGATGTTTTGTGGGGGTTTTATACACATATTTGTATAACGAGGTGGATTAAAAGGTGTTGTTGCGAGAAAAAGGGGAACCTGTCCAATTTTCAAAAATGAGATATGATTTTTTGAACCGTTTCATCCTACGCTACTGATGTATATAATTTTTGTGTGTTTTTTTTTCAAAAATCACTGGAAAAAAATATTTTCATAATCAGAAATTAAAAATAGAACCACATCAGAAATCAAAAAAGTTCTAATATAAGTAAAGACGGCGAGTTTTTCGAGAAGATTCTGACGAATCAGTGCTATTCCATTTTGATACTGATCTATATTAAGTAGATCAAAAAAATTGTGTTTGATGGACACACAAAACAATGTTCTGTTCAAAAACAGTATTTATTCAAAAAAAAGTACATAATTAATTGTGAGATAAAAACAAATACCCTGCTGGCATAACAAAAATATCCAAGTATTTTTCAAATCATTCCGGTATCTTTCAAATTTTCTTGAACCACCGTGTCGATCACAGAATTGATAACAATTTGAACAGTATCACTGACAGCACAAGTCTCGTGAACATATGGTTTTTTAGTTTTTGAACGGATCACTTTTTCGAATTTCCGTTTGAAAAATGCCATACCATTTTCATAGGTGTTTTCTTCTGAAAAAATAAGTTTGAAACAATTTAAAGTATTTAATATTATATTTATCCGAATACTTACTTTTGAAATCGTTGAAATGATTTGAGATGAAAACTCTGCCTATTTTCTTCTGAAAAAGATCTATTTTATTCATAAACAGAATCATCGAAGATTTGTCGAAGTAGCGTGAATTTGCGATTTCGTTGAACAATCGAATTGCATCATCAACACGATTCTGAAAATTGATTCTATGAAATTCAAAGTGTTCGTCTAGAGGGCTCTTACAGTAATCCCATCTTCAACGATGCATTGGTCAAATTCACTAACGGCCACAATGAATAAAACCGCATTAACATCATCAAAACAATGAATCCATTTTTTCCTTTCCGATCTTTGTCCTCCAACATCAAAAACCATGAATTTTATCATTTTTGTGACAAATTCCACTTGAACAACTCCGGTTGTCGGAGCCCGAGTGTGTAAAATATCTTGATATGATGGCAGAAATTCTGGTTCAGCAATGCGATCAAGATTATCGAAGAAACTGGAAGGTGTTATTTTTTCAAAAGTTAAAATCGATTTTTTGTTGTCAGAAAAGAAAAACTAACTATTCAATTGATTCAGTCAAATGAAACTTTGCTCGATTTGTATAAGCAATTTGAACGGCTTCAGCAACCCATAGTTTTTTCAAACTTCGAATTAATTCACTATCCATTTCAACATCATCCAATCCTTTCTTTTTTATCGCATTGAGAACAACAGTTTCTGCCTAAAAATATTTAATTCTAGGTTTGCAATAACAGCAAATCCTATTATTAATAAGACATACTAACAACATGCAGTAAATATGTATATTTCATGCATGATCAATACACAAATCTATGTCTCACCTCAAATTCTTCATCTTTTAGATGTAATGAATTTTCATTCGCAAAATCCAAAAGTGCCTTGATTCCTTGAAGAATGTTGATGAAGATCAAGCATTTTTTCTCAAGAAGTTCAACATTGGAAAATCCTTTATGATGCATCAAACGCATTTGCTTCAAAACTGTACTTTTTCCACTTTCTCCAGGTCCTAATAACAATACTTTTTGTAAAAGTAAATTCGACTTTTTATCAAGTTCCTTCTCGATTTGCCTGAAAAACAGAAATTATTTAGTATTTTCTTGTCTCCATTTGTCCAAAATAATTATAGTTTTCGTGATCATTGCCCTTTTTCTCGATGACAAAATTTGTATGATATTATTGAAAAAAAAACTACAAACGTCACAGATTTCCAGGGATACGTTAAAAGTGCATATAATCCTACATGGGTCATAAATTCAAATTGGGGCAAAATATTTATTTATTTATGATTGCATTCGGAAAAACTTTTGATGTTTGGTAGATGAGTTTCGAGGGAAAATTGATCATTTGGATTTTTGTGGAAAAAAATTATGTCATTCTCAAGAGATATATATGTATATTTTGGTTTTTTGATAGACTGATCAAAAAGTATAGCGCGCGATCAGTCTAAAGATGCAAAATTATTTCTCCCCAAAACTAGAAAAAAAGTGTATAGTATTGAGGAGTGTCGCTTCTTTTTGTAGTTTGAACTTTTTTTGAAAATCGTACTCTCTCCGGGGGGCTTAGAATATCCTCTTCTGAGAAGACCAGACAATGGTTCAAAGGGTTTTAATAGGAAAGAGGTTTTTCTTGAATGTTCTAGCTTCAAAAAATTGTAAAGCAGTGTGGTTTTATTTGAAAGAGATATAGCTCGTGAACAAGCGAGTTTGCTCTATCGGACACGTCGTAATTTGTTTTTGAAAATAAAACACCTTGAAGAGCGGTGCATAATTCTCAACCAAAAAATCAAATTTGGAAGTTTTTTTTTGCAAAAAAAATAATTTCCCTTGATTTTTCTTGTTTCCGTTATCAAGAAATTCAGGTTTTCTATTTTATATATTTTCAATTGCGCACAAGTTGTTTTTCACATTCCTAGAATTGATGACTTCAAGATCAGCACCAAATTAGCTTTAAAAAATTTTAAAGGGCTTTTGAACTATATGATCTTATTAGTTTTCCCCAGGTTCATTTAGAAATTCAAAGTTCGGTGAAATCATTAAAACAATAAAGTTCAAAGCATATTATTTTATGAAACATGCATAACTTACTTTGAAATTTTAATTTGCTCTCTGGTATCAGCTGGCTGAATAATCGACTCACAACTTCCCATGTTTATCCAAGAATTGATTGTTAGCGCTGCAAATGTTTCTTTATAGAAATTCAAGAATAAAAAAAATAAAAGTCTCAAAAAGAAGCGGTTATCATAATTATTACGTTTCGAAAAAATGAGTGACTGATTGCTCGTTGACAAAAAACACGTTTCCCTGGTTACACTTGAAGAGAAAAAGGCGCGTTCAACACGAAGATGCTGAAATTTTCAGCCAAGTGTCTCCGCCTATTGAAGTAGATAATTAAGAGAAGCAAAAAAAGAAGAGCCAAAGAAAAAAGTTCAAAAAGGGAAGTAGAAGAATAAGATAACTAGAAAAACATTTTCGAAAAGAAAAAAGTTCTGCATAAAATTTCTCACAACAATAACCCGTTAATCAAATTTTTATGCTATTATATTACATGTGATTTTTTCTATTTGGTTAGTCACTTTTAAGTAAAACACTTTGTGTTTTGTGGACAATACGTTTTGATTTTTGTTATATTCTGAGGAGAAGAAAAGAGGAAACTAGATAACAATAATTATTCTATCTTATATTTTCTTATTTCTATTTCTGAAAATATGTATAAACTGGAAAAAGAAAAACAATCTATGTTCTCACGAAAACAAAGAAAAAGCTATAAAAAATAAGAGAAAAAGTCAAATATGGAAATAAAGCCAGGTGTATTATTGTCTATAATTACATAATGTATTTGGTAGTTCTGGAATATATTTTCAGCTGGGAGAAAAACAAGGAAATTTGTCTGAAATTAAATTTTAATTTAAAAGTTTTTTTTTTGAAATTTTACAAAATTTTGGGTCAGAATCAAACAGAGTCAATTTCAAATAATTGATTTGCAAGAAACTTTGAATCTATTGCAAGTTGAGAATAAAACCAGCTGCAGCTGCAAAAAAGTTCCAACTTTTTTTTCTGAAATATGGTGTCTGACTCGTAGAATTTATTATAAGGAAACTCCTAACTTGTAAGCTGTGCCTTTTTTGTATTTTCAAAATTCCCTCAATTTTTAAATAACCACCAAGTGTTCTGAAGCCCACTTAGTTCGTTTTAAAACACGGAAGTCATTAACCTGTTTGATTCGCGAAAGAAAAAAACCAAAAAGATATGATAACAATCTCGAAAAATAATCAGTGTTCTCGATTTGGAAGGTCAAAAATGTTGGTCGCTGTCATTTTTGTTTCCCTATATTTTTTCACAACTTCACATGCCGCTTCAAATTGTTTGTCTCCAGAGCTCAAAAAACAAGCGATCACATGTGTTGAGGTGAGAAATTAGAAAATTTGAAAATCTGTGACAAACAAAATTCCAGAGTCTCACTCCACTTTTCAACGAGCTCAAAAAATCGCAAGCTGCCAACTTTGATGATAAAAACAGCTATGACAAGCTCAACCAACTTTGCGAAACTTCGTTGAAATGCTTCAAAACCCTCGAAAAATGTGCCGAAATTCCAAAAGAAGTCATCGATGGCTCTGAAGATATGTGCAGTTTGACGAAATTTGTGAACGGCCCAAAATTCTCGCAATGCATGAAAACAATTGATGCGAAAAAGGACAAATGTACTACCGAACTTTTTGTTGGACCACAACAATTAGAGGGTGCACTGCCTCCCCAAATCTACGTGTGTGTGGAAAAACGAAAAATGTCTGGCACGCTCTCGCAAACACACACTCTCTCGCACACAACTTTTTACTTTTATTTCGCGAAAACAGTGCATATTAGGAGCTGATTTTTATGTGTTTTTCATCGGAACCACAATATGTGTTATACATAGTTCGAAAGAGAATTTCTTCGGCTACAAACACATATGAAATGTTATAAACGAAACCGAGATAAAAAAATAAAAATTTCATGCAAACATGACATGGTTTTTTTGAATTGTGTGAAAAACGCATGTGTTTTTTGATGACCTGGCTTATTTTTTGAATATCGAATATATGTATAATCGAGTCGTAGTTTTGTTCAGAATCTCAAGGGCTTTTTCAGATGATGTAAATCAATTTTTATGAAATTGTGAAATCATGGAGGAGTAGGGATTTTTCGTTTGTCAATTTTTAAAACGAAATTTTCATTTTCATTTGAAAGGAACTCGAATGAAGTTTACATACGTTTTAAAGAGAATTTCTCGGGCTTCAAAATCATATATATTTCTATACACAAAAATGGAAATTGAAAGCACCGCTTTCGATTGAAAACTCACCGCTGTTTTTCGCAACGCTACTGAACGCGGTTTGTTTGTTTGGTGCAAACCCAACAAGTTTTCAACCGAAAGCGGTGCTTTCAATTTCCATTTTTGTGTATAGAAATATATATGATTTTGAAGCCCGAGAAATTCTCTTTAAAACGTATGTAAACTTCATTCGAGTTCCTTTCAAATGAAAATGAAAATTTCGTTTTAAAAATTGACAAACGAAAAATCCCTACTCCTCCATGATTTCACAATTTCATAAATATTGATTTACATCATCTGAAAGCCCTTGAGATTCTGAACAAAACTACGACTTGATTATACATATATTCGATATTCAAAAAATAAGCCAGGTCATCAAAAAACACATGCGTTTTTCACACAATTCAAAAAAACCATGTCATGTTTGCATGAAATTTTTATTTTTTTATCTCGGTTTCATTTATAACATTTCATATGTGTTTGTAGCCGAAGAAATTCTCTTTCGAACTATGTATAACACATATTGTGGTTCCGATGAAAAACACATAAAAATCAGCTCCTAATATGCACTGTTTTCGCGAAATAAAAGTAAAAAGTTGTGTGCGAGAGAGTGTGTGTTTGCGAGAGCGTGCCAGACATTTTTCGTTTTTCCGCACACACGTAGATTTGGGGAGGCAGTGGGGTGATCGAGAGGATAAATGTGATAATTATAAGAAAAATGGGGACTGTGCAAGAAAGTTTATTGCAACTTCTTGTAGCGCTGATGCCTTGAAAGCTTTTGATTCTTTCAAAACTGAAACAACCAAAAGACTCAAATGTTAAAAAAGTTTAATGAAGTAAATGAATCCTGCTGCAATAATAACAATTTTTTGAAACGTATTTTTTGAAAGCTCGAAATAAATGTGTGTTTGCAACACATTGTTTTTTATTTATATCCAACAACACATCAGTCATCATAAATATGTGTGAGCGTGTTTTTTGTCGGCGTTCGAAAAAGTGTAAAGTTGACAAGTTGTCGAGAGAAAAAGGCGGAAAATAAAGGGTCCCTTCTTCCCTTCCATTTTTTCGCCAAGTATATATTCAATTCTTCGAGTTGTCAAGAGGTTCAAGTTGACATTGAAATCCTATGACATTTTTTTGCACTTTTCTCTGAGATAGAGAGAGCCTCCCTGATTTTCCGTCATTTCCGATTAGCCGATTTTCCTCACATTAACTAATGTGAGATTAAAATTACAAATTCTTCAAAGGCTTGATTAGTATGTGCATTTTTTTCTCATTTCTTTTAATGTTTTTACTTCCCACTTGAAGAGCAGCAAATTGGTTTCACTTTTTGCTCTGAAAATTCTTTGTTCTCCCAAAAAAAATGTTGACCTCTTACTTTTGTGTTAACAAACTAGTTTATTTATTGTCAAGAACATTGACAAATAGCATGCGCTCAAAATTTTTTGTTTACTGAAACAAAAAGTTTTCTGCGTTTTTTTTTTTCAGCGCAATTTTTTGTGTGTTGACTTACTTGTCAACTGATAATTTTCTGTTTTGTTGAAATAGAGAGATTTATTCGAGGGAAATTAAATAAATAAAAGTAGGGGTATTTTTAGAAGGTTTGATGTTGAGATTTTTTATTTTTAGAGGATTATTGTAATGATCAGAAAATCAAGGTAAAAAATAGTTTTCAAAAAAAAATTGTTGAGAGAATTTTTAAATTGAAAAAATAATATGCTTCGAAAAGTAGCTGAGGATACTATTGAAATGAAATGATTGGAAATATTTTTCAAATTTTAATTAGTAGATGTATCATCCATATTAATTGGAAACTTGAATTCAAAGCCGGAAATCATGACAGATTTTGAAAATAATGAGAACTGATTTTGATGACGACACAAATTATAAATTTTTTGGAATTGAAACACTCAAAAAATTAGGGAAATGAAAAATGAACATTGAAAAAACGGTATTTTTCAGTGATCCGAACGGAGCAATTTAGTCCGATTTTGAATATCTGAAAATCCAATCCTATTAATCTAACCAAATTGAATTTGCGCAAATTTAAACCTTCTAAATCGAAAACATTCCGTCTTGGTTTTATGTTTGTTACTCTCTTCTTAATTTTTTTTTGAAGAAATTTGAGAACTTTTTTTTACCAAAAGTGTCCGTTTATTATACTCTCTCGATTATCAAATTGCAACATCTATTTTTCAAAATAGTTTTTGTTCTCACAAGTTCACTTCCAAATTCTAAACCCAAATGTCAGTCAAAAATTCTGATCTACCGCCTAATACCTTCGACTGGCAAACAATTGAGCAAAAAAAATGCACACATAAAAAAGAGTATTTTCCAACTTTTATTATTTACAGGTCTTGCGCAAATATCACTTCGCTTTTGGCACCGCCTACCCGCTTTTTTGCCAACAACTAAACAAAATAATTTTTGAATTCATTCGTTTCGCAAAAATGTCTCAAAAGTCCGCCGTTCTTCTTTTTGTTATTGTTTCTTTCATTCCAATTGTTGATTCAATTAGATGTTATGATTTCACAAGTACAAATATGGCTAAAACCAATATGAAGACTTGGGTGAGTCATTTTCCAACAGCAGCTAATCCAATATTTATTTCACACATATCTTTATGTATTTTCAAATTTCAGATCGATTGTCCAAGTGAAACACAATATTGTTATAAAAGTTATCTTGAAAGTCGCGATATTTCCAACGATAAAACTTTTGTTGAAGGAAGAGCCTGTGGAAGTTCGAATTTGTGCATTGTTCGTTTTTTTTGGAGAAGGGGAATCTTTTTGAATTCATTCAATTTCCTAAAAGCTAGGAGGTCGGAAAACGACTTTTCTAACTTGTAAAGATATTTGAGAAACGAAAATTAAATTTGGGATTTTTTTTTTGAAATGGAGAGATCACACTTCAAAATATTTTGAAGTTTGATGTTTTATTTTTAAAAATTTCGAAAAAAAATTAGTTGAAACTAGAAATGTGTGATTTAATCTAGAATTTTACCATTATTATTAAAATCAGAAAACCAACTAGAAAAGGAGAGAATTTCAAATTTTAAAAGATCAAATTGAGAAAATTGGAGTAGAGAAGATAGTTAGATTCTGCCAATTTTTTAAAATCTCTAATTTTCAGCAAAATGGATGTGTTGGAACAAAAACCGACAAAGCTTGTTGTTGTCGCGGTGATCTTTGCAATTCTTCATCGCTTTCCAAAATCTTCGCCTCAATCGTCACCCTCCTTGCTGTTTATTTCTTCAAAAACTAAAAAAAAACTCGAATTTCATCTCAGGACCATCCAAAGTGCACTTATATAATTATGTATCATTTTCGTCCTCATTTTGTAAATAAATGTTTCACTGTCCTTTCTATTTCTAAATTTATAAAAATGAACTGTTTATTGTTTGTTGACACAGCTTGTTCTACTAATGAATGGCACATTTCCAAAAAAAAAAGTATGATTTGAAAGACATCATCATCAACACCATAAAATAGAAAGAAAGAAAGAACAATTAAATATATATATGAAAGTATCAAACATCTCGTCTATTTTGTCTCCGCTTCTCTTTTTCAATAAATTCGCTATAATGTTCAGCCCATATTTTTTGCTGTCTCCACATCCAAATCGCAACACTTTCTCGCTGATGAACTGTGAATACACTTCCCTCAAATCGAGTTATCGGAATCAATTTGTCTTTATTGAAACTTCTTGTGACAACTGCAAATATTTTGATATGAAGTCGATCATGAAGTAGAATACTTTCTTTATCAGCATCATCATCAGAATAACCATCGGAAACTAAACAAAGCATTTGAATTCGATCATGTTTTGGAGTCGGTAAATATTTGTGTTTTTTCATAACCTTTTTCAAATTCTGTTCGTGATACATCAATCCACCAACAAATGCCAAAGCTTTCGATAATCTTGTTGCTCCTCCAGTATATGACAATCTCATAACTCCTTTTCGAACACTTTGATACGAATAATATTGATCAAAATTGAAAACAACTGAAGGATCCTGCGCATATTGAACCATGGCAACTCTTGATCTTCCGGGCGCAATATCAACATCTTTCAAAATCTCGCAGATGAAATTCTTTTGCTGAAAAATTGATAAATCAATTTTTTTTTCAATTCTATAAATTCTCTATCAAAACTTACAATATCAAAATTATTAATACCAATGCTACTCGAAGTATCAACTAGAAACATCAAATCAACAGGTGGAAGTCTTCTTGCAGGATGATCTAATGCCAAATGTGTTTTTCTGTTGATTTCTTCCTCATCCATTTCAGTACTCTCATATGTTCCAGAAGATGTTTCACTTGGATCTTCCGGAGCATTTTCTTCTTCTTCTTCCAAGTTTTCTTCAACACGATCATCAAGAATCAAAACATCAGTTTGAGTTTCTTTCACATCTTCGATTCTCGGCGAAGTTTCAACTCCAGAATCTTTCAAATAAACTATTGGCTCTTCTCGCCCCACTGCCTCCCCAAATCTACGTGTGTGTGTGGAAAAACGAAAAATGTCTGGCACGCTCTCGCAAACACACACTATCTCGCACACAACTTTTTACTTTTATTTCGCGAAAACAGTGCATATTAGGAGCTGATTTTTATGTGTTTTTCATCGGAACCACAATATGTGTTATACATAGTTCGAAAAGAGAATTTCTTCGGCTACAAACACATATGAAATGTTATAAATGAAACCGAGATAAAAAATAAAAATTTCATGCAAACATGACATGGTTTTTTTGAATTGTGTGAAAAACGCATGTGTTTTTTGATGACCTGGCTTATTTTTTGAATATCGAATATATGTATAATCGAGTCGTAGTTTTTTCAGAATCTCAAGGGCTTTCAGATGATGTAAATCAATATTTATGAAATTGTGAAATCATGGAGGAGTAGGGATTTTTCAGTAGTCAATTTTTAAAACGAAATTTTCATTTTCATTTGAAAGGAACTCGAATGAAGTTTACATTCGTTTTGAAGAGAATTTCTCGGGCTTCAAAATCATATATATTTCTATACACAAAAATGGAAATTGAAAGCACCGCTTTCGGTTGAAAACTTGTTGGGTTTGCACCAAACAAACAAACCGCGTTCAGTAGCGTTGCAAAAAACAGCGGTGAGTTTTCAACCGAAAGCGGTGCTTTCAATTTCCATTATTGTGTATAGAAATATATATGATTTTGAAGCCCGAAAATTCTCTTCAAAACGTATGTAAACTTCATTCGAGTTCCTTTCAAATGAAAATGAAAATTTCGTTTTAAAATTGACTACTGAAAAATCCCTACTCCTCCATGATTTCACAATTTCATAAATATTGATTTATACCATCTGAAAGCCCTTGAGATTCTGAACAAAACTACGACTCGATTATACATATATTCGATATTCAAAAAATAAGCCAGGTCATCAAAAAACACATGCGTTTTTCACACAATTCAAAAAACCATGTCATGTTTGCATGAAATTTTTATTTTTTTATCTCGGTTTCATTTATAACATTTCATATGTGTTTGTAGCCGAAGAAATTCTCTTTCGAACTATGTATAACACATATTGTGGTTCCGATGAAAAACACATAAAAATCAGCTCCTAATATGCACTGTTTTCGCGAAATAAAAGTAAAAAGTTGTGTGCGAGAGAGTGTGTGTTCGCGAGAGCGTGCCAGACATTTTTCGTTTTTCCACACACACGTAGATTTGGGGAGGCAGTGCGCCTAAAAATCTAAATTTCCAGTCAATTCCATAATTCATTTTACCTTTCCTTGATGCTGATAAGCTGCTTCCAACTGTCGATCCAATTGCATTTTCATTTGATCTTGTTGTTTTCTCAAATCCTCCGCATATTTTTCGCCATTCGATATTTGTTGCTGCATTTGTGTATGCAATTGTGTTGTGAAATATTCGTTCTGTTTTCTCAAATTTCTCTCGAGTTCGTAGATTTTCGCACGTAATTTGCGATTTTCTTCGTGATAAATGTAAATTGAATAAGCAAGACAAGCCAAAACTATCAAACCTAGCAGAATAATTGAACCAATGATAATCCAACAAAGTGGCCCAAATTTGGTAGAAGTATTGCCTAAAATTAAAACAAATCAGAAAATTGAAAAAAAAAATGAATCGGGTACATGGAACAGTCCAAAACGCTGTCTGCTCAACGTTTTGTCGATGACAACTTGTCGAATTCCAATTCAAAAAATTCCACCAAGAAATATCAGCAATTACTTTACTCATACAAACATTCAGCAGAGAAAATAAATGTCGTATAGTAGTTCAAAATTGTTTGTGTGTTTTTTTCAGGTCCCACATGGCAACCTCCGATGGTCCTTGACAACGCTCATTGGTGTATAAAATGAACGAAGGATTTTTCACCAATATTGGTGAGAAAAAAAAGTGTTCGGGAGTTGTCAAAATTCAGATTTTTAAAAACAGGTAATAAAGAATAATTTTTCTAGAAACTCATCGTTCTTGATTTTCTAAAAACAAAACTTTGATAGTTTCACAGTCCCAGAAGTGCTAAGACTTTTCAGATTGATTCATGTATCCCCATCCCAAATTATATCTGTAACCCCCATACCTTTTACATAACCATTAACACTTTGACATAAAGGAAGAACCAAATCGGGAAGATATTCAAAATCAATAACTTTCATTCCTACTGTATGCGCAGATGGTTCAAATCTTGAAACTCTCATTTGATTCCCAACCACAATATAGAAAACATGAAGTGGAGAGACTGGTGAAATTAATGGCTCGTTGCGCAACTGAAAATTGAAAAAAAAACATTTGCATACTCATTTACACATCTATGAAATCTTACAACTTCTTCTAATGGATGTTGACTATTTGAAAGGACTAGAATAACATCTGGCGTTGCTTTTCGATTTGAAGATGTCATTGCAGCTCGAGCAATTGAATTAATACTTGTTGGCTCACATTTATTATCTTCACATGGAATATATTGTAATTCTTGGATTCGTGATTCTGGATAAGATGTATTTGCCAAAGACATTCCAATAGATGCACCAGGTGTGAATTGAGCCAAAGCAATACGCGAGTTTGCCATTTTCATTGTTCCCATAACTTTTCGCAAAAAATCAACTTCTGATTGATGTTGGAAGGATGTGATATATTCTGTTGAATCCAAAATGAATAATGCATCAACATCTGGCCAAATACAGTTTTGCCAAGAATTTTTAAGAATCATGAAAAGTAAGAGTAGTATCGGCATCTTCCAAAAAATTGTATATATTTTTGTTGTGTGTGTGTTTTTTTTTCTGTTGCCAAGCTCCAGCCATTTTTAGTGTATAGCGCATTTTTTTGGATTTTGAATTATTTATTAGAAATGTAGCGAAACAATTTTCAGCTGTTTTTAAGTATAAATGTTAGTTCAGAACATAATCATAAAAAATGTCTGCAGACGAGGACGATTATGATTATGATTATGATATTTATGAATATTACATGTCAATGGGTGATTATTATTTTCCGGGATCATCCAACTTGGTCACAGAAAATATACTTAAATTTGATTTATTTTTTTGAGTAGGTTCTTTTTTCATGACTTTAGATTCGTATTTTCTGATTCAGAGAATACACAATTTATATATCTATCACTCATTTTATATTCGCCATTATAGTTTTGATTGTAAATCCAATTCATCTAATTGTGTTAACAAAGAAAAGTATGAGAACTGCGGCAACAAATATAATTCTAACAGCAATCGCGATATCTGATTTTATTTCTATGATCTTCATTATCTATCAGTTCTATGTTTTGTATATTGATTCAACGGATTTCACATGGTAAGGCACTTTTTTGCGAGTTTTGTATTTTTGTACTTCTTTGTTTTCAAGCCTTCCACCCAAATCTCTATTCCGATCCTATCTTTCTGCGACTTTCGATATAATCAATGATCTTCTTCGTCGATTCTCAATTTGGCTGATTGTCTCACTAGTTTCAATTCGAGCGATTTCAATAAAATTCATGATGAATTCAACAGTTACTGAATTTACAAATTTCAAATCAGGTATCATAACAGTTTTCATAGTTTTTCTCTTTTCAACTATTTTGTGTATTCCTATTATTTTGGTTACAACTATTGGACGCATGCCAGATGATTATTTGCTACCAGAAGAGTGTCTGAACAATCAAAGTTATCCAGAGTTTTATCGACTTCAGGAAACATATACAGTTGATATGAAAATTATAAGTTTTAACATTGAGTCGATGGTCGATGCATTTTTCTCAAAATATTTACCTTGTTTAATTTCTCCAATTATGTCAGTTTTATTGATTGAAGAATTAGTTCGTGCTAATAAACGACGAAAAAGTCTTGGAAACAATAAAGAAAAATCGGATAAAACTTCAAAGCTCGTTTTATATCAAACTCTTTCGATGATAGTTGCCGAGGTTCCAATTGGATTTTCGATGATGATTGGATCAATTTATGAAGATGATGTTGGATTTTTGTAAGTTTTCACCTGCATATCCTTTCTTTTTTTCTCTTAAAAATAGAAGTAACCTTTTTCAGAAAACTTTCTTATCAACTTCAAGATTTCCTTCAAATTCTTTTTGTGCTCAATTGTTTGTCACATTCTATGATTTGTTATTTGGTATCTACGCAATATCGAGAAGAATTTCGAAAAATTTTCAATTTATCGAAAAAACAGAAATCCATAGAACTAATAAATGTTCAAGCAAGTTCGATGAAAACAACAAATCTAACACAAATTCAGTGAGAAAATGTACTTTTTTTCAATTTCCTGTCGGACTTTTTATTTTTATATGGTATCTCTTGTCAAATTCATTTATTCGAAAATGCAGACAAAACTAACTATTTTCATCTCAAATATAATTTCAAATATCGGATTTTTCTCCGCAGTTCTTTCACAATGTTTGATGATTATTCTCGTTCATTCAATAATGCGAAAACGATTGGGACAGTTTATATATCTTTTGATATTTTCCACAATTTTATGCATTTGTTTTGAATGTTCACATATGATTGTACAACCTGTGAGTAAAATCTTGAGTATGAAAAATAACTTTTTTTTAAAATTAGTTCTTTCATAATTTCAATGCCGGTTTGATCTTCTTCACTTTCAACAAACCATTTTCTTCCGATTCTCCCTTTTCAATTGGGAATTCGATATTTCTTCTGTCCCATCCAACATTTTTCATGGCTTCAATTACAATAATCACTTTTCAACTTATCTATAGATACAATTGTTACTTCAAGTTAATCTGACTCTCAACGAGTTTTCATTCATAAAATTAATTAATTTCAGCACACCGTTTCTTCAATTTTTTCAAGGTTATCGAATCTTTGTTTGGTTATTGTTATCTTTACTTGTGGGAGTTGCATGGTCTTATGTATTATTTTTTTATATCAGTGAAGATGTTTTCAGCAGACGATATATGGGGTTTAAAATGAAATTGTGATTTATTTAAATTCATTTCTTTCAGAGTTGCTATGAAACTAAATTATAAACGTGAAATGGATGATATCACAAGTTTTTCTTTCATAGTTTATGATGATTTGAACAAAATTCGTTCAAGAATCATAAAATGCATGGTTTTTCTATCATTTATATTAATAACAAATCATCTTGTAATAATCACAACTTCAATTAAATTTTACACGCATCTCAATAAAATACATACAATTTATTCACAAAGACAACATAAAATGAATATTCAACTTTACAAAGTTTTGACGTTACATGTTGGTATTTTTGAAAAAAAAAGGAAACACATCTAATAGAACAATTTCAGATATTTGTTCCATCTCTGATTCTTTGCTTTCATTTTGTGAGTTTTTTCATCCAACCATTCATGAACCTTCATATTAATGAATCAAAGTGTATTTTATTGAGTTTTATAACAATCTATCCAACAATAAATGCCTTGATTTCAATTTTTATGATCCAAGAAATTAAGCAATATATTTTACTAATGGTTTTTGGACAAATTTCTATTGAACGATATGACACAACTGGACTTTGGACTTTTTAATTTCAAACACATTTTCTAAATAATGTATTTTTGTAATAAAATTGAAACATGTAAACAATGTAGTTAACAGATTTTGAAATTATGAAAAAAAGCCAAAGAGCTCACATTCACTAGAATTCTAGAAAAACAATTGAAGCAGAAAATCATTTTTCAAGTTGCCAAGGTTTTTTTTTCTAACAAATTGAAGAAACAAATAACAACATTTTTCAAAACTTTTTCAAGCGAATTGAAATTTAACATCGAAGTGTATCATTCTCCTCGAAGTTTATCATACTTCTCAATCCTTTTCTATCTCAAACTTACTAACAGGAATAAATTCGTTATGTTAGGACAACATTAGTATTTTGAAAATTAGGAAATTGAACTTATCTGAAAAATAACGATGTTTGGCTTTTGGTTGAAAGTTGCTCGATTTATATCGATTATTGGATATATTCTTACAATATGTTTCAATTGCCTCCTAATTATTCTAACTGGTTGGTATCTCAAAAGAAATTTCGGAACATACAAACAACTTATCATCATTTTCTCAGTCATTGGAATATTCTTTAATAGTATTGGAATTGTTCTGAAGCCGGTAAAACAGTTTATTGAAATTATTTTCCAAAACAAAATATAAGCATAGCTTTTACAGATGGTACATTCGGTTTCATCTGGTTTTTACTATTTTTCAAACATTGAAACCTCTTTGTTATCACCTCGATTACTGAATTCTCTATTAACTATCTATGCATCCTCATTTTGTATTCTAATCTCATTTCTAGCAATCATGTTCATTCATCGATATTTTTCTGTTGTCAAACCACAACAACTTGTCTATTTTCAAGGAAGAAGCTTAACTCTCTGGATTTTATACTCATGTTTTGTTGGCCTCATATGTTTCTGTGTTTTCATTAATCAAAAGGAGCTTGATGAATTCTCAAAAAATCAAATGTACAAAACAATTCTGATGACCTACGGAAAACCATTAGATAATATTGGAGCACTTGCTATAATTATTCAGGACAAAAATAAACTTCAATGGAGCAATGCAGGTCTTATGATTTTCTTAGCACTTATTATTCTAGTTCAAAATATTATAATAATTATTTGTGGCAAAAAAATTCACCAAAAAATCTATTGCAAAAATACAGTTTACTCTCAATCTCTTCGAAAATTACAAAAACAATTTTCAAAAACTTTGGTATTTCAAGTGATGACTCCCACAATTTTTCTATTTGTTCCAACATTGATAATAATTATTCTACCATTTTTCAATTTGGACACAAATTTCCCAACTGGCTTGTCTCTTTGTCTATTCGGACTTTATCCAGCTATCGATTCGTGTATTGTTATGTATGTTATAAATGACTACAGAATCGCAATCAAAGGTGAACATTTGTAGTAAATAATGAAATCAGAAATGAATTTTCAGAATTACTGGCACCTTTTAGAATTATTTGCAAAACAAAAAGACGCGACTCTGACTATGTTTTGAGAACAATCAATATTCAATAAAAACATGGCTTCCAATAATATTTATTCATTTCCAACTGTGTCTCAAATTATTAAAATAATCATGTTGAGATTGTGCAAGATTGATTGGCTTCCCTTTCAATGTTTTTATTTCTAGCACTTGATTTTTATGAAAAACCTGAAATATTTACCACTGAATAAAAATCTTCCTATTTTTCTTGACAAACCTTATCTCTGAAAGTTTTGTGACTGAAAAGAAATAAAGATGGGAAAATCAAATTATCAGAGTTCCAGAGAAGATTCCAATAAAGATAAAAATATGCTTCATCGTCTTTGAAATAAACTTCGAAAAATCAGAAGCCAAACAGTTAGAATAGAAATAGCTTTGAATATCAAACTTGAAAATATTGGAATTGTATAACTTCGACATAGTTCGTAAGACTGTGAAAGTTTATATCTTTTTTGAAGTGGAAGTGCACCTTGAGTTTTATAATAAACTTCTTCAGCAAAACATGAAAGGTACATCATAAGCTGAAGAAAAAAAATGTTTGACAACTTAATGAGACAATTGTACTCACCAAAAATGAAAAGAGTACTATTAGAGATATAAAAAACATTTTAGACACTGCAATTAAGAAAACTTCATCAGTGAATTGAGCATAGGTGACGAAACCGAAAAAAATCGCATTGAAAAACATTCCAATCAGAAAAATATATCTGTATTTTGAAGATGAATGAAAATGGATATATTTTATAGAAATTAGCCGATCTTCAAAAAATGAAATTGTTTTTCCTACAAAATTGTATGAGTCTCACCGATAGCTATTAGAAAAGGTGACATGACGGAATTGAAAGAACCGTAGCAATTGACAAATTTGAAAAATGTATTCCAATCAGAAGTGATACATTCATCAGTTTCGATAAATGAACCCATTGATAAACAACGTGAAATCACAAAACAATATTGAATTAATATCGACATTTGAGACGTGGAAAGGATGAATGATAAAATACGCGTATAACTATCAAATATGTGTTTCAAAACTGTAAATCGGAAAAATACACATTGAATTATAATTCCGGAAAATATAACTAAATAGTGTAAAAACAGCATTATCCACATTTGATTAATTCAAAATTCTGAAAACCCAAATTTTTTGAATTCTCAATTAGACATATGAAACACAAAATGAAAAATAAATCAAATATGTATATAAAAAATAATTAATTTAAATTTCATAGAAAAATGTCTCGTTAGTTTTATAATGATTCAGAACACTAGAAAATATATTTCAGATTCAAAAACTCAAGGAAATATCTAAACTCTTGAACAAAAATATATCATATAATTGAATTGAGTTTTTTTTGTTAACATAATTTGGAATTTGTTTTTCTCGATATCAAAGATTGAATTTACAATGAGCAATAAAATCAATTGAGAATCATAAATTAAACTTCCGATTTAGCAGAAATGAGTTAAATAAGATTCGGATAAATTCATAGTTTTGGACAAACTTACTTTGTAAACAAACATGACGTTTAATTATATCCGTTTCAGATTTTTTTGCAAAAAAATGTTCCGTTGCAATCTATAATTTTCCAACCTACGGAAAACAATAACAAAATCCATAAAAATCATATGAAACCACTAAAACCACACCGGAGTATTCTTTGCAATGCTGTTTTCTTGTTTAAAAAAATTTCGAAATTTTTTTAGTGTTAGCGGACTTATTGATTTTTGTGCTGAACTAGCCAAATTTGAACATTTGAAACACCAAAACCACCAAAAATGTACAATTACTTTTCTACCATTTGTACAATATCCGCTTGCTGTATGTGTTGCTCAATTTCAATCTGACCAATACCATTTTTTACAGAAATTTCCTTTCAAACTTTAATTTCCCACTTGCATAATTCTTTCGAAAAGAAAAAACTGAGCATTTGCGCCCCATTTATAATTACTCACAGGGACTCAAATCATTATTATACATTTTCGAGTGAATAGAATGTAATTAGAAGAGATTTAGAGTACATCATGTTTGAGCAGCGTTGAATTGAAATACGGCGGAGACATGGAATACAATTTTATTCATAAGTTTGATGCAACATCTTGTGAAGGAATAAATGGGGTACGAATTCAAGAAAAAATATTTTTTTGCATACAAAAGTGTAATCAAGTTGAAGACAATAACTTGAGGACAAGAGTATTTCTAAAAATGTTGTATTATTGTGTCATTTTTGCCAGCCTGTTATTAGGTAAACATTTCCAGTTTTTTTTCTCATCTGAATCACTTCCCATTTTTTCTAATACACTATTACTGATTCACAAGTATGAATCACGTTGTAATTTCTTACTTTTTAAAGGGCAGACAAACGATCATAAAGTCATACTTGATCAAACTAGAAAGAGTTCAATGCATGAAAAATGGGAAAATTTCTAGAATAAGTTTATCATTTTCAACAGAACATTCAAAATCTGAAATTTTAAAATCTGTAAGATGAATCAGTGGAATTCTCAACCAATCATTTCCTGACATCATATTTCTTCCACCACATAAAGAGAAAAAAAGAAGATAGACACCAAAAGACAAATTGCACTCTATGAATAAGTCGGAAAGAACAAAAGGGAAACCAAAACAAAACTGCGATTTTACTTGTTTTTCTATTCAGGGAAGAATTTGTACTTGCCATAGAAATCATATACATTGAAAAATGTTATTACAAGATGAAAAATTATTGTAACTAGAACTTATGTATTTCAAAATTTGTAACAACATGTTCAAGTTGATAAAAATACAGTGAAGTTATATAAACTTCAATTTTTTGAACATTTGATTGGTGAGAGTTTAGTTTAGTTGACAACAGATTTTGAGAATCTTGAATTAAAAATATTATTTTTCAAATATATCGTTTTCTATAATCTCCAGACGCGTTTGGGCTTAACTTCAATTATATTGCTCTAATACCATAATAGGCATCTCTTTATGGTCCGCTACCGCTAATATCTGTTGCAGATTATCCCTTTCACCATTTCCGCTTTCCAATTTCTCCAATTCTCCTCCACCACCATATGCGCTCGTTACTGATGAGCAAACTCGCCCTACCTCATTCGCACGTCCCTGTGGTCGAATATTCTTCCCCTTTTCTTTATACTAATTTCGAAAATGAAAGGTGTGAGAGAAACAAAGTTGTTTTGTTGAATGAAATATTAAGGTTAAGTAAGAGGTTGGAAAAGAAGATGCTTGTGATAAAGTTGAAATCAGGAAGTTTTTCTTCGAAAGGTGAATACGGTCTGGAATGAAGCAGCTATGGGTACAGTATCGAATTTCGAAGAAAAAAACCAGTAAACAGTGAAAAACAACAGCGTCTGTCCAATTTGTATTTTTGCCTGTCTAATTTAGAAGATTTTTTCGAGCTCTTCTCAAATAACCCTTACAGTATATGACAGAAAAGGAAGCTTATTCGCACCCGAAACCAAAAATTGTTTTGGGTGATGCCAAAACAAAATCGAATCTTTTGTGAATTGCGTAAATTAGGTTTACAAAATAGTTCCGAAGCACCAAGGAAAGAGTCTGTGAATTCAAAATGTTGGTTCGTACGTACAATTTCGATGAGTTACTACTTTTTCATCAGAATCAATATTCTAGGTGCCTTTCGCTTCTTTTCGGGTTATTTCTAACAGGAGTTCAGAGAAAAAACTGAGCGCGAAGTCACGAGAATCCAGAAGGAGGAGCCGGTGTTAGCCGGCGGAGCCCTTCTGGTATTTTCGAATTAGAAAATCCTATACCATCAAGTGTAATTCAAAGCTTCATCTAATGATTTGAACATAATAATGTATAAACAAATTTCGTTTAACATCAACAGTAATTATGTATATAAAAAACTTTACCCCATATTTTTCAATGAAACTCTAATCTCACCTGTTAGTTTTGTTCCCCCCCCCAAACCTCAAAATAAACTAACTTGACAGGCCCGTTCCGTGAAAAGTTGTTGATATCTTTGAATGTCCTCTTCAAACGAAACATCTTCTTTTTCGCAAGCCTGCAACTTCTACATTCCTTTTCTCAAAATTTTCGCCTTTTCTTAAACTTACATCAGAAAATGGCAATTGTGGATTTGATGAGACCGCTGCATTTTGTGACGGTTGTCTCTAAAAAAAAAATAAGAAAATTGAAAAATGTGCCAAACCACCCCATTAATAACACTTTCTGCGCTGAAAAAACCCACTCAAAAACCAGAAAAAAAGCAAAAAATAGAAATGTCATGCAAAAAAAAAATAAAAGCAAAGCAACGATACTCCGCGTGCGCTGTGTTTAGCGTGTTTTTTGTTTGTTTTTTGCAGGGTAGATGAGAGAGTGTGGGAAATGGAGAGAGGGTTAGAGATAGAGAGCGATATGTGTTGTATTTGAAAAGAAATAATTGATTGAACGTTTTTTTTAGTTTTTTTTCGAACTGAATCATTTTTCTGATTTTTGAGTGGTTTTTTTCAGCGCAAAAAGTGTTATTAATGGGGTGATTTGGTACATTTTTTAATTTTCTTATTTTTTTCAGAGACAACAGTCACAGAATACAGGGATCCCATAAAATCCACAATTATCATTTTCTGATGTAAGTTTAAGAATAGGCGAACATTTTGAGAAAAAGAATGTACAAGTTTCAGGCTTCCGAACAAGAAGATGTTTCGTTTGGACAGAACATTCAAAGATATCAACAACTTCTCACGGAACGGGCCAATCAAGTTAGTTTATTTTGAGGTTTGGGGGGAGGAACAAAACTAACAGGTGAGATTAGAGCTTCATTGGAAACATACATAAAATGAGTCCCCAGAATCGGGGTGAGGGCTACGGGAATTGGCGCAACTCCGGCGCATGTGTTGCGACAAAAAACGTGTACAGTATCAAATTTTGAAGAAAAAACCAGTAAATAGTGAAAAACAACATGTTTTTGTTCCATGTTGCTGCTCCTGATCCACTTTTCCAGTTTTGTTTCTAACAAACGTTGTCCAGGTTTCTACAGTCTGAGGAAAAGTCATATTCCATGAAAAATAGTTTGCACTTCTAATGATAATTAAAATCATTCCTGGTAATTTGAAAATCTTATTTGTTGAGATGTTTTCAGTTCAAAAGTTATATCTGCACTATTCTTCATACAGTTTCCTTGTTTCGAAAATATACGAAAACACAGACGCGTTGTAATAAATGTCACATTTTTGAACAATTCGTCAGATTTTTAAAAAATCATTCCACAATTGTCAGATTCAAAAGTGTTTGTCGATTTTGTACAGTTCCTTTCAATTTTCATAATATTCCTCGTCCGTTATATTTCTCATGTTTATTAGAAAACCCCTCAAATTGAGTGTAGTTGTGAAAAGGCAATCCCTAGGTGGCTGATTAGAAGAGACTCCATTTGTAATACTTTTTTGTTTTTATGACTAACAAAAAATTCGAAAAAAAGATGATATTCGATTAAAAAATCATGTGCAATTTTTGTTTTGTTATACAGCATCAAGGAAGTTTTTTCTGGAAATTTCGAGAATGGAATTTGAGTGTTTGATTTTGGTAAAATTGAAAAACTGATAGTTGAAAAAAAAGTTTTACATTGATATTCGATGCTCCCGGGGGTGGGGAACATGGCCTCACATTGTCCTCATGTTGGCTTTGGTGGTAAGAACATAAGCCCTGACAGGTCCAAGTGAAAACCTGGCTACCTGTCCTGTCCTGGACAGGTTCTTTTTTTAGTTGAGAAAAAACAAGCCGAAAAAAGAGGAGATCGCATTTTAATTTTTTTAATGCAGAAAAAACATTTCTCTGTTAATTTTTTTTTCACGCGAGGACAGGTTGGGCATATGGCTTTAGGACAGGTTCAAGCGATGTTTGAGCCAGGACAAGTTTAGGCCATGTTCGAGGATAGGACAACATGAGGCCATGACATTTTCCCCACCCCTGGATGCTGCCATCTTCTTAATAAAATTTTCCAAAAGTACAGTTTCATAAATTTCCGACTAGATTCTGTTTCACCCAAAAATTCCCAGTCTTCTCGAAATGCGCGAAAAGTGCTCCATCGCGCACTATGTTTTACTCACAGGGACCTTTCGTAATTATACTCTCTAGACGAAATATAATGTAAGAAGAGAGGTTAGACATAGAAAGGTTTAGAAGCAGTAGGAAAAAGGCAATCAATCGAAAAAAAAGGGCGGAGCCTAAAAGAATGAGAGTTGGTAGTAAGAATGACGTAATGCGATGTAATTCAGGATTGTAGAAATGGACTTGATGAGTCAAAAAGCTTTTTGTAAACATTATTTTGACTTGGACCAATCTTATCAGTAGAATATCAGGAGCTCCTGATATTCTACTCGGGTCTCATAATGATGGTGTTAGTAGAATCTAATTGGTGTATTGGTGGAAAGTTTGATACCACCAAAACTATTCCCCTAAAGATCAGGATTGTCCCACGGATGGCTTGTCAAAATAAATTTTTCCAGAACATTATTATCTTTGATAGAACATTCCCGTTTTAAACACTAAAAAAATATGTCTTATCAATTGAATTTTTTGTTTTGGTTCTCTAGAAGAAAACGGCTTTGATCTTCAATTTCCAATTTTCCCAAGAGCTTTTTCCAAAAACAAAACAACAAAAAACAATGACCTTGCGAAATGTTTATATTATCTTTTGCCAGCAGCTGCCCTTTTTCTTCCATTCTTTTATTTTTCAAAATGAATCGTTCGTTTTTTCTCCACTTCTATTTTTTCTTCGTATTCTGTGTTTTCAAGATCAAATGTGATGATTGTCCAATTGTTATCACAACTTGGGGTTCTTCCGGCTTTGAGCAAGCAACGAAAAAAGGTTTGAGAATGGATTTTTAAATACAAATTAATAAAATTTCGGTATTTTGCAGCTGTGGAAGTTCCAGGTGATAGAACTTTAGCATTGGTTACTGGGTTGAGTGAATGTGAAGCTTTGCAATGTGAAACAACTGTCGGATTTGGAGGATCTCCAGATGAAAGTGGTGAAACCACTTTGGATGCAATGGTCATTGATTCGTGAGATTTTTATTAATTTTTAACAATTATCTCTCAATTAATATACATTTTCAAATCCAGAACTAACATGAGCATTGGAGCAGTTGCAAATCTTCATCGAATCAAAGATGCCGCAAAAGTTGCTTGGGATGTTATGAAACATACAAAACATACACTTTTAGTTGGTGAAAGTGCAACAAAATTTGCGATTCAAATGGGATATAAGGAAGAAGATTTATCAAATAATGAAACAAAATTATGGATTTCTGATTGGAAAAAAGCCAACTGTCAGCCGAATTTTTGGAAAAATGTTGAACCAAATCCAGCATCGAGTTGTGGACCTTATAAACCAATTACAAAACTAGTCGAGGGAACTTCAGAAAATGTTGGCTATGATCCAACTGAGTGAGTATTTTTTAAAAGAAATATTCAAATAAATTATAAAATGTTTTGCCTAGAAATCCCTCACATTTGTCTCACTATATTTTATTGTGAAAAATTGTAAACATCTATTCAACATTCTCACAAAAATTATTTAATTTTCTCATTTTATTGTAGAAGATTTCAAACAAGAAATTTTGTACAATTTGTCATTTCAAAGTCAACATTATTTTTCTAGTTTTCCCACGTTAACTTTTATTTTTCAGAGTAAATCATGATACAATTGGGATGGTTGTAAGAAGCAGTACCGGATTCAGCGCTGGAACATCCTCAAACGGAGCTCGTTTCAAAATCCCCGGACGTATTGGAGACTCTCCAATACCAGGAGCTGGTGCTTACGCAACAGAACTTGGTGGGGCTGCAGCAACTGGAGATGGTGATATTATGATGAGATATCTTGCTAGTTTCGCTGTCGTTCAACAAATTGAAATTGGCACGAAACCAAGTCGAGCTACATTAAAAGTGATTGGTCGGATTTTGAAAGATTATCCAAATTTCAAAGGCGGCATTGTTGCGATGGATGCGAAGGGAAGATTTGGAGCTGCTTGTGCAAATTTTCCAAAATTTCAGTTTGTCCTTGGCTTTGCAAATGGTACAACAATTGTGAAATCTGTTCATTGTAAGAAGTGATTTTTTGCCAATTCATAAATGTTTTTCTTGCTTCTTCCCCTTTCTATTTTTTCTACATCAAAACAAAAAAATTTGTGTGCACCTGGATTTGATTTAGTATTCAGGTAATCCGGATACAATTTTTGTTAACATAAGATATAACCCCGAATTGTATCCGTTATATAAATGTTTTTTTTTTCCTAATGAGAAAAAACTCGTGTCAACGAAAAAGAAGAGGACAACCAAAAATGAATGAATCATGGGTGAATCATATGTGCAAAAAGTTAACAGAAATTGTTGGTAGCTGACCTTTCAAATGATGAGGAAACATATTATATTTTATGAGAGAAAAAAAAAAGTATATTTCCCCTTTTGCTATCAAGAAAAACATACGTTTCAATTAAATCTTGATACATTTGGAGTATTTTATTATTTATTATTTAGTCGGTGGTATAATCTCTCTTTCTGCTTCCAGGTGTCGGGAGAACCTGTGAAACTAATATAAGTATATAATTTGGACGGATAAGACCCTTCTCCTTTTTCTCCCTTTTTCGAATTATAATAATTATAATTTCTTTTTGCACATTTACCGAATCTTCTTGCACAATATGGAAGTGGATGATTCTACAAAATGTGTACTTTTCTCTCGAATATATACCGATGAGGATTTGAAAGCATGTGAGAGTTTGAATAACAATTATAAATTAGTCAGAAAGAAATGATGATTTTATTTTACGATTTTTTATCATCAAAAAGTTAGATTTTAGGCAACAACTAAAACTAACTTTGCTAATAACAACCTTCGTCATAAATGTTGCATCCAAAAATAGAAATATTAAAATTGGATGAAACCTAACATAATAAGGAAAACGTTCCAGGAGCCTCCTAGAAACAGGGCGGAGAATCATCTGTCGACGAACTGTAGGAAAACTGTTTGCGAAAATTTTTCTGGAGAATAGTACAGGTCCCAAGGTTGTCCAAGAGTTCTCCAACAAGTTTTTTTCTTCAATGTTCCACCGCCTGTTTTTCTGAAAACTCCAAAACAGAGGACTCGGGCAAAAAGAATTATTCCCGCGCGGGAGTCATTTTTCATGCAACCAAACTTGGATCATATTGTTTTCCATCACATTCCGAACATAAATATATATTTTGTTTGTAGTTTGACACATTACGTGAGATTTCAGATATATTTTCCAAAAAGAAGGTTGATTCATCAAATTCATGAGCCAGGTGTCCCTTGGGTACTTATTAATTCGTGTTTATTAACAGAAATGTGTGAGTTGTGGTTGTAGTATAACATTTTACTAACCTCAAATTCTTGCTCTTGATTATAGGTTTGATAAATGGATGACGTGAGTGATAAACTTTGTTGAAAGCAAAAATGTTGGTTAGATGTTTGACAAGTTTAGAACTGGATAACTCATTTTTTAAAAGAGGATATTAGAGTCTTTGAAAAATATAGACCATTTCGATTAAATTTGTACAACTTTAAGACGTTTTGGTACTATAGATCGCAAGCAATTCAACCAACTATTTCTTCTGTTTTACTCGGCCAAAAATTGTATTATAAGAATTTGTGGAAAATTGGAAAGATAGTCAGAATGGGCGCGAATGAGGCGAGTTCCAAACGAGCCCGAATACCTGAGACAATCTGCCCAAACTGTATAACTATTCCACCCTGGCTATTTTCTGGGCAAGCAACTATTTCTAACATCCAATTCTTAGAATTTCATCAGGTTTTGTCAACCTTCTAATTAAATGGACTTTTCCTATTCTTGCATAATTTTCTGAACCTAAACATTAACAAAAAAATGTTAATCGAGAAACAAAAATAACGATGCAATAGATTTTCGAATTTTCTACACATACGTTTAGGTCCAGGTGTCTTCCATTTGTGTTTCTTTTGAATAAAGAAACGACTAACAACATTTTACATTTATTTCAATTCAAAGCTTTCTTTCGATAACAAATGAGTAAATCTAAAAACGAAATATTTTCAAAAAAATTCTTCTCTTTGAATTTTCCAATTCACAGCTTTTTAAACAATAATACAATATCTCCTCCAAAAGTCTAAAAGTATTTCATAATCGTTTCCCCTTTCTGTTGCCAAAATACAAGCAACAACAATTGATTTTCTCTTCTCACCCTGCCGCCCGGGAAGAAGAAGCACAAATGTTTTTTTCTTCATTTGGTTGATCATTTTTTTGTTATTCCGTCGGTTTCTCAGAAAAATGATTTAGTTGAGTATAAACTACGCGCAAAAGCATAACAAAGCCTTTCTTCTTTTATAACTTCCTTTTGACACCATGTGCACTTGTATATCATCATCATCTGTTTCACCGTTTTTAATGTGACTGAGGATAGCGATATTTACAACTCTCACAATTTTTTTTATATGAACGTTGATTGCCTTATAAACATTTTTTTTGGAATAAATATATAAGTTTTTGTATTTTTCTTGTTTATACCCTTTTTCCGAAAATTATACTAGACTTTCTTTCATTTTCTTTTTTGTCTGGCTTGATTTATCATATGACTTGCTTCCCTCTGTATTCTGATGACTTGGTGCAATTTTTTTGATGCTAGAACTTTAGTTTTTGAACTCATATTGTCCTGCAGAAGCAATTAATATACTTACAAATATTTTTAATACATTAGGAAATCCCAGGATATTTACAGTTAACCCAAAAATTCATTTTATTTGTACACTACTTCAATATATGCGTTTTTTGATTTCATATTTTAATTCTATATAATTATCTGTTGATAAATTCAAAACCGACAAAGCTACGAACTCTTGCCAAATATTTCATTTTTCTGAAAGAAAAACTTAAAACAAAAATGATTATTTGTTTAGATTTTTGACCAAAAGAAATGATTTTATCGATTATTTGTTTTTAATTTTTTCTAACGTATTAGATTTCTAACAAAAATTACATTGGCAAACTGCCAACTCATTGTTTTTTATTTCATTTAGAAAAAAGGAAAACGAATACGTGAACTAGGTTTTTTCCATTCATTCTGATAGACTTTATCTGTCATTTCTTCATTTTTCAATCCACCAAACATGTCGGGAGTTTTTCTTTGCTGCATACATAGTGAAGGTTGAGCGGGTAGGTTTTAGGGAGAAGTCTTTCGAAAACCCAAATGTATTCAAAAGGGTTGCCGATAATCAAGGCCAGGTTTCTCAAAGCTTTTGTGTTTTCAAAATTACTGAATATTTGAACAAATGCATATAGAACATGATTTTAAAGTTAGTTTATCTGTAGTTTCACCAGAGCTAATAGTGTTTCATAGAATATTCCACCCATCCCAAAAAATTGTTTTTTTTTCTGGAGTTTTCCAAAGCTTCTAATTTTTATTAACAAATAATCGACAAATTTTATTCAGTTCCCACCAACACCGCCACTTTGTTTTTCTATATTTTTTTCGAACCTCATTCCATTTTCGAGACATCTGTCAATGTTTCTCCAATAAATGTACGTTATTTTCTTTTTTTTTCTGTGCATTGAGAAAAGTTGCCGTTGCCTATTTTATACGCCTAACTTCTTGTCATTTCCTGTTATATTTTTGTATCTCTCGCTCCCGCACCATGCCCCTTCTCGCCCCTTTTTTCATCGCTTTCGTCGTCGAAAAACACTTGTGCCCCGCCTTTTCTTTGATCATACATACTATTGGGAGGCCCACACACCACATTCAAATGGGCGGAGCCAAGGAAAACAGCGAGACGAGGAGGTGAAAACATATTTCATTATTTTCAGTTTCATTTCGGTTTTATCCGCTGGCTCTGCTCCTTTCATATTTTATCAAATTTCTTGCAACAACTTGATAAGGGGTTACTGTAATTCAAAAATCTTACGGTTAGTTTCGTTGTTTATTAATAATTTTCACGTTACTTGTTAGAGATTTATTTTATGTATTTTCTTGATTCAATTGTTCTGGTTATTGAAATAACTCTCTAAATCTTTCTGAAATCTGATTTGATTGTATTGTTAATTTGATGGCTTTGTTTCAAGTTTACTTTGCTTTTCTGAAGTTATTTTTTCTGATCAAAACTTTTTTGGTAGTTTTATTTTCATAGTGTATAATTTATTATCTGAAATTGCTAGGTCTCAAATTTTTTCGAAACTTTTTGAGGTAGATCACGGAAACTTGTTCTTTAAATATTTAACTTTTGCATTGAATTTCACTCCCCAAGATTTTCTTAGGTTTCGAAATATGGAGAAAATTTTGTAGGTAGTAAAATAAACTCTGCATTTTTCACAACTCAAAAATTCGAATATGTAGGATCTTTAAACCCGACAGAAATAATTCCAAACTTTCTGGAATTCGAATGAAATCTCCCATAAACAATGATTCATCGCTGTTATTGATTTCTCTACGTCTCTAACAATTCTGATCTGGAATCTTCTAATTGTCTAACACCCTCCAAGTTTTATCATTGCCCTTCACTCCTTCTGTTATCATGTGATTCTTTTCATTTCTCTAACTTCTCTGTTGACTGAATATTGATTTTCTCTCTTTCTCTAACCATAAAACAATCAATCGATATTTTCCTTTACATATTACTGTATTACCGTATTTTTTCATTTTAATTAATTGTTATTCAACATTAGTTTCCAATGTTTCTTTTTGAGTCTCTAACTTTTTGATCTACTAGATGTTCATTATGGAAAACCTAAAAATTTCTGAAATTATATTTCTGACCTAATTCACTTTCTAGAATTTAATAATACATAGCAAGGCTTCTAGTTTAAACTAATTGATTACCTTTGCATCCCTAACTCAACTTCCATGAATATTTTCTATTTAGAATTATCTGACATTATGTTACTTTTTCATCTACAGTAATCCATACCTTGTTTGTTTAACAAACGGCTTTTTGGAAATGTGTCTTTTTGTTTTCAAAAGAGTCAGGAGATAGAAGAAAAAAGAGAGGAGAAACAAAAAACAAAAAAGTAGCCTTTTCAATTGTAAGGGAATTGAATAAGGTAGTTTTATATATAAGGTACATTTTTAAGAAACAAGAAGAAAAATAAATCAATATTGAACTTTTACAAACTCGCAATAATAAGCAACAGTACTATTTTTGATTAGAAAACTAATTGTAATATAAATTTTGAACAAAAACAACATTTCACAAAAACAGTTTCATATTTTTCGTTTGAAAATTTTTTACCTGAACTCATATTTCAATCAAACAACCCTTCAACCTATTCCTTATTGTCAATTAATTAAATTATGGTATTAATATTTCTCTTCTCACATTTGTCTCCTCTTTCCCATTTTCCTCTATACCTGACTTAATTTGCGTGGGTTATATTATATAATCCGACACAAAAACATATAAACAATAACCAATTAATTTTCAGATTCACAAATTGAAAAAAAAGAAGCGACAAGAAATAAAAAAAAACGACGACGAGTGCAAAAAAAAGATGGAGGTTCGTTTTTGAATCTCATTGACAAAACAATAGAAACATCAATCAAATTTTTGTGTTGAGAAAGATCTTTTCCGAATTTAAATTGGATTTGGTACATTTTTTAATTTTCTTATTTTTTAGAGACAACCGTCACAAAACGCAGGGGTCCCATCAAATCGACAATCGTCACTGTCTGATGTGAGTTTGAGAATAGGTGAAAGTTATGAAAAAAAACCATGTAGAATTTTCAGGCTTCCGAACAAGAAGATCTTCCGTTTGGACAGAACATTCAAAGAGATCAACAACTTCTCACGGAACGGGCCAATCAAGTTAGTTTATTTTCAGGTTGGGGGGGGAACAAAACTAACAGGTGAGATTTGAGCTTCATTGGAAAATATTGGGTAAGGTTTTGGTTCATAAATTACTATGTTTAAATCATTGAAGGAAACTTTGATTTCACTTGAAAGTATAGAATTTTCTCATTCAAAAAAATATGTTTTCCTGTAGATCAGTTTCCAGATCTTATTGAAGTATTTGAACAACAAACCGTGAAATATTTCATAGGTAGATTAATTTTTTCATAGTTTTGTGCACGCGATTGCCAAATTTCCAGTCTTGAACTTATTTTTTTCTTTCATAATCTATGTCAAATTGAACTTCAGAATTTCTAGGTTTATCAAATTCAGTTTCACAAATCTTGTTGATTTCAAAGAATCCACGTTTCCAAAGATCCGAATTTAATAAACCCAAACTGCAAAACTAATATAAGTATACATATCTCGTTTTTTTTTCTAAGAAACCACTAATCCTGAAAACTACAAATAAAAATGCCAAAAATGTATTTTTTAACAGATTCAAAAAAATTTGAAGAACGTTGAAGTTGTTCTTAGAAGAATGTATCAAAGAAATAACGCTGAGTTGGAAGAATTCAGAAACTTGATTGCGGAATTCGAAAGAATTCATCATGTTCCCCCACAACTTGAATGACTTTCATATCATGCACCTTTTTTCGTTTTTTTTTGATTTCGGTCTTTTTTTTTTATAATGTTATTATTCTGTCAAGTTCGCGTGCGAATTTTTTTCTTTTCTTTTATTTTTGTATGAAAAAATCCACATAATCTTTCCACCGTATTTTTTTAGTAGCTCTTTTACATTAGTCATTTTCACCCACACTTTTCTCATTTCATTTTATTCTAATGGATTTGAACATGAGCCATTAGATCTTTTTAAGTACTACTTTCATTATTCCTTTTCCTCCCATTTTTTTCTCGGCTGAACCTTAAATTCGTCAAATTTATTTTTCAGCCGAGAAGAAGTTATTGTCTCAAAATGGGAATAATGAAGTGTTTTGTTAAAGTTTAAATTTAGGTTTTGTTTTGAATGTGTTTCTCTGAACACTTCAATATTTCATTTCAAAAAATTAATTCAAGTGTTTTTAGATCTATTTTAAGATTCAGAACCTGATGGAACGTAGCTGGAATATGGAAAGAATTAATATTAAATTTGAGTTCAACAAAATTTTACTCGAATTAAAGAATATCTTGTTGGATCGATGTGAGGTATGAAAATCATTACGTTTCTAAATAACAAAAAAAACTTAAGTATTTTTTTTCAGATAGCAGGACGCGATATCAATTCTTATGCTACTCAAGAGTTAAGAGAGTATACATTAGAGGTATACCAAGAATACGGTTGTGATTATAAAAAACGAAATATTTTTCAGAGAATTACTAGGGATCAAATCAATTATTTGATTGAAAATGTTGAACGACTTATGTCTGATAAACATGAAATTGTGGATGTTGAGAATCAAATTGAGTTTGCTCAAATGACTGGAAGAGAAACTATTTCACTCGTAGACAAATGGGAAACTTTAGATGAAAAATTCCAAATTGATGTTAAAGCTTTTTTAGAAGATTTGAGAAGTATTTTCATTAAAAATTATTAACTTTCCCAGATGTTTTTTGTTGTTGTTAAATTTCAAAGTTACGCGTCTCACACGCTATCAAATACCTGTATCTCTATGAAAATAGAAAAAAAATCAAATTTTTGAGAAAAATGGCTGAAAATCTTGGCGAGCTTCTGGATGAATTACAAATTGATGATCAATTGCGGCAACAATTGGAAGCTCCAAGAGTAATCAATCATTTTTCATTTGAAATCTAATAATTATATATTTTTTCAGGTTCCAATAAACATCGATGATTACAACCATGGATTTATGAGAGGTCTATATTGGGAAAAGGGCGTGATGCCTCATCCTATAGATTTGCTCATTCGAGTTCCACAGAACATTCAAGATTTCTCCACCGGGTTTATCGATGGAATGAACTTTTGGATAGAGAATTTCGATTTTTCATCAGATGACGATGATGAAGAAACATCGGTTAGTAACTAAAAATATGTAATATTTTTCAAAAAGGAAGTGAATAAACTCATTTTAATTTTTCAGGATACGGAGTCAACGAGAGCAGAAATGGCAGATAATGAAGATGAACCATCAAGTGAAAATGACGAAGATGATCCAAATGGCAATGAGCAAGTTAGTTTGAGAAAGGGTTGGGAGTTTAGTATAGTGGGTGAAGAAGGGTTACTACTGAGAGGGAGGGGACTGGGATCTGGGGATGAGATTTTTTTTTGAGAAAAGGTAAGGCTTGATTTAGATTTTTTGAACAACCTTGTGAAATCAGGTGTACTTTTCTCAATTTTATTCGGAGAATTGAGAAGTAATTTGAAAGTATCCTATTTGAGCAAAACACAGGTTGGGGCACGAAAGTTGTAGTTTACAACTAGAATTATTATTTTTAAAATTGGGAAAAATTAAATATTTCTAGGACCTTCCCAATGACCCAAATGCTCCTCATAATGACAATTAGATCTTCACTTTTTCATCGTGCTTTTTACATTTTCAAACTGTTTTGAAAATAAAGCTTGGCACGTTTTTTTCATTGTTTCATTTGTTTTTTGAGCGTTTTCTGATCGCTGATTCATTTTGATATATCATTTTAGTTTTATTTTTTCATTGGATTTTTTAGATGTCGGATTCAGATGATTTTCGAGATATTGACCAGGTTGGCCCATCAATTTTTTACCTGAAAAACATTGTTTTTTAGGTTTCGAACGATTCGGGATCATCATTCAGTGATGATACCGAAACGGAGCAGATGATGGATTTTATTCAGAATTTCTTCATCAGAACTCTTCGTCGTCATCAGTATCCGCCCTTGAGTGACGGGAACATTATACGTTTTGTATGTTTGATGATTGCAAAATCATTAGATCAGAATAATAATGTTTTTCAGAGGCCGCCTCCATACCAAACTCAACCTCTCGATTTGTCTGAGGCCAATAAAGAAAATATATGTAAATAACATATAGTTGGAATGTTTTTTAGCTTTGTTTTTTTTTGTTGCTCCTTATATTATCTCGGTGCTATTCGCATAAAATTTTGATTTTTTAAAATTCTCTTAATTTCCATTGTTTAATATGTGGTTTTATACCGCTTTCTGATACTTTTTTTAAAAATCGATTTTCTAATACATACATTATTCACAGATATTATTCAGGAAAGCTATGGATTCAGATAATCAGGTAAATTTTCAACCACCCCCTCCTTTTTTTCGAAATCTTAAAGTTTTTAGGCCAAATCACCTCAATGGAAGAAAATCAAATTTTATAATGATCCAATGGATGTAGAAGATCTACATAACAGGATGGAATTCTTTTCCATCGCATTGGAAAATTTTGAAAGCAATACCTCATCGGAATTTTATTCCGACAAGATCAAAATTTTCAATTTGGATATCATTTTCTTCCCAATCGCTGATTCTGATGTTATTGAGCAGAACCATCCAGTTAGTTTTAAAATTTCACAAAATTTTCATATCATTACATAGCTCTTTTTATTAGCTATGGAACATATTTCTGGCAAATATCATTGATCTTTGGAATGAAAGTTCGCTTCGTCGAAGTGTGGAAGATAATGAGATCGCCAAACTTTGGTGGTTTCAGAATTATTTCCACAATCGGGTTGGTTTTTCATTTCTCTTGAATGGGGAAATTGCGCTGGCCTCACGCTGTCCAGCCCCCGTAGACCTGTCCTGATCAAAAAAAATATTTACTGAATTTAATTTTAGGATTGGCTGATCAATGGTGAGGTCCCAAGTCTTCTTCTGTTCCGAGAAACGAATCAAGATGATGGTTTCCAAAATCTTTAAACGCCTTTTTATTCACATTCAATTTATTTCAAAAATTCTAGTCAATCTCAATTTCACATCTAAGTCTCGCTTGTTTTCATTCTTCTCACAGTAAATCTCTTTTATCAATTCAATTCTAAAATATCTATTTCTTCAAGCGTTGTTTTCACGCTCTAACTTATTTTTCATTCAAAAAAGTTTCACCAATGTTTTAGAATCAAACCATCAATTTTTTATCTCACAGTCAGCCATGGAATCTAATGTTGGATCGAGTAATGAATCGGTAATGACTAGACAATTAACATTTTAAAGATAATGAGTATAACATTTTATAGATCAAATTGGAGAAAAAAGAAGAAGAAAAGGAAAATATTGAGAAAACGGGTGAAGAATTGATTCCTGGAACTGGAAATATGACACTTCTAGATGTTCGGATGATCATGGAAAAAATCAAAAAAGTTGCGGATCGAATTGATTGTACTTTTGTGAAGATGAATGGTGTCATAGAAGAACGTGAACGTGCGGAACTTCAATGTCGTACGATTTTTGAAACAATTGATTCTGAAGAAGAATCGAATCCGGTTAGTTGATTTTTTTCCAATTCATTCAGTTTTTTTTGTATTAAAATTCATCATGGTTTTTTGACCCCCACATTCAAATCACACTAGTTAACTCAATTTTGAACATGAGTGGAGTTTTTTCCAAACCGATTGAAGTGTAGGGATCCTAAACAATGAATTAGTGAACTAGACTCTGAAATTTCTGTCTATTGTTGTTCCTTATATGGGTATCTCTTGAAATGACACACAAAAAACAGTTGTATGATAGTCTAGAAATAAATTATCACAGATTCTTCCGCTCATTCGACAAGGTATCCACTCGGCGTGGAAAATTTGCCGAGTCAAAAAAATCACACGCAATGCCAATCGAAATAAAAAATTCTCGGCGAAATATTGGTGGCTCGCAAATATCTATTCAGCCAAGGTACAGTTATAGTATGAAGGGAGGGGCGAGAGGAGAAACAAAATTTGTATCAAAATTTGAAATTTGCCAAGATTTAGAAATTTCTTGGACTCGTTTTTATGTTAGATTTTTTTTTTGAAACATTATTAATTTCTCGGCTTAGCCCCAATATCTTTTTATTTAAAATTGTCCAATAGTTTTTTTTCAGGAATACATTATGAGAGGAACCGCAAACAACTTTTTTTAACTCTTTATAAATAGTTTGAATTTTTCACTTTGATTATTATGTGTAATTAAAGATTCGATATATTTCATTCTGTGGTTTTTTTATTTTTTTTTTGAACTAAAAAGTGTATCATCGCTTTGATATCTCAAATTTACTATATTTTTTTTGTTAATCAATTTTTTCTAGAAATATGGATAATTTTCAAGAAGAAGAAGATCAAATCTACGATGAAATCAAGGAGATTTGTAAAAGAACAATGGAACTTATGAAACACCTCGACGACAAATTTGTTGAAAATCATATGCATGTTGAGTATTTTGAATATATGGATCGGGGCGAAGCGACCTTTTTGATTTCCTTTCTGATTACCGAATTCATGCAAAAAAACTATAAAGTTAGTTTTCTTGAGAAAAACAATCTCTGAAATAAAAATGTTCATTTTTACAGCACAGTTGGGCATTCATTCAAAGCATGCAAATTGGATGGAGAAACTCCAAAACTTTGACGAATTCACCCAAAAACAAAGCAGTTGCTGTTTGGTATGCTATAAACTACTTAAAACACGCTGTAAGTTATTCCAAATCGAAATTCCCAAAAAAAAATCCATCTCTGTTTTTTTTCAGAATTTTGTTCTCAATGAGGAAATTCCTTGTCTTCAAGTCGATCAACTCGGCGAACCCATGGAACATGGTTTTTCAGACAGCTGTTGATTTTTTTTATTTATTTTTTCCTTTTCTGTTCGCTTTTGTTTTGTCGTATCGTTATTCTATGAGCTTGATAATAATTAATAAACAATTTTTTTTCAGGTTTTGGAAAGAATGAATCAAGCCGAACAACTTCCGGAAAATGTCCCAACTTCTCCACCAAGAATCAGATGGAGACCAGCAAATCAAGCGGTTAGTTTGAAAGGGGAGGAGAGGGGGGTGACCTAGAAATCTAGGGGGGGGGGGGCTTATGACCAGAATGGAAGTACTCAACTTAAACTCACATTGTTTAGTCCAGGCCCCAAACTTTCCAGAATCCCTAAATTCTTCATTTTTCACCCATTTTTATTCCAGCAAAATATCGATGACGAGTTTCAAGAATTCATTCAAAACTCTTGGAGAAATAGTTTGATTCGTAGAACTTTTGGAGAATTCACTGTTACCAAGTTTATGTTTGTCGCTTGGTTGTTGCTTTTCCATGTAAGTTTTCATTTTAAGAATTCATTTTTCTTCACACAAAACCTTTTTATTTAGACTTGCTGTGGACTCCCAGAAGGATTCACCCCGGAAGAAAGTGTGAACAATGAACGAATGATTAATGCTGTTTGAATGAAATTGAACTGACTTTTAGATTTTTCAAACCACCTAATGCGTTTTCCTACGCTTGAATTTCTATTGATTTTTTTTATCTCCCCAATTCCCAAAAATATATATACTTTTTTGCAGGTTATAATGGATAATTCTGAAAGACCAAGATTTATAGTGAACCTTAGAGATATGCCAAGACTATCGAAGAAATATAGATACGCACAGCCGAGTTGGAAAAACACCAGAAAAGGACCGCCTTCAAGATTCACCTACATATTATATCGCAAACAAAATGCGCAAAGAGAATCTCTGCAAAATCTCTGGAAGAAAAGTTGGATTCGAAGAACTTTTGGTGAATCGTTTGTTCCGAAAATCATGTTTGTTTGCTGGTTGAATTTCAAGCAGGTGATTATTTCAAAAATATAGAAAAAATGACTTAATAAAGAATAATTTTTTTCAGATGTTCCGTGGAATTTCAGACAAATTGACCACCGGTGAAGCGGAAACTACACTTTAATCATGTACCAGCTTCTTATTATATCATAATAAATTGTAGAATGCTTTACCCATATGATTATTATTTTTGTTCTTTGACGCGTTTCAAACGCCTAATTATTTTTTATCATTAAGTTTAAGTCACTCAAGATTTTCTCAACAATTTTTCATTTTTTCAGATGGAACCTAATGATCGATTTCCACCCAATGCTTTTCTAATCAATTTGGATTACAACACTTTTTCTTTGCTGCTTGCCGATTCACAAGCAGCTCTTGACAGGCTCATCCAATTTCTAGATGTTAGAATCCATCCGAGCCCATTCGGGGTATTCATCCATCAGATAGTGAGTTTCCTGATTCACGAATTCAATTAATGAGAGCTCAAAATTGTTTTTGCAGACTGGAAGATCTCCGGAATCGATTTACCATTATATTCCAAATAACCATGGTGGAGGATTTTATCTCTCTGAAAGAGAAATAATTTGTGTGGTTAGTTTATTTTGGTATTTGGGAAAAGGGTTGATATAGAAAAACTCAACTTAAAGTCAATAATTTGGGAATTGGGCTTTTGAATGTGGATCATTATTTTTTAAAACCAATTTTAGACATATTTCACAATTGATTTTTCTTTCTAGTCATTAAATAAAAATACAACCACTATGACTCCTTCCTATTTGGAATGTTCCACACATTTTAATATTTTAAGCTGCACTATCAACAGCAAAGACATAATCGTTACATGCTAAATTATCACCGATTGCTGAGATATCGAGGTCCACAGATTCTGCAACTACAGCAACTGTTAATTCAGCAACAACAAATGGCAAACAATCGACAAGTTCCAGAAGTTCCAGTTCGGGGCCGCGAAGAACCCCCGATTCAACCACTTCACGTTGAAGTTGAGAACATTGGAAGATCAAAATGGAAATGTTGCTGGAGATGCGCAAAATCCAATAAACCTCGATTGAAATTTATGCCCCCTTCCTCTCAAATCATTCACTTAAATATTCATCCGGTTCATTTAGATTATTTTAAAAAAAAAATACAAAACACAAAAAAATGCCATTAGATTCCAACATGTTCTCGAATTATTGACCACCGGTGAAGCTTTCAATCATTTATTTTTACTACCATTTGTTATAAATAGTAGATATTTTACCCATCTGATTATTACTTTTTGTTCTTTGACGCGTTCCAAACGCCTAATTATTTCTAATTATCATCGTTCAATTATCAACTCAAGTTTTCCCAAAAATTTTCACTTTTTTCAGCAATGAATCCAAATGGCATTCCTATTGACTTTGAGTTGTTGGCCAAATTAATGTTGCTACCAAATCCAAGACAACCATTTCCATATGTGAGTTTTATTGTTTAGAAAACTATTTGATCTACCAAAATATTCTTTGCAGCTTGCGCAACTTCCCACATATCCCATTCCCCAATATCCTTCATTTCCTCCAGTTTTTCCTCCACCTGATCCTGAACTTTTTCGAAAAATCATTAGTGGAGTTATGCAATCCACATATACTGAGAACATGAAAAAGGTTAGTTTATTTTTGGTGATTTGGGACAGGGGTTCTTAACTTGTAGATATTATAATCTCTTTCTTTTTGGCCGTTTTTGAATTGGACATGACCAAGTGGATCTTTATTTTTTGAAAAAAATATCAAAATTTTTAGTCAGATAAAGATATGACCACTATAATCAGTTATGTCCTATTCAAAATCAGCCATATTCATGTCAAAAAACTGTTTTCAAGTTGAACCATCATAACATAATCTATCAGCAATATGTGATTAACTATCACCGATGGTTGATTCAACAACAACTTGTAACTGAGCTGCAAAAAATGGTGCCGAAAACACAAGCTGGAGATCAACAAAAACAACAACAACAACAAGTACCCGTCCCAGTCAAGAATATCAAGAAGCAACATCGAGATGTTGCTGGAGGTCCACAAAATCCTATCGATGTTGAGAAGGAACATGGAAATGTTGCTGGAAGCTCTCAAAACCCAATCGATGTTGAGTCGGAACATCGTGTTGGAGGCTCGCAAAACCCAATAAATCTAGAATAGATTTCCCCAAATTTATTCATTTTCAAAATTCTCCCAGTTTCTTTAGTTCTCAAACACCTTCAAAGAATTAAAAAAGACAGTAATCAAACATTTTCTCAAGTTAAATTTCGAAATTTCTCTTTTTTTCTAATATTAACCGATTTCCCAATTTCAAAATTTCAAATTTTTAAATAAAAATGCAAATAATTATTTGATCATTTTACCTCTTTTCTCTACATGATTTTTAAAGCGTACTGTAGCGCTGAATTATATATTTCGAACTTTGATACTTTTTTATTATAGATTCCCCGGAATTGTTTTTGTAGATGAGCAACAATCCAGAACAAAATCAACCCGAACAAAATGAAGATGGAAGAAATATTCAAAATATTGAGAATGCCATGAGACAATTACTCACAAGAAACGATGAAATGCAATTGGAACAACAGGATTTGGTTCAACCGATTATTGATGTGAGTTTGATGGGAGTCATAAAAAATCTAGATATTGATTTTGTTAATTCCAGATTGGCCAACACTTTCAGTTCATGTGGAACTTTATGATTGATCCAAATGCTGGAAATGGGATGAGCCAAGAGGAGCGGTTTTTGTTTCTGGTTAGTTGGATTCAGGGATTTCAGTCGAACCCAAGCAATTTTCTTGTTGAATTAAGGGCTGTGATTTTTAGACACATAGTTTCTTAATTAAAATTTTCAATCTGGTTCCCTTTTTTCTTACAATTTCTGAACTCAATTCATGTTTTTTACTTTTTCGCAAATTCATAACTTTGCAGCAGCAGTTCAACAATTATACTTTACAACTGCTACAATATCACGCTACTCGATATTTCATGAATCAACGTTATCAACAAGAACAACAACAATGGCACCAACAACTTCAAGCTTTTCAAAACTTGCAACAAGAAAATCCAGAACTCGTAGAGGACGTTGAAGTTGAAGTTGAAGTTGAAGTTGAAGTTGATGAAGATGATCAATAAGTTATCCCAGATATACTTCTATTTTTACATTTCTAAACTTCTAAATAACTTCGATTTTTTTAATCATAAAATTCCTTGTTTTTTTGTGTTTTTCTGTTTATTTTGCCACGCGTTCAAACACGCTACAACTACCTTGAAATTGTTATCCCTTCCCGAAATATTTTTTCAGCCAAAAAGTATGGGTGATCACGACGAGCAAGCTGATAATGACCAACCAGTGAGTTTTACAAAGAATTTGATTCAATTTTAATCTGTTTTTCTCAAAAATAGATAAACCCCAGATATTTTATTAGCAGTAACTGAATTCATTTTTTACAGGTTCAGAATAATGAAATAGAAGGCGAAATCGAGAATGAGTCATACAGAAGATTGCTGATGAACATGCAACATAGCATGAATCAACTCTTCCGGATTGATGGCTTGGATTTCGAAAATCAAGAATTGGTTCAACCACCATATTCAGTAAGTTTAATGAGTCACAACAAGAACACAAAATTCAGTCGATAACTTTTTCATTTTCAGTTCGCCACAAACTTGTCAAACATGCTTCATTTTGTAGCTGATCCAACTGGCGGATATTGGCTAAGCCAAAATGATATTGTTTATCTGGTTAGTTTGATTTGGGACAGATGGAGTTACTTAATAGTGGTTTCGTTTATGTTTTTTAACAAGGCAGACCATCTGAATTTAATAATTTATTGATAGATTTCTGAAATCAGTAGTAAATTTTTATGTACATATTTCGAAAGTTCCAACTCCTAAATCGAATTCCTAGGTTCAATGCATTTTTTTCAGCAACAAGTTCAAAGGCAAAACGCATTATATGCCCAGCTCCTACAGCTACAAGTTCTCCCGCAAGTGTTTGTGACTCCGCAACAACAACAAATTCCTGAACAACAAGTTCAAGATCAAGAAGATGGCGAAATTGTTGAGAAAGATCAGGAAACTGATCAAATCAACAACGAAGAACAAAGCAAGAACTAATCGTGCTCAAATTGCACAATCGTGTCACTTTTTCTTCTGTTATGTATCTATATTCAAAAAACTCCCAACGGTGCTCCAGTTTTCCCGGTTGATCTTTTTTCTAATGAAATTCGTGTTATATTTTTCTGCTTTTCTGTATCATTTTTTGTCATGCGTTCAAAGACGCTGGAAATATTTTTGACTTTTTACCAATTCACAACAATCCTCTCTAATTTTTTTTTCAGCAAATAAGAAGCAATATGAGTGATCGTAATGATGGTGAGAAGTTCCAACTTCAGATTGTGAAACATATGGTGAGTTCTAGGGAAAATGTTTTTTTTTTTTGAAAATTCTAACATTCAGAGAGTTGGTACAACTCAAATTTCATAATTTTTCAGTCACCACCTGAACTACGAAATGTTCTTCGCAATTTTTTCCTACACCGCCAAGCCCTTCTGATGCGTCAACAACGACAAGAACAAGTGGAACAACATCATTCTTCCGGTGGAAGAAATTCAGCTGCTCGAAATCAGGAAGCACCAAAGAAAAATCAAGATGAAAAAGCTCAGGATAAGCAATAAAATAATTGCCTCATTTCAAAGTTTTCCCGATCCGCCGGTTTTATTTATCTACTCTCATCGATTTTGCAAATTTTTAAAGTTAAAATTGTGAACCAAGTTTTTGTTGTATTAGTGCTTATGCTTTAAATCGGTTGATCATATACGAATATATATTGTTGCGCTTTTTGTAATTGTCAATATCATTTTTGCCAAGCGTCCAATAACGCTGAAAATATCTAAATATCTTGAATCCCTCCCCCTCCCCCTAATCCATAATTTTCAGGCAATGGGAAGAAAAATGTGTGCTCGTGATTGTGGTGGTAAGCGTGCCGCCGCAAGAAGAAGAAGAAATATGGTAGGTTCAGCCTATTTTAAAGAACGATTTCAATTCGAAATTTCAGCCATGGCCTCGAGATAATATTGGTTTTTTATTGCAATATCAAGTCCGTTTATATTTTTTACGTCGACAACAAGAACAAATCCAACAACAGCAAGCTGCTAGAGAAACAAATTCTTCTGCTCAAAATCAAGAAGAACAAAGCGAAAATGACGATCAAAATAAAAAGGAGCAGAAGAAATAGACATTATGCAGCCTAAATCCAACGTTTTCCCAATCAGCCGGTTTTCGTCATCTGTTCACATCCATATCCCAAACTTTCATAATCTAGTCTATTTTTTCTTGGAAAATTTTATAACCCCCTGTACATCAAACAGCCTTTTTAATTACTGATTGTTCTATTCACCGGCTGATCTTTTTTTTCAAATAAAATTCACGCATCTTTGTATGTAATTTTCTATTTGAATTTTGCCACGCGTTGAAAAACGCTGAAAATAATTTGAACCTCTTCCCAATCCCTCCCCCCAACCGCTCTAATTTTTTTCAGAAATTTGGAAGAATGAGTGATCGTGATGGTGATCAAAGAAGAAAGGCCGATAAGAAAACACCGGTAAGTTTCAAAGAAATAGTTGGGCTCCCAACTCTTGTAATTTCAAATTTTTCAGACCCCTTCCCAATTGCAAAATGCTCTTCATCAGTTCATAATACAAAGCCAAGCCCATTTGACAGTGATTCATAATATTCAACATCAGCAACAACATCATGTTGAAGGAACCAATCCAGATGTTCAGAAGAAAACTGATCATGCACAAGAAAAGTGATATTTAAATCTACTTTCTCACTTCAATGCTTTATTTCACAGATCTAGCTGCTTTTTTTGCTGCTCTAGAATATTTTCATCATAACATACATAATTTCGCATTTTTAAATACTCAAGCTTTGCTTTCTCCCGGCTGGTCTTTTTCTAATAAAATCTGCGCTTTTTGTTTCTGGATCATTTTTGTAACGCGTTCCAAGACGCTGAAATATATATTTATCTAACTCTTCAAGACCCCTCAAAAAACCGCCAATTTTTCAGCTGATGGGTAAGATAATGAGTCGAGAAATAAAAAAGCCGGTGAGTTTTACAAATTTCCAACAAAAAAAATGAATATTATTTTTGAACTTTTTCAGAAACCGGAAAAGTTAGATGGTGTTTTGGAAGAAGGAGAGGTCAACGCAAACTATGAAAATAACAATTATATGAGAGAATCTTATGAGACACGTGGTTTTCAAAATTTGAATGGAGTCGAAAAATGGCTGGCTGAAAATACTGGAATCAAGATTGGGAATGAGCACGGAGGAGGTCAAGAAAATGCAGAAGATGATAAAGGAGAAGAAATGAGCGATCAAGAAATAGAGGAAGAAGATCAAGAATCCGTTGTCGGAGCTGTGGCCTATGATGCAGATGGAGAGGTAACTTTTTTCGTGATTTGAAAATAGGGGGTCTAATATTCCTGGGTTATTTTGTTTCATCTCAAAATTTTTCTATTTTCAATGTTATCCGAAACAAAAAAATTGATAATTTAGTTGCAGTGTTATTGAATGTTTTATAAATAAAAAATATTCCCTTGTGAATAATTTATACGTTACGTGAAACATTTTCATTTTCAATAATTTCTTTAATAAACGTGGCATTTCTTAATTTTTATTATTTAAACTCGTTAGCTTTAATTCATATTTTATAGTTTTTCCACCTAATTTTTATTTTTATAGTTTTACTATTTTACTAGAAAACTAGATGCCCACATAGAAACTTGTTGAAATCTCATCCAAAAAAATTGTATTTTTCAAAAAAAAAGTGATTATATTTTGAAGGATTCGAACGATGATTCCAGTTCAATTGATTCAGGTGGTCATTATCAATTAGTGAGTTTTTAAGAGATCATTTTTCAAAACTAATTTTTCGTTTTTCATACATACAGTACTCGGATTCTGAATCTGAGACTTCCAATAACTCCAATGAGGGATTTATGCCACAAATTTAACCGTTTTAGTCATTATTCTTAGTTTTCATCTAGACATTCATTCTACCTAGTTTTCTAACAAAACCTCTTTTTTTCGCATGTTTTTATTGTATGTTGTGCCAGTATTTTTTTCAGTTACTCTCACATAATTTTTTATGTACTTTTTGAATGGAAACAGAAAGAGGTTCAAAGAAAATGTTTGTTTTTCTTTTTTTTTTTGTATTATTTTAGACCTGAGATTTTCAAAATTATGAAATTCAATTCTCTAAACATATACACGTTAATTGCGCAACATCAAACAATGATGATTTTTGACAAGTATCTACTATACTAAAATGTTACACTAAAAATCTGGCACATGTATAGCCTTATCAACCTTTTTCTGTTTCCATTGTGTTTTCTCACCTTTCTCTAATTTATAGCGTTAAAATGTTTAATCTTAATCCTCCAATTTCAAAATTTTCGTTAGATCAAATATTTTTTCGATCTTCATTTTTACTTATCCCTACGTCATATAATATTCATGTATTCTCTCACTTATTTTTTTATTATCGGTGATGCTTATTTGGAACCTTATTCAGTTATGAAATCAGTTCGAGTATATCAGGTTAGTTTTTTTTTCTTTTGAGATTTTTAATTTTCCTGCAGCTTGTCAATTTTTATTCCTATAAACCAGCCTACCTAAAAATAATTCTCTTATCCTAACCCCGCAAATTTTACTAGGTGTAGATTGCGCGGGAATAAACTATTTTTGTCGCTTATATCTTTGCGTGTAACACCTATAAACTTCATTTCTCCAAGTTCTTCGAGTTATTTTTTTTCATGTAACCTTTTTTTATTCCTCAAAACTTTGCAAATGTCTAAAAACAATTAAACTAATTAACTGAGCTAATAAGAGTCTTGTTTGATGCCTTTTAGTTTTCACTAGGACTTATCCAAAGTCTTATCATACTTTTCGAATTATTAATTTTCCGTGAATTTGTTGCTCTCTTAAGTAGAATTGAAAGAAGATTAGGGATTTGTAGAATTTCCATGTTTTTTTTTTGGAAAATTATCTTCCAATAATTTTAGTGCTGATAAACCAAAAAACGTCACTAATTACCCTTTTTCTGCACGGACCTCTCAATGTTTTTATATTTCGAAATATTCCTCGTATCGATTGATTTAGCACCTCCCCTTTTCATTTTTCTGCATGCCTGCGCTCTCTCTTCCTTACAATCTCTCTCTTTCTCTGTTTTTTTGAAGAAGAGAAAAAACTTTGCGGTGGGAAATGGGAGAGAATAATCTACAGTAACCCGACATTGTTTTACAGAGCAAAAACTTCGTGGAACTCTCACTTGGAACGGAAATTAGTTTTGAAAAATAATTGTCAATTCAAGGTTCATCAAGAATGAAAATATATGTAGTTTGAAATTGTGTTCTTTTTGTTTTTTTTTTCAAAACTGTTGAAATACAGTGCAATATATAATATTTTTTCAAAACTCTCAATTTTCTTTGATAGCTTCTATTAGACTGGATATGCCATCTTCATTTGCTCTACACTGTTTCACGGAGTTCATCAATAACTGGGCGGAGAATGAGAGAGGTAAGCTATAAAATTTTGGATTCAAAATTAAAATATGAAATACATAAACCCCATAATTTTCTTTCAGATCCAATCCACCGTCTTTTTCTTCAACGAATTCGTCTCCGCTTTATGGTTGAGTTGAAGGATCGAGAATGTGAGTTATTTCAAAAGGGGCGGAGACACACTTGGTTTTGAAAATATTAATTACATAAAAGATTTTTAAATTATAAGGTTCAAATATAAAATGTATCAATGAACCGAATTTTTATTTCACGAACGAATAAATAGTAGGTTGCAATTTTAATCAACGAGGCTATATTTTATTTTCAGAACTACTATTTATTCACACACAACAAAAAAATTGTTTTTTTTTCTAAACATAGGATTATGGATATAACATTTTAAGAGTTGGATTAGTTTCAACTAATAAAAATGAGTGCTTTCAGTTTTTTTTCTCAATTTTGTTAATCTCCATATTTTGAGATGGTCATTTTTAGAGTAGAAAAAAAAATTTTATGTGATGAATTTTTGGCGGCGAGTTTCTGATAAAAAAAAATTATGTAACAATTCACGTGATAAATTATTTTCATTTTCCAAGTAGGTAGCTAACACTAACATAATGTTAATTTACTATCTGTGTGAAATTATTCATGTAGTCAAAGAAAATCTCTCTCTGTTAATTTCTATGTATGATTATTTATTTCAGTGTTCGAAGCTATCACCGGACAAGATCACTCCCAAAGTGTTGCTGAAATGATACAAGAGGCATCGCGTAATATACTTCAAGGCTTGCATTATTTCCAACAAATTGTAAGTTCACTTGCACCAACACCTATTGCACCAATCCACAAGTCTTCAACAACTATGATATCTTCAGCCAAACAACGCGTTCGAACATCCCACCGTTGACTATTTGGCATTCAGAAGTCACATGAACGTAAGTTTTTTTCTTCAGAAAATGCACAGTGTAATTTACTACCCAAAACCGCTAGGCCTCAAAATTTTCAAAATTTTTTTTTGGTAGGTCAGAAACATTTTTTCTCTAAATCTCTCAAATGCGGGAAATTATTAGGGCAGTAAACAACACTATGTGTTATTTTGATGACAATAATTTTTTTTTCGCAGACTATTTCACGTTTCTTCGAACGTGCCTGCAACGAATCGGAACTTCGGCATATCATCGATAGACTCGATGTCAACAATCGGTTCTTCCAACCCTAAGCCTCTCTCTTACCATTCCCTTTTTATCATATTTTTCTCAATTTATATCGTATTTTGTCTACAGTTTCATTATTTTGTGATACTACTCTTCTTCTCAGTTATTTGGCCGTTTCTTTAACTTTTTTTTTACTTTAAATAAAACAATTTCAGATAGATCAACTTGAAAATGTCTTCGCAAAACAACACCATCACCGATCAAAATATCGACCGTGGATCATTGGGTGAAGATCAAATCGATATCGAGCAGCCGGATAATTTGGCAGAATCTACTGATGAATGTGAGTTTAATAATTTTCAAAACATCTGAAACATTTTCGAATTTTCAGATGAACTTCTACGCTACCTTATGAAACATTTCGATAAATATTCTAAATTAACAAAGGATCCCGCTTTTGAAATGGGTGAGTTTGAGAAAAAACTTGTATCACACAGAGATCATCTGAAATTTTCAGCAATCAAAATATTGTCAACATTCGATCAAATGATAAAATCAACATCAGAAGCTGGTAAAATTGATGGAAAAGGTGCTAAATATTCATCTCGTGGAATCGCACAAATCATTGACAAATTGGTGAAGGACAATATTTTCAATTTTCCAAATTTGGAAAACATGTATTTCCGAGATGAAGTTTTGGAGAATCCGGAATCGAATTCAAGCATAATACCGGAAGAAGGTGAAGAAATTTTGGAGGAACAAGATGCTCCAGAACATGTTGTTTTTCGTGATGCCGCAACTTGTGAGAAACAAGGTATCGACTTTTTTGGCGAAAAAAACAATTTTGGGATTCCACCGGAAATTCAAGTGATGAATGTGAGTTTTGCGGGATCGTCACGAATAGAAAAAATAAATTTTACAGGGATATGAGGACTCACCGGTTTCATCAAGATGTTGTCACCAGAATGATAAAGATTTCGAAGCTCAAAGAAAACGCAAGGAAATTCTAAGAAATGTTAGTTTAAATCTTGGGTTACTGTATTTTATGTATTAAACATATTCGGATTCTTCAGAGATTTTTTTTATTCCAGAAAGTTTTGAAATCTGATAATAATTATTTTTCAGATGTACGGGAGACTGTCAACGTATCAAAAAAGACGCAAGAGTCAAGAAAATCGAGAATTGGAATATTACGAACAACTTCAAACATCAATGTTCATTCATTCCGAATATTATCAAAATACCTATTCTGGAAACCATGATTGCATCGAATCTCGACCGAGTTCGAGTGGTCATAATCTTGGCGCAACGGCGTGTAGTTCCGATATGGAAATCGAAACAGATGAAGATGAAAGAGAAGATGGAGAACTTCGTGATACACCATCACCAGTGAGTTTGATTTTGAAGTTCTTGTCATTTTCCAAGAAACAAAATATATATTTCAGCAAACAGTTTTGTGTGTTCAAAACCAAATCGTTGACATTTGATGAATACCTCAATATGTAGTTAATTAATTTATTTATTTATGATCTCTCAAATAAATTATTGGATGTTATATTTTTTTATTTTTTTTTTCTGTTGAATTTTTGGTTGTTGATACCATTGAATATCATTTATCTTGTAAACATTACTTTGATTTTTCAAAAAATGTTTGCAGATGAGGCCAACTCGAAATTCACGTGGAAGAAGATTGGAAGAGCCGATTGAAGAGGAGGAGGAGCAGCAGCAGCAGCAGCATCAGCCAGAAGCGGAGCCCGGGAAACGTGTCGCTTCAGAAATCAGGTTCCGTTCGAAAGGAACCATGTTTCTCCCGGACATCCCTGTGAGCAGCCACAAGGAACCACAAGTGAGTTGTTAATTATGTATGAACAGAAAATTGTTTCGCATCTGAATGTTTCGTTCAAGAACATACATTTCTAGTATTATACTTGTCTTAAAGCATCTCCCTGATTTTGAAAACCAGACAAAACACAATTGTTTTTTTCAGAAGAGGAAAAGATCGAAGAAGATCACCCCTCGGGAGTTGACACCACCAATAAACCCGAGGAAAACCAGAGCTCAACTTCTTATTGAAAAAAAAGCTGAACTTGCAGCTGCCAAGAAAAAAGAGGAAACTCAATGTCAAGAAAGTTTGAAAAATAGTCGGAGCTTGTCGGTGGATTCGGGATCCAAATGCGAAACAAGACGGAAACGACGATTTTGCACAACCGAGGAAACGGGAAGCCCAGTTGAAGATTTTGAATCGGCGGATGAAGAAGGATCCTCCGAAGGAACTCCAGTATTCTTCCCAGACAAAAACAGACCTTTGGTTGTCCAACTGAAACGCTTGCTAGAAAGGAAGACTGTGGACGAGGCATCGAATGATGAACCGCGAAAGAAAAAAAGAAAATCGAAATCAGTTGTTGAAGAAGTATCACCAAATGGATATGACAAAGACAAAGCTACTTCTCCAGAATCACAAGATCTTGATATCGAAATAAATGAAAAAAGAGTTGTTGAAGAATATGAAGATGAAGATATTCAACTTATATATGAAGGACCAGGAGAATTGTTCGGTAAGTTAATTTTTAATTCTCATTTTCGAAAAAAGTATCATTTTTTTTCAGAACAACATCAAACTAGACGAAGAAGAAGAAAAATAACTAGAACGATTGACCAAGAATGTGATTCTGGGCATCAATCCTTCGAATCAACATCGCAAGCTACTTCGTTTTTGTCCAATTCTGGAAGATGTTCATCAGATTTACATGAAAATTTGAGCGGATATGAAGATGGCGGATATGAATTGTCATTAACAGGTTGCTCCTCACCGCTCCATTTACCACGTGGTTTGTTTTTTTTTCCGGAATGTTTATCTATGACAAATTGGTTACATTTTCAGAAACACAAGAAGAAGGAGAAGAGGATAATGATATTCGAGGACAACACTTTGAAGAACCAGAAGAATCTGCTTCTGAAGTCGTGGAAGTTCTGCTTGAGGTATGATTTTTTGAAAAAATATCATACATTTTCAATTATTTCAGAATCGAGTTGATGGAGAATTGGAACCATCACAAGATGTGAGAATTGGTGAGACGAATTCCGAAAATACTTATCAAAATGATCTGCAGGTAATTTTTTTAACAAGTTGGGTGAACCATGGAAATAGTTTAAAGTTTTATAAAAAAATTAGAAAACAATATGAACTTTTTTCTCGAGTTCCAAACAGTTCTTTGGGAAACTCCTCTTTGCGGTTATACTAAAATTGACCAAAAAACTAATTCAACTCTTTCCACCTTCCAAAAAATTGAAACCTACATTTTAGAATCCAAAAAAGATCAACAACCAAGCACTCGAAAGAAGCGAATATTTGGAATCGACGGACAAAAATGATCAACAAATTCAAAATATGAAATCACAAGTTCCTATTTTTTCGAATGTGATCAAGTTCGCAAAAAATGGTGTGGTTTCGAACTGTGAAATGGCGTTTGCTCCAAGAGAGGTAAGAAATGTTCAAAACAGTTCAAGTAAGACAAACCTTGAATTCCAGAATTTACCAACCACAAGTGGAATGTGGACAAGAGATTTGCTTGATACAAGCGAATATTTGAGTGCGATTGTTTCGCCGGAAGAAAATGTTATGATTGAAAATGTAAGTCAACTAGTGGTGAAAAAAATTGAGAAAATAAATGAATATTTTAGGATCAATCAACATTCGAACAATCGCGTGAAGCTCCAACAAACCATCACCAACAATTAGTGAACCAAGACTCGATGCCAATGTTAAACATTTCGGAAAGCGAAAAAGATGATTCCGAAATCATCATTTCGCCAAAAAATTCAAATTACGGAATTAACATTGATGATTCGGTTCATGTTCAAAACGTTGCTTCATCATCAAAACAATCTACTTTGGAATCATGCTCTTTCTCAATTGAAAATATTCTCAAAAATCAAAACCAGAATTTGCAAAAACGTTGGTTTCAGTTTTTTATCAAAGATGGTTTGCTAGACTACATACAAGTTGAAACTCCAGAAAGATCGAGGAATGCGCTGATCATTCCAAAAAATGAAAATCAAGCAGCAGATGTCGATCTGAAATCGATCAATAACATTTTCATTGAATTCGATGACTCGAAAAATCCAATTCCGATTTCATTTTTGTCACAAATTAGCAAAATATTACATCCTAATCAAACTTAAATTTAACATTGACATATTTATTATTCACTCATATTTATTTTTTGTTCATATTTTTAATGCACCCCGCCATAATCTACTCATATCAAAAACCCCATTCATAATCATCCCACTCAAGTTTTGAAAATCTGGTCCACGAAAATCCGTTTTTTTTTGCCAAAAGTTTTTGACACTATCCCTCCTATGTTCTCGGTGTTTTTTTTTTCATAAATAATTTATACATTACTTAAAATAATCACACCTGCCTGGTTCTAATAGAAACATTAAAGGGGAAAAATCGTTTCCTTATTCATTTTTTGTCTCTCTTCTTCTTCTCCTATAATAGAAAAGCCTGATCGTCATACGAAGCTAGGCTTATAAACCGGTTGATTGAGAAAGGAGGAGATTTGATACCGTTTAGATGGATACAAAACAAAAAAAAAGACAATCGAGGTGATTGTTCTCTATAAAATCTTTGCGATTCGCACATTATTTTCGTTGGCATTGTTTTGCAACTGAAACAACCTGGCTTGGAAAATGATGCGATTTTTGAGCAGTATTCTGGTTTTGGCAACTGCCATTCCAATGAGTCAGGTTAGTTGAAGGGGTTTTAAAAAATTTGAAATTCTTCTAAAAATATATGCTGTTTGAGAACGTTTATTTTTTCATGGGACTAAAGTTCTGTGAAAAAATAAATTTTTAGATCTCTCTTGTGATTTTGGTTTTGAAATGTTTCAAAATTCAGAAAAATGTTTTAAAAAATGTGGTCATGGCATTTGGACACTTTATTAAAAAAAAAAAGAGTTCGAAGTTATTTTTTTCATAATATTCCTTTAGAAAATTGAGGAAACTTCGCGATCCAATGACTCTTCAAAAAACAAATTTCAAGTGAAACATAACTAAACAACCAACATGACCATTTTCAAGTTTTTTTTCTATTTTTCTCTCATCTCAAAAATGTCTCTTGTTATCCTTTTCTCCTTTCCTTTCCAATTATCATCATAAATCATTCTCGGCAATCAACAATATCCAGCTGGATCTGAAGGGATCATTAACAAACACGAAAAACTTGTTGGCCTTACGCAACTGATAAGCGTTATCAAATTATGTTTTGTTTCAGGCATTCTTCTTTGGCGGAGGAAGCGGAGCCGCTTGTGGATGTCCAGCTCCACCAGCTTGTGCACCACCACCACCCCCTTCTGCACCAATTGGATGTGGCGGAGGAGGATATGCGCCACCACCACCACAACCATATTTCCCACCAGTTCAACCAGCTTATCGTGGGTTTTCTTAAAACTTTTTCAGTTCAGCAGTTATATAAATGCCATATTTCAGAACCTCAATACGCGCAAGCTCCATCACAACCAATTCCACTTCAACAAGCACCAATCCAGTCTTACAATCCACAACCAATTCCACAACCAATCCCAAGAGCTGGAGGAGCCTATGCTTCACCTGTTAAAAGACAAACAAATGAGGAAAACACTGGAGTAGATCAATCAGAAGGTTATAGAGTGAAACGAGATGATGAAGCAGTTTTTGATCCAAAATGCAACTCTGAAGATCTTAAAAGCATTATTATTCAACATATCTCAGCGAACACAGCAACTTCAAAAAGAAATATTCAATCAGCTGCCGCAGATGCGATTGGTGGAAGAATTGATGTGATTTGCTCGCGTGGAACATTCTCTTATATTGTGAATACTGAATTGTATTGTGAAACTGAACATGAGGGAACTACTTGTTTCGCTTTCAAACAATCTTCATAATTTATTCATTGAAAATGGGTTGTGCAATTTAATAAATCAATAAATATGTATGAATATAAAGTTTGTGAGGTTTATCTATGCAGAGGTGGGGTACCTGGCCTCACGTTGGCTTTGGTGGTAAGAACATAAGCCATGACAGGTCTAAGTGAAAACCTGGCTACCTGTCCTGTCCTGGACAGGTTCTTTTTTTAGTCGAGAAAAAACACGCCGAACAAATAGGAGAGCGCATTTTTATTTTTTTTTTAATGTAGACTAGGGGCTGTGCCCCTAGGCGAAACAGTCAGAAAATCCTCAAAAATTCTAAACTTTGAAGACAACCCTATTTTTCGCTGACGTGAGAAAAAGTATTTCTTTTAAAAAAGTTACGCCTGGGAATACAAATTGTGAAGTTTACAGAAGAAAAAAAAAAATTCAAAACAAACTGGAAATCGCGTGCATAAAACAATCCGAGAAATCCGAATGTCAATCCGAAAAAATAAGAACTTTGGAAGAGAATCATTTTAACATAGTAATTTCTAAACAACTTTCCTTTAACATCAATAGTAATTATGAATAAAAAACTTTGCCCAATATTTTCAATCAAGCTCTAATCTCACCTGTTAGTTTTGCTCTCCCCCCCCCCAAAAAACCTCAAAATAAACTAACTTGACTGGCCCATTCCGTGAGAAGTTGTTGATATCTTTGAATGTCCTGTCCAAACGAAACGTCTTCTTTTTCGGAAGCCTGAAACTTCTACATTCTTTTTTTCAACATTTTCGCCTATTCTTAAACTTACATCAAAAAAATGGCAATTGTGGATTTTATGGGACCGCTGCATTTTGTGACGGTTTTCTCTAAAAAGAATAAGAAAATTAAAAAATGTACCAAATCACCCCATTAATAACACTTTCTGCGCTGAAAAAAACCACTCAAAAACCAGAAAAAAAAACAAAAAATAAAAATGCCGTGCAAAAAAAAAGAAAAACAACGCTACTCCGCCTGCGCGTTGTTTATCGTATTTGATTTATTGTTTTTTTGCAGGGTAGTGTGGGAAATAGAGAGGGTTAGAGTGAGAGAGCGATATGTTTTTTATATGACAAGAAATAATTGATTGAACGTTTTTTTTTTAGTTTTTTTTTCGAACTGAAAAATTTTTCTGATTTTTGAGTGGTTTTTTCATCGCAAAAAGTGTTATTAATGGGGTGATTTGGCACATTTTTTAATTTTCTTATTTTTTTAGAGACAACAGTCACAGAATGCAGCGGTCCAATCACATCCACAATTGTCATTTTCTGATGTAAGTTTAAGAATAGGCGAAAATGTTGAAAAAAGAATGTAGACGTTTCAGGCTTCCGAACAAGAAGATCTTCCGTTTGGACAGGGCATTCAAAGAGATCGACAACTTCTCACGGAAAGGGCCAGTCAAGTTAGTTTATTTTGAAATTGGTGGGGGGGGGGGGGAGAAACAAAACAACTAAAAGGTGAGATTAGAGCATCTTATTTTTTAAATATTGGGTAAAGTTTTTTATTCATAATAACTATTGATTAAAGGAAAGTTGTTTATAAATTACTATGTTTAAATGATTAGATGAAGCTTTGAATTACACTTGATGGCATAGGATCAGTTTCCAGATTTTATAGTTGTCGTAAGAAAAGTGAAAATCAAAAAAAGGCATGAGATGTTCACAATTGATCTTGCGAATGAAATCAAGTTGAAAGGTGTGCGAGAGATGAAAAATATTCGAATAACTTGGATGTTTGTGTACGTTCCAAAAAAGAAAACCTGCAAATCAACAACTTTTTCTTGTGAGAAAATATTACGGAAAACTTACTACAAGTAAAAGAAATAAAGCAGAAATAGTAGTGGGCGAAAATAGTTCAGACATGAGCTTTAAAACAAGTATTGCAGAAATGAATCTTTCCAATTCATTAAGTTTTGTTTTACGCAATCTATATGACAAATGTTTTCAAGAAAAAAAAACCATCAAAACTATCACGTAGACAAAAAAGAGTTTATCGCATGGTATTCACAAACATTTACAAAGAAAAATCCAGAAAATTAGGCTTTCTTGAATTTTCGGATTGGACGCAATTGGCGACGTTGGAATCCTCTTTGTTTGTTGATTGCTCCACGGACACGAGCACGTCTGAATGATGATCCAGATGGCCCATAATTGATTGGTGTTCCACCAACAATACCAATCGGAGTAGCTGCACCATATGTTGGTGGATTTACGGGAGAAGGTGGTGAAGGAAGGGAATTGTAAGTAGAGTCAAGTTTTGGAGTGTTATATGGAGATGGTGCAGGAGGCGCTGGGGCTGAGTAAGAAGTTGGTTGATAGCTCGGCTTTTGAGAATAAGACGATGTTGGAGCAGATGGATAACTTGGTTTTTGAGCATAAGAAGTTGGCGCTGGTGCAGTCTGAAGATTGAAAAAAATTATTATTTTTAATTTCCAATTGTTTGAGTTACCTGATAACTGGGCTTTTGAGCATAAGACGATGTTGGAGCAGTAGAATAACTTGGTTTTTGAGCATAAGAGGTTGGCGATGGTGCGGTCTGAGGAATTAGAAAAATATCATTCTCTGTTATTGCAAATTGTTCAAGTTACCTGGTAACTAGGTTTTTGAACATAAGACGATGTTGGAGCAGTAGAATAACTTGGTTTCTGTGCATACGAAGCCGGTGGTGATGCTACTTGATAGCTTGGTTTCTGAGCATATGACGTCGTTGGTGCAGTAGAATAGCTGGGCTTCTGGGCATAGGAAGTTGGTGGTGGTGCGACTCCGTAACTTGGTTTCTGTGCATATGAGGAAGCAGCTGGGGCTGTAGAATATGCGGGTTTCTGTGCGTATGATGAAACAGCTGGGGAGGTCTGGAATTAGGTGGACTTGTAAGAGAATTTGCTGACGAGCCGTATTTCATTCAAAAATTCACCTGATAACTTGGTCTCTGAGCATAAGATGGAGCTGATGAATAACTAGATTTGGGTGCAGCATAGCTTGGCTTTGGAGCAGCGTAACTTGGTGGAGGTGGAACCTGACAAATTATACTTTGAATATCAAAACAACTATAGCTCTTCTCACCGAGTAACTTGGTTTTGGTGCAGCGTAGCTTGGTGATGGTGGAACGGAATAACTTGGTTTTGGAGCAGCATAGCTTGGTGGAGGCGGGACCTTCAAAAAACTTTATGAGTGTTCAAAAATTATTGAAACTTACAGAATAACTGGGCCGTGGTGCAGCGTAGTTTGAAACTGGATAACTTTGAGCAGGAGGTCTTACATAACTATCAGCTACCGGATAACCGGCCTCAGCCAGAACCGAGACTATTGCCAGAATCAGAAAATTCAGAGAATGCATTGTTTTGTGCTGACCTGTTGCATTCGGCAACTTTTATAGTATTCAAACCTCCATTTAAACCCCGCCCATTTAAATGACTATTATTGGAACGACCTTAAATTTCAAACTTTTTTTTCTGCAAAATATAGAAGCATTTGAGGGTACTGTAGTTTTTTGTTTGTTTACACTATTCTTGCAAAGTGTGAGAAGCGTTTTCAGTTTTTCGAGGACTTTCTTTGGCCAAAGTTCATATTAGCTTATGAATTTCAACCAAAAGTGGGTGTTTTTTGGACAGAAGTGAATCATTTTCTCGAAATAACACAATTTTGAGAAAAAACATAACATTTCATTTGGAAATAGGAGACTTGCTTTGAGAATCTTCCCATTTCTGCTCAATTTTTTTTCTATTTTGGGATTTCTAATTCTCTCATTTTATCTTATATTCAAATAACTTCGTTCTGAGTCAAAACTTCTAACTTCTAACTTCTCATCTAATTCAAATATTCATCATTAAACTTTCTCCCCCCCATATTTCAGTTTTTTATCTTTACTCCTTTTCCCCTCTTTATTTTACCTTTAATGCATCCTTATTCACTATCATGTTAAACCACATTTATTATTCACATAGTCACATCCTCTCAAATGGCCCAACTTGTCTTTTTTATAGGACCTACGGGCCTTTTTGTTTTATTGCAGTCATCTCGATTATCATTTCTCTACTATCTCTTCTTTTTAAATTCTTTTGTCTTTCACAATGTATATCGGTGTGGTTCAATAAATATATATATATATATATATATATATTTAATAAGTCATCACAACTGAATTTTTTCCAGATTATTTTTGTGTCTTGAACTTTTCTCAAACACCATAAATCGCAACAACTTCCTAATTTTTCGGTTCAAACTATGTACGGTGAAAAAGACGAAGAATATTTTCAAGTACCTTTCCTTTTCAAAATTGTTTATTATTTTAACATGAGGAAACCTTGAGAATGTACAGACAATGGTCAATTGTTGCTTTGAAGACAAATAATAATCCGATTAATGGTAAGAGTTGCCGATGTTGGAAGCCTCAATTTCAATCTGAAATAGGCAAAAATATTAAGGTGTTCTTGAAAACGAGGGAAAATTCACTAACTTTACCATAAATAGCAGGGTCAAAACTTGACACAGCGGAATCATATGTTTTTGCGAGATCATCTCCTGAATAGGAGGTTTTTTGTGAATCATAGCCATTGTTTGTATCAAGATCATATTTATAAGTTGTTGAACCTTTTTTGTTTGTTGTTGGCCGAGTTACACCGAGTGAAGAAACTCCAGCTCCAGAAAATGATGGAGTTGTTGTGACAAGTGGAGTGGTCGATTCTTTAAGAATAACCTCTTTCAAATCTCCTTCCGATGTTTCAACAAGAACAGGTGTTTCATTTTCAGTTATGATAACTTCAGTTGGTCCTTCAGATGTTTCAACAGTTATTGATTTTCCAGCAGGTGGCCCAGTTATAATATCATCGGATTCTTGAAGAATTGCTTCCTTCAAACCATCTGATGTTTGAACAAACACTCTTCTTCCAACTTTATCATCATTTGCGGCATTATACAAAGTCACTTTTTTCGGACCATCTGGTGTTTGAATAACAAGTGTTGAAATCGGTTCTTTCACTTTTGATTCAGTCACAATAACTTGTTCTGGGCCACCAGATGTTTGAATAGTGATTTCTCTTGCAGTTTCGACATCTTCAGAATCAGTACTTGTTAGAATAACTTCTCTTGGCCCATTTGGAGTTTGAATAATGATTGGGCCCGAACCAATTGGAATATTTGATTTTCCAGTTTCTGGTACAATTATTTCTTTAGGTCCTTCAGGTGTTTGGATGATAACTGTTCTTCCCAATGGTGTTGGTCCATTTGTAGATGAAACAACATCAGTTTCAGTCAAAATAGCTTCTCTCATTCCATCTGGAGTCTGAACAAAAACTGTTCTTTCATTTGATGTCGCTCCGGTTGTAGCGATTGGCACTGGTTTTGTCAAAATGACCTCTTTCGGTCCATCTGGTGTTTGAACTACAACTGGAAGTCCATCACCAATCACAATCGCTGGTTTTCCCGAATCAGTCACAATCATATGACGTGGACCTTCTGATGTTTCAATAATAACTTCTTTTGCAATTGGTGGAGACGTTGCAGTAGATGACTCTTCAGTAAGAATTGCTTCTTTCATACCATCAGCTGTTTGAACAATCACAGTTCTAGTAGAACCATTTCCAGTGAATGAAACTTCACGTGAACCATCTGAAGTTTTGACAAAAATTGTATTTTTTGCACTATCACTTTCCGGTTTTGTTTTGAAAACAACTTCACGTGGTCCGTCTGGCGTTTGAATTACAATTGAATTTTCAGATGTTATTGGTTTTCCAGAATCGGTAACTAAAATCTCTTTTTTGCCATCGGCAGTATCAATAACAACAGTTCTTGCAGTCACTGGCCCAGTCGCAGTTCCAATATCTGTCACAATTGCTTCTTTGACCCCATCAGCTGTTTGAATTAGAACAGTCTTTCCAGCTGGATTCACTGGAACTTCCTTGACTCCATTAGAAGTATTAACAGTTATTTTTGTTGGTTCAGTAGATCCTGACAAAATAACTTCTCTTGGCCCTTCTGGTGTTTGAATAACGATTGGACCATTTCCAAGTTTCAGTGGAACTGTTCCAGTTTCAGATATAATGACTTCTTTGAGTCCTTCAGATGTTTGAAGAATCAAAGATTTACCAGTTGAAGTCAGTGAACTGTTTATTGATGGTGATGTTTCCGTAAGAATTGCTTCTTTAAATCCTTCAGATGTTTGAACAATCACTTTTCTTCCAGGATTTTCAGCTGCTGTCAAAACAACTTGTTTCAAACCATCAGGAGTTTTGATGACAATTGGTCCTGCCCCGGCAGGTTTTCCATTCTCAACAACAATAATTTCTCGCTCTCCTCCAGCAGTTTGAACAATAACAGATCTTCCTGTTGCTGGTCCTGTAGCTGGTCCCGCATCAGTCAATATTGCTTCTTTCAAACCATTTGGTGTTTGAATTATGACCGATCGTCCTGATCCAGAAGATGCGGTTTCAATAACTGTGATTTTTTTCGGTCCTTCGGGAGTTTGAATAACAAGAGGTTTACCACTATTTTTAGCTACCACAATTTCTTTAATCCCATCTGGAGTTTGAACAACAATTGTTTGTTTCTGTCGATCATCGTCTGCTACAAAAATCTTTTTGGGACCATCTGGTGTTTGAATTATCACCGATTTCGTGGCAGTTTTTGTTGATTTTCCAGTGAGAAGAACTTCCTTGGGTCCAGTTGCAGTTTGCACAATTATTTTATTTCCAGTCTTCACTTCTTTCAAGCCTTCTTCAGTTTCGATGAAGGTTATTCCAGATGGTGGAATTCCTGACGTTTTATTTGTCGAAATTGGCAATGGAGTTGATGTTTTCACTTTAACCGGTCGAACTTTCTTATTAGTTTTCATAGCAACAACAGTCGTTCGAATCAATGGTTTTTCTGTGGCAGCAATCACAACCTTTTCAAAAATACTTCCAGTCGCTCCGCCACCAGTCGTTCTCATAATTGTTGACTGTGGTAGATTTGTGGGATAAATCATCATATTTCCCCCACTTGGTGGAACTCTCACAGTTTTTACATATTGTGGAACAACTATTGGTGCGGGAGGTGGTGGTGGAATATATTGGGCTGGAACTGGAATTAACGGCGGAACTGTTGGATAGGCGTCGAGTGGATTTGGATAACCGATAGGTGGCGCTCGAGGAGCAGCATATTGAGATGGTTGAAACAAATTAGGTAGTTGAGGTAAACCTAAGCCGTTGCAAAGGGGACCACATGCAGGAAAAAGTGGGATATGACTAAAACAAATCAGGTTATATCAAAAAAAACTCAAGACGTTCACTTACTTTCCAAAAAGATCAAAAAATGAGTGAACTTCGGTAGCAAATAGCAGTAAAATGAACACCACTAAAGCCATATTATCTGACAATTTCTATCATGAACCACCCTCCTTTTATATCCCTACCTGGTTATTCTTGAGGTTCCTTACACTTTTATAATAATCGTGGAACTAATCACCGGACATTCATCATTTTCATTCTTCTACTTTTCACTCACTATGTGTGATGAAAAAACTTTTTTAGATGGTCTTGTACATTGTGATATATTTCACAATTAGAAGCAATCCGATGAGAAAAAAAAAGATCCCAAACCTAAAGAAAGAACGGAAAAAATAAGAGTACGACGCGTTTTTTTTCTATTAAATTGTTTTGAAACGTGAAAATAATTTTGCTGGATGCCATTTCCTTTTTCCGTTTATTTTGAAAATTCTAGTTTTCGTTGACTTGGCTAATGAGATATAATAAATAAGGATTTATTGCAATAGAGAGGTAAGTTTGGATAATATTAACAACAAAATATACAGAAAGGGAAATCATACATAGTCTATACTCTAGGACCGTTTGGAAGTTCAAATCCGAAATATTTAGCAAAAGTGTTGAAATTTGGTTGTGTTCCTTTGAAAATTGAAGCAGCTTGATCTTTTGGTCCACCGACTGCGTGCCCTCTGTGATAACGATCTGCGGTAGCGACTGGTTGACCGATCAAGAATCCTTCATTTGTATAAAATGGCGCAGCATAAGTTTGTCGAGCTGATGGTTGTGGCTGGATTTGAAAAGCAGTAGCGAGAATATTATGGGGTTGTTCGAATTCTTGAAATTGAGATTGTTGAACTTGTTGTGGTTGTTGAACTTGCTGGAACTGTTGTGGCTGCGGGGCTTGCTGGAATTGTTGGAATTGTTGAGGTTGTTGGAACTGTTGAACTTGTTGAGGCTGTTGTGGAGCAGCAAAAAATTGTTCAATTTGTCTCTGTCTACGAACATCTGAATCTGGTCCCAAACCAATATTGTTAATAGCATCAGCTACAGCTTGATCGTCCCTATATGAATCGGCTACTTTTGCAGAACTTTCAACAGCTGTATCATGACTTTCAGCGGCTGGAACATCAGGAACCAATTCAACGGTTTCAACGATTGTTGCTACTGTTGTGGTTGAATCAGGAACGAGTTCAACAGTCTCCAACGGTTGTGGTGGATATGATTTAATAGGTTGCGCGGGGACAATTGGTGCAACTGGTGCAACATCTAATGTAACTGGTGTGTTATAAGCTGGAGCAACTGGAGAAATTGGAGCGGCGTAGCCAGCTGAAATTGGAGCAGATCCGGCATAAGACGGCGATGAAAGAGGTAATGCATAACCTGACGATTGGTAGACTGGGGCTGCTGGTAATTGTGGAGGGCAAGCTGGAGGAGGTGAAGGAGGGGGTGGACTTAAAACATAATTTGATTGAATATATGTTAATAATTAAACTAACCAACAACCGCCGCCACCGCCACCCAAGTTGAAAAAGAAAGCATTGGCAGATGCGCCAAATAAAACAACAAATAAACATACTGATTGCATAATCATGACCAATGGAAAATGGATAGAAAATGAAGTGAAATGATACGCGCAAAATGGGTTTTTATAGCGCAAGTTGTGCGAAAAGCGAAGGACAATAGCTGCCCAATTAGTCGTGTTTTTTTGTAGCGTTTTTAGTGTTGCCATTGCTTTCCTCACGTTACGAGATTTAGCATAGAGAAAAAGATGATGAATCGATAAAATGTTATCGGATTTTCAGGTATCTTTCATGGTTTTTAGACCATTTATCAGTTAATCCGAGAGTTTTTATTAAAAAGATGATTGATGTTCTTGATGTTGATGATAAGTTCCAGAACGATTTTTCAAAAGATGTGTTGGAAGCAAGAGCGAAATGTTACGGAAAATTATTGCAAGCTTCAAATTGATAAATTATTGATAAATGAGGAAAATATGAGTGTGGTCAGATGATCTGTTGTTATGACGTATAAGGGTGTTTAAATTTGTCTAGATTTAACAGTTCAAAACTACTGGTTGTTCTTGAAATACGTTTTCGTAGATTCTAATTCTTTAGGGTTGAGAAGTTAACTCAAGCCTATTCTCGTCGGACGAAAATCAACTTTTGGGATCTTGAGAACTTCAAAAAAAAACAAAGAAAGCGTGAGAATGTTAGAAAAAGGACAAATTATTTGGTCAAAAGTAGGGTCTCCTTTGAATAGTAAAAACTCCAGGGAATTTTTCCCGAAAGGCCTGAAACAATTCAAAAAAACATTATACGTTCCTAGTTCAATGAACATTTTTTCTAAGCTTTTCGGAAAAAAAATCTCATGGTGAGGAGCCTTTAACTTTGCGATAACATTTGTTGTGGTTTTGCAAAACTAATTCGTATTTCAAGTTTCACTGTTTTGAAAACAAAACTGTGTGTTTTCATGAAAACTCGTGTCCATTTTTTCCCTGAACTTTTTAGTCAGATAATGTGAAACCTGAAAATATTACTTCTCAAACCAAATAAATATCCTGAGAAACCAATTTATTTCAAACGAAAAATGGTGTGAGCAAAAATCGGATAACAAGTGGGAGAATGAGAATTTTTCAAACAATATACAGAAAAGAATCTCGACAAAAAATCTAAAAAAATAGACTGCTAGTAAAGAATCTAGACCTTAGCGGCCTTCTTTCTGTAGTCTTGGCTGGCAACAGCGGTGGCTGATGTCTCAACAATTTGTTCGGTTTGTTGAGCTCCGTATTCAGCGACTGGGGCTGGAGCTTCGATGATTTGTGGTTGCTCAACAACGGCAACTGGGGCAGCAACAGCTTGTTCAGTGTAAGTGGCAACTGGTGCAGCGATTGGAACTGGAGCAACTGGAACAGAGACGGCAGCGATTGGGGCTGGTCCTTGTTGATATCCGGCGACTTGTCCGATGGCTGGTCCGGCAATTCCGACTGATGGTCCTTGTTGGTATGCTCCACCTCCGATTGGTCCTGTTGGAATTCCGACTGATGGGCCTTGTTGGTAAGCTCCACCTCCGATTGGTCCTGTTGGAATTCCGACTGATGGACCTTGTTGGTAAGCTCCACCTCCGATTGGTCCTGGGGCAACTGGAACAGAGACGGCAGCGATTGGGGCTGGTCCTTGTTGGTATCCGGCGACTTGTCCGATGGCTGGTCCGGCAATTCCGACTGATGGGCCTTGTTGGTATGCTCCACCTCCGATTGGTCCTGGGGCAACTCCGACTGTAGAGATTCCGACAGCTGGGGCGGCTTGGTATCCTCCTCCGATTGGTCCTGATGGAACTCCGACTGATGGGCCTTGTTGGTAAGCTCCACCTCCGATTGGTCCTGTTGGAATTCCGACTGATGGTCCTTGTTGGTAAGCTCCACCTCCGATTGGTCCTGGGGCAACTCCGACAGTAGAGATTCCGACAGCTGGGGCGGCTTGGTAAGCACCTCCTCCGATGGCTGGGGCAGCGTGGTAAGCACCACCTCCGATCGATGAACCTCCGAATCCTCCGATGGCTGGGGCAGCGGCGTATCCTCCTCCGACGAATGGGGCTGGTGGAGGTGGGGGTGGGGGTGGAAGTGGTGGAGCAACGGCATATCCACCAGCGGCAACTGGTGGAGGTGGTGGTGGTGCGACGTAAGCCGCTGGAGCTGGAGCTGAGTTGCAGCAAGCGCCACCTCCACCGCCGCCTCCGAGACCGAGAAGGTTGAAGAGGAAGGCGTTAGAGCAACCGAAGAGGGTCAACAAAACGATAAGTTTCATTTCTGAAATATGAGAAAGATATATATATTTAATTCAAAAAACAAAAAAAATCTTTTGAAAAAAAATGAAATGAACGAAAGTGTTGATGAAGCTTGGGATGATGTGACCGCTTATAAACGACACTCCAACGATCCCGCCCATAATTTGAATAGGTTGCTAGTTTTTACACTATCCCTTCTTTTTTTCCTTCCTCTTTTTTTGGAAACTTCGTAAAGAAGGGGAAAGCCTCCCACACTCGTATGTTTGTATATTAAAAAGTTACACATCTCAAACACTTAACAATAGGTACTTCCTTGTGGTTTCAATCTGAAACAAACTGTTTCGATTCATGAGGTGTAAAAAATTGGGTTTTTTTGGTTTCGGAAGGTTGTTGTTGTTGCCATTGTTTCGTTGCAAATAGCTTGTATGTATGTAACAATAAAATGGTGTTTGGTCTGATTATTATCTCATTTTTTCGGAATGATGTGATATTCACATGGACTAGGTATAAGACAGAACATTATTAAAACAAATAATTTAAAAATTATGGTTTTCAAAAGTTTTGTTGTAAAGTTCAGGATGTCTGGGAATGTGAAGAAATAGATATTGCAAACGACAGTTATTTATTTTCCAATGGTTATAGGACTAACCTTTTATAATTTTTCTAATTAACAGAACTTTTCAACAGATTATTTCAAAGATCCATTTCAAAAAGCCTATGGCGTTGCACAATTTTTGTGAATTTAGAGATCACATAGTTTTTCACGCAGGTTAATAAAAATTAGAGTTTTGGAAATTTCAAATAGTTTTGTCAAAAATTTTAAATTACAAGTTGAGCTGTTTTTGTAAATCTTTTTTCACAAAAATCTCAATTTACCCTTTTACTGCCAAAAACTTAGTATATTTCATCCATGATCTCTTTTTTTCCTCATCCAATTTAGTACATTATTCCAATCATTATCCATATGAATAAATCAGAAAATGAAATCGAAATTCCATTCCGCGCGCGGATTGCGTAACGTTTTTTTTCTTTTCGATAATAATGTGTCTGCAAATTTTCCCTGCGTGTTTTATAAACTTTCGTGGCGTCATAAATTTGAGCTAATTTACCGTATTTGATTCGAATTGTTTCCAGCAAATTAATTACCCAGAGAATCTTGTTCAAAGTTCATTTTCAAAAAAAAAAGATTATCATCTTTTTTGTGATATTGCATAATAACCCTTCCGCTTTGCGGACACAACTAAAACCGGTTAGAGATGTTGCAAGTTTGAGTAAAAGATACCTCACCCAAAAATTCTTTAATTTCATTTTCTCTAGAATATTTTCGCCTTTCAGTATACATTTTCATGTCAATAAAAATTTTTCAAAGAACAAAAAAGTATGAAGCAAAATTAATTGCTTAATTTCAAATTGTAAAGTTACCTTCTTTTCACTTTCCAACAATTAATCAAAATCCTTCCTTCCATATACAATCCATTTCCACAAAAACAACAAATTGTGAGCATCAAATCCTGTATAACTTTTCCTATATTTTCTCCAATAACCAAAAAAAATGCTTTCCAGAGATATGAGAGAACTTTCAATTTTTCGTTCGAATCAAGGTGAGATGTGTAAAAATTCGTGGCGAAACTTGCTAAGCGTTTATTTTTTGTTGTGTATAAGCATATATTTCTCTCCATCTCTGTTCCTATTATTATTAATAACATGTTAAATATCATTTTCAAAGGAGGGATATAAAAGTATAAGTGATTCCTTTCTATCGGCAAGCCGGCGCAGAATGGAACAATTTGAAAATATTGACCAATGGGAACATCACAGCAGATCCAATGAATGATCCAATCTGAAATTATTGAAATTTTTTTATAAGAAAGAACTCTCCCAAAATCTTCCAAATATTTTTAAAAAGTACCTGAATGAATACTCCACACCAAAATAATCTAGATTCACTTTGATGGCCTTCTCTCAAAAGAGAAGCAAATACAACTCGAAGATATGAATGTAATCCAGCTGCAATCAAACTACTCCCAATTGATAAAATACTTCCAATCGATTCAGAATCAAATATTAAATTTGGTGAAAGTGCCGCAAGATATACAATAAATCCCGTAAACACACTTGAGCAAATTGTCAAAAATCCTAAAATCGGAAAACTTCGAAGATTGATGAAGAATGGAAGAAATGAAACAAGTGGTGAAATAACATTTGCCAATGCAATTCCATAATGATATGTTGATTGAGAATACGGTAGAGATGCATAACTTTGTACACTTGGAATTATTCCATTCATTTGTGCATTCACCAATGCTGTTGTTAATAATAAAATCGTATATTCAACCCCAGTTATATAATCAACATTTTTGATTGATTCAGATATCGATGTTTTTTCTCGTTCAAGTTCAGTTACAATTCCATCAATTGCTGTTGATCCAGTTTCGTGTAATTCGATTGGATCAACATCATCTTCTGGTTCTGATGGTGGTGTCGCTGGCGGTGATTTTGCGTTCTTTAGTGGCGTTCCTTCGTGAATTTTCTTATTTTGATTAGCATGTTTGTGTGCTCCAAGTCGATAGAGAACCAAAAATGCAATCAGTGCTACACAAGTGCATCCGAAAATCACGTAGAAAAACGTGGAAACTGTGAAATTTGGAGGGAAATATGTGGGTTGTCCATTTGGATTACATTCATAATTGGATGTTCCTTGAATCAACGAAAGAATTGATGGGATTAGTGAACTGAGACCCATTCCAACAAAGTAAGCATTCAAATAAGCCGGATGAAATCGAGCCATGAATGGCATAAATAATACATTTGATATGGCATTGACTATGGCGAGACCAAATAATAGGAGGTAGAGTGGCCAAGATCGTTGGGTTCCCAAAAAAACTGATGAATAACTCCAAAATATACCGAGACCTGAAACAATATCTTGTTTTTCTTTTTTACCACTGAAAAAACTCACCTAATTGACATATACAAGCCAGAATTAAAAATATGAATATCAGCAATGGTGTTGAAACACTGAATGATTTAACTCCTTTGTGCAAAACTGTATAAACAAGCGGAGCAACACATGCAATCTAAAAAATCCAAAGCTTCGATCAAAATAGAGAAAAAACACTTACTTGAACAACAGCTGCTAAATAACTAGGTAAATTCCATCCTTCAGGCAAAACCGATGTCAACAGCGGTAATTCTACCCATACACTATTTGTACCCATCCACGAACTCGATCCGAATAACATAACTAACCCGAATATCAATGGAGAAACCGTCATTTTGTGCTGCAAACATTTTTACTGCAGAAAAAATCGGAGAAATGTGAAAAAAATAAAAGTAAGAATGCAAGTTCGCTCCAACGAACAAAGAAGAAGCGCGCGCTGTTTGAAATGAAGTGTTTTATTTTTCCCGGGAAAAATAATGTTTTTCGCCCAAAATTCATTTTTTATGGAAATATGCTGTTTTCGAATAATAAAACAACGATTGGAAATTATCCGGTTAGAAATATTGTGTTCAGAGAAGCAGAGAAAAAATGATGTGCTATCAAAATGATAAAAGGATTGTTTTATCGATTAAATGAGCTGGTCAAAGAACAAATGCATCGTTTATTTACACAAAAAAATGACCAGTATAAAAGTTATTGGCAAACTAAAAAAAATGGCTAGCGTTTGATATTGCGAATAACTCCATAAATAATCGGATTAATCATTGTGTTAACACACATTGCAGCATTAAAGAATCCCAAATAATTGATTTCCATCCCCAAAACGCCTAAAACTGTCATGAAATTGTAAGGACTCCAGACGCAGACATATGCAAGAATTATTTGAGTTGCTTGACGTTTTGCGTGCTGCAAATTTTAAGATTAGAGGTAGGCAGTAAGAATTAAAAATTAGGTACCTGCTTGGCTTTATGAATTGTGCTAACTGCCATTGCTCCAAATCTTGTAGTTGATGGAACTGGATGTGGAATTGTTCGACTTTTGACAGACCCATTTCTTTTCACGTTACTTTGACTATCAAAATCGATATGGATGTTTCTGAAAAGTTTAAAAAATATTCAGTCATTCCCATAATCTGAAACTAACTCTCTACTCCATGTTTTCAAAGCATAACTTTCATCTTGTTGCAATAAGTAGGTTTCTTTTGTTGGTGTACCAGCAACACTATCTTCTTCCATATCCAATGATTTAACACGACATTTGAAGCACGATGATTTTTTCTCTATATATGACTTGTTAGTTTGTAAACGTCTTTCAAGGGGTAAAGTACCTTGCTTGAGATGTCCTTGAAGAATCAGCAAAACAATTCCATAACTAAAAATGATAATGATGAATGGAATCCAGAAAACAAAAAGAAAATGGTTGACGGCGTAGACTTTTTCCCAAAAGAATACAGATTCCGCTTGTTGTTCGATTTGCATTTTTCGAATGTCAGATGTTCCAATCTGCATGTATTCATTGAGTTTTTCATGGCGGAAGATCATAAAAACTGTTGCACATTGTCTGCAATATTTTAAGATGAAATTTTTTAAGGAAAATTTAGATTTTTCTTACGTAAAATCATCTCCTGTAGCCAAAAACGGACTTGTAGTTTGAAAAACAACAGCTTGTGGAAGAGATATGAGAATTGCCAATGTCCACGCAACACAAAGCATATTTCGACATCGATTATAAGCGCGACGATGAGCATTTATTGAGCTGGAAAAAGTTTGAAATTATATCCAGACTAGTTGCATTTAATATTTTGATCTTCACAGTATCCTGACATGACGTAAGATTATTTTTAGATGAACATAAAATTTTACAATATTTGAAAGCTACAGTAGCCTATGAAAATGGATGTATAGATAATTCACATAAAAATTAACGATGTAGATTTTCGAAGGTGTCGTCTAATGGAAAAACGCTCATAAATTTTTATGGAATAGAAAATCTACAGTACCCAAGAAATAATGGAATTTTTCTCATAAAAATTTACGATCGAAAAATCCAGCGTCCAAAAAATGACGTGAAAAATAATTATTTTTAGAAGACCTACAGTACCAAATAAAAATGATGTGAGCTTTTTTCAAACTAGCGGAGAGATAATGGAAAAATGCTCTTTATGACATACAGTACACAGAAAGCTAATGGAATCTTTCTCATCAAAATTAATGGTCGTGTGATCTACAGCAACCCGTTTCAAAACCGAATGACATTTTTTAAGACACCCCCAAAACTCACCTAATATTATATGCTCCAAATGCTCGATCAATCGCAATACAAGAAATGACAAACGCATGAAGATAAAACGAAAAAGTTGAGAAAAACGCGCAAACTCTGCACAATATTTCACCCCCATACCATTGATAGGTTTGAAGCCAAATAACTTGTTTCGGAATGAACAAAAACAATGTGAACAAATCTGCCATGTTCAAATTGATGCGAAGCAATAAAATTTGGCTTTTTGCTTTGTGTGCTCTGAAACAAACATATTTAGTGTTCTCTTCCGCTCCACGTTCAAAAATGAATGAAAAAAGTTAATAGACCGTGCAATTTTTCGCGTTGTTTTCGTATTTTTTGCCCCTTTTCTTCATCTTCCAATTATTAATGTATAATTATGTAAAAGTTCAAATTTCCTTTTTTTTTTCTATTGAAATGAGGTGGAGATGGAATGCATAAATAATTGTTGACACTAGATATTTTCAATAACTAACCGAAAAGCTTGTAAACTTCTGACCAAAGAAAGAACATTGAGAGGTCCGCCAACAAGAAAACAAATCACATAAATGCATGTTTCGATCTGGAAAAAACGAGTAAGGATATTTAAAATTCTTCAGTGGTGTTTGTTTTTTTTCCATCTTCATCTTCATCTTTTACTTTTTTAAAAATAGAAGAAAAAGTTGTTTTTTTGTGTCAGTTCATCTAACTACAAACGCCCACAAAAAAGCAAATGATTTAATTAAAAACGTGTGGAAAAGACACGTGGAGTGACGACAATGATACTTTCAAATTTTCAAGTGCCCTTATTGTTTTTCTCGAGAAACAAAGTTGTGATTTTTGGTCACCTTTTCTGTGGTCACGTATGTATTGTTTTTCTGGTTTAAATTGAAAAACATTTGGAAACACAGGTGGAAAAAAGTTCCCCGTGATTCATTTTTAACATGAAATCATATTTTAGAGTATTCTCGAAATTGGATTTTCAGAAGTTTTCAACAAATTAGATTAACATGGGGTTTGTGTCGGAAAAACAAAACAATTTTCGATGAGAATTTGATTAAACCTTGAAAGTTCGCCTACAGAAGAAATCACGAGAGAGAGAGAGAGCTCAAAAATCAAGATGAAAAATCTACACAACCTAATTTTCTTACCTTTATCCGAAATTTCTCCGAATCTTCTGATTCATCCTGTGGCGATGCTTCTTCATATCCATCTTCTCCTATCGAATTCTCAATCATAGCTTCTGTTATATTCATCATAATTTCTGTCAGATTTATCATCTGAAAAATCTTGAATTGAATATAAAATTATTCCAACAAACAAAAAAAAACAAGAGATGTTTGTAAATGAAAAATATTTGAAAAGGCGAGAAAAAATAGGCGGAGTCTAGGAATTTTTTCCTTTTTTTTCTTCTTTTCCTTCACATCAGAGCAGGCCTGATAGATTACTGTAATAGCTTTTCAATTAGACAGCAGATGAAAATTGTTGAATTTCTGATTGAATTCGAGGAATTTGATAAAACATGTTTCTTTTGCTTTTGAAAAGAAAAAACCCGTGCAAAAACGGAAGTTCATTCTTCCCAAAAAGAAAACACAGATGGATCAGGACACAAAAATGAATGCTAACCGGGCAAAAAACCCAATATTTCGCCCCGCAAAAATGAAGTGATGAATAATTCCGAACAACCCATCTTTGTTAGCACGAGGTCGGCCGAACTTTTTCGTTTGTTTTTATTTTTCTCAAAAAGTGTTTTTTTTTTGTTGTTGGAAAAACTGCAAATATTTTTTGTTGTGTGCAAAACTTTTTCGAAATTCAATGCATGTCTGATCTACATTTTTCGTCATTCTTGAAACAGCAAAAAAAATTAATTTGTTCTATTTACTCACTCATCCAAAAGAATACATAATATTCAATTGTTCATTTTCGGCTCGAAGCAAAAAATGAGTGGGAAGGGAAAGCAGATGAAGATTCCAAAATGAGGAGAAAAAATGTACTGGACGCGCGAAAAAAAATTGAAAATTTTTGTGACCAAAAACCTTGAATTGGATTTGTATTCCATTCCATTTCAGTTATGGGTATATGCATATTTTACCCTCAAATAGAATGATGTGTAGGTGGAAAGGATAAATGGATTATTTTCAATGAATAAAATAAGATGGTCACAAGAAAAAATAAAGCAACGCAAAACAAAACAAAAAAACCAGGAAGGAGGATCTTAGATAGATAAACAACAAGATAAATGCACTTTTTTCTTCAGTTGTTTTGTGCCCGACTCGAGGAAAAAATCTGGGGGGACGAAGTGGTCCCTAATTAGCAGAAACTATGTACACCCACCCAACCACTTTGTCTTTGTTCGGTCGGTCAGAGAAGAAAAAAAAACAAAGTTGCTCTTGTCAAGACAATTTTTGCTGACGATGAGTTCATCTTTGATTTTTTTTGGTGCCGTCAAAGAGGATGGTGACTTCCTGTGATTCTAAGAAGCAAAGTTTGAGCAACTGAAAATCGTCAGAGAAAAAATGAGCAAAATTGTTGTTTTTAATTTTTTTTATTTTCAACGTTCGCTCACAAAGAAAAAACAATTGAGAATACTAGAAAAGCCAACGGAAAAACTCATTTTTTCCTCCCCGAAGAAAAAGATGAGCTCGAAAATTATCATGCTAATTAATTTTTGCAGACATTCATAAGCTTCGAAGTAAATACAACTGAAAGAAAGAAAAAAAGTTGCGTAGTTAATTAATTGAACTTCAACATATTCAGGCTTCTTCTTATGTTAAGCTGAGGCCAAAAAATGTTTTCAAAAATTTTCAGATCTCAATTTGTGCGTCAACTTCCGGTGTTCACTGATAAGATTATTTTAACAAAAAATTCAAACGTAGACTCGAAACCTTATCAGTTTCTTGAACTATTGATGTTCTAGGAACCTCTGATAGCATTTTCGAAACATAGTATAGCCAAAAAATTCTCAAAGAAAAAATGTTGCGATTTATTCCGAGTGGACCAGGAACTAGCTGATGTTTTATTCAAAAAATGTTCAACACTCAGATTTCAAAATGTGTATTTTTAACTCCCTCATTTTTGTTGAAGTCACGCAAAGGGAAGTTTGGCAAGCTAATTATCAATTAGAAAGTGCAAAATTTTGTGAGTCACCATTCGAATCTCACTAGGGAAACGCTTGTTTTCTGGAAAACCAGAAAACGTCATCGAAGATCACATTGAGAATTGTCAAAAAAAAAACTCGCCGAAAATCTCATAAGCATACGTAATTTATCGGTGGTCTGCATTTCTAGAAGAAAGAATATTTTATCGAGAGCAGACGCGCGCCAGTTTTTGGCTGTAATTGAATTACACTTTTCGTCGTGTGTCAGGAGGGTAAATAGTATTCGAAAAGTGTTGTTTTATCCGTTCCCTATTCAGAGAAAATAATATATCATATTTCAAGTTTTCAGACAAGATCCAGAAGAGAGTGGAAAACATGATCAACAACTATAATTCATGCGAAAAAGGTCATTCAACGGCATTTTTTGCTTGTGGTAAACAAAGAGTCTTTGATTCGAGAAAGAAGGAATGAGATTGAAAATTAGAAAAAACCTAGATTTATTATTCGAAAGAGGACCAGCAAATAAATTTGTTTTTGGAAGAAATAAATATTTTTTTTATTTTCAGGCAGGTTCAGAGACCATTGTGTTTTTTTTCGGAATTAAAAATCAAGCCAAAATTGAATCTTCTCGAATTTCCGGAATTAGAATTTCAAAAAAAAGGATGAAAGAAAGAAAAAAGAGAAATTCATTAAATCTTGAAACAAATCAGGCGGAACATTTTCATCTCAACAACAGATTCGGAAAAGCTCATTGACCACGAAAAAATTCTTCTTTCTTCTGTTTGCATACTTATCTATCAACAATCTGGAAGGAAATTTGAATCGACTCGAATCGAATAAAATGAGAAGAAGAAAAAAAGAAGAGAGAGCAACAATCATTTTTGACCGGACATGGGGTTTTCTAAATTTTTCGGATGTTTTTCTCATTGAACTAATTAGAAGATGAGTATGTAGGGAGAAGAAAAAAGAAGAGTAATGAGCTCGTGAGTTTTTGGGTTTGAACGTCATTGAAACGACGAAAATAAAAAATGTAAATAAAAAAAGTGTGGTTCTGAAAAATGGCTTTTCCATGGTGATACAAAATTGTGTGGCGTCATTTGCATAAAAATTTGAGAGTGAGAACATTTTTCAGATTCCTCCGAGACGAATTGATTTATGATTTTTCAAAAAAAGACATTTTTATTCTTTCTCTATGAAATGTTCTTCCAAAAATGTTCGAAATTGAATTTATGTACGCAAACGAAAAAAAGAGTTTCTCATTTATTTCGATCGTTGGAATTTTTTCCAAAGATCGTTTTTATTTTTTGATTCAAAACAAAATTTCTACATAGATTTCCAGAATCTGAGTCATTTAAAACCAAATATTTGTTTTTTCTCTCTCCAAAATCAAAAACAAATTTTCATTTAATTCGATTTGCCTCACCTAAATTAATTTTCCCGGCTCCGCCAAAAAAAAACAATCTGAAAATTGGGTTCAAAAACAATCTATGTACTCGCTGGTTTCAACAAAAAAAAATAGGAAAAAAAAAATCAAAATCTCATCAAAAATAAATGTGTGAAATTGAAGGTGACACGACGAGAAAACTGATCTAATATTAATTCCTTTTTTGAACTTCTCATTCAAAAAACGAAATGAAATGAAATGCAGTGCTTAAATATAGATACTGTATCACATCATACTTCAATTTTATTTGGAGCAGGAGCAAAAGCAGAAAAACATATATTTTTATGAGAAGATCATGTGGATTATGACTAACTGAAATTAGATTTATGCGAGCGGCAAAACTTTCGACATTGGTCTTTGAAAGATTTTTTGGATCCCAAGACGACAGAAAAAAACGGATTGGCAAAAAGAAAAATATCAAGTTTCTTGGTGCACGGTTGAATAATTTTCTTGAAAAAAATTATATTTCGAAATACATAACAATAACAACAATATTTTCAAGGGTTAAAGTAAAAAGAGGGAAAAATTAGTATGATCAGGAGAAGTACAAATCCAAAGATGAGTAATTTGTTTTTCATTATTATTTTTTTCTCATACAACAAGACGAAATGAGATTTGTCACAAGAAAGGAAGTGTTTTTGATGATTTTTGGGCGGTGAAAGAAAATATATGTAAATTTTTCACAACTTCGAGTGAACAAAAATCAAGAATTTTTTCGAAAGTTAATAGAAATGGAAGAGTCAAGTGGAGAAAAAGAAGATTTTTTCAACCATAGTTCAGTTATTCTCAAGTGGTTAGAAATTTATATTCTTTTGTCTTTTGAACGTCGAAAAAAAACATACAAAACAGATCAGGGTGAATCAATCAGACCAAGGGTTTTACGATTGTGTTTTGATTCAATTTGAGTCAAAATTGGCTTCGTGTCAATGTGCCGTTCATTAATGAATTGATGCAAAAAAATACGAAAGGAAAAAAAAATAATAGGGAAGAATAAGATCAGATGGGTCCAAAATATGTTTTTAGTTTGGTTGTCGAAATCGATCAGTTGCGGAAATATCAAATAGCTTGCACATAAAAATATTTTATGGGCCAATATATAACTCATTCTCGATTTTTTTTCAAAACAAATCACTTTTTCTGGATTTCTGGATAAAAAATAGGTTCAACTATCAGTTTCAAATTGAAATTACAATCTAATTTTTATTTGGAACACTGAGAAAATAATTTCACTTGAGGATGGAAAGGCCAGGAATTCGAAAGAATAATATGAGAAAATACGAAGCCTAAACCACAGAACATTTTCAATGCAATTAATTTAGAAATACTATGTCACATGATAGTTGAGTTGAAAGTTTGCAGCTGGAAATTGTGAAGAAAGACCAGCCCATAATTATGAATTGTCGGTTTTATTTGCAAATAAAAATGAGTTATTTGTTTACAGGTAACAATTTCTGCATAAAAGCAATAGCCAACTTCGAATAGAATCTGATTGTGAATACATTTTTGTTTGATAGAAGTACAAGTGTCTCGACGCAATTTCAGAAAAACACCAAAATATCACAAGACTCCAACAAGCCTAACAGTACAAACTTCAAAGCTCATTATGTATCAGGTGAATTTTCAAATTATGATTATAACTTTCTGCAGACATAGTTATTTGGCACCATCTATTTTTAACCGCCTTTGTGTCTTGAGTTTTCCTGAGAGGACCATAAAAACAAAAAACAGATATTTATAAGATGAGCGAGCAAAACACAAGTGGCATAATTTAGTAATAACTGAGAACCACAAAGAATAACAATTTCGGAGAAAGAATTGCAACTTTTCTCGCTACAGCCTTCAAAAACATACGCTCGTGCAAGAAATTAATTTTCCTGTTTTCTTTTTGTTTCGAAATACTGGTTCTGGGGAAATCTTTTCATACTTTTATTTTTTCTAGGAATAGTCTAGACTAAGAACAAAATTGTTCGAAAACAGATAACTTTGTTTTTGAACCACACTACAAAAAAAATGAAGCCATTTATACATAAATGTAAATGCATTTAGATATTTTTCAGAAAATACATAGGAAGTAAAACATAAAAATGGGAAAAATAGTTATCGGAATTTTTTTTAGATGATTCTTTCATCGATTTTTTGATAATAAAAATTTAATGATGTATCACAGGCCGTTTGTAACTTGTTGGAACTACAGTAACCGTCATTTTACTTCTCTTTGCTTCAATTGATGGAATGAAAGAAAATAAAACTATTGTCGCTTCCCGCATTTTTCCATTAAATAAAAGAAGAATCAAAGGGTTGATACCAACATCGATAACACCTGTAAAAGAACTGTTTTCCGAAAAATTGAAATTCTGAACCCTTCGGACCACCATTGTAATAAATCAATTAGGTGTCACTTTCAGATTGTTTACTTCCTCGTTTATTTTTTAAATAATATTTTCTGTGAGGGTTCGAGTGTAATATAAAATGACCTTTCAACTTGAGATTTTGTTCAGCTCGAACAATTTTTATTAATAATTTATGATCAAGCACTTTTGTTTGAACGTCGTTCAAAAGTTCTGGACCATATTACTAGACAAAATCATTACAGATTTCTCAAAAATCCAGAATTCTAGGGTTATTTTCTAATCTTACCTATAGTATTCATTGCAATAACTGCTAATAATGATCCATTTCCATATTTGGGAACAATATAAAACAAAAAACTTGAAAGATATTGAGCCAAGCAAACAATCAAGTACTGTAAAGCCATTCTCAAATCTGATTTAACTGATTTTGCCATATATCCAGTGCTCATTCGTTTGAAATACACATTCACAATCATTGCGAAATACATCAAACACATTATTATTGGCAATATTTGTCCAGCATAAAAATTCACATCAATAAAACTGATACCGACTGAAAATAGAAAAAAAAAGGTTTTTGAGAACGCTCGATTTCCAACTTACACCAAACTTTACAATTAGAGCAATTATATGTGTATCCAATTGAAAATCGATTGAACCTTTTAATGCAACCTCGATAAGTTGTATCAATTGTTGCTAGAAATGAAACCAGCCATGGCAAATATAAAGTTATTAAATGAATAAATGTTGTTGCATTTTTAAAACAGCTTCCAAAAACTATAGAAAGTCGATAAATTGAAAATCCAAAATTTGCTAGAAGATATGCTAAGAAGCTCAAAGTATTTGGTGTAGCAAAGATAATCATAAGTGGGTCACTTCTAAAAAAATAAAATTACCAGAATAAAAGAGGAAGTTAAATTTAAATAAACTTACTCTAAATATGAGCAATAAGTAAGTGTACATGGTATTGATACAAAAAAATTAACTGATGAATAAATAGTACCAGCGACAATCATAGAAATAACAAATTGTGTGAAAGGTTGACCTTTGAATAATTTCCAACTTTTGAAAATTGCGAAAATCACAATAATATTCAATAAAAATGAGAGGAGTGAGAAAAATAAAATACAAATTCCAACAGTTGTTCGTTTTTCAGTGTCAGTCATTCCAGTTGAAACATTTAGAAAACAAATTTCGGCATCAGATAAAGTCGACATTTGGCAAAGTCAAGTCGGCAAGTTTTTGAACCGCGTGGAAATAAAATTCTCTGACAAGAAGTTATGGGATTTTATATATTCGATTATTTTTTTATTATCACAAGTTAATCGGGGGTAGAAATAAAATGTAATTTATTTATGCGTTTTATTTTGTCTCAACGAGTCCAGTCATAGAACCAATTCACTTGCAAATGCAAAATAAATTATCGGAATGTACCTGGATTCATTCTGCAATATTTCCTCTTTTGAATGAAAATGAAGAGACGCTGATAACCTTTGGGAATTTTTTCAATGTTTTGATAAATAAATATATTTTTTTGATGCTTGATTTAGAATTAAAGAAGATACTGTACTTTACGCATCACAGACTAGTCAAAATAATTAGCGTCTTCATGTTAGTGCATTTGAAAACTCAGAAACTTTGAAAAATTTTGGTCGACTATGATGAAAATAATAATATCGTTGGATCAATAAAAGTTATTAAAAATAATCAGGTGTAATTATTAGGAAGCAAAAAACGTTAATTCTGGGCTGATAGAACAACAACCAAAATATTTCGTTGTTTAAGAGTATTTCGTCAAGTTTTCTAAAATTTGTAGTGATGAAAAACTTCCAGCTGCCGGAAGAATTTTTGATCAAATAGAAGCACATGAATTTTTTTCGATAGCAACTTTCTGGAACTTTTCAATTTTTGAATAAATATCTTAAAACTCTGCGTATAAAACTTTGGGCTATTTTTATCCTGTTCTTGTCCAATTGTCATTGATCTATTCAAAATCAAAAAAATATCAAATATCAAATCTCGTGAAAATCGGATTATTTCGGATTATCCTCACACAAACCAATCCAAATGTAGAATTTCCCAAAAAAAATTTCCAATTCTCCCCAAAATTTGATCTTTGAAATGCTAATTTTTTCCTTTGTTCAATCAAATTTTATAAGATTTATATACATATTTCTCTCTTTTTCTATTCCATTTTTTGTCGAATCCATTTCATTTTCAAACCAAAAAGAGCGACAGCCAGGAACAAAAAAAAATGGAAGAAGAAAAAGAAAAGCTGACATTACCCATGCATTCATCAAACAAGTTTATGGCCAACAAAATTTTGGTGTTTTTTGTGTGACCCAACCACTTTTTGACAAAAGTTCTCTGGAGATTTTGCTGAAAATTTATTCTGTTTTCCACTTGAAATTGTTTTTCCGGACATCCGATTGCGAACTTCCTTATGCATAGAAAAATATGCCAATAAAAGAAAAATTCTGCAAATATTTTTTTTACATTCATATTTTCCCTTGGGAGTTCTCGGAAGTGCTTGTTTTCTGAAAATGTTCCGTTTTGCTCGCTTCAATTATAGAAAATAAAAAAATATATTAAAATGAGATGAGATGAAATAATTTATCGCAATTCATTCATATTTATATTTATATTTTCTTCGTCTCGTTCATCGACTCATAAAAAACAACATTGCGCACCAAAGAGACTCAGACAACAGCAAAAAAAAAGAGGAAAAAAAAAGAAAAATTGTGTTTTTTTTCGGGTGGCGGATTCTCTATGTCTTTTTCTGTTGTTGTTAATACTCAATTAACTATGGATTTTTCGATTTTCGTGTGAAGTTGTTTTTTGTCTTGTTTTCTTTTTTTCTATGAATATTTTTTACCTGAAAAAAAAATTTTTATTCCAAAAAAAAACAAAAAAATATTCAATTCAAAATCTGTTGTCCTGGAAACTGGGCAGGTTATTTATAAATGTTTATTCAAACTCAGTGAGAAAAAAATATTAGTATTCTAATCCTATTCATGTTTTTTTTTTCGAATTTTTTTCAACAACAAAAATTTAGCTTACAACCTTTTCGCTCTCATTTTAGCTCTCGTTTTCGTTTTCGACTTTTTCACTTTAATTAAATTTTGTTTTACTCTCTCTCTCTCTTTACTAGCATTTTTTTCAGAGAAAATGCAGAATTACTCAATTATTATTGTTTTGTGGAAATATCGATTGAATTTGTTCAAATGGAAGAAACGAGAAAATGTCAGAATCATAGTTGTGGCGCCGCCAAGAATGTTGGTCGATGAAACAAAGTATGTTGTTTATTTTTTTGAAAAAAACAAAAAGTTGAATGAACTTTTCAGTGTCGATGTTTATTATCAAGTTGAACCTCCAATTCGAGATCATGATCATTGTCTTTTAATGAACAAAGTCCGAGAACTATGTTCTATTTTTGCAACATCGAAAAGAAGGTTGATTGTTTTTGAAAGATCTCTTCAACGAAGAATTTCTCAAATTCGAAGAGATATGGAAATCGAAGGATTCCTCCCTGATGAAATGTTACCATTTCTACATTCTGAAGAAGTTATCACATATCGAAATGGTCTGTCAGCTCTCAGTTTACGACAGTGCTCGTTGTCTGGAACACCTCAACCAGATTCGTGGGCTCAAGCTGTGCAAAATCAAATTGGTGGATTTCCAGCGGTGGTGAGACCATTGAGACATCATTGTGCACATTCTGTTGGTTTTGTGAGAAATGAAAATGAATTCAGAAAATGGTTCAGGGTTAGTAAAAAAAAATTCAGATTTTTTCCAATGAATTATAATTTTCAGCGCAATTCAAGTGTTCATGTGAATGAACATTATTTAGTTCACGAATACATGCAAAATGGTCATGAATTTAGTGCAATTTGCTCACATACCGATGGATTATTGGGTTCAATATCATCATTAGACACAAAACGTTCTGTTCTTGAAGCGATTCAACATCAGAAACCATACACTCTTCAATCTCTTTCAGCAAATCAAACACGTGATGTTTTTCCTGGTCTCGAATCTTTCACATTGCAAGTTATACGAAGTGTTCTTCCAAACGGGTATATTGGAGTGATATTTATTCGAGGATATTACAAAGATCATAATGAGATATTTTTCCAAGGATTGTCGTTGGAACCAGACAGCGAGACATCCAGACAACTTTTTGCGATGCCGTCATCTTTACCATGGGAAGTTATGACAATTAACGCACAATTAACTGAATCAACCAAATCGGAAATTGAAGACGCAGATCGGGATAAAACATTTTATTCTGTTGTCAATTTTCCATCAGCGGAAGGAGTTTTGATCCATCAAACATCGATTCATAAAAGATCAAGTGAGATGAGAGTATCTTGGAGAAGTGCAGAAAGTGGAGAAATGAAAGATAGTGATCATTTGGATGATAATGTTTTACAGGTTTGCCCTTAAATCTTAACATATCTCTAAAACTGTTGAAATTTCCAGGTATTTTTATGGAACCAAAATCGAGACGAATTATTGGCAGATTGTGAAGATGTTAAAAACAACACAGATATTACAATAGATCGAAATGCTCTGAATGAACGACATACGCTTTGTCGAAAAAATATTGCGGCTAGACTAAATGCTAGAGAATTTGTTAGAAGTTGTACAACAGCGGATTAGATATCAATATTTTTGTGTTTTGCTCAAAATAATGAATTGCTTGATCTCATATTGTTTTTGAAAATCATTTTCATAAATGCAACAATGAAAATTGGAAAGAAACGTGACACCTGAATTATTTATTCCATTTTTTATTTTAATACAATACGTCTATAATGTTTTGCTCTTCTTCAGGAATGTAGATCAACGATCCAAACATTAATTGATAATTTTCGTTTATCGCCTGTTGTTTTGAAAATAGAATTGATTCGTCGATTGGATTGATCTCTTTGATAGGCATCTTGATACATTGATCTTTAAGATATGATTCCCAGAATTTCTGAAAAAATCACATTATTTTTCAAAATAAAGTATTTCTAAATGTCACCTCTGATTCTTCAACACTCATAATTTTCACTTCTCCAAACTCATCGTTTTTTTCAATCTCTGGAACATCATGTTTATTTTTTTCATTTTTCTTCAAAGTCTTCTCATTTTTCACATTTTTCGTTCCAGGCGGTCTGCCTTTTCTCTTGATAATTTGTTGTTGAGCTGGAATTATAATTGCTCTTCTTGTTGGTGCTTTCAATTTTTGTCTTCTCAGAAAATCATCGGTTTTTGTTTTCTCATCTTTTTCCGCGTCACGATTCGATAATTGGGTATTATTATTGTTATCCATCGATTCCAAACCAAGAAATGACGAGAAAAAACATTGATTATAAGTAGGTCACGATTTTTTGATTTTTTTCAACGTAATTTCGCGGAAATAAAATCATCGTAATTTTCTGGTTTAATTATTAGTTACAGTTAGGTATTTATTATTCTCGTTTCGTTTCTGCGCCCACAAATTATTTCAGTTTCTGAATCGAACAATGAATTCATCGATTTCTCAAAAATTCGAAGAGCAAGCAAGATATTCTATAATATATTTAGACAGCATGGCTATATTTCCGATTTTTACACTTCCAATATATTTGGAAGCGTTTTATTGTATGCTATGGAAATCTCCAAATATGAACAAAACATATTTGAGAGTTTTGATTATACACGTTTTGATGTGAGTCACTATGAAAGTTTTTTTTTTAATTTCTAATATTTATTTTTTTCTACAGTAATGTAATCTCTGAAGTTTATGGATTTTTGTTGATTCGCCCTGTTGTTATTCTACCAATTATCGGTCTTTATTCAAAAGGACTTTTATCTTATATTGAAATGAATACTTTCATTCAAACTTTTCTATTATTTTTTCTTATTCAAATCAATGCTGCAGTTATTCTACATTTATTTTTGCTTCGACTTAATATAATGATTCCGATTACCTACAAACGTCTTCGAAAACTTGGAAAATTTATGGTTTTCTTTATTTATATTGCTGCAATATCTGGATGCACTAATTTCAAGATGTTGATTGAAGATCAAAACTATGCAAAACAAGTTTGGACAGTGAAACTTCATAACAATATTCCCTCTAACTTTTGGACAGAAAATTATGTTGTTTCATCTGGAGACAGTGAAAAATTCACATTGTTTCTGATAAGTTGCGCAGTTACTTTTATTGTTTATGGATTTCTTTGTGCAATTGTTACTGCATTGGCCTTTTATTTTTTATCCAAGTCAAAATCTCAAACATCGAATAAAGCTGTTGAGGGGCATAAAATGTATATTTATTCACTCATAATGCAAATTATTGCTGTTAGTATTGGATTTCTTCTCCCTTACTTTGTATTTATCATAACTTTACAATTTCGAGTCTATCAACCAATTCTTGTATTCGTGTCTCTTTTTATCGCTATATTTCAAGGTGCTCCAGCAACACTTTTATTAATCATAGCCAATAAACCTTATCGAATTATTTTTAGGAAGCATAGTAAGTCGACAATTACACGCCCATATTTGACAAATTTGATAACAAATCTAATTTCAGTTTTTGGTTGCTTACCAACGCTCAATCGCTCATAATAACATTCTCAAAATGGCTGAGTTTTATGATTTTGACGCTCAAGACCGGTTAATTGAAACGTTATATGAAATAGCACATTGGCTTCTAATTGTTACACTTCCAATTCATTTTTATGGATTGTATTGTGTTTTCTGGCAAAGTCCACATTTCCATCGAGCTTTTGTATGGCCTTTAGGATTACATGTATTCTTGTGAGTTGATTTCTTTGATTATGCATTTCAAACAATCAATATTCTAGAAGTGCATTAGAAGAAGTCATCAACATTGCTGTTCGACCAGTTGTCTATGTTCCAATCATCGGAATTTTTGCTGATGGTATATTCACTTCTACATTCAATATAAATGCTTTCATTCAAATAATATTCATAATTCTTCTTGTCCAATTGAATGCATCCGCTTTGATTCATATCAGTTTTTATCGACTCAAAGTTATTATGCCAATAACTTTTCGATACTACAAATTAGTTTATAGATTTGGTTTGATTTTTCTGATTCTGATTTATGTTACTAGTACATTTTCAATTTTTGGGTTTTCACTTCTTTATGAAGATCAATTTGAAGCAAAATCGTTTTATCAACAGGTAAAAACAAATTTAACATATGGTTTCTTATTGTACTTGATGGAAGAAGCAGAAAAAATACCTTACACAATAATTTTAGAAACTCTCAACACTACCAAAATGTTTTTGGCAAGAAAACTTTGTTGTATCCACTGGTCGTTCTGCCAACTTCGAAGTATTCATAGATGTTGCAACACTTTTTCTGATCTTCCATGTATTTTTGGCCTGCGCAATTCTGGCGATCGCTCATTTTATCCTTTCACGTACAAAGAGTCGAATGTCTGAAAAAGTTCTTGCAGCACAGCGATCGTATCTAAACATGCTTCTTATTCGAGTAATTTCGAAGAGAAAACCATTCCTAATACATAGAGTTAATTTACAGATATTAACTTTGCTGTTCCTAAATATTATTCCATTCTCTGTGTTTGCGCTTGCCATGAAACATTATTTTGAAGATCCATTTATTCTTATGTTTTCGATATTTCTTTCATCTACATATGGCGCAGCATCAACTCTAACTCTCATTTTATTCACTCGACCTTATCGGAATTTCCTACTTCATAAAGTAATTCGGAAAACAACAAATGTTACAACAATTATTAAAGACGGAATTGATCATAGCTGAAAATACATCCAGTTGCATTGATCATAACTTTAGTCAAGCAAATATTATTCCCCCCTCGTATTCAACCCTATAATTGAATCACTTGTTCAAGCATTTCCTATTTTTCTATTCTCATTTTCTGTTCGCGCAAAAATGGCTGCTGTTTATGATTATGACGCTCAAGATCGGATAATTTCAACGTTCTATGAAATATCTTACTGGATTTTGATTGTAACGTTACCCATTCATTTTTATGGTTTGTATTGTGTTTTCTTCCAAAGCCCTCATTTTCATCGGTCTTTTATTTATCCTCTTGGTTTACATGTATTTTTGTAAGTTCTGAATAATAACTATTCTGACTCTACAAATTATCTGAAATTCAGAAGTGCTTTAGAAGAAGTGGTGAATATTGTTGTTCGTCCTGTTGTTTATATTCCAATTATTGGAATATTTGCTGACGGTATCATCACTCATATATTCAAAATCAATGCATTCCTTCAAATGATATTTATTGTACTTCTGGTTCAAATAAATACATCCGCTCTGATTCACATCAGTTTTTATCGCCTAAAAGTTATTATGCCAATTACGTTCCCATTCTACAATCTGATTTACAAATGTGGTTTGAGTTTTCTAATTCTGATTTACGTGACCAGTATATTTTCTGTATTCGGATTTTATTTGCTCTATGAGGATCAGTTTGAAGCAAAAATGTTCTATCAGCAGGTAAACAAACTTTACACAACGAATTGTTATTTTACAATTAGAACCTGTAATTACACTCCCTTCTGATTCTTGATGTGGTTACAACTACCGTAATAAGGCAGAAAAATATTTTTTGAAGCCAAAACACAAAAAATAATCAAAACACATTTTTCAGAAATTTTCAACACTACCAAAATGCTTTTGGCAATCAAATTTTGTTGTGTCTTCAGGTCGTTCAGAACATTTTCAAACTTTTATGAGTGTTGGATCACTTTTCCTTGTGTTTCACGTAGTTTTGTCTGGTGTAATTTTGTCAGTTGCTCATTATATTCTTCATCGAACAAAAAGTCGAATGTCTGAAAAAGTTCTTGCAGCACAGAGATCGTATTTGAATATGCTTCTTATTCGAGTAATTTTGATAGATAATTCAACTAATTGTTTTGAAAAAAAAACATGTTTACAGATCCTTACTTTATTAATTTTGGATATCGTTCCATACACAATTTTTGCTCTTGCAATGAAGCATGTCTTCGAAGATTCATTTATAATTATGCTCGCATTCTTTCTGTCATCAATTTATGGAGCTGCTTCAACTCTAACACTAATTTTATTCACAAGACCCTATCGAAACTTTCTAGTTCATAAAATTATTAGAAAACCATCAAAAGTTACAACAATTATTAAAGATGGTATTGATCAAGGCTAAACTCATACTTTGTAGTCTTGATCATAATGTTGGTCTTGCAAATATTATTCCTACTCAATCTCATAATTAAATCACTTGTTCGAGCATTTTCCATGCTATTATTCTTGTTTTCCTTTTTCAAGAAACTCATTTCATTCAAGTAATATGCAAGTATTTGATATCGACCAAATTGAGCAAGAAAACATTATTTCAACATGTTTATTTGTTATGGAAATCAAAACAATTCTTACTATTCCCTTGTATATAATTGCGTTTTTCTGTATTTTTGCAAAAAGTCACAATTTTCATCATCATTATAAAATGATGCTCGGATTCCATGTATTTTTGTGAGATGTTTTTTTTAAAAGAATTCATCTATATCTATCAAAATAATTTACAGATGTCTATGCGAAGAAATTTATGGTTTTATTTTGATGCGTCCTACAGTTTTTCTACCTGTAATTGGTATTTATGCAGATGGGATACTCTCAAATGTTTTCCACATCAATCCATTTATTCAAATTATTGCATTTTTCTTATTGATTCATTTTAATGCTGGAATTATTCTTCATATCAGCTTATTCCGGCTCAAAGTAATTATTCCAATGTCATATCGACATTATAGTTTGGTGGTCAAAATTGGAAGATGGTTTCTAATCTTCACGTACTTTTTTTGTGTTGCTTCAACTTCAATTTTCTTTTTACTACTTGAAGATCAATTCGAGGCAAAAATTCAGATTTCTAAGGCGAGATAACTTTTTTTTATTTTTAAAAACGTCATCTACTTTTAGACTGTCTCCCCACTTCCAACAATGTTTTGGTCCGAAAAATATGTAGTTTCTACTGCGAAATCTGACAACTTTTACCGATTTCTCTATGCTTGCTTATGTTTTGTTATAAACAATATTGCTGTCTGTTTCAGCGTTGTACTCACAGCATGTTGTATACTTTATCGAACCAAATCTCACATATCAGCAAAAGTTGTCGAAGCTCAGAAAGCATATTTGAAAGTTCTCATAATTCAGGTGACGAATTGTTTGATGTGGACCAAAATTAACAAAATTGTTTCAGATGACAGTAATCATTTTATTTTTAATTCTTCCTTTCTCAATTTTTGGATTTTCCATGAAATACAACATGCAATCACTACCAACGTTAATAACTTCTCTTGTACTTGTCATATCTCATGGCTCCTTCTCCACTCTTACTTTGATTCTTGGCACAAAATCATATCGTCAAGAAGTTACACGAATATTTTTAAAATGCAAATGTTTTCCTTGCTCCAACCGATACTTATTACCGAATAATGTTATTTCGTCAATCACATAAGATTTTTATAACTGAAAACCAATAAAAGTTTTAACTCTCAATAAAGATTATACATATATATACAGGCAGAATTCAAATCTACACTTTTTTTCTTGATCGAGTATAGAAATAACCAAATTTCTGGGTCTTTTGTCGCTAGTTTCCCGTGTGTTTCGCATTGTTCAAAAAATTGTATACATTTTCAAAATGCTGTCCACTTTTTTTCTTGATTTGTTGATTTTACAAGAATCGGGACATTTGGTCCCTTTTTTCCCGTTCACTTTCCCATCAATCCGATTTATTCTTTTGTTGTTTTATTGTTTGAAATACTCTTGTTACCTTCTTCATTTATCAAGGAAATTACTCAAATTATTTTGGGAAAAATGCGTATTTTCTTCAAATCAATCGAAAAAGTCGCATTTTCCCCAAGGTATTTTGAGATTTTCTTGAATCGATACAAAAAATACTCGAAAATTCTTCGGGAAAAATGCGCCTTTTTCGATTGGTTCAGAAAAAGTCACATTTTTCCCGAAAGATTTTTGAGACTTTCGGATCGACACAAAAAGTCTCGAAAATGTTTCGGGAAAAATGCGACTTTTCTCGAAAAGATCAAAAAATCTCAAAAATACTTTGGGAAAAATGCGACTTTTTTCGATTGATTTGAAAAGGCGCATTTTTCCCAAAGGAATTTTGGGAAATTCACAAATCTCAAGAAACAACTATAAATATCAAGCTTTTGCGGTGAAATTGAGTAAAGCGTATTAAAATGAACTATTTTGAGATAAATTTGACGAAGAAAACATCAAATGAAGATAAAAATGAATTGAAAACCAATTTTCCCTTCAAAACAAAGGAATTTCCACATTTTCTAATGCAATTTCACTACCAAAATGTCAATCAAGTAGTATTTCATCTATTTACAACAAAAAACTTATTTTCAATGAGTTATTAAACGTGTTTTCACTTGAAAAATACGTAAAAACACAAACAGTTTGAATAAAATTGAAAAGTGCTGACAAATGTGTGGCCGTGGACTAGGAAACCAAACACATTTGTATTTCTCTCGGAGAAACTTTTATTTTTTTCTTTTTTTTTTTGCAAAACGTTTTTTACTGTTTTTTTTGAAGAAAAACATGTTCTATATTAATTTTTTTGTTACAGATGAACAAAAATGGACAATTGATGGATTTGCGATGATGGAATGATGATGAAATGTTGTAAGTGTTTATATTTTTGTAAAAATAGTCATTCATGTATTTTTCGATAAAATATGAGAATTCTGTTCAATTTTCCATGAAGGATGGATTGAATAGAACAGACCTGTAGTTTTGGAGGGTTTTCAGGAAGCTCGAGCCGGTCTTTTGAAAGGCCGTGCGTAAATGGAGCGAATAAGTCGGCTAATATCGGATCAATCGAAAAAATTCCTTATAAATTTAATTTTTGTTCAAAATCAAAATTATTACTTTTCTAGGACATCTGCTCAATTCGTCGGTGCTCAATTCAAAGGATGTGACAACGTCTACAACTCGAGCAAAATCAAACGAAGGAGGAATTTATGGTAATTTTCCCCATACCACTCTTCTAATTATTATTAATTTTTGGTTTTTTTGTGATGGTACTTTTCTGTACAAAAATCCCCCTTTTCCCGAAGTATTTTGAGAAATTTTATGTCGATTCAAGAAAGTCCCAAAATTCCTTTGGGAAAAATGCGCCTTTTCAAATCGATCGAAAAAAAGTCGCATTTTTTCCCAAAGTATTTTTGAGATTTTTTGATCTTTTCGAAAAAAGTCGCATTTTTCCCGAAACATTTTCGAGACTTTTTGTGTCGATCCGAAAGTCTCAAAAATCTTTCGGGAAAAAAGCGTCTTTTCTTCGAATCAATCGAAAAAGGCGCATTTTTCCCGAAGAATTTTCGAGTATTTTTTGTATCGATTCAAGAAAATCTCAAAATACCTTGGGAAAAATGCGACTTTTTCGATTGATTCGAAGAAAAGACGCTTTTTTCCCAAAATAATTTGAGTAATTTCCTTGATAAATGAGGAATGTATCCATAATATTTTGGGAAAATGTGGACTTTTTATTCTCAGCAATCGATCCTATATTTTCTTATACTCTTTTACCCCAATTTATTTTTTATTCAGTTTTTTTGGTCAAAATAAATATTTTTTGCTCTTTTACCTGTGATTTTTTTTGATCGACAAAATTTTTTGAATGTCTCGAAAAATCAGCGAATCAGACTGAACTGGAGGAAAAAAATGTAGATTTGAATTCTGCCTGTATATATATTAATCATAGAAGCAACTTTACATCACTGATCACAATTTTAGTCAAGTAAATATTTTTTCCTTTTACTCCATCCCTATAATCAAATCACTTGATCACTCATTATCATTTTCCGTTTTCCTATTTCATTCAAGTAACATGCAGATTTATGATATCGACCAAGTTGAGCAAGAAAACACTATTTCGAAATGTTTACTTGTTCTGGAAATAAAAACAATTCTTACTATTCCCTTGTACATCATTGCGTTTTTCTGTATTTTGGGAAAAAGTCAAAACTTTCAACACCATTTCAGAATGATGCTGGGTTTTCATGTGTTTTTGTTAGTGTTTTTTTTGAATAATACAAAAAATGTTGTGATATTTATTTACAGGTGTTTATGTGAAGATCTTTACGGCTTCATTCTAATGCGCCCCATTGTTTTCCTTCCTGTAGTTGGTATTTATGCAGATGGTTTACTCTCAAATATTTTTCACATAAACCCGTTCATTCAAATTGTTGGATTTTTCTTATTGATTCATATCAATGCCGGAGTTATTCTTCATATTTGTTTATTCCGGCTCAAAGTGATTATTCCAATATCTTTTAAATGTTATAGTTTGGTGGTTAAAAGTGGAAAATGGTTTATAGCTCTTATGTATTTTTTCTGTATTACTTCCACCTCGATATTCTTGTTGTTGCTGGAAGATCAGAACGAGGCAAAATTCTACATCTCTCAGGCAAAAATAATTTCAAAAAATAAATTTATGTATAATAATTTTAGACAGTTTCACCACTTCCAACAATGTTTTGGTCCGACAAATATGTGGTTTCAACGGCGAAATCTAAAAACTTTTATAGATTTCTCTATACGTGTTTATGTTTTGTTGTCAGCAACATTTCTATGTGTTCTTGTGTTGTACTAACCGCATTTGGTGTACTCTACCGGACAAAATCCAATATATCAGCAAAGGTTGTAGAAGCACAGAAAGTACTATTAAAAGTGCTTATTATTCAGGTATACATTTTTTTCTGACCTATCAAAAGGACATATTTCAGATGACAGTAGTAGTAGCATTTCTAATTCTTCCTAACACTGTTGTTGGATTCTCTATGAAATATGATTTGCAATCACTACCAACATTAATCATTTCTTTGAGTCTTGTGATGTCTCATGGTTCTTTTTCAACAGTTACGTTGATTTTTGGCACTAAGCCTTATCGTCAAGAAGTTACGCAAATATTCGGAAAATTTAAATATTGTTATTGCACTAAACGACATTTATTACCCAACAATACTATTTCTCCAATCGTATGAGGTTTCTTCAAAAGCTGGATACCAACCTTGCATAAGCTATAGTTTCGTTTTACCGTTAACACTTGTTTCATTAATTTTCAAAACTTCCCGATACATAAAATTAGTTTAAAACTCTGATATACATCATTTCGCAATTGATCTTAGCTAGAGCTAGCTAGAGCAAAACTTAATAGCTTTGGCCATTCTTTTTTTTCTAACACTATAATTATCAGTCACTTGTTTTATTGGCGTTTCTTATTCAATTTTTTTCTTCTCATAAACTCATTTAATTCAATTGTTATGCAGAACTTTGATATAAACCCAATTGAGCAGGAAGAATTTATCTCGAAATGTTCATTTATTATGGAAATAAGAACTATACTTACTTTGCCATTTTATATTCTTGCATTGCTTTGTATCTTTATGAAAAGTCAAAACTTTCAAAAACATTATAAAACAATGCTGGCAGTTCATGTTTTTTTGTAAGTTTTATTTCATCAAACAATTATAAAAACCTATTCTTCAGTTGTCTCATTGAAGATATTTATGGATTTATTTTCATGCGACCTGCTGTTTTTCCTCCAGTCATTGGTGTTTACACCGATGGTATTCTTTCCAATATTTTTAATATTCATCCTTATATTCAAGTTGTTGGATTTTTCCTCATAATTCATTTGAATGCAGGAGTCATTCTTCATATCAGTTTTCATCGACTAAAAATTGTAATTCCAATGTCATTTCGATTCTATAATTTGATGATCACAAAAGGAAAATGGTTCCTTGTTCTCATGTATATTTACTGTATGCTTTCAATGTCAGCTTTTGGATTGTTGATTGAAAATCAAGAAGAAGCTAAAATATATATATCACAAGTTAGGAAAACAAACATTTCTCTGTATCACTTGCCATTATTTCAGACAGTATCCCCTCTTCCAACAAATTTTTGGTCCGACAAATATGTTGTATCTTCAGCAAAATCTCAAAACTTTCAACATTTTTTGCATTATTCTGTGTTTTTTGTCATCAACAATGTTGTGATTTGTTTCACTGTTGTAATCGTTGCTTTTCGTATTCTTGATCGAACAAAAGCCAATTTGTCAGTAAGGGTTCTAGAAGCACAAAAATCATATTTGAGAGTACTTCTGATTCAAGTAAGGAAAATTAACAAAAAAGCAATTATCCATGATTTTTTAAAGGTGATTGTTGTCATTGTATTTCTGATCATCCCATTTACTGCATTCGGAATCAATATAAAATATGATTTGCAATCGCTAACACTTTTAATATCTTCAATAGTTCTTACGATATCACATGGTTCAATATCAACTCTTACCCTTATGCTCAGCACAAAATCCTACCGTCAAGAATTCGCCCGAATATTCGGAAAATGCAAATGTTTTCCTTGCACCAATCGACATTTATTACACAACAATGTCATTTCGTCAATCCGATGAGGTTTCGTCTAAAATTGAATACACATGTTTTTCTCTTTTTTCATTTTTCTTGTAAATTTTTGACTGATCGAATGAAGAAAAATTGCGAGAAAAAAGTGCTGGCTGGAATGTGGGTGGGATTTGATCAATGGTTTTGTGGTTGTAACATTCGTTTTTTTGGATAGATTTTTTGTTGAAACAGGTGACATGCGCTCTATTGAACACTTTTGAAAATGAACTTTTATGAAATTAACTTGATGAAATTTTCAAACGTGAAGTTCCACGTGAAAAACATTTTCTAGAGATTTCATTTCCAGTTTTTTTTCATTTCTCAAAATCTAGTCCAAAATCCCTTTCAATATCTCAAAATGAAAATCTATGTTTATTGTTTTGTTTATTTCCGATTCATCTGGAATTTTCAGACAACAAAAAAACACATCTGCTTCTTCTCTCGATACATAATTTTTCTACTCCACCCCAAAAAACTTCTTCTTTTTCTTCATCGTTTTTTTGTGATTCGTTCTCTCCTGAATTTTATCTCTCTTTTCTTTCTTTTTCGATTCTAATATCACACAACACAACATGGCAAAGTGTGGGCGAAGAAAACGAAAAACGAAGAATAAGAAGATGTCTCGGGCGGCACACAAAATGAAAGATTGGTTAGCCACGCCCACATTTTTGCGGATAGACATACTTTTAGTTAGTTCTCATATCTTGTTCTTGATTTCTTTGCTTCCTGATTCTTTGTTTTTGTTGTTTGTGCTTTTTGCTTTTGAAATTGATTCCTGAATTTGAATTTTTTAGTTGAATCATGTCGGACGTTGAAGACGAGTACGAAGACGAGGAGGAGCTCGAAGAGGAAGACCAAGGAGCCGATGAAAATCAAGAGCCAGAATCAGAGGTGGGTACGGTATACCGGCAGTGATAAACTACGGTAGATAGAGAAAATACTGTGTTAATAACTAAACATAAATTCTATCAGATTGTTAGAAGTTTTAGTATTCATAGTTAAATTTAAAAATCTCAAAAATTTCTGTAATGAAAAAAAATCTGATTTTCGTCTTGCAACACGTGGATAACTCGAATTTTCAGATTTCTGGAAGTTTTCTTTTTTTCGTGTAAAAATAATTTTCGAAGTTAGATTCTGAAAGGTTTCAAAATTAGAACTCCCCGTATTTTTCTATGTATCAAACCGGAAGTCTGCAATTCACAAAATTCTACACTTCTGAAAATTGAAAATCTAAGTTATCCAATTATTGTTTCACCTCGTCTTTTTTGAAAATCGACAGAATTGAAAGTTTCATAAACTCTCCACGTGTCATAAATTTTCCAAATTTTACAATTTCCCATTTTACAACGCGTTCCAATTTTATTAACAATAGTTCAACTTTTTCGAACCGACAACAAAAACAACAACAAAAGTTGTTAGAGAAATTTTGCCATTTCATCTTCTCGTCAGCCAGTCTTTCCCCACATTGTTGTAATACGCGCCTGCGGGAGTTAGCTCATTTCAGTGGAAGAGACAGATGAAAATCTCTCACTATCTAACACTATTTCTCTCGCTCTCTCGCTTGCTCGTTTTACACTTTTTTCAAGCCGATGTGTATTGGCAATCAAAAATATTCAGAAGGGATCGAGAATGAAATGAAAAGCTTATTAATTTTTTTTTTAATTCGAGGAAAGAATGAAAAACAAAACCAAATATCAGATGAAATATAAATACATTTCAGGCGGCTGATGAGCCAGAAGAGGCTGCTCCAGCTTCACCACCAGCTGCTGCTTCACCAAAAGCCGCTGCACCACCAGCTTCATTGAAATCGCCAACTCCAGGAGCTCAAGTTCAATTCACTCCATCAATTCCACAATCCGTTTTGAGAAGACAACAAAACTATTCCGGTGGAAAACCATCAACTGTTCACACCAAGGAAAAGCTCATGAAATCCGAAGGAATTATCCCAATTCAAGCCGGATCCAACAAATATGCTTCTCAAAAAGGAATGACCGGTTTTGGTGTTCCTCGTGACGTCATCGATAAGGTCAAATCTGAAAACTTGGCTGAAATCACCGATGAGAAGAAGATTGCCAACTTGAAGGGATCAACCTGGTTGCAATCTGGTACCAACAAATTTGCCTCTCAAAAAGGACAAACCGGATTCGGTTGTCCAAGAGATGTCAACTATTTGACCAAAGGAACCGGAGGAGCTCAAGAAGTTCCAGAAGAGAAAGCTCGTGCTACCAACGGTATTGTTCCACTTCAATCCGGAACCAACAAATTGGCTTCACAAGCTGGTATGACTGGAATTGGTATGCCAAGAATTGTCGATGTCCGACGAACAACAGATCAAGATCGTGATTCGCAAGGATTCATCCATCTTCAAATGGGAACCAACAAATTTGCCAACCAAGCCGGTATGACTGGATTTGGTATGCCAAGACATAACATCACCAAGTGAGTTCAAGCGATAGAATTTTGAAATTTATTTAAATTTTTCTAACTTCTAGATACAAGGATGAAGTTCGTGGAGATATGCCACATGACGAAGGATCTCTTTCAAGACAAACATCTGGATGGAAAGAGGGAGCTACCCAAGCTGGTATGTCTGGCTTCGGTGCTTTCCGTAACAACACTGTCGCCTTTATGCAATCACAAGATCAACGATCACAAGGAATGATCCCATACCAAATGGGAGTCAATTTCTTGGAATCCCAAGCCGGTAAGACCGGATTCGGACAACCACGTCAAGTCTACACTCCATTCACCGACGACACTCACGAGGATTTGCCAGCCGATTTGGCCAGACAACCCGATGTTCCATTCTGGTCGGGACAACACGAAGCACAACACGCCAATCAAACCGGTATGACATCTTTCGGAACTCCTCGCGATGTTCGTGGTGAATATGTGCGCCGTATGTGGTAATTATAATAATTTTGCTAATTTTTTCATAATCTTTTCTTTTTCACCTTTAATCTTTCGAATAATACAAGTTTATTTCCTTTTGTATAAACTTTATTGATGAATTCCATCGTTTTTGAGAAATTTTCAGGTGAAGAATTGAATCGAAAACCCGAATCTATGCAATCTCTAGCTTTTTTGTTTGTAATTATACTCAAACTATGTTAATTACAAGATATATAATGATGTTTTGTTTTCGGTTTGCAGTAGGGTTTTGTGAAGTTGTAAAAACAATTCAATAAAAAATAAAACAAAATGAAAATAATTTCAAAATAAAAAAAGTTCGCAATTTCGCGTGTACACATTTTTTTCATTTTCACTTTTTTGATAATCCAAAAAATCTGGTGCATAAATCTGTTAGCACCCCAAATGTCATGACCAAAACTACAACCCATGCATAAAATTTCTAACCAAAAATCTAATAATTTCTCAAATTTTTCCCCAAAAACTCACATAAATCATCAATCGGTTGTTTCTTCATCACATTCCATTTTCCTGAAGACGATTGTCCAATCTGAAAATTCGAGCACTCAAATCCGGAAGAAAATACTAAAAAAAAAACAAACAAAAGCAGAAAAAAAAACAAAACCGATGATTATTGATTTTCTTCAAACACATGGCCGAGAATACCAAAATGGTCAGCCGTGCGGCCAAGTCCCCCACTTTTTTTTATTTTTTTTTCGTTTTGTTTTTTGCTTTGTTTTTTTGTGGTGAAACATACTTTTTTTGTCAATTTCAAGCTTCTTCAATTTAAAAAATTGTATATACATTTTTAAACTTATTCCGTCTATTTTTACAATCAAGTCTTTATTTTTCACTTGTGTCACAAATTTTCAAAATCCCCCCAAAAGTGTACCGTCACTAGTGAGTTTTTAATTGTCTATGCTCATATATATTTGTTTCAATAGTCTTTCTTTTACAAACAACCAAATTTGTTGATTTTTTGTTTTCACGTGTTCATTTCTTTTTTATCTTTATTTTTTTATTGAAAAACATGAAACGCTGAATATTTCCATCGGTTTTTTTCTCACGTGAAAAAATCATCAAATTTGGTTGTTTCTGAGAATGAGTGTCCGTTTTAGATACCCTTTTTCGCGCAATTTCTTTTTTCTCACATCTGCTGTCTGATTCTCTCTTTTCTCCTCACTATCTCTTACCTTTCTTGTGTATACTTTTGGTTTCCAGGCAACCAAAACCAAAATGATTTGAATATTTTTTACATTATTTCAATCTCACAACAAAATGGACGAAGAGAAGAAATACGTCAACTTCACTGGATTTATTCGAGTTTATAAATTATTCCGAAAAAATAAACTGGAACATGCGTCGATGTTATGCACTAAATTGCTTCAGAAAAATCCACTCGATCAGGTATGTCCTTCAGGAAAAAAAAAACTTTTTCACCAAAAAAAATATGTTCAGGCGACTTGGGCTTTGAAAATGCAATGTATTTCGGATGGGACATATGTGGATGAATTGGATAATGAAGATGTTGGAATTGCTGAAACGTTTTTGGAGCAAAATGTGATTGCACCGAATGCGAGACCTGGCACAAGTTTTCAACGGCCAAAAACCACCGCGAAGGGAATTAATCCAATTTTGCGACCAACAACAAATGCTGGACGACCAGTTTCAGGAGTGGTTCGACCAATGAGTTCGTTGAAAACTGGAAGTATGGATCAAGCTGTGAGAACTGCAAGAACTGCAAAAACAGCGAGAGCTGTGAGTAGTACATCAGCAAGAAATATGAGACTTGGAACATCATCAATGGCCTCAACAAATGAAATACAAATTGTGAATTTGGCACGATTGAATATTGATAAATATGGATCTGATCCTTTGGTAAATCGACAACTTTTTGAATATGTTTTCTATTTTATGGGAGATATCAAAGCAGCTCATCAGATTGCTGGATGTGCAACAAAGGCTGCTGGTTTTGATGATTGGTATTGGAAAAATCAGCTAGCAAAATGCTATTTTCGATTAGGAATGATTGGAGACGCTGAGAAACAATTGTTATCATCTTTAAAACTTCAAAGCCTTGTCGAAACCTACGCATTACTCGGAAAAGTCTATAATCGTCTTGATCAACCAATGTCTGCAATGCGATATTATAAAGAAGGTATTGAAGTATATCCAAATGATGTGACACTTTTACTTGGAATGGCAAGAAATGAAGAATTATTGGGAGAATATCAGAATTCAGTTGATATTTATAAAAAGATTTTGAGTGTTCAAGCAAATAACATCGAAGCAATCGCATGCCTTGCAACAACTTATTATTATAGTGGAAAGCCTGAAATTGCACTTCGATATTTTCGAAGAATTATGCAGATGGGAGCAAATTCAGCTGAATTGAATATGAATATTGCATTGTGTTGTATGGCTTCTCAACAATATGACTTGGCTATTCAATCAGCATTACGGTAGGTTTTTTTGAATCAACCTTACCACTATTATCTTGTAGTATAACTTCTGATTCTAATCAGGACTTATACTGATTTTTAAAATCAGTATTAAAAAAATATATTTTTTAGTGCACAATCAACGATGACTGAAGACGTGGCAGCTGACATTTGGTATAATATTGGGCAGATTATGGTAGATGTTGGAGATTTAGTTTATGCAACAAGAGCATATCGAATTGCTTTATCACATGATCCAGATCATAGTGAATCATTGGTAAATCTTGCAATTCTGAAACATCGTGAAGGTCGATTTGATGAAGCTCGCTCACTTTATATGTCAGCACTTTCGAAAAATCCAGGAATGTTCGAAGGAAATTTCAATCTTGCATTGGTTTATTATCAACAAGGAAAATATAATGAATCTCGTCAACTTTTGAAACAAGCATTGATTGCATTCCCTGAACACGATCATTGTAAAAAACTAATGAAGACAATTAACGGGATGTTCGAGTCAGTGTAATATGATTCCTTTTATGATGACTTGCAAGAAACTCAATACTTTTCCCTTGTTGTGTGAAATTCATTTTTACTAGCAACCCATATGTGACACAACATGCTAAATTTTTATTACTATTTTCTTTTTTACCTAATAAATTGTATGAATCCTGTGGTTTTTGGTACACCTTTAGATGTTTTGTTGATTTTGGATCATCCGCGATTGATTTCTGTTGACTTAAAAAAGATCAAGTATTGAAATTTTTGTTGAATTATGCATTGAATATAAATTCAAAGAAATAAATGGTCGAGAAATTGTGGAAGAAGCTGATGAAGTTTTGGGAATTACGATGGAAAATGTGGAAAGTTCTGAAAAATCAAAAACTTTTCAAATGCAACAGAAAAATGTTCGAACTTTGAGAAATCGAAGAATATTAAATATAAGATCGGATGAGAACTTTGATTTCGCAGAATATCCTAAAGATTCGCATTCGGTACAACTGAAATTCACCTCAAATTTAAAAAATTCTTCAGAACTTGCATTAAATCCACATTTTGCAAAAATTCCAATTGAGAAAATGGTGAGCCAAATTTTTTGAAGTTCAAGAAATGTTTATAATTTTAGAGCAACGATGAATGGGAATTCGAAATCTTAAAATCCTATGTTCAATGGGTTGTGCAGAAAAACGAGTCTTTTGAGCAAGCTGTTTTTGAAATGAAAATAAGTAGGAAAATACCAAAGATGGTATCAATTATAACAACTCTCATGTATCTCACAAATATTTTATTGATTTTTGAAATATTTCCAGTTTTTTCACTGGACTTCAATATTAAAACTGATTGGGTGAGTTTTTTTGTTGATAACAATGACATGCAATCCATCAAAAAAATTTTAAAGCGGATTTAATTTCTGAAATTTTTGATACGTAAATAATACAGGATTTGTGCGTAATGGAATTTCATTAAAATTTCAGAAATGTTGTTTTTTATCTCCAACAAATAAGTTTTGATCCAACAAAATTTGAATGGTAAATACTTTTTGATTTTCATGACGTAAAAGTAGACGTAAAAACACCTGGTTTTTAAAAAGTTTATCATTTTTTATCGGAAATTTTAAAACTGACTGATTGTGAGTGAGTTTTTTTATTGGTATCACAAATCATTAGATCCATCAAACATTTTCAAATGCGGATATAATTAATGAATGTTTTTATACGTAAATGATACAGGATTTTTGAAAAATTATCAAAGATAGTTATAAAATCTTTCAAAATTCCAGATCAATCTTCTGTGTGTCCAAGTTCTAATCACACTGATCTCAGCTCCTCAAGCTCTTGGCAAGTTCCACCGCTATCTTCTCAGCCAACTCCTACTCTCTACACTTATTTGTCTATCCAAAAATGTTCTACCATTTTTTCTATTTCATTTACGCTGTTGTCCAATCGAATCAGATCCATCTCCTCCACTTTTTCCATCACCAAGTGACCAATTCAGTTTGGATACGGAAAGAGCAAAATGTCACGCAGCTATGGATTCTGCACGTGCTGAATCTCTTCGAAGTCCACGCGCGGCTAATTTCGATATGTGCATGGTATGTTTTTCTTTTTTGAATAGCAAGATTTGAAAAAAAAGGAGAATTTCAGGCTGAAGTGAAGTTCACGATGGCAAATTTCAACGAGGTTCTAAATTTACATTCATCTTCAGAATGGCGACGAAAATTATGGCGAAATGCTTATCGAAGATTTGAAATCTGTATTTTTATAGTTTTCCAATTGATCAATATTATTTTATACATTACTTTTTGAAACAATATTTCCAAATAAATTTATTTCATTTATTATCAGTTCATAAACAACACATGAGAGCAAAAATATGGTATGAGAGATCTAAAAACGCCACGACAGAAAAAGTAAAAAAACACGAAAACAAAATAGACAGACAACGGGCTTTGTATAAGGGAAGAGGAAGGCGAGTATAAAAATGACATTGTTAGTTTTGTATTTCGGGGAGTTAGTTGAAACAAGAAACAACAAAAGCATCACAGAATTAAAGAGACGGAAAGGAAACGAAGTCAACCCACAGAATCGAATATAAATTGTTTTGGAAAAAATACTTGAAGAGAACAAAAGAGTTCAAGAAAAATTGCTTATTTTGTACTACAAATCGCGTTCATCGGCACCCGCACGATTCAACCCGCATATCGGCATATTCTTTTATCACTATTCTGAAAAAAATTGTTGGGGTAAGAGTTGAAAGGATGAAAAATGAAGTTTTAAAAGAACTTACACATTATCTGTATCCATGTAGAGTATCGAAAGAGGACTCGTTTCTGTTGGAACACAACAAGGAGGTGGGACCTGAAATTAAAAAAAAAAAATAGTAGCAAAAATAATAACTTATAAATCTCACCTCCTCGGGGTTCAATGAATGCAACAAGGCTTGAATAATCGCATGGTTCGACGCATTCAAACTTGCCGGCATCACACTGGGACACGATCCTTGACACTGGAAAGCATCATAGCCTTCTGAAAAAAAAACATCCCGTTTGCATTTTTCCAAACAAAAAAAACTCACTCGGCGCCATAATCCAATCCTGCCATCCCAACTCGTCAAAATCCACATAAAGTTCGGTCTTTCGACACAGATTGTTTGATGTGGATTGATCGTAAACATGATGTTTTTTGCCCTAAATATCTTATGAATCAAGAAATCTATAAAATCGATCTCACCTTCTTTCGATTTTTTCGTTCGTTGGGTGTATCCGCACTTCTTCTCCTTCTTCTCCTCCTCCATTTTTCATCCGAAAATACAATAAGTGGAGCACTTTGCGCTTTTGCATATTGTAGTTGACTGATTGTTGAAGTGCTTGCAATTTGATCAAGTTCAGCACCTTCGATGTAAAATCTGATGGTATTGTTGTGATTGATCGCAGCAGCAGTCACATCAAAGTCAACCCAATGATCTTCGGATAATATTGATGAGCGATTTTCGATGAGTTGAAGGGTCTAAAAAATAAAATGAATTGAGAAGAAACCATAAGAATAGTCAACTAACCTCAACGTCATCAAGATAATAAACTTTTACATTAGTGGAATTCGGGTGTAATCGAAGTTTTAATTCGGCTCGAATCACTTGCTCAGCTCTTGCAGCAACCGATAAATTATATGATAACATAAAACCTTTATGAGTCTCCATAATATCTCTAGGATAATAATGTCGAACCCAATCAGCTTCATAATCCGAATCGTGATAAAGATCCCAAACATGTTTCGGTATATCAACATTTGGTCCAGATTGTAAAGGAACACCTTCCAAACCAAATTGTTTCAATAATTTCTGTTTTTCAAGATTCATATTCATAGTGGTTACTGTAGCAGTTGTTGTTGTGGTGGTAGAAAAAAGAAGGAGAAGAAGAAGAAAGGCGGACAGCAGTTTTGAATTTTTCGTCGTTATTGTTGTCCGCTCGTCGTCGTTCATAGTTCAGATAGGCTCATTGACAGAGCATTTATTGACATATTATTATTATGAAAGCGGCGACGATGTTGTTGTTGGTTGTATTCTGATTCTGATGGTGGAGATATTTTATGACACTGTTGCGCGGCGACGGTGACAATCAATAACAATATGCGACTTATCGCATATCAAAACTGCAAATAATTTGAAATTGTTTGAGGGCTTGGAAGAGTTTTGGAAAATTCAAGAAAAAATTCAGGAAAAATCTCAGGAGATCCTCCTTAGAAAATTTCCAAATAAAATGACTACATGCGTTCACGAAAATAGAAAAAAGAGTACAGCTCTAAAAATAGCACATAAAAATATTATTTTCTCTGACAACAATGTTTCTATGTTTTTCTTTCCAAAAAAATCCTTTTTTTGCGAAGGCGTTTCCAAAATTGGCTGCAATCATACATTTTTTTGTTCAAGTCAGTCTGTTTGCAAGAATCCTTTTCTGCTCTGTAACTAGCAGAAGAAGAGCAAAAGCGAAACAAAAAACGAGTTGACTGATTTATTCAACTCTTGGGGATTTCAAGAAGTCGACGGGTTCACACCACATTCCGAACAGGGGCACAAAACGAATAAATGGATGAGAATAAAGAAGAAGAAGAAGAAGAAGAAGAAGAAGACAATGGGATGTGAAACAGAAAAGTAGAAAAGATGGGAAGCCTGAAAAAGAGAGCAAAATCCCGCGAAGAACAAAATGATATTTGATACGGGAGACCCGTCGGCTAACTTCAAACAACATTTTTGTTTCTCGTGCCGTTGAGGAATGTTGTTGAGATTTCTGAATTCATGGTTGGTTCATGTTTTCAGAGCAAAAATGAAAAAAAAATGGTTTTTGAGTTTTTTACAGGGTTCTTCTCAAGTTCTTGTTGAAATCAGGAAAAATGACCATGAAATTTGAGATTGAACTTTGAAAAACAAAAAAATCTGTCATGTGCTTGAACACATGAAACACCTTTCTGTTTTTCGCAAAAATTCACAACATTTCGAAAAAAAACCCAAAAAAAAAGCCTGCTACCGTAACCATGCCTCATAAAAAGTCTAATTGGGACATTCTGGCGCCACTGCCAAAGGTCGTCTTAATTATCCCAAAAAAAAACTAGATTTTTATTCTGAACATCGCCAAAAAAGTGCAGAATGAGCTGAGCACAGACCAGAGTTGTTTTAAATACGAAAAAGAAAAAGTGAAGTCCAGATGTGTTTGATGAAAACTGAAATTGAATTAAAAAAAGAGAAGAAGATTCGGAATGCGGGTAGATAATAAAATCTCGAAATGACGTGTGGAGTACTTTTATACCAATTTTGGACATGAAAATTGTGACGTAGGAGCAAAAGTTTTCAGCGAGGAAGGAAGAAATTTGAGATGGTTTACAGGAAGTTCAAAAATATATAAATACGTAAGAATAATATTATAAATAGAAGAAGAAAAGAAATAATAACAAAAAATGGGCGGAGGGTGTGGGTGGGTGATCCAGACAAAATATAATTAGAGATAAATGGAAGTGAAGGATAATATTCTAGGAATAATATTGTCTATTTTGCAGAATGTTCTTTTGAACACTGAAAAAATGTCAATGTCAATGAAAAAATTGTGTAAACCAAAAACAAAAACAATTCAAGGAGGAGACAAAACTATAAAAAAGTGCAATTATATATCGAAAGTATCTTATAACAATTTACATGTGTTCCAAATTCATTTTCATGATCCGAATCACAAGCAAATAAATCAATTGAAGACACAGATGTTCCTCTTCTTTTCTCTGTTTTTTTTGTTGAACATGAAAAATCTCGTGTTCGTTTTTTGAAACAGAAACAGAAACATCAGCAGATTTTTGGTTATACCAAAAGATCGAAAAAGAACTTGAACAACAAAAAAATAGTTGGTACTTTTTTTTGGGGGGAGTGACTAATAGAAGTGTATTGTTTGGAGGGACAAAAGGTGAGAAAGTCGGAAAAAAAGTTGAATAGAATGGGTATTAGGAATATCAGTTGTGTGCGAAGACATTTTTCAAATGTTGTTATGTTGTTTGGAACGGAGAAAACTTTCAAACCAGCAGCTTATTAGTTTTCAGATAAATCAGCTTTTAAAAACTGTCTACGCGAATTGATCGAATTTTAAATGCTCGAAAAATTTCCAGTCAAAAATAGGTTTCAAAAAACTTTTATTTTTTTGGGTTGAACAATGTTTTGTTTTGCTAGTCACAATAATATAGAATTTAACAATCACAGGTGAATAGTTCGCTCGGATTTAGATTTCTAGAAAATTTTAGTTTCTGAAACTTTTTCCGAATAGGTCCTTAATGAAATCATTAGAAACTATCTAACTGAACCAGTGAACATCTAAATCAATAGAACTTATTAAAAAACGAGAAAATCCAAATGTCACATGAACTTTTACTAACATTTCATTGAATATCAGTTCAGATTCAGAACATTATTTCACAAAGTTCATTTTTCAGGAAACAAATCCAGAAACTAATATGGGATTCTATAAAATATAGTACAATGAACATAATGTCTACAGTAATCCAAAAAATAAATCTGTCCAAAAACAATATTTTTCAAAAAATCAAAATCGAATGAAAAAAGTATCGAAAGCATTAAGAACAGAATGATGATATCAAAAAGCCTAGGCTCGACTGGAACATGATAAGATAGACCGAAAAAGAAGAGCGACAGTGTGAGAAGCGATGGAAAAAATATAGAAGAATAGATGGAGGCCTTTTGGTTGTGCTCTTGAGATGCGAAGAAATCCGAGAGAAAGAAATTGCTGTTTTTTGATTAATGTTTCTGAATGTGGCGGCGGCGGCGGCGGCCGATTGGAAGAGGACAACAGTCGGTTATTCTTCTTCTTCTTCTTCTTTTCTGTTTCGTTTTTTCATCAGCTTGTTCATTCGATTGAAAATGGATTGATATGTGCTAATTGAAGAAATTGAAGAAGAAGAAACATAAAATGATAGTTCAACAACACGTGTAAAAGAACATCTTATGCCAAACAATAGGAGAAAAGAGATTTTGATTTATTATTGTATGTTGCTTAGCTTGGATCTTTGGAAATTTGCCAACAAAAAAAGTAGCGCGACATTTGAAATGCGAAATGCGCGACACATGTGTGTCAAACAAAGAACTACAATATAATCAAGATAAATTAGGCTTCATTAAAAAGATCATAAAGGTGGTGCCGAAAGAGACACCTTTTTTCGGCTATTTCCAAAACCTATCCAAAATTTCTAAAGTGAAAAGACGAGAACAAAAATGATTGATAACTAAAAAAAAAAGACCCCAAACTTGGTGTTATTGTTTTATTTTTGTTTTGTTGTCTCATCTTTTCTCTCTAAAAAAGAACCCATCCAAAAATAGAAAATACTTATAATATCACGTTGGTTGATGACCTTTTGTGCGGCTGCGGGAAGAAACACAACCGAGAAAAAATATTCGAAGAGCGAATAAATGAAACGGGAAGAATTGTTTCGCTTTGTATGTTTGCGACAAGATTAACGAGACAAATGTGTTTCGTAGCACTTTTGTGCTTCTTGTGTTAAAGTTTTGATTATTTTTGCGTGGGTTAGAACAGAAAAAAAATGAAGGTAATGCGGGGAGGAAAGTTTGGAGCTATTTACACATTTTTGCAAAACTGATTGAACTGTGGTTCCTGTTTCTAGTTTGGTTAAAAAACTGTTTCAATAATTTTCAAAATTTGTGAATATACCTAATTCGTTTTGACGGAAAACTAGTGCAAATCTTAGAAACAATTTAATTGTAAGATCATTTAAAAACACTTTGATGTAGACCTAAAATTTCTACTGTATCAGAAATGTTCTGAGTTTTTTATTGGAAACTGCTTCAGATTGTGATCAGGTGAAAACCAAATATCTACTCACAATCAATTCAAATAATTTTTACTTCGGGCCAAAAGTTCAGTATCAAAAAAATAAATTCCTGGTTGTCCGAAAAAATTCTAAAAATATCTCACAATTTGTCTGAAAAAAACTACTTCCATTTTCTTATCTTTTCCCAAAACTAATATCAATAAAGTGTGAATTTCAGCGCCATAAATTCTCTATTATTTTTGCCATGATCAATCATTGACCAGATCAATACAAAAAACCGAGTACATACAACAAAAAGTCACATGTTTATTCACCGTGTAAAATATCACGCTAAAAATAAGAAGAACGAACAAAAAATCATTGTCAGTTAGAGATACAGTAATCATAGGGTATCAATGTCTAATTTCGTCAAATGATATTTTTTGCCTGCTTTGTATTTACTCCAAAGCTTAACAATGTTAAGAATTCGGATTAACAAAAACTTCGTTTTTTTCTTTTATTCCCTTCTTTTTTGCGTTTCGTATTTTCACTACGTAAAACAGAAATTGAACATTTCATGTATTTATGTATGTAAATCGCAAAAAACACAAACTATACAGAAAAATACTAAAATTTACCCGCGAAAAAGGCAGACAAAGTATGGGGAAAAATATGTACAAAATTTGAGAAAAAACTCAACAAAAATTAGAATGAACATTGAAAAAATGAAACCGAGATTGAAAGTGAGAAGGGATCGGGTTGGACTATTTTTTTGTTTTCTAGAAGAAAAAATATATAAATAAGTGTGCGTCAAAAAAGTGATAATTTGAAAAAAGCCTGAGCAATTTAATAAGTGACTTGATAAAGAAAAAAGTTGGTTTTAAAACAAACGAAAAATTTAAAGACTTCGTCTAGTTGATACATTTCGTTCAATTCTCGCAGGAGATGGTGGATGTTGGTGTTCTTCACCATCAAATGGTGGAGGAGGAGTTGAACTTGTCGGTGTGTTTGTGGATGTTGGTTGCATTTCAATGTTGTTTGAAGTTAGCGGCGGAACATTGGCGGCGGTTCTATAACCGGAACATTTTCAAATACTTTAGGGTTCTTTGAATATTATAGGCTTGAGGGTTCTTTGAATATTTTTTTGTAAAAAAATTATTTTTGGATTTTCAAACAAAAAATATAAACAAAAATTATTTTTGAAAACCAACAAAAAAGAAAAAAAAATTAGAAAAACGATATTTTTTAGGTTATAAAATCGATGATTATTCTTTAATTGTAAGAAACTTTAGTTTTTTTGTAGAATTTTTCAAAACTCCAAACATTATTTTCAAGTTTTCAGCATCACATTAAAGTAATGCATTAATAATCTACTGATCAAAAAATAATATTTTTAATCTTTAGATTCAAATAAGAAAAATAAACACTGTTTGAATTTTCAATTTCATCAAATGTCTACTTTTGTTCAGAACTTTTCAAAAAAAAAAACCCCCTTCCCCAAAAAACTCACCCAATAACCGTATCCTTGGTGGCATCTTCATAAGATGGCAATGGCGGAAGTGAAGAATCATTTCGTCTCGGTCTTCCAACTGCATATGGTGGAGGTGGTTGAATTCCAGCCGCAACAAATGGCAAAATTCTCAAATCATCTCGACTAATTGTGGTCATAGTTCCAGGTGCTCCATTTCGATCCAATCCATAAATCGCAGCGGCTCGAGTCATTTCATCTCTTCGCGAATTTGTGAATTGCGATTGAACTTGCATTCGATGTTTCATTAATAGATACATAGAAACAACTAATACAATTATCATAACAAGGCTGAATACGGTTCCAGATATATCTCGACTGAATAATTCCCCGCCCTGAAAAATGAATAGGTTTGTAAAATATTGGAAGCTTCAGAATAGGACCTGGATGCCATTTATTTATTTAGAATAAAATCAGAATATTTTAGACAAAAAACGTGGTCCAATGCAGAATTATTCCCCCAAGCTAGGTCCGATTCGAAAACTCGAATCAAATTAGATAAAAACTTACCTCATTGGAATTTTGGCCATATCTTTGAAACCTCGAATTCGCTCTTGTTCGATTTGTGTCAATTTCACAATGATAACCCAAAAAATTGTGAGGACAACTACATCTTCCACGCATTTCAAATCCACCATTCAAACAAACTAAATCCGCACAAGTTTCTCCTTGATAAAATGGTAAACAGCTACAATAATTATGCCCGTCGATTCCTAGAAAAAAAAATGAATTTTTAGTACAGATATATATTTTCCTCACAGAAAAATTATGATAAAATATCACCTACCTACTAAAACTTGTCCTTGATCACACATTTTCTCGCAATATTCTCCAAAATATGGTTGTGGACATGAGCATCTTCTTCCCATTGATTGACTTCGATATCCGCCATTTTGACAAGCGGGAAGTTGTCGACAATGTTGATCGAGTTGAGAAGAAGTCGATTCAGGACATTTACATTGCACACCATAACCCATAAAACTCGAATTATATAATGCGGCAGCGGATAAAAGAAATGTTCCTTGAAAAACTCGACAATGATCATCTTGTTCACTTCCAAGTAGTTTTTCATCGATCGCATAATCGGATGCGGTTTCAGTCCAATTGCTCACAAGTTTTGGATTTTCAGCAATCGGTGTGCCACGTCGACAACATGTGATTTTATAGGTTCGAGAAAGCCATCGAGGTCCAAGAAAATCTACACCATGTTGAGGTTTGTCTGAAATAATTTAGGAATACTTTTTGGGCATTTTTAAGATTTTAGGGTAGGGTTATATTCTTCACAATAATTTCATTTTGTAAAAAAAATCACATTTCTCAACATTTTTGGCAATTTTTCATCCTGACACGATTTTATGACCAAGACCTCAAATTTTTTGAAAAATGTCGAGACTGGAGATTTACCCTAGTAAACTTTTTTCATAAATGCTATTACCATATTATTCTAAAATGCTCTAACCCAAAACTTTCCGGTTATTCAACTTGACCCCCATTCAATAAAAAAAAACGCAATCAATGTCAATTTTTTAATTGCAGTGAAACATAATCAAAACTGGTTTTTTTTTGAGATTTATTCATTTCATTTTATTCAATTTTCTCGCTCTCTCACATCACAAAAAATGATATTATATTATGCAATATGTATATTATAATTATTATGTATTTTATACGTACATACCTGATTTTTGTGTGGTAATGTTATTTGAAAACAAATCATCTTCGATTGTGGAAATTGAATAGACTAAAAATATGAATAGTAGAATTGAGAGTCGATAGTTCACCATTACACAAACATAAGTCACGTGCTGTAAAAAAATAAAATTGATATTGTAAAATGACAAAAAAAAACATATTGACTAACAATAGATAGGAGAAATTATGAGAAAAGTGTAGTTTCCTGAGAAAATTTCGTCACTTTTTTTTTGGTGGGTTGAAAAAAAAACTTTTGAAAAAAAAACAACTTCCACAAAAAAGTTATCACTAATCCTCCCCTTTCTCCCCCCAAAAACATCAAAAACAAAAAACAGGCAACGATTCCAGATAATAAAAAAAACTGTGTCGATAATCATGATTAATATGATATAATATATGCGAAAATTTGAAATAAAAAACCGCAAAAAAACGAAAAAGAGAGAAAAATCACACCGCGTGAAGAGAGGGAAGGAACAAGTTTCAAAAGCAACAACAAGAATTTTGAGGAGGAAAATGGTCGGGCAAAAAAATAGTATAAGGCGATTTTTGACAAATCTCTGATGGTCAAAAAATAAGCTTTTATTCCAATTTGAAATACTTACTAAACCAAAAAGGATATGTTATACAAGAATAATAATAATAATCCAATAAAGGAAAAGAGGAAAAGCTCTCCCAGGTATTTGGAAAAAGAAAAAAAAAAGTGTCAAATTTCTGTTTGCCTTTTTATACAGAAATATATATTTAATTTACATAGGAAGTAGATATGTTTCTCGGTTTCCTTTGATGAAAATTACGGTTTTCTAGAAAGCAGTAAGCAGGGAAAAAATAATAACAATAATTAAGAAAGTAAGTAGCAAAAAAAAGTGAAATGAATTATAGTTTAATAGTGACTGTGAGAGTGGGAAAAAAAGATTTGTATCAAACTGGTTTTTTTGCCTTTTGATGTTCGTTGAACTGTAACCTTTTGTTATAAATTCAAATTCGAATTTAAATTAATTTCAAATTGAAATCTATTTGTAATATTTTCTCGAAAACCAAAGAAGCTAATGGAAAACGTTACTTTAGTAGATATTTATTAATAATTCAGAAACTCGTGTTTTTGGTGAATAATAATAAAAACTCATTCAAAATCAAACATGTGTGAAAAATAAGTGGGCCATTGTTCTTTATGGCAGAAAGAAGACGGAAAACAGAGATATTTTTGTGGTGGATTTTTTTTTGAGTCCAGTAAACATTTTGGAAGTAAAAAAAGACAAACTATATTGTAGTAACAATGTAGTTGGGAATTTTTCGAAATTACACGACAAGCTTTTGATCCAAGAGAATTGCATTATGCAGAAGAACAAACTACACGGGATATTGGGTGAAACTATTAAAGGAAAATTTCAGAAGAATTTTTGAGAATATGTGAAAATTTCTTCTTTCAACCGAATTTTTATATGAGGACTACTCTAGAAAATTTTCAACTGAACCATAGCAAAATTCAAAACTAAAGAAAAACTTCGTGGCTCAAACCCAACAAAAACAAGAATTGGCCAAAACGAGAAGAAGAGATAGAAAAAATAGAACCCGGTAATCGCGAAATCCAATAGCACTTGTCGAATCGCATCGACTCGTCAACAACAATAATAAACAATAAGAAAACATGCGCGAAAAATGTTGATTTTTTGATTGCTGGCGAGGCTCTCAAGTACATGTTTCTGATCTTGGATACACTAAGCTCAACGAAACACTGTTTCATTCTAGTGTCAAACTCATAGGCCTTGGTTTTATGAAGAATATAGATATATGTGACCAAATGAACCCGGAATCATAATCAAGATAAAAAGGAACCGTCTCGCATTTTTTGACAGCCCCAAAGAAGAACAACAGGAAGACTTTCAAATGTGCCATACAATTTGTTGCTCGAGAGAAACTCCGCCCACTTTTTACGCGAGCGCGGAATTGTGCAAATATTATGTGTGATAACAGAAAAAATGTGTTTTTTTTCTCTGTATAACTGTAGTAGTATAGTAACAATAAATATATTAAGTAAAGATGAGTAAACAAAATGAATGAAAAAACGTTGAAAAGTTGCCGAATAAAATGGCGTAATATCAAATTACACAGACAGACAGAAAATGTGAAAAGAGAGAGAAAATGAAAGGTGTGAAAAAAGTAAAAGAACAGGTAAGTTCAGGTTTGACTGGTTTCCTGAATTTTAGAGGATTGTTGCAATAATGAACTGTGTGGTCTTTTGTAGATAGCTAACATTGAACGCGAAAATTCGGATTCTCGTTCAATTTTGCAACCTTTTTCGAATTGCCAATAAATTTGAAAACTGAAAAAGTTTGAACTGAATAGAACACAATTTAGAATAGCTAAAATTCAACCAGAATTTAGATTTTTTGGAAAAAAATGTAAATGGAAGGAGACTAAAATTCTTCTATTCTTTCGAATAAGAAAATTGTGAAGATTCCATTTTGATTGGAAAAATGTTCGTCATGTCACATATTTCAATCGGTGACGAAATTCTATTCAAAATTTTGCAACATTTCCGAACGTCATAGAGTAATCCAGATAAAAACTCCGCAAAACCAAAAACCATGCAAGATAAACAATATAAAACTTCAATTCAATTGAAATGCATAGCGTCTGGCAAAAAATGTCATCAATTCAAAAACTTTTTTTTTGTTGCATTGCATTTATTCAGCGCATCCAGTTCACACGTAAGTATTGCGCAAGACAGTTACGCATAAACAAATCACAAATGTCAATAAATTGTGCGGCAGCAGCAGCAGAAAACTTTGGCCGCCGCGTGCGAAAAATTTTTTTTGGAATAAGAGTGTCATGAAAAAAGGGAACGTGTGAAAGAAATCTCGTTATCATTGAAAAACATCATAAGAGGGGTTATTTAACTGTGTGAAAATCGTGGGTGGGAAAATCAAAAAATGACCGAGATTATCCGAAACATATGATTTGATCGAATCGATCGACTGAAAAAAAGTCACCTCTCTTTTTTCATTTCATTCAAAAACTAACCAACCCAACATGAAAATGATCGGCCGACCAAAAAAGTCTCTTTGTTTGGTTTTTTGTTGTTGTAAAACACATTTCATCTAACTATCTAACTCTCTTTTCCTTCTTTTTTATTTGGTAAAGTTCCTTATAAAAAATTCTCAAGAAAGTTTTTAATTGATTAATACATGGATTTAGTTAGTCAAAGAGGGAATAAAAAACGAATAATGTTGCAAACAAAAAATAATAGAGAGGCTTTTGTTGTTGTAATGTTTGGTTATGGGTGTAAAAATCGAGATGATTCGATTTATTAGGGGTGTCGAAGAAGGATTGAAGAAATAATAATTGAGGACAACACAGTTATAGTTTGCAGATTTTTTTTGTAATAAAAAAAACAATAGGAATCGAGCTAACAGTACGATTTTTTCGAAAAATGATAAGATTTTGTTTTGCAGAAATGAATCACAATGTTTTTTTCGAAAATAAAGAGAAACGTTTTGTTCGTTTCCAGAATTTATGTGAAAATTAATGGGAAAATGATTGTCATGGTTAGAGATAACAGGATTCGGAGAGATTTAAAGAGACGGAACATTTCTCTCAAAAATTGTAGACAAAGTTGAAAAAGTGAAGATATTGGTTAATCAAAAATCTGTTTTTTTTTTCTGATCTCTAAGAAAGATTCTATTTTGAGAATGAGAATTGAGAATTCCGGAAATCTGACACAAAATTAGGAAAATTAATAATTCATATCTGTGCTCACAAAACAGAAGAGACCAAAAAAACACAAATTTCTGAATTCAAACATCTGTGCTTTCTGAATGTCACAAGTTGAGAAGAAAAAATTCCAGAAACATTAGACATCGTTTCAGAGTTTATGAGAAAATTAATGGGAAAATAATTGTCATCGTCAGAGATAATCCGAAGCAAAGAGACGCAGACATTTTTTCTCATTAACAAAAACGAGACAACAACTTTTAGTTACATTTACCGTTTGACTCAACTCTACCAAAACACAAACAAATTTAAAACAGATAAAAATCTCTTTATGAATAAAAAAGACAAAACGCGAAGTATGACCCAAGATGCTGTGTTGTAAAACGACCTTATGTAAAATTACTAACTATTTCGAAATTCTTCTGATAAATCGAGGGATAAAAAACTTTCTTTAATCAAGGCGAAATTGGTCAGTCAGTCTCTCACTTAAAATCAAAAAAGGTCGTCCACACCTCAAAGAATTTTACCTTGAAAAGTCGAGTTCGAGAAAAAACCCCCGAAAAAACTTGAGTAGCACTTAATTGAATCGGAATGGGTTCATCAATGTGATGTAAAACACACACACACAAAAAAACAAAAATGGGATGAGAATGAGGAAAAATAAGAACAGCCTAGGATAGGCAATGTGAAGTATCCTTCCTCCCCGGGGGAATTTTGCATAAATTTGAGAGAGAGGGAAAATTTGTCCGAGATTATGCCATTCTTCATTTAATAAGCAAATAAGGAGGAAGCAAAAGAAGAGAAATTTGAACACATTAAGATAACATCGACATTAATTCAAGACAACTTGGCAGCAGATAGACATCTTCTCATTTTTGGTCATGTTTATGTTTACTCAATGGCAACGGGGATAGACAAAAAAGAAAAGAAAACGGAAGAGGAGTGGGTTTTTTGAACTTGAACAGGTTCTTTTTACTTTTATTTTTTATGAAGAAGAGCGGATTCGAGGTTATTCAAATGACACATGTTTTTGACAGTTTGAGGTCAAATATACATTAGTCATCAGTGAAATTCGTACTGACGGAATCGTTTTTGCCAAAATATATTTTTGAGAACTTTGAATGAGTGAAGAAAATACATGACGGAGTCTGACTAGAATAACAATTGAAAGATGCTCGGAAAACATTTACGGTTCTCTGAAAATAAGAGCAATAAAACTTTTTTAAATTTGGATACGAGCTTGACACACAAATTCATGGATGAGAAAAAACATAGAAATACTGTAATTTCAAGCGAACTTTATCTTGGTTTCGATAAAAGGCTCCCTCGTCAGAAAACAGCGAAAATAGAAAAGACTTTCACTGAACATGTTTTTCCCCTGAAAACCTCGATGCGCCTAAATGATAAAATATGAGTCACTTGAGAACAAGCCAAAAGGTTCTAGTATTTTCAGAAAACTTGTCATTCTGAACTTTGATCTGACAACGAATTTTAATCCCACAGACAGAGATGATAAAGTTATTTTTGCTTCAAACTTTTGAAAAACTACTTTTTTTTCAAAAATCCCTCAAACTTAGTTTTGAAAAAAAATGTAAACAAAAAACGCATAAAACTTTTTTTTAAGTGTCCTGTTTCAATTTTTCAGTTTTGAAACTAATCAAGCGCAAAACTGCATATTTATTAGGCCCAAAAATTGACTATACAAAGAATACAGAACAAATTTTCAGTCGGAAAAAAATTGCCGATTGTTTTATAAAAATTATTATTCTCATGATTTTTTCCCTTCTCACGACAACTTTTGTTTGTCGCTGTCCTGAAAAACCCCAAAAATGTATGTTTTTCTTATTGAAAATATCTATATTTTCAAAATGCACTAATCGGCTCTTATAGCTGCCCCTCAGGGCTTTTCTTTATTTTGTGCATATATTTTTTGAGTATAATTACCCCCCTCCTACTTTTTCCGCCTTTTTTCGCAACTTTTCTCTCACACATTTTCTCTTTGTTTATTTTTTTTTTGTTTTAACTCGCGTCGAAAAAGGCGCATAAATAATTATGTTAATTGAAAATTCTTCAGTTTTTTTTTTCATTTTTCTGGCGTTGTGTTTTTCACACAGCTTTTTTTCTAGCTTTCAGCTGCCTTCCAAATTTTTTTTTTCCAAATAAACTTCAAAAAAATTTGTTTTATCATTCATTGAGTCATAGTTAGTCAGTCCGGTTTTGACTAATTTTGGTTTATTTTCCTCCTTACGAATTGACAAAAAAAAATAAAATAAACCACTCAAAAAAAAACTTTTGTCAATTTATGCCCATTCTGGTTTAATTATAGGGGTTTGTGTAAATTTTTGAGTGTTTGTGTTTTCAACACATTTTTTAACGCTATAAAAAGAGTTGTTATTTTTCTATTGCAGTAGAAGAGCGTTGAATTATGAAGTGTCTTATTTTGATCGGGTTTGTTGGAGCAGCTATTATTCCAAGTCCAGATGAGCCGAAACCCTTGGATGAGCCACCATTGGTGAGTTGTTTACGACAAGGAATTTCATATTTGCTAATTGTAAACCCATATTTCTGTATCCGAATACACTTTTTTGTATTCGAAATAATTATTTGTGGGTGTTGTTTTGATTAACATATAGGACTATATTGTCAAATTAAAAATAGATGGCAGAAAATAAATAAAGAAACGTGAACATTTTCAGAGAACCCATGTCGTTGGGGGCGTTGCGGTCACGCGATGTGTGTTTCATTTTTGAAAATTTGCTCAAAAAATGGGAAAAATTTATAAAATTCTGAAAATGAAGCACGTAGCGCGTGACCGCAACGCCCCCAACGACATGGGTTCTCTGAAAATGTTCACGTTTCTTTATTTATTTTCTGCCATCTATTTTTAATTTGACAATAGTTTAGTGAACGATCAACAAAATCAAAATTGATCCAGGAACTGCAATATTGTCTTGTCAAAGGAACAACTGGATTTTTGTACGAATTGCAGAAGTTCGTCTAGGAGATGCAGTTATTCTTAATTTTTCACATGAATTCGTAAACGTAGTAAACCCGAAGGAAATTTTTTCAAGATAAATAAATATAAATAAATAGTAGATGACAAAACGGCTCTGACAGTCGAAATTTTGTAGCTATGAATAATTTTTGTAGAAAAATATTACTTTTTCTGCAGAAAAAATAACACTACCTTTCCTAATTGGCACACCCGTGATTCTGTATTCAAATACACTTTTTGTATCCAAAATAATAATTTATGAGTGTTGTTTTCATAAACACGTAGGAATATAGTGTAGTGAACAATAAGTAAACCAAACTTGATCGACGAACTAAAATATTGAATTGTAAAATATGTTCTTACTAGGTGTTTGAATTTCAGAACTTTCTTGGGGAAATGAAATTACTCTCATGTTTTGCACTAGTCCACATAGCGTCTCATAAACTTAAATCCGAAAAATTCAGCAAGTATTAAAAAGTTTTGAAGACCTCCCGTATTTATTTATAAATGAATGAGTCACACTTCTCAGACATGTCGCTGCAGGCCGGGCCGGCCGGGCTCAGCCCGAAGTAAACACAAAAAATCGGGCTTTTTTCAGCCGAAGCCCGATTTTAACATGTGCGGCTTTCGCTGGCCCGATTTTGGGGCCCGCTTATTTTTTCTTCGATTTTTTTTCATTGAAAAAATGAGTTTTTTGTGGTCAAAAAGGAATTTTTAATGAATTTCAAACATTGTAAAGAGTAAAAATAGTAAAATAATTTGTGTGTGGAAGAGAATTCACTTGAATTTTGAAATTTTTGCATTTTATTTTTCGATTTGTTACTTATTTCTATTTTTATAAGCAAAATATCACATTCTAATTTGATTTTTCACTCATATGAATACAATCCAACATCGAAAACATCAAAAAAAAATTCTGAAATTGGCCATTCAAAAATATTGTTTGGGCGAGGCCAACCCGGCCGCTTTTAAATTTTCATAAGGCCGGGCCAGCCCGGCCCGTGATAAATTGAGCGGGCTTTAGGGGCCCGAATTCAGCAAAAACGACATGTCTGCACTTCTTGATCTTAACATTCACAATTTTGTAGCTATAAATCATTTTTGTAAAAAAATATTACTTTTTTTACAGAAAAACATACCACTACCTTGTAGCGTAACATGAAAATGAATAAAAATAGAACGTGATCCCAAAAAAGATCAATATATTTCAGGCCTCATTTTCATTGGACGAATTGGAAAACCCACGTGGCCCCACACCAACAGATATCACAACTAAAGCAAATGTCAAATCGAATTCTGATATTCCAGTATCTAGAAAACGTGTCCGACTGCATTCGAAAAGTTCGAAAAATCGAGAAGCCGAGATTCTTGAGAGAAAATGTAATGATCAAAATTTGGAAGAAATATTGATGCGTGTAAGTTTCATAGCCTAACAATTCAAAAGTTCAAGAAGTCCTATTTTCAGAGTATTACACCATCGTTAAGCACTTCAAAAATGATAATTTCGGAAAGAGCATCACGAGATTATGGCACAGTATTCGATGTAATTTGTGCACGCGGTCGTTTTTCATACTATGTGGAAGCATCAAATTATTGTGAAGTAACAGTCGGCGGAATAACGTGTTTTGCGTATAGGTCATCGGCATCATCACGAGTAGCTGCAGCAGCCGAACGGGTTTAACTAACTATCTAACTTTTCCTTATCATTTGAATAAAGATACATAATAAATATACTTGTATAAAAATAATAAAATAACCAGTTTGCTGTGTGGGTATATCAAGTTGAATCCATCTTGATTATCGAGATATTTTTGTCGGATTATCATGATTACTAGGAGGATTATTTTCGTCACATTTTTGATATTTTTGAATGGTGTTCTTGCTTCACCACCAATGTGTCATTGTCCAAATGGGCAGATTGGAAGTGAGTTCAAAAATTATTATTTCATTTAAAACCGTACAATTTTCTATTTTTTGTAATTGCAAATTCCAAAAATTACAGTTCAAAAAATTGTATTTTTTAGTGCAATGTCCTAGCCCAATCAACCTAAACTGTCCACCATCCGCACCTTGTCCAAGTCCTCCACCTTGCAACATGTTCGGCAATTTCCCAACTCTTCCAACACTTCCGCCACACAACTTCCAAACTTTGGCACCATTCACCCTTGCGCCAGTCAATGGGCAAACTTATGCAACGCTTCCCCCTGCAATTCCACCGCCTGCAAATGGTCAAGAGACACTTCTTGGAATCAACAATCAACCACCTCCGCCACCACCACCAGTGCAATATGATCAACAACAAGTTCAGTATAATCAACAAGTATCAGCGTCTCAACAATACGCCGAAGCTCCACAAGCAGTTCAAGCTACTCAGCCACCAGTTTTCATTCAAGATGCAGTTACAACAACATTCCGCCCAGCTACTTTGCCAAGTGAAACTTATGTTGAACTCGAAAATCCAGAAACTGCGCCAAATGCTCGTCCGCCACCAGTTCTTCAAAACGTTGTTGATCATGTTTTCGAATCAGAACCTAACCGTGAGTCCCTCATGTTTTCCTGTCTATAAAAACAAGCTTTGATGTTTCAGAAGGATATCGTCGCCCAGGTGGTGTAGTTCGTCGACAAGTTCCACCATTGAATGAAAAGTGTAACGATGATAGATTGAGAAGAATTATTGAAGAAAACGTGGATGATAATCCATCAACATCCAAAAGAAAGATTCAAAAAGCGGCTGCAGATGAGATTGGTGGACTTTTCGATGTAATTTGTTCGGCTCATGATTTCTCTTATTTGGCAAACACCCAACTTTTCTGTGAAAGTGGAAACGATGATGTTACTTGTTTCGCATTCCTTCATTCTCTTATTCAATAAAGTTACGAAAATACAACTTGTTTGAGTTCAGAAGAATAGATCTGCTGATCTACCTGAAGATATTCGTGTATTTTTCAGATATACAATTAGCTCAAAGAGATGTGCTCTGTGTTTGGATATTTTCAGAGTCAAAAAGCACGAATATCGTAGTTTTCAAGATACAAATCTGCAATCATATAAATTCTGACTTTTTCGTTCAAAAAGTCATTTTTCATCAAATCAGAACAATTCCTTCTCGTGGATAAAATGGAAACGATTTTCAAAGTAATTCATTTTCTTGGATCATCAATTGATTGTGTGTTTAATGCAACGTTATTCTATTCTTTAATCACAAAAACCCCAAAAGTAATAACGAAATATAGTTTGTTGATTATTTCCATTTTATCCACGAGAAGGAATTGTTCTGATTTGATCAAAAATTACTTTTTGAACGAAAAAGTCAGAATTTATATGATTGCAGTTTGTACCTTGAAAACTACGATATTCGTGGTTTTTGACTCTGAAAATACCCAAAACTTGAATTTCAGTGTCGTCAAGTTTGGGAATTGTCTATTCATTTCACAATTTTCAGAAAATCTCCAGTTATTTCTTCAAAATATTCCCATTGTTGATCATTCACAATAAGATTGCAAAGATCGTATAAAAACAAAAGCCTATTGAAAATTCGGTGAACGTTTCTATCGTCAATTTAATCCACATTGAAATTGTGACAGTTATCATTTTTCAAGTCAGGAAAATATTCGAATACTTGTCTGAGTCATAAGTGATATCAATTCCAAATTTGCAGATTAAATAAACAAAGCTATTTGTGAATCCAGCCCAACTACAATTCCAGGGTATATATATTTTGACATTACTAATATGATTTCAATATTTACCAAACTGCTCTCTATTTTAATTTTTCTCCAAAATCACATGGAAAATATTTTCCAAGCAATCCATTCATTTGGCTCTTCAATTGGATGTTTCATAAATGCACTTCTGATTTATGTAGTTTTGACAAAGAGTCCAAAACAAATTCAAGGATATGGTTTACTAATTATCAATTTTGCCGTGACTGATTTCTTGATTTGTGCATTGAATTATATGGTAATGCAACGACTAATTTCTTGTGGTCTTGCTATTATTTATATTTCAATGGGACCATGCTCGGCGATTTCTCCTCAACTTTGCTTCTCATTATATGTCACGAAACTTCATTTATACACTCACTCAATTTGGCTTCTTCTAATTTCATTTTCTTATCGTTACTATGTTATGATTCGATCCGAATTATCGAAACTAAGAATACAGTTAATAATATTTCTCGTATATATTCCATCTCTTTTTTCCATCGTGAATATTTTCATTTCTGATGGAAGTGAAACACAGTCTCGTGAAATCATAACTAAATATCATCCGGAATATAACATAACCGATCGAGCCGTCACTGGAAACCTTTCCATATTTGAATTCAGTGTGATGTATGTTATTATTCACGTTGTTGGATTAAGTGTTCCAATGGCAATTATGATTTTGATTATGCGCAAGAAAATCATTTCTAAACTTGGTGAAAATGCAAGTTCCGAAAGATCAAAACGTCTCCAAATACAACTTCTCAAGGTTGGTTTAAAAGACAAGTTTGATGTAGGTTGAATTGACAATCATTTTCAGGCCCTAACATTCCAAGCTTGCATTCCAATTCTGTACGCAATTGGTGGTTCCTGTTACCTCGTTCAACAATTCAATATTATAAACAACGCAGCTCCTCAATACATAATGTATTGTCTTTTCCTTCTTGTCCCCGTTCTCAATCCAATGTCTTCATTTATTTTCATTACACCCTACCGTAATTTTGTTATTTCGTTTTTGGGTCGAACTTATCGAAAGATTTCAATAACTAGAAGTGCAACTCAACCAGATTCTTCGTTCAATCAGCATACCAATCAAACCAAATATTGAAACGAATTAGTCAAGAATTTTCACAAAGACCAAGTAGTCCAAATTAATGTATTTACTTATTTGTATTTTAGTATCGTTCCCATAAATTAATTTGACTAATAACTGAATATTTACCAAAATACCAACATCCAAAAAACGGACCAAAAGAAAACATATCAGTTATGCCCAAACTGAAGTTCCTACCGAGTAAAAGATATTTTCTGACATCGGTGAAGTTTTTATCAGTTTTCATTTATTGCAAATGGTTCGAAAATTTTGTATAATCGCAAAAAATATTTGGAAAATCACAAATTTCTCCAAAAAAAATCTTCGCTTACTAACAAATGTATCAATGATTTTTTGAGTCTTTGGTATTGCAATAACAAGAAATTTTGTAAAACCAAATCAAATACAAAATCAGTCACATATAAATATATATTTCTCGATATGACCAAAAATTCCAATATTCATACCGCTTGTGTCTATGTTCGAATTTCTCAAAAGTCATATGGAAAATATTTTCCAAGCAATTCATGCCTTCGAATCTTCTGTTGGTTGCTTCGTGAATGCATTGTTAATTTATGTTGTTTTAACTAAAAGTCCCAAGCAAATTCAAGGATATGGTTTACTAATAATCAATTTTGCCGTCACTGATTTCTTGATTTGTGTCTTGAATTATATGTTAATGCAAAGATTAATAATCTGTGGATTCGCAGTTATTTATATTTCAATGGGGCCTTGTTCTAAAATATCTACCCAACTTTGCTTCACTATATATGTAACGAAACTTCATTTATACACTCATTCGATTTGGCTTCTTTTAATTTCTTTTTTATATCGTTATTATGTTATGATCAGATCGGAACTTTCGAAATATAAAATTCAGTTTATAATATTTCTCTTTTATCTGCCCTCTCTTCTTTCAATGGGAAATATTTTCATTTCTGATGGAAGTGAAAAAGAGGCTCGAGAAGTCTTAACAGAATGTCATCCCGACTATAACATAACAAATCGAGCTGTCACTGGAAATATTTCATATCTAGATGTTGGTGCTATCTATGTTGTTATTCATATTGTTGGCATGAGTATACCTATAGCAATTATGATTTGGATAATGCGAAGAAAAATAATTGCCAAACTTGGTTCAAATGCAAGTTCCGAAAGATCAAAACGTTTGCAATTACAACTTCTCAAGGTTTGTTACTCGAATTTAATTCCGAACTCTGATCGAAAATTTGCAGGCTTTAACATTCCAATCATGTATTCCAATTTTCTATGTTCTCGGTAGTTCTGGTTTTGCTGTCCAACAATTCAATATAATCAACAACGCAGCTCCACAATACATTATGTACTGTGTTTTCATTTTGGTTCCTGTTCTCAATCCATTTTCTTCATTCATTTTCATCACACCATATCGAAAATATGTCATATCACTCTTCGATCGAAAATCTTACAAGATCTCAGTGACTCAAACTACGACACAGCTCAATTCTTCAGCTATAAATCAAAGCCAAAGTCTGAGCAAACATTGAACGAGTAAGATAACATTTTATGTGAAAGATTGAATCCTAATAAAATGAATTGTTTTGCAAATGAATGAAAATTACTTTAATTCTCTTCTTGATGTTGTATTGAAGGAGTTCATGTTTTCCCAATTAATTAACATCGCAAGGATTCTCATTATTTTTGCAAATTTCCTGCTGATTCATAATCAAAATTCGTTTGGAGTAAACAAGACTCCATATGAGATCGGAAAACAAAAATAACTACAAAATTGATTGTATAAATACTGTCTTGCTACTATACGATTATAGATTTCACCGCATTATTCTGTTTCTCCCATAAATAGAATGGATTTGATATTTCAATCAATTCATTCCTTTGGTTCATCAATTGGTTGTTTCATGAATGCTATGTTAATTTATGTTGTTCTAACTAAAAGTCCAAAACAAATCCAAGGATATAGCCTGCTAATTATCAACTTTGCTGTAACAGATTTTTTAATCTGTGCATTAGATTATATGTTGATGCAACGACTCATATCTTGTGGAATGTCAATTCTTTATATTTCAATGGGCCCATGCTCTAGAATATCTCCACAAGTGTGCTATTTCATCTATGTTATACAACTTCATTTATACACACATTCTATTTGGCTTCTTCTAATTTCTTTCTCATATCGTTATTACGTTATGATTCGATCAGAACTCTCAAAATTTAAAATTCAATTGATCATACTTCTTTTTTATATACCATCTTTTATATCAAATGTAAATGTATTCATTTCTGATGGTAGCGAACAACTTTCTCGTGAAATATTAACACAATATCATCCTGAATATAACCTAACAGATCGAGCAGTTTCTGGAAATCCCTCAATTATTGAATTCGGCGCAATTTATGATATTGTTCATGTTGTTGGTTTGAGTATGCCAATGACAACAATCATATTGATAATGCGAAAGAAAATAATATCTAAATTTGGGACAAGTGCTGTCTCAGAAAAATCGAAACGACTTCAACTGCAACTTCTAAAGGTTTGTAATCGATAGTGCTGAAACCGCAGTTATTGAAACATGAAATCTTTACAGGCTCTCACATTCCAAGCATGTATTCCAATTTTCTATGTAATGGGTGGTTCCTGTTACCTTGTTCAACAATTCAATATTATAAACAACGCAGCTCCTCAATACATAATGTATTGTCTTTTCCTTCTTGTCCCCGTTCTCAATCCAATGTCTTCATTTATTTTCATTACACCCTACCGTAATTTTGTTATTTCGCTTGTAGATAGAACATATCGAAAGATCTCAACAACGCAAACTGCAACCTACCAAGATTCTTCTACAACTGAGAATAAAAAATCGAGAACAAATATTTAGTTCCAAATCTAATGAAGTTATATTTTTAGGAATGTTTTTGAAACAAATGAATATTGATAATCAATTGACTAAATATAAACATACAAAACATAGACCAAAAACAGTAGCTGATGTTCAAATGTCCAAGAAATTTCGGAGAGCCACACCTCTCTGTATATTTCTCTTCTCGTGCAATTATTTCTCTCCCGTTTTGCACATACCAGAAAAAAGAGATAATGAATCGGTATATAAACTTGACCAACGATCAAATAGTTTCCATTTCCTTTTTTTCTTCTCCGCGTAATCAAGAAAAAATGATGAAATTAATGTTGCTATTTTTGACGTTGAACTTGCAATTAGTGACTGGAGCACCGGAGCAAGTTCATCTCGCATTCTACAATACACCCTGGGATATTTCGGTCAGTTGGATAACATTCGAAGAATCGGATGCTGTTTTGACTTTTGGAACTTCAGCAAGCAATTTTGTGAATAAAACAGGAAACACGACAAGTTGGGAGTTTGGTGGAATTATTAGACATTCTCATGTTGTTATATTAGATAATTTGAAACCCTCAACATTATACTGTGAGTTAATAATATGTTTTGATCAACACTTTGGTTTTTTAAGATTATAAGATAGCCGATCGTCAATTTTCATTCCGAACTCTAACAGCCGATCTAACTTCATACAAAGTTTGTGTATTCGGCGACCTCGGAGTTTTCAATGGAAGATCAACTCAAAGTATCATAAACAATGGAATTGCTGGAAAATTCGATTTCATCGTTCACATCGGTGATCTTGCTTATGATCTTCATTCAAATAATGGTAAATTGGGTGATCAATATATGAATTTATTAGAACCCGTGATATCAAAAATTCCATATATGGTTATTGCTGGAAACCATGAAAACGATGGCAAAAACTTTACAAACTTCAAAAATCGATTCACAATGCCACAAAATGGCGGAAAAGATAATCAATTCTACAGTATCGATATCGGACCAGTTCACTGGACTGGTTTGAGCACAGAATATTATGGATTTGTCGAAGATTATGGAAATGCTTCAATTTTCACACAATTCAATTGGTTGAAAAATGATTTAGAAAAAGCTAACTCGAATCGTGGAAATGTTCCGTGGATTACACTATTTCAACATCGCCCATTTTATTGTAGTGTTGAATTAGCAGCTGATTGTACTCTTTATGAGAATGTTGTTCTTCGTCACGGTGCTTTAGGATTACCAGGACTCGAACCAGAATATATTCAAAATTCAGTTGATATCGGTTTTGCTGGACATATGCATGCTTATGAAAGAATGTGGCCAGTTGCAAATATGAAATATTATCACGGAAAAGAAGCCTATCACAATCCAGTTGCTCCTGTTTACATTTTAACTGGATCAGCGGTAAGTTAGAAACTGTTTGTAGTTTGATAACCTACAGTAGTCTTCAATTGAAAAATGTTATCTAGTTAGGCGTATGTTGATAACTGATAGAATTGCTCTAGTCAGGTGCAATTTATTTTTGGCAATTTTGCACAAAGTAGATATTTCACAGCGTTGGGGAACTTTTCTAACATATTAAAAAATTAAAACACAAGTTTACAAATAATTTTCAAATCCCTGTTCAAAAAAATCTCAAAAAACTGACCTCTACACATTCGATTTCCCATTCAAAACATCCCACAAATTGTTCAAAATTCCATAATCTTTTTCGCATTCGATATCCAGTCAAATCCGAAATCTGAAAAAAACTGAAATTTTATTTAAGAAAAAATGAGAGACAAAACCAACCATAAGCAATGAGCAACGGAAATTTGGAGTTTCGTTGTACCAAATCCTTTGAGTTCTGAAAAATTAAAATTCTATTGCATCACTATTTTTCAAAATGTCTATTCAAATTCCACGTCAATGTTCACGTTTAAAATTTTTTAAATCAGTGAATTAATTTTCCACTTCTATTTTTCAAATTTTCAGGGTTGTCACTCATCTGGCATGAAATTCAGTCCAATTCCTATGCCTTGGAGTGCACACAGAAGTGATGATTATGGCTACACAATAATGAGTGTAGTCAATCAAACACATTTGCATTTCCAACAATTATCAATTGACAAAAACGAACAAATTATTGACGAAGTTTGGGTTTCAAAAGATATCGGTCATTTACACAATGACAAATTAAGGTAACATACACACACATCAAATGACTACAAAATACATTGTTCATTTTACAGAGAACAACAAATTGGTAAACCATTTTATTGATGTGACATCTAACATCGCTATGTTTTCATGATCAAAACTTTTGTTAATTGCATTTCCTTTTTTTTGAAAAAAAACTGATCTCTCCCGCCTTCTTTTTTTTCTGAATTTTGTTATCTATCCAAGCCCTATATTATGTTAACTGATAACACTGTCCTTTTTTCTCATAAAATTATGTCTAACTATGTTTTATTGCTGTTTCTCTGCTTAATTTATTCAGAATTTGCAAATTCTTACAAAATATTGGTATTTTCTCCGGCGTGTAGTACTTCACATTTGATATCAAATGCAAGAATTGCAGATGAATTGGCACAAGCCGGTCATGATGTCGTAAGTTTACAGATTAAAAAAAGTAAACATCCTAGGTTTCAGACAATATTACAGTCACAATGTTGGTAAACACATAGTTTTTATTTTTAAAAGTTGATGCGTTGATGATAAAAAGATTTCTAGCTTTCTTTCTAGCAATAAGCTAGAAATCATGGTTTATCAAATTATGAAATCACGAAAAAAAATTGATAAGAATAAGAAATTGAAAAAAAATTAAATATTTAATTACTACAACTTATGAAAAAAATATTTGTATTGTTAGATTAGACATGCAGAGAATGCGAGAGATTGTGGAAAGTGAGAAGAAATAGAGATAGGAAGAGATGAATATTTATATTTATAGTAAATATAGTTTGATGATCGAAACTATAAAAATTTTCAGACTGTTTTGGAAATCGATATGCTGAATATAACTTCAATGAAAACTGCGAAATTCGCCAAACGGAAAATAGTTGCAGGACTCGCTAGTTCTTTACAATTCAAAAATATATTAATGGGATTTTCTGCTCATGTTATGTCAGATCCTTCAATTTATGATGAGTTCAAAGGTTTTTGGGAATATCAAAATGCTTTTAATGGTGTTTGTGAAGAATTCATCAAAAATACTGAAATTTTCGAGGAGCTCAGAAGTGAACATTTCGATGCGTATTTCGGCGAACAAATCAACATGTGTGGATTTGGATATGCTCAAGCTTTAGGAATCAAAAGAAAATTTCTAATTTCAAGTTGTCCAATGAATGGCGCAAATTATGATTTGGTCGGTTTACCGATGGCTTTAGGTGATCTTCCAATTGGATCCGATTTGAGTGAAAATCCAACATATTTCGAAAGAGCTCGAAATGCGCTTAATGCAGTTATTCAACTTCTAGAATACAGAGTTTTGAATATGTATCTGACAGATATTTTCCGAGCACAATTTGGGTGAGTTCTGTATGATTTTCTGATTTATCCTAACATTGTTTTTATAGGGAGAATTTCCCAAATACTCTGGATATTGTTCGAGAATCTGATTTTACTTTTGTTGCGACCGATGAAGTTATCGACTTTTCATCTCCAACTTTACAAAATGTGATTCATGTTGGAGGATTGGGAATCCACAACGTCGAAGCAAAACTTCCAGAGGTAAGTATCATTATTGTATTTTGAATGATCTCATAAATAATTTCCAGCCATATGCCAGTGAGATGGAAAAAGGTAAAAATGGCGTAATCTATTTCTCATTGGGAACAATTGCAAATACAAGTAGACTTCCAAATCAAGTTCTCGAATCATTTCTCGAAATAGTTCAACGTTTCCCAGATTATCATTTCCTAATTCGAGCGGATAAATATGATCTGAACACTGTCGAAAAGGCTAAAAATATTAAAAATGTGAGGGTTTCTGATTGGCTTCCTCAACCAGCAATCTTACGTGAGTTTTGGTGAAGAATAAATAAGAAAAGAATATAATTTTTTAAGAGCACCCACGTTTAAAGTTGTTTATCACCCACGCTGGTTATAATAGTATTATGGAATCTGCGAGAACTGGAGTTCCTCTAATTACAATTCCATTCATGTTTGATCAAAACTTGTGAGTGCTGAAAATAATTGTGTGATAACAATCTTGATTATATTCTAGAAATAGTCGAGCAATTGAGAAAAAAGGTTGGGGAATTCGTCGCACCAAAAATCAACTTCTTTCGAATCCACAAGCAATTGAAGAAGCTATCAGAGAGATTCTCAACAACCCCAAATACACCGAAAATGCTCATCGAATTCGTGATCTTATCAAATCAAAACCTCAAAGTTCTAGTGAAAGATTTTTGAAAACAGTTGATTGGGTTATTAGTAATAATGGAGTGCCGGAGCTACTTTTTGATGGAAGAAATACAAACACAATAATTTATTATAATTTAGATATTCTCATCCCTATTTTTGTTTTGATCACCTACTTTATCATTCCAACATTAGTCAGCTGGTATATTTGGAGTTGTTTTGGTCATTTGAAAAATAAGCAAAAGTTAGAATAAATCTTGGTTTTCTTGGTTTAAAACTACATTAATTAGATGATCGTTGAACACATATAAGTTCATTGAATTGAATGAGTTTCGCTTTTTTTTCGAAAGTTTCATTTCCAATGAATGTTTGGCTCTAACTTCTATTTTTCCTTCGGAATATGAAGAAAGAATTTATTTCAGCTGCTCAAAAAAGTCATTTTTCTCAGACATGTCGACAGGAAACCCTTCGTTATTTTCGGTCGAAATCGCAACTCGCGAAGAGATTTTGAACCAAATGTGTAAGTTTTTTGAGAATTTTTATAAAAATGAATGTATATAAAGATAAAATTTTAGATTCTACAAAAGATATAAATGCAATTTGGGTTTTCACATTCAATTCAGATCGAGACACAAGTTGGTTCGAAATAGTTATAATCTATGTTCTTCTCATTATTTCTTTTATTTTTACTTTGATTGGAATAAAATGCTCAAAACAATCAACGTAAGTTAAGAATGCCTAAATCGTCAATTATTCAAATTCGAAATTTCAGATTCCCTCACATAAATCATCGATGCATTTATATTTTTGCATTAATTGCGTGGTGTGAGCTAATAATAAGTCGATCTTTGGTGATTTATTTTCAACTAACAAAAAGTGGGTTTTTTGTTTTTCTTTATTATTATTATAAATAAAGACACAGAGTTGTTTTTGTGATTCATGAAAAAGAGCCTGAAATATTTGCGAAACATGATTTGGAATGCGCGAAATATTTCAGCTGTTTGGTAGCAGATTACTGGTTGAGATTACTATCGTCGTGAAATCTTTAGAATAATGATTGACGTAATGAAACAAAATGAAAAATTAGTCTCAAAGTTCACCTTTGGATTAAAAATACTCCAGAAAACAAATTATTTTGTTAGAGATACAAAAATCTTTAATTTCAGATGAAAATCAATCCCATTATCAATCCTTATTTTGGGCTGCAGTTTTCCGATATCATTATTTGTTTTTCGGAGCACAAATAATATTTTGTGTAGTTTTTGAAAGAATAATGGCCACATGTTATATGAGAGATTATGAGAAGAATAAACGTCTTTGGATATTTTGGCTAGTGATCTTTTTAACAACAATCTCTTCACTTATTTATTCAATGCTTACAATTTATGAATTCATTCAGATGAGATTTATACTTTTCTATGGGATTTCTTTCACTTTTCCTGCAATTTTAGTAAGTTTTTTTTGAAGACAACTAATCTAAAATGAAAAAGCAATATTTCAGATTCTAGAATTTCTATATTATTTCAATAAGAGCAAGTTGAACGCGCTTGACAAAAATGATAAAACTGTTCAATATTCTTTAAGTATTCGATATCAGATTCAAGAAAATGTGAGAAGTATTAAACTTATTCGAGGACTTGTGATAACTGTTGGGTTTTTCATAATTGCTGTAATTTTTGGAGAATGTCTCCCAATTATCATGAAATTTGATGAAGATTATTTACACATTTGTAATATAATTTTCGACACGATGGTTCACATGTAAGATTTTCGAAAAAGAAATTTTAAAATCAAATATACTTCTTGTAGAAATCCAATTCTGGTAGTTCCGTTAAGCTTTATTTGTTTCGTCGACTATAAAAAAGCGTTTATTCGCAATTATCGCAGACAGTTTCCCAAAATATCTACACAATCTTCTCGAGATAGCCGCCGAAGATCAGTTTTCAGTATAACAAGGCAGAAAAAAACAAACGAAGGAGATGTTTATTTCGAAATGTTTAATAAAACCATGATGTTTTCGAAATCAACAAATCAGAAATAAAAAGCCACTGTTTTAACTACTTTGAATAAATATAATTTTTTCTGACAATCGTCAATTGTTTCCAGAATCACATAACACATAAATCACTCATATTTATCATAGTAATTTCGTTTCCATAAGCAACACCCTTAAAACAAAAAATTAGTAGATCAAATTGCGCAAGCTCGTGATAAATCTAATTACTACTTTCAAATCCTACTATAAAAATGACGAACTGGCAGACCATTGAGCATAAAATATGCCTTCTTTCCGCGCTGTTCAAAATTTTCACTTTGACAATAATTATGAAATTGCACAGTCTGCAAATCGTATGACAGCTATATTTGTCTGTAGTATAATAAATATTTTCATCATTTTTCGACTAATTATTGCAAACAGATTTCGTGTGACAAATGATTATCAAATAATCATAATTATTCAAAGTTTTTTCATACTAATTGCAAACTTCGCTGAAGTTCTACTCAATGAAATTCAAACAATAGATCGATATATTGTTAAAATTGGACATCCTGTACATCCATATTCGGATAATCAAAGAATAATTGTTTCAGTTTTTGCAGTTGTTTCATCATTTATGGTTGAAGATATTCTAGCACTTTTCAACTTACATCGTCTCGTAATGTTCACAAAGTAAGATATTTTCGGAGGTATATCGATCTTTAGAGAAAAAATATGATTTCAGGCCTCAAAAAATAAAAAGACTATATTTAGTCTATATTCCGATATCTTTATCTTCCTGCCTTGTGAACATTGCTACAATGTTTAGTGATATAAAGTCTGGTTACAGCATCGATTTATATTTCAAGAATTCACAGCTTGGATTCTTGACAATTGTAATAATATATTGCTATGTAAAACTGAAAAGATATTTCTCGAAAAACGTTTCGATGTCTGAGAAAACGAAACAACTTCAGAGAAAATTGTCGATTTCGATTCTCCTACAGGTAAGGTTGATTACAACGATAAAAAAGAGTTGCAAAATTTTCGGCGAACTCATCATTTTTTATCATCATTTGAATGATAACTTTGGCAAATTTGTTTGGTTGTTTACTTGGTTCTTATCAGAATTCAGGTATTCATGTGAAGTTTTCGTGATAAAAATAAATTTGCAAAGGTCGCGAAAATGTAGCGAAAGATAATCGCTGATTTTTGAGTTAATAATTAGACAAAAACGAGTAAACAAGCTTATAAATGTCAGAGAACAGTCAGAAATATGAGAGTTGTACATGAAAATCAAAAATGAAAGGAAAGTTTGCTCCAAGTAGAAATTTTTGTCAATTTTTCTTTAATCCCCCCTCAAAAAACTCACCGCTTTTCTCGGCGGCATCTCCTTCTCGCGCTGTTAAACGACCAGTTGAAATTGCAAATGTGGCATTTTTGCTGTAAAATTACGTATTTTTCACGTCAAAATGTTCAAGAAAGTGAAAAAACCACGAAAATCCAAAATTATCACAGCCCGGAAACGCGTTGTAAAATTTGTGTGCGACGGGCAGACAGGTAGAGGAGAAAATGGTCTCGCAACGCCGCTAAATAGGATGCAAAAGGGGGAGCGGGATCTGTGGTGTGTCGTTGTGTGTTTTTTTTGTCATTCTTGTTTTCGAATTTGTTCAGAGCCGCGGCTGAAAATTAATTTTTCAGCCGCGGCTAACTGATCGATAGCCGATTGAGAAAAAGAGAAGAAAAACATTGAAATCCCGCGTGGTCTACTCTAGTAGAACTTATTAACCTGTGAGCCTAGCATTTATCACGCTGCCAGCTTTGGAAAAACATGTTGAAGCTAAAGTAGAGAAAACAAACAAAAAATGTCAGCTACGGTAATAAAGGAACGCACAATGAAAAAAAAGTTTGGTCTCACGACGAAGAAAACTTTATGTGTGTGCGCCTTTGATTACTGTGTGAGTTTTTTGTTTTTTTTTTCATAAGTTTTTGAAAAAAGACTAATAAAAATTATGAAATCTCCGAGAAACATAGAAAAGAAACAAATAAAACAAGAAACAAACCTAGAAATACATTTTCGTTCCTTTATTCGCTTGAGGATTTTCAATCGATTGCAGCATGCTCAAAAATAAGAAATAGTAGTTTTTCAATTTTTTTTAATGTAGCCACGTATAGAAACCGTATAGGTCACGTTTTTGTAAATAAAGAATTCAAAAAACACCACTAAAAAATATATTTCCAGCTTCTCATATTGTTGTTCATCGCAATCGTCGCCATTTTCCTACCCAGTCTCATAATCTTAATCCGCCCCGAAATTGATTCAACATCATTTTATCTGATTCACTCAATAATCGCAGTAATCCTAATTCAATGGTGCTCTGTGTTGTCATCGCTATTAATACTTTGGTCAATCATCGGATTCATAAAACCCCATAACTTCACTGCTCCGAAAAGAAGCAGCTTCTTGGTTGATAAAAACTATCAACCTAACACAAATGATAAGAAGTTAGATGTCAAAGTTCTTCAGATAAATACACAATTCATGTCTTAATAATTAATTTGAATAAACTGTTTTTACTCTCACTGTTTTTTTTTCAATGTATAGAATATTTTGTCATTGTCACGGAAAGAAGTATTTTTTTTTTCTAATTTTTTATAGACTCATAATACACTACAATGATAGAAATTGATCTTTGTGATTATTAAATTATGTGATAACGGTTCAATTTTTGGAACGAGTGGCAAAGTACACTTTGAGTCACTCCTCCCACTTCTCTCCCACCATTTATTTCATCATCCTTGCTTCATTTTTTGTTCCATTTCTTATCATTTTCTGGCTACACAACAGTCTTGTCAATTGTTTTTATATTCATTTTTGATTTCATTCTCCTCCTCACAGTTGTCTATATTTCCAGAAAGAAAAGAAAATGCTGAACTATCGAGTTACAAATCATATAACTAACATAAAATGGGTAAATATTTTCTCGCCATGGGAAAAACAACGAGCATATTCAGCACTTCTTCTTTGGTTCGTCTTGATCTACCCGATTTGCTGTTTGATGCAAATATTCCCATTTGTTTTGGTGAGTCATTTTGGAAAACTGTAAATTCTTGAATCTGACTTGAATTTTTTCAGTTTTTCACCGGTCAATGGTTGATTCTTGCTGCTTACGGAGTTTGGTACTTGTATGATAGAAAAAGTCCAAGACGCGGTGGATATAGATCGAATTGGTTCAGAAATTTGAGAGTTCACAAATGGTTTGCCGAATATTTTCCAATTCGATTACACAAAACAGCCGAGTTACCAGCAGACAAGGTAACTTTTTGAATTTTTGGTCATTACTGCTAACATAAAATTAGATTAAATTAGAACTCCTAACAAATTATATACAACAGGGGAAATTGATAATTGTTGCATAACCAGCTTGTTTCGGTGAACTTGAGTGTTCCGTTGAATTTGTTCGGGGAAAAAAGTCAGAGAAAATCAAAAAGCAAATTATGAGAGCAGATTAAAATATAATCTTTTTTTTGCGATCGCTAATTGATTTTAATAGGTTTTTGAGTTTTTGTCATTGGAACAAAAAATGAATAAATTTTGGTCTCGATTAGAAATATTTGGAAATTTTTCATCCCAAAAATTTAATTTCTAGAACTATCTTCTTGGATATCACCCACACGGAATCATTGGAATCGGTGCCTGGTCTTGTTTTGGATTTAATGGATGTAATGCTTTCGAGATGTTTGAAGGTATTCGATTCAATGTTTGTACTCTTCCTGGAAACTTCACCGCAATGATCAGAAGAGAAATTTTGATGTCAATTGGTATGATTGAAAGTTCGAAAGAAAGTATCGAATACGTCTTAAACTCAAAAAAATCTGGTCGAGCTGTTGTGATTGTTGTTGGTGGAGCTGCTGAAGCATTAGATGCTCATCCAGGAAAACACACATTAACATTGGCAAATCGAAAAGGATTTGTTAGAGAAGCTTTGAAGACTGGTGCACAATTAGTTCCAGTTTATGCATTTGGAGAAAATGATGTTTATAAGCAGATTAACAACCCGGAAGGATCATTTCTTCGAAAATTGCAAGAATGGGGAAAAGCAAAGACTGGTATTTCACTTCCTTTGATTTATGGAAGAGGATATTTCCAAATGGCTATGGGGTTGCTTCCAATCAATACACCTGTAAATGTTGTTGTGGGGGCACCTTTGAAAGTTGAGAAAACGGAGAATCCAACAAATGATGTTATTGACAAACTTCATCAAGAATATATGAATGCATTGAGTGACTTATTCGATGCACATAAATCTAAATATGGTGTCGACAAAAATGTTAAACTTATTTTTCAATAGATTGTTGATTTAATTTCAAGCAGGATTTTGTTGTATTTTAGCTTTAGCATACGGGTATTTATGGGTCTATTTATATTTTGAAATTTTTGGAATAAATTTAATCTACTATATACTAATTGGGAAAATTTTTTTGGCAATAGTGTGTCCGGGTCCCGTTCTCAAAACTGTGTGCATAAAAATTGATGATCAAAAAAAGAAAAAGTTTCTAAATGTTGGCAGCTCGATGCGCTACCTATTCATTCTTTCTTAAAATGTATGTGGGTGCGCGGAGAATCAAAAGTTTGAAAACTCCAATGTATTTTTCGATTTTAAAATGTGTCGCTCGACTTTTCTCAATTTCCAGAAGACCATTTTTGATGGGACTTTCACCATTCGATCCCAAATTCTTTCCCATCGAGGCGCTAATATTCGATTTTTCATAAAATGCGCGAGTTTTCACGTGAAAAATCAAAACTTTTTTCATGCTAAAAAGAATGAGCACGTTTTTAATCAGAAAAAATGGCTAGGTCACGTCTCTTATCTGATCTTTTTATTGCTCAGTCATAGCCGGACATTTTTAATCATTTCTCGCTATTACTCTACTACTAATCGGTTTGAAAAATAAATAGAAAAAAAGTGAGTTAGATTACTGTGGAAAAATTTATAATTTGTTCGAACTTTCAGATATTGGATAATTTCTTTTACAAGAAGAAAAACAAATACTTTAATGTGAATGTTTGATAGTGAGTTTTGATGTGTTTGGGAATCCCAATATAGTTAAGCCCAAACAATTATTATCAATCCAAAATTTTGTGAGCCTTGGAAGAAAACCGAAAAAAAAATCGGCCCGAGTTTTTTCAAAAAAAAAATCGGCCCGAGTTTTTTCAAAAAAAAAAATCGGCCCGAGTTTTAAAAAAAATCGGCCCGAGTTTTTTCAAAAAAATCGGCCCGAGTTTTTTCAAAAAAATCGGCCCGAGTTTTTTCAAAAAAAAATCGGGCCGAGTTTATTCAAAAAAAAATCGGCCCGAGTTTTTTCAAAAAAAAAATCGGGCCGAGTTTATTCAAAAAAAATCGGCCCGAGTTTTTTCAAAAAAAAATCGGCTCGAGTTTTTTCAAAAAAAAATCGGGCCGAGTTTACTCAAAAAATCGGCTCGAGTTTTTTCAAAAAAATCGGGCCGAGTTTATTCAAAAAATCGGCCCGAGTTTTTTCAAAAAAAAATCGGGCCGAGTTTATTCAAAAAAAAAAAATCGGCCCGAGTTTTTTCAAAAAAATATCGGGCCGAGTTTATTCAAAAAAAAATCGGCCCGAGTTTTTTCAAAAAAAAATCGGGCCGAGTTTACTCAAAAAAAAATCGGCCCGAGTTTTTTCAAAGAAAAATCGGGCCGAGTTTATTCAAAAAATCGGCCCGAGTTTTTTCAAAAAAAAATCGGGCCGAGTTTATTCAAAAAAAATCGGCCCGAGTTTTTTCAAAAAAAAAAATCGGCCCGAGTTTTTTCAAAAAAAAAAATCGGGCCGAGTTTATTCAAAAAAAAAATCGGCCCGAGTTTTTTCAAAAAATCGGCTCGAGTTTTTTCAAAAAAAAAATCGGCCCGAGTTTATTCAAAAAAAAATCGGCCCGAGTTTTTTCAAAAAAAAATCGGCCCGAGTTTTTTCAAAAAAAAAAATCGGGCCGAGTTTATTCAAAAAAATCGGCCCGAGTTTTTTCAAAAAAAAAATCGGCCCGAGTTTTTTCAAAAAATCGGCCCGAGTTTTTTCAAAAAAAAATCGGGCCGAGTTTACTCAAAAAAAAATCGGCTCGAGTTTTTTCAAAAAAAAATCGGGCCGAGTTTATTCAAAAAATCGGCCCGAGTTTTTTCAAAAAAAAATCGGGCCGAGTTTATTCAAAAAATCGGCCCGAGTTTTTTCAAAAAAAAATCGGGCCGAGTTTATTCAAAAAAAATCGGCCCGAGTTTTTTCAAAAAAAAATCGGGCCGAGTTTATTCAAAAAAAAAATCGGCCCGAGTTTTTTCAAAAAAAAATCGGGCCGAGTTTATTCAAAAAAAATCGGCCCGAGTTTTTTCAAAAAATCGGGCCGAGTTTATTCAAAAAAAATCGGCCCGAGTTTATTCAAAAAAATCGGCTCGAGTTTTTTCAAAAAAAAAAATCGGGCCGAGTTTATTCAAAAAAAAAAAATCGGCCCGAGTTTTTTCAAAAAAATATCGGGCCGAGTTTATTCAAAAAAAAATCGGCCCGAGTTTTTTCAAAAAAAAATCGGGCCGAGTTTACTCAAAAAAAAATCGGCCCGAGTTTTTTCAAAAAAAAATCGGGCCGAGTTTATTCAAAAAAATCGGCCCGAGTTTTTTCAAAAAAAAAATCGGGCCGAGTTTATTCAAAAAAAATCGGCCCGAGTTTTTTCAAAAAAAAAATCGGCCCGAGTTTTTTCAAAAAAAAAAATCGGGCCGAGTTTATTCAAAAAAAAATCGGCCCGAGTTTTTTCAAAAAAAAATCGGCTCGAGTTTTTTCAAAAAAAAATCGGCTCGAGTTTTTTCAAAAAAAAAATCGGCCCGAGTTTATTCAAAAAAAAATCGGCCCGAGTTTTTCAAAAAATCGGCCCGAGTTTTTTCAAAAAAAAAATCGGGCCGAGTTTATTCAAAAAAAATCGGCCCGAGTTTTTTCAAAAAAATCGGCCCGAGTTTTTTCAAAAAAAAATCGGCCCGAGTTTTTTCAAAAAAAAAATCGGGCCGAGTTTATTCAAAAAAAATCGGGCCGAGTTTATTCAAAAAAAATCGGCCCGAGTTTTTTCAAAAAAAAATCGGGCCGAGTTTATTCAAAAAAAATCGGCCCGAGTTTTTTCAAAAAAAAATCGGCCCGAGTTTTTTCAAAAAAAAATCGGGCCGAGTTTATTCAAAAAATCGGCCCGAGTTTTTTCAAAAAAATCGGGCCGAGTTTATTCAAAAAAAATCGGCCCGAGTTTTTTCAAAAAAAAAATCGGCTCGAGTTTTTTCAAAAAAAAAATCGGCTCGAGTTTTTTCAAAAAAAAATCGGCTCGAGTTTATTCAAAAAAAAATCGGGCCGAGTTTATTCAAAAAAAAATCGGGCCGAGTTTATTCAAAAAAAATCGGCCCGAGTTTTTTCAAAAAAAAATCGGGCCGAGTTTTTTCAAAAAAAAATCGGGCCGAGTTTATTCAAAAAAAATCGGCCCGAGTTTTTTCAAAAAAAAAAAATCGGCTCGAGTTTTTTCAAAAAAAAAATCGGGCCGAGTTTATTCAAAAAAAAATCGGCTCGAGTTTTTTCAAAAAAAAATCGGCCCGAGTTTTTTCAAAAAAATCGGGCCGAGTTTATTCAAAAAAATCGGCCCGAGTTTTTTCAAAAAAAAATCGGCCCGAGTTTTTTCAAAAAAAAAATCGGCCCGAGTTTTTTCAAAAAAAAAAATCGGCCCGAGTTTATTCAAAAAAAAAATCGGCTCGAGTTTTTTCAAAAAAAAATCGGCTCGAGTTTATTCAAAAAAAAATCGGCTCGAGTTTTTTCAAAAAAAAATCGGGCCGAGTTTATTCAAAAAAAAATCGGCCCGAGTTTTTTCAAAAAAATATCGGGCCGAGTTTATTCAAAAAAAAATCGGCCCGAGTTTATTCAAAAAAATATCGGGCCGAGTTTATTCAAAAAAAATCGGGCCGAGTTTTTTCAAAAAAAATCGGGCCGAGTTTATTCAAAAAAAATCGGCCCGAGTTTTTTCAAAAAAAAATCGGGCCGAGTTTATTCAAAAAAAATCGGCCCGAGTTTTTTCAAAAAAAAAATCGGCTCGAGTTTTTTCAAAAAAAAAATCGGCTCGAGTTTTTTCAAAAAAAAATCGGCTCGAGTTTATTCAAAAAAAAATCGGCTCGAGTTTTTTCAAAAAAAAATCGGGCCGAGTTTATTCAAAAAAAAATCGGGCCGAGTTTATTCAAAAAAAAATCGGGCCGAGTTTATTCAAAAAAAATCGGCCCGAGTTTTTTCAAAAAAAAATCGGGCCGAGTTTATTCAAAAAAAATCGGCCCGAGTTTTTTCAAAAAAAAATCGGCTCGAGTTTTTTCAAAAAAATCGGGCCGAGTTTATTCAAAAAAAAATCGGCTCGAGTTTTTTCAAAAAAAAATCGGCCCGAGTTTTTTCAAAAAAATCGGGCCGAGTTTATTCAAAAAAATCGGCCCAAGTTTTTTCAAAAAAAAATCGGCCCGAGTTTTTTCAAAAAAAAATCGGCCCGAGTTTTTTCAAAAAAAAAATCGGCCCGAGTTTATTCAAAACAAAAATCGGCTCGAGTTTTTTCAAAAAAAAATCGGCTCGAGTTTATTCAAAAAAAAATCGGCTCGAGTTTTTCAAAAAAAAATCGGGCCGAGTTTATTCAAAAAAAAATCGGCCCGAGTTTTTTCAAAAAAATATCGGGCCGAGTTTATTCAAAAAAAAATTGGCCCGAATGAATCAATGAAAATAATCAGAGGGCGGCGGAGTTTACTGTACTTTGGTTTTATCTTCCACGGCTCTGAAAATTTCAGATGGAACATAGAAGCTTATACTCAGAAAATAAGGCAGCATTTCTTTTCTCTCAGGATATAGATTTTTTGGATATAGATTTTAGATTTTCGGAACAGTTTCGCCAAATGTTGTGCTTTAGTTTTTGAGACGTAGAAAATTTGGATTAACCTCTTTATAAAATCAAGAAATTTTTTCGCACATTTTTTTAAACCATTTTTGTCAATTTTCTTCAGAAATTTTAAAAATCATACCTAGCGGAGAAAGAATTCAACGAAAATCAAAATTTCGGTTTTTGTTGAAAGAATCTTTTCCAACTTTTCAAAAATTACAACTCTGTCGTATTTTAAGACGAAACATGTTTCTGTTTACACCTAAAGAAAACTACGCGCGAAGCCGGGACAATCCAGAAGGAGGAGCCGGCGTTAGCCGGCGGAGCCCTTCTGGTTTTTATCAAATTCGAATTTTTTCAGTGACAGAAAAATACTTTGGAAAATATTCTCAAGTTAGATGAATTTCCAAAAATGTGAAGTTTCAG